CGAATTTTGGCATTCGTGCGGCTGTTAGGAGAGTAGAAATGTGTCCGCTAAATGATAAAATCAACTCTGAGGAAGTTTTTTAGTTCACCGAATTTTGTTTATGGATCCACAAGAACAATAATTGGCGGATAAAATTTCAATTCAGGGATTTATTTATAAACTTTTTGCACAAACAGTCGCTTTATCCGTATGCAGTAAGGAAGCCCGATTTCTCAGATTTTGGGTGATCTTTTGAACATCATATCTCCGAAACGAATTCGGTGAACCCCCCATTTTTTTACATTTTTGACATGAGTAACCCATAATCTTAAACTGGTGAAAGTTTCAGAAAAAAAATCAATGTTAGAAGATTTTCGCGCGAACCTCCTTAAGAACCTAAAATAGGAAAAACAGTAACTTTGTTTTCGCATTTACTTTTGTGTTGGACATATGTTTTTTTCCATATTAATGACTTTTCTAATGGACAGAGGCGCACTTGTTGTCGGTTTGCTAAGACAATATTAATCTTGGCTGGAACAAGTGTGTTTGAAGAATTATTTTTTATAAATGGTACCACAAACACCACAAAATTTGTAATTCAGAAGCCCTATATGTGAGGAAGCAGAAACAATCGATGATAACTATATTTTTTGTCCACTTTTTTGTCCACTTTTTTTTTGTCTGACTCTACGAAACATGTGATTTAACAAGAATGGTCATTCAGGGAGATCCGTTTCGGTAGCATTGAAACCAAGATAATAACAAACGAAAAATCGTGCGTTGCCTTGAACTTCCTCAATTAATGTAGCACTAACATTGGGCCAACTTCTTTAAGGCAAGGACGTCAAGGATTATCCCTATGAACGAATTTTTAGGCTATGAAAAAAATCAAGATAAACACGAACTGATAAACCTTTGAGAATTCCCATAATAAAGTGAGGATGGAAAATAGCCACCACAAAAAAAAAGAACATACACGAGGATGAGTCGTTCGTTCAGCGATATAGGTTTTTTGAGACTGATTATCGGCCTTGGTCGAATAATGTAAGGTGAAAATTATAATTCATCCCATCCTGGTACAGCAAAAATGTTTGATATACACAAGGTTCCCCAGTAAGTTTCTTCAATCTCGTCGTCCTGGCCCAAATTTTCGCTCAATCCCTTTCTTGAATTCTGGTTATTTTGGGCATCCCTAATCCGACGCATACTTTCAATCCCGAATCCCACTCCCATATCTATTGTTTTAAAATCCTGAAATCCCGACCTTCAAATAAGACAAATCCAGAATCCAAAAAAACTATTAATGACCATCAGACATGACCAAAGAAGAGAGCTACCTCAGAGAATGGTGCATGTTATTTTGTGTGGGCCTGAGAAACTTTATGCCCTTTTGACATACGTTTGCTTCATCTCTGCCAACTGTTTATTTTAAGACAAAGCCAGATTCTATCTTGTTAATTGTATTTGTTTTAATCACTGTGCATACAATGAGGACTGGGTAATATAGGCACGTCCTCTTCGTCTGTGTTTGTCTACAAAACCACCTTTCAGTATGGCAATTGAATTTTGTTCTGATACGTGCTATGTTTGTGTAGCAATTCCACTTTTCGTCGTTACATGATCTATCATCTTCTTTTAGTGAACAAAGCTTGGATATTCTCAACCGTCGATGTCTTTCAAGAGAAAAAGCTTTTGTGTATTAGCAGCAATTTATATGTTTATGAGACATTAATTTCATAATGTTGCATCTCTTCCAGGAAAATTCAAAACACTGGCACGAGGAGATGAACATTATCGTTAATTTGCAAATGGCGATAGCTTTGTTTCTTCATTTCACACTGCTAACGTTGTTGCTGTCTCGCCTTGGAAATTGCAACGGCCTTCAGCACGTAGAGTCCGCTTATAAAGATGGCGATATCATGTTAGGAGGACTTTTTGATCTTCACAAGAGCGAAGGCGACAACGAAAACTGCGGTGATCTTCTTGCTTCAAACCTGGGATATACGGAGGCAATGATATTTGCCATTGAAAGCATCAACAAAAATAAATCGCTCTTGCCTAACGTCACCCTTGGGTACGATATCCACGATTACTGCCTTCGACCTGCAAAAGCTGTGAAAACCGCATACGAGCTCGTAGTAAAGACTGATAGTCGCTTTTCCCTTCAAAACTGTTCAGACGCCAATGAGCACAATAACGATATGCCCCAATTAAAGAAAATATTAGGAGTCATTGGGCCGATGGATTCAGCCAGTGCCATCATGGTCTCCAGCTTGTTCGACATCGCGCATATTCCATCCATCAGTCCACTGGCAACAAGTGTGGAGTTAAGTTCCACCTTGTACTCCCACTTTTATCGTACGGTTGCCTCTGACAGGTGGCGGGCAAGCCTGTTAGCCGATATGGCATACTTCTTTAACTGGACTTACGTGGGTGCAATTGCCCTTGATGATTCTTTTGGCCGCTATGGAATATGGGGAATTGAAAGAGAAGCTTATGAGCGAGGTTATTTTTGCATAGCCTTGACTCGATTTGTTCCTCGAGTGGACCATTTTAAACAGGTCAAAAGGATTGTGAGCGACCTAAAGAGCAATGAGAAAGTCAAGGTTATTTTCATATGGCTTTATGGAGAGTATGCGCAGGCTTTTTTGGATGAAGCAGTGATACAAAATGTGAAGGACAGAACTTGGATCTTTGCAGATGGGGCAACCCCAAGTGATCCATATTTTCAGAAGCTCCATTTTGCAGAAATTTTAAATGGGTCATTTGGTATTCTCCCCAAAGCTCAGTCCAGCCAAACATTTAAAATCTATTTGACCAATTTAGAAAAGAGAAACTTTAGTGGAAGCGGCAATCCATGGTGGGCTGAATACTGGGAATCTATGAACGTTACACCGGAGACTTCTTTAGAAAGCAGGTCGCATTTAACAAACAGCCCTTACATCGCCTACACCATCGATGCCGTGTATACCTTCGCCCACGTCTTGCATGAGATGTACCACTGTCGCGAGCCACATGGACTGCTCGAAGGCGGCAAATGTCCCGTAATTCAAAATTTAAAAGTAAGAGGAGACGATCTTCATATTTACATGCAAAATGTAAGTTTTCAAGGACTGACCGGAACTGTACAGTTTGACAAATACGGCGATCCTCTAGAGGCATGCTACAACATTTTGAACTTCAAGAGAGATGGGGAAGGCTCTTCGAATGCTCTTGCTGGATGGTGGCTTAAAAATACGGCGCACGGTCCCCGACTGAAAATAAATGTAAATAACATAACTTGGAAAAGTGGAAGTGGATTTGAAGGTATCCCTCTGTCCGTATGTTCTACAGATTGTTCGCCCGGTGAAAGGAAAGTTCCAAAATCGCCATGTTGTTGGGAGTGTGTCAAGTGTCCTCCAGGGACTATAAGTTCCTATGGTGTTTCCTCTAACTGTTCAGAGTGCCCTGAGAGACAAAAACCCAACTACAACAGGACTAAATGCATCGATCTCCCCTTAAACAACTTACAATGGGACAGTGCGTCCTCAATAGCTGTAACCTGCACAGCAGCTTTGGGAGTGGTTTTGACTGTCCTTTTCTTTGTCGTGTTTGCGAAATATCGAAATTCACCAATCGTGAAGGCTTCAAACAAAGAACTGAGCATATTATTGTTAGTTACAGTAGGGCTTTTTTTCGTGCTGGCCTTTCTATATCTCTTTACACCTACAAACACCCTGTGCTGCACTTTGAATGTCTGGCGATACACCATATATACATTGTGCGTGTCAATCCTTCTACTGAAGTCAAGAAAAATCTTCAATGCTTTTAGGTTACGTACATTAGCAAACGTTATGAATTCAAGGCCTCGGCCAAAAAAGAAGGGATTCAGCCTTCTTTTTAGAGGAGAAAGACGACATTTGTTTTTCCTATTGTCTGTGCAACTAACACTGATAGCCAGCTGGATCTCATTCGACCCACCCAAACAAACGGAAATTGTTCGTCAGCCTCATTACGTGTTCGTTGTGTGCAAACCTTTCAGTTCTGCAACTGGTAAAGCTCTCTTCATCATGATCGCAACCAATCTTCTAATCCTGTCGACGGCTTGTATATATTACGCTTTCAGAGGCCGAAAAATTCCAGAGAATTTCAACGAAGCCAGATACATTGGTTTTACAATGTACATCGTGCTATTATCCTCTATCGCTTATTATCCAGTTGAATTTAGCTTGGAGGGTTGGTATGTAGGTGTCATTGGAGGAATAACAACACTAGTGAGTTCCTACGCCCTATTGGCCTGTATGTTTGGACCGAAGATTTATGTCATCTTGTTCACCCCTGAGCAGAACACTCGCGAGGCAATAAGCAGTGAAATTGCAAAATATTCTTTATCAACATCGACTGTAGTAGTGCATAGTGGGCGTGTTGTCCCTAAATCAAACCCTGGTTCAAGTCCTAATACATCCCAAGAACTTTAAAAAACAAGCCCTTTAATATTACATAATAATAAATAAATTTATAAAGCGCTTAAACTATAAATATTCTAAAGCGCTACCTAATTTACAATAATAAAATGCAACATTGAAAGAGAAATGATAAAAAAATCAAATCATTCACTTCTAAAAGCTTTCTCGAACAAGTAGCTTTAAAGAAGTCTTTTAAAACAGTTAATATTTGAAATAAGTCTTAGTTCCCAAGGTAGGGCATTACATAACGATGGACCTGAATGGGCGAAAGCTCGATCTCCAAAGGATTTTACACTTTGTTTTCGGGACTTGCAGCAGTCTCTGATCATAGATCTGATCGTAAAGTATACCTCCCGCAACTTTAGGTTTTAGAAGATCTCTAATGTACACAGGAGCCTTGGCTTCTAACGCCTTCTTAGTTGATTCTTCAGAAAGAAACTTTCTTATTTGCCTGATGCTATGTAGGCCATGAAAAGCTGTAATATAAACTTTGACAACATGAGTATCCATAGACATATAATTGTGAATAATAATAATAATGATAATGAACTTTATTAAAGTCTCTTGTCTGAAAGCTCAGGCACAGCGGCTTATTAATTTGGGAGACCATGCACCCAGATTACGGACACACTCCACAGGTTTCATAACAGAGGTACCGACAGCAATTGACTCAATGGAGACCTTGGATAACTGCTGGTAAGAGCCGATGATAAGAAATTCAGTCTTCTTGTCATTAGTTAATAGCCGATGGGAGATCATCCAAATGCGAACCTCTGCATTACATTCGTCAATCACTTAGAAGGCTTCCCTCTGTGAGTTAGAGGAGTCAGGTTTAAAAGAAAAATATAATTGCGAGTCATCCGCATACGCATGTGCTTCAGGGTGATACTTTGCCAATACTTTAAACAGTCTAGAAGCACTAGGAGAAAAAGAATAGGTTCCAAACAATTGCCTTGGGGAACTTCACAATCCAGATCAAAGGGCTTAGACAGCTGCTGATTAATGAATATTTGTTGTTTCCTGACCGATAAGTACGACTCAAACCACTTTATGGCATCACCACCTATACCATAGTCACTCTCAAGAATATTTAGCAAAGTCCTATGGTCTATGGTGTCCAACGCAGCGCTCAGATCTAATAAGACGAGAAGAGATTTGTACATGAGTTTTTATAATAGGAAAGTAGAATTATAGCTAAAAACGTGTTATCTTTCACAGGAACTGCAAGGAAGGCTACTTACAGTTGTGATTCTTAGATCCTTGATCGAAACAACCGGCGCTTTTATGCTCTTCACTTTTTGTCACAGGCAAAAGAACAACAATACAGGAGGGTGTCAATGGGGTGGTAGCTTTGACGGTTGACGGTAAATTTTTTCCAATTTTGACGGCTGACGGTTAAATTTTAGTGCTTTTGACGGTTGACGGTTATAAGTGGAAAATTTGTCCAAAAGTTGAAGTAAATGTGAACTTCTATATGAATTAATTAATATCAACTGTTTGGTATTTCCGCGGTTGTCTTGGCCTTTCACTTGTAAAATTTTGAAATATTTTCCTATATAAGCAGGTTGTAAACTATCGTAATTTCTAGAAAGAGTGTTTGTGAGAACATGGGAACTGGTTTTTCCAGTTTGGAAATTCTGCAGGAGCCGGAATTCCGTGAAGATCGGCTAAAATAGTAAAGATTTGAAATACTCTGAAACTTTTTGACGGTTAATCGTATCCTGCAGTTTTGACGGTTGACGGTTAATTTTTAGGCCGTTTGACGACTGACGGCAAACCCGGTTGAGAGCTTCATACAGTAACACAGGTATAAGAGAACCTGTGACTTTCTGTTTCCTGGTGTGTTCCTTATATTTAGAACACTCTGTGGGGAATCAGCCTGACCTTCAGAGGTTCTTAAAATTGTTTCGGTAAATGTTGGTTCTGAAACTATTTACTGAAAATTTGCTTAAATTAGCCAATTATTGACTCTTGCAAATCTGTAATGGCGTGGATAAATGTCAGTAACATTTGCTTTAACTTCCTTTCGACATGTGTTGGACTAGATAATGGGACTGTTTAAATAGAACAGCCAGCTTTGTTGAACGTATTGAAAAATGCTAAAAGGTTGTTTAGACAAATTGTAAATAAAAGTTAAACTTCCATTCAACACACTTCAACATCCGTTCAAAGTTCGTCGCAAGATTGCCGTTTGGACAAATGTTGAAACCGTTTTAAGAGAGTTTTCAATGATAGTAACACCGGCAAACCGGACGAGAGATTTTGAGAGACTTGTCAGAGGTTTAGTCAGAGGTAGCCTGCGTAGCAGGCGCTTTCTCTCGTGCGCCCGTTCTTTCTTGTGCCCACTACTTCCGATGTCAGCGGTAACCTAGTAACATACGTGGCACAGGTTTTGCAGGGAAACCGGAAACCTTGAAAAGGATTTGCGATCAGGCGTTTGCAGTTTCAGGTTGCCAGGGTTTAAAATTTTTACCAAGGTGTTCGTTGTTTATTACTGCTACGTTTTCATTCGTTAAGTGGAAGAAAATTAAACTGTACTGAAAGCCTTTCCGTGTCTTGTGTAATTTGTGAACCCCTCGGTCGAGTATCGGTCGACACTATCGACCGCGTGCCGGCCGACTTGTCGACCGATACACCGGTCAACTGAGTGTCGGCTGACCTATCGGCCGACATGTCGATCGAGTATCGGCCGATAGTGTCCACCGATATTCGATCGAGGGGTTCACAAATTACACAAGATCCGCCTTTCCTGTCGTTCAAACGTGAGGGACCGACAAGAAACCGGCAGGGTATTTTACACAACGCAAGTTTCAGGTCAGTTTTCACGGCCGGTGTAATGACCCTATGTGGGACCTGTTTCACTCAGTTTTTTAACCCAAATGGTTCGGCGTTCTGCATTCGGCGAATACAGAACGTCGAATTACTCTGAAGTTTAGTCATGAGGTTTAGGACGCTTGAGTGAATCAGGTTTCAGGTCTGTTTAAGTTTAATGACCCTAAATGGAACCTGATTCACTCGGTTTCCTAACCCTAATCACTAAACTCAGAGACATTCGGCGTTCTGCAAAATACCCCTGCCGACAAGACAGGTGTTATTCTCAGATCAGTATGCCATTTGCCGTTAAGTATGATAAACCTGATGCTAAAGCCGAGTCTCTATTATAGAAATAGGGATCAAGAATGAAATTTTCTTTTGAAAAATTTAGGAACGTGATCTTTAACATTCTAATATTACTGGATAGTACTTTAGAGGTGATCGCAACAAGAGATTCGACCTCTTTAATACCGTTTTCAACTGATTGGAACTACGTCTTTGTCAATGCTAAACCTAACCAAGTCTTAGATTCCTTGTAGTGGATTGCTAAGTCAATTGCAAAAATGTGTAAGTAAAAATGAAAATTTGAAGCAAAAGAAATAAGTGTAGTTGATTGAGTATTTATTTCTTTGTAGTCACAGGTAAGTTGTTCTATTTTCTTTACTGGCTACGCAGGAAGCTGTTCATGGCTGGAACCTTTACTAATTTGTCGAATGTTTCTCATCGTATATATCTTAGTATCGCATTGATTGGTCCCTGTTTTCTAGGCCATTACTATTAGGCTAGCTTCCACGAAAGCAAACAGTTACAGTAATTTTTTTCCCCGCCCGCCCTCTCTTTGGAGGAATTGTGTTGTGTTATGTAACAATTAAAGTTTGGCGGGTCACTCATTGTGGTGCGGTTAAGTCTACGTTGCGATTTCCCCCAAGCTTTTGGCATTACTTGTGTCTTGCCTTCTTATTCCTTTGCCTTAATCGTGTCCGAACCAGCTCGTACGGCGCTCGGGAGGTAGGGAAGGCTCTGCCAATATTCTTGTCCTACACCACTGGTAGTGGGGCGATAAGTGAGGCTTGTGTTATTTTGTGCGCATAACCTGAAGTTGCTAAGTGACAGCAGGAAAACGAAAAAGGAGTAACAAAAGCAACAAGGATTGTGGTTGCCAAGGTACTGCAAAGTATGGAATGACTGAGGCATTTTTAGACTAACTTCGAAATGATGGGTGTCAACCTCGTTCGCATGGCTGGAAAATATCTGGGAACGATGTTACAACGCTTAAGTCATTTCTTTCTTCTTTTTCATGTCGGGGTCGACAGAGTTTACTTTTTCTTCGAATTTCTTGCAAAAGGAACCAGCCAAGTCAAACAGCAACTTGCAAATTTCCAGCAGAGTCAAAAGAGATACTCCTGCGAAAAGTCCCAATGAACCTCCGATGTTGCTGATGAGATCTTTAAACTAAGAAAATAAAGTACAAAAATAAATTTACTGATGAATCAATATTCCATGATATTCGTACACCGCAAAGTGCTGTCTGTCTATTCCAATACTATACGCTTCATTATTTCTAAATAAAAAGTTTACTTTAAGACTCAAACCCCAAATATAGACAAAGGAGCTGTGCCAACGAGCCAGTTCAGTTTCAGTTTATTGTTTTGCCATTAAGAGACACAGGCACGGAGAAGTTCTAAACATTTTAAGGCTAATGGCGGGGAAGCCCAAGGGAACCACCGGGCTTTTAAGGAATGGGCTCCCTCAAGGTGACCCAAACGGATGGTAGTCAGCCCCGGGGGGCAGGACTCCGCATGTGAAAGGGGTGGGGATGCTCGTCGGAAATTTTGAATTAAACCCCTAAAAGAGACCGATCCGAGCGTGACCCAAGCTTTCTTTGACCCCTAAAAGAGACCATATTAAAACACAGACAATACATATATTTTTATATTTTCACGTGCAACCCTAAACGAGACCTTCACGGCTAAATATGATGGCATTTTGCCCAGAACACCCCAAGTGAGACCAAAATCCGAAATTTACACCCCTAAGCGAGACGACGAGCATCCCCACCCCTTTTATATGCGGAGTCCCCCTCAGGTACTCAGCCCGGTTTCAGCGGGATGAAACACCTTGGGTCAGCTGCTTTAACCATTGACGTCGGATCCCAGTCAAACTCTTTATTTTAACATCAGACGTTACAGTTACGTTACGTTGTCTGGCCCCTGAAGTGTCAATAGTCGTCCTCGTCGAAATTGAAAATCAGCTTGTCACAGGATTATTCCCAACAGTAATACTTTTTCAAAGACAGGTTTCGAATTTTGAAAGTTCATACCTGACTCAGAGGCTGGGGGTTATAAATCAAAAGAAATCGCATTGAGATCCAGTGATAAATCGATCATTGACATGTTTTGTTTCACATTGAACTCTATTTTAACGGACACCTAGAGTTTGTCCCGACCTTTCTCTGCTCCCTTTATTTGACTCTCCATAAGACGGACATCACTCGTAGACGGACATTATGTGCCGGCCCTAAAAGTGTCCTCTTTAGAGAGAGTGGACACTATCCCCCTCAGCCACTGAGCCAAGCATAAATTTTTATAATTCAAATCTGGCCTTTTGAACTTTGTAAAACTTGTGGATACAATCTTCATTCACCTCGTATCTTGGCACTTGTTGGATGATCTCTGTTGTCATGCTCTTGTAGTAAACGTCAACCCGCGCCAAATTTCTTCTGTTAAGGAAAAACAATTTGTTAGAGACTGAACAAAGCCATTTCTTGTATCAGATCGGTATTTATTTCTTAGTTTTCGGCTTGGTGTTCATTAGCCTAAGCTCAGAGGTTCATTAATCTTGGCCGCCATGCGCATGCGCTAAAGCAGTTGCCTCCTCTTCTATTTTGACCCGTCAACCTCTTCCTTAAAATCATTTTTTGACTCGCCCCAACTCTCCGTCAGTTTCAACGTCCAACATGGTGGGAGAACAGTATCACAAGAGTATCATCGTTCGCACTGCAAAATACGACTGATTTGCAGGTTAGTGTTCATCCTTATCTAAAAGACAGGAAAGAAGACCTGAATGAAGAGGAAAAGGAAACTGAGCTATTGTTATCATACCTGGCTTGTGTTATATCACTCACTGTATTAAAGGCTCTATTGCCCAATCTTTCCAGCAGATGCGACTTCTAATAAATTATAAAAAAAACCAAAAAAAAATGCTGATGATTTACTCAAAAGTATTGCGACATCTTACATGTATCACGGCCTGTTTATGAGATTCCACATCGAAGGGTGGCTAGATTAACTCACTAAACTGTTTTCAGTATTCTCGCGAGCATCATATGGGACATGTAACGTATACAAGGCTTGGAGGTGCGCAAGGGATGACGCCCGTAGGAAAGGTACGCAGGGAAAGAAAAAGTAAGTAGCCCCCTCCCTTAGCCTGCGAAAACAGCCGTTTCCCCTTCTCAGCCGCGAGGAGTGAGGAGAAACGGCTGTTTTCGGAGACTACCCCTTCCTAGGATCAGTCCATAGCCGTGGGTGTCTAGATGCGCCCGCGTTACTGCCCACTCATGGTGGGTGGGGGGTACCGTCGTAAGCCTATCCCCTTCCCTCCTGCCTCGGTTGGACGTTATAAAAGATAAGAGAGGCTGTTTAACCCTTTAAACCCGAAGATCAAAATTTGAATTTTCAATTGTTGCCCCTAGTCATTTCCTATAGAAGTAGTGGGGAGAAGTTGATAAAATATCAAGCAAATTCATCTTGTGTGATCATGTCGGTAATTCTAATAGCCACTCTGTTTTACAAGGAATTGATATTACAAGGAGAAATTCGATGCTGATCACTCTTAGGGCTTAAAGGGTTAAAGATAAATCAGCTCACCAGGTATCCTTCAGTCGGCCATATTGCAGAGGAGACAGTAGCAGGATACTCGATTAACCTAAAAAGAATCAACTACAAGACGTATGAGAGCCAAGTTTCAGATCTTTCCGGATTGAAAAGTTCACTTTACCTTGCACTTAAGCTACAGATTGAGTAGCCTGAAAAGCAGGCTTTCAAAGGGCGTTGGGAATTATTAAAGGAGAAAGAGGGACATCGTGTGATGGGAAGGTTCCCTTTTTTCTTCCTCGTACACCCGATTTATTTCGCCCTTTCCCTGGGTTGATTGCCAGACAGGCTTCATGTTGAGTAGCCCTGAAAAACCAGCCGTCATTTCACGAGCCACCAATGAGGATCCCCAGTGAGGTTTTCGGGATCCGGGATTTGAAAGCAAAATCGGGGCGAGATTCGGGATTAAAAGTATGCGCGCGAGGTGGGATGGCAAATATTACCCTCGGGATTACGGGATTGGCACATCAGATTTTGGGTCGGGATTACTGGATTAAAGAACCCTATTGGAGATTTCCCGCGAAATGAAACATCAGGAACGATTGCAGAAATTCCATACTGATAACGTGATACAACCCAGATCATTTATGTCAAAAATGGTATATAAAAGGGTATAAGGTTGGCAGATAGATATGAACTGTAAAGGACCGCAAACGAATATGCCGCAGAACGTAGGATCTAACTGAAGATCTGATCAGCCAAATTATTCAAAGTAGACACAATGACTTGTGCAAAATTTATCGTACTACGTGAAAATTGCCCTCCCGGAAACACGTAATATGGCGTGATTCTGTGGGTGTTGGAGTTCAATGTCAGGGTTTAAATCAAATTATGAGTTTTGTTTATAACGCCATCCTGACGTGCCACAATAATGGCGGAACAGCTGTCGACGACTACAACCCCGCTCTATTTTGGGTCCTTTTGGTGTCGTGTTGATGTATTGCAAAGTTAATTTTCACGTAGTACGATCAGCTTTACAGAATTCAACGTGTCTATAAGGTTGGCCCTAGAGGCGGAGCCTTCCGTACAAATATAGGTTGAGAACCTCCCCCGGAGCCGTGATTTGGAGCCTTTTATCTAAGAATATGATACTTAGTGTAACCGTTACTATTGTGAGGAACAAATTTGTGGGTGCATCTGTCAGAAAGAGTGCATGACTAGTAACTGGTAATATGTTCATATCGGAGCTTTGGTTTCGCATTGACTTGCCTGCAGTCTTGAGGACAGTTGCATGGAATGTTTCCCAACCTAATTTCGCGACTCACTTCTTTGGCACATCGTACTTGATATATGAAAAGACAATGCATTTGTTAATAACCAACAAAGGTTTTACAGTGATTCTCACAAAAAATGTACTCCTTATCAAAAGACCCTTATAATTAAATGAATGCTATGCTTTTTAAAGGTGAAAGAAACGGGAATTGTAGTATTTTGAATTTTAAACATAACGAACGAATGAATTGATGACCCTGGAAAATAGAGGATATTACGTGGCAACTTGGAGAGACGAAATTCCTCTTCGAATGTTGAAAAACATTTCACCATTTCACGAATGAGCGCATCGGGTGTCGGCTGATGATGCCTAAATACACAACATTCTATTTTTGAAGATGAGAAGAGAATTTCGTATCTCCAAGCGGCCGTGTAATGATCTAATCATTATATAAACACCAATGAAATTCCAAGTCTTTTAACTCATATCTCTTCACGCTTGAAGATAACAAGCTGGATGAAATGTTGTTTTCACATGTGAACATATCATGTTTTCGCCGAAACCTCACTTGGTAATTCATTCGTGGTTATATAATGAAAACCTTTATTATGTTAGTCCTGCAAGACGGGAAATACAAGAGCCTAGAACTTATCGTGCTTTCAGTGTTGAGGGCGGGCAAACCTAGTCAGGTGTTACAACCATGCGGAGACTGTGTATTCAAACAACGCAAATGGTTGGAATTAATAGAGAAGTGAAGAGTATTACTTCAGTCGGTAACCAATAAGAGAGACGGAGTGACTCCCGCGCAACCTACTTCAGCCAATCATAGGCTAAGAAATTTTTGACTTTGTCAGAGTTCTTTCGCAAGTTACCCAGAAGCCTTTGTTACTGTGGGGAACTGGGACTCAGCATGACGTCAGTATCACGTGTTCTCGTTTTGGAAAATTCCATCCCCCCTCACGAAATTTTGACGAAGATTCTGAATGTTTTCTGCTGTTGTCTTTGATTATTATTCCGAGAAGCTGATGTATTGCTAGTCTGAAGGTTTTGAATTATAATCTTAAAGATCATCTTAAGTAAGTCTACGATTGTGTTTGTTCTATTCAGTTACAGTCAATAAAAGATTTCGGAACGTTTCGGGAGCTGTCTTTTACGGCTCCCAGGGAATATTTTGTTCAATTTTGTGACATCTGATTGGTACTTTAGCTGGTGTTTCGATTGAAAATAACGCATGAGCATGATCATTTTCATATAGATTTTAGTGTCGAGGAAACAAACATAAGAAAAAAAAAACAGCGAGAGCAACGTACCTTGAACTGAATCAAATGGATCACAATTTGGCGTAATGGGATAAGCCACTCCGGAGCATCCACAATCTCTCAACTGATTGTTGGCAACACAGGACTTTTTACAGGCCTAAGATCGTGAACAAAAGGACTTTCTGCAGGCTATTCCATCAAAGTGCAGTTATTGTACCTTAGAATGCTGTAGTAAGGAAGATTCTGACTTTGAAACCCACAGTTCCGCGAAATCTTTTGAGCAATGACACAACCGCAGCCTCTTCTTAACGCGTGCTTTTTTTCTCCCTGTTTGCTGTTCTCAGTAGCATTTCAAAGGAACTTTATCACGAAGAAATACTTAAAAAATATCAGCCCAAAATATTAAAAGAATGTATAAAAAAAAGCAAATACAAAGGGAGGAACGGCTGGATAAACTTGAAGAAAATTGATACGGAATGGAATCGAGGTTTTTGAAACCTTTTTAGCCTAAAAGTTTTTCAAAGTTCTTTTTAGTTCCTGTATCTTTTGATCTAATGCTAGTGGAACAATTTTGTTTCACATGAAACAGTGGATTTGCCATTTACAAGTAAATTCTTTGCTAACACAAAGTTCCATTGGGATAAGGACGTGTAATTGCAAATATTAACAAAATAAATTAGACAGACGTGACACAACCCCTTTAAAGTCTCACTAAAAGAACAGAGCTCTTTTTATCATTCCAAATGCGCTCGCAGCCTATCATGTTGTCTGCTTGTTACTATACGTGGCACATGCTTCGTAACCTTAGGCAACAACTTCGTTTGCGGAAGTGTTAATCGATCGAAAAGATCACAACTATTAAACAACGATAGCCCGAGAGCAAGCTCTCCGGTACGCTCTAGCGGCGGGGCGGGAACTTAGAGCGCCCCGGAGAGCTTGCTCGCAGGCTAAAACAACGACAAAAACAACAACAACATGACTTGCCATTTCCGAGTAACTTCTGTTTACGTAGATAATGTCTCCGCCTTTACTGCAAGATGTTCCCTCATATGGCTTGTCTAGTCGACTAACAATTCTCTGTATAGATAAGCAGGCAGTGTTTGCTCATTAGATCTATGCGTTCAAGGAAAATCCATCAGTTTTTCAAGTACAGCCAATAGGATTTCATATTCCAGTGAAAGCTAACCCTCGGAAACCCAGGGGCAAAATCATCTCAAAGTTTACAAGAAGAACGGTAGTGACCCTGGGCATTTTACATGTAAATGGTTCAGACCAGTTTAAGATTCTGACAAACTGGCCACCTACCCCTCCTTAATTAAGTGACGAGTAAGTAGGTCAGGGGAGGGGTATAAGGAAAGTTTCCCTCATACTCAACTTCAATGTCTCCTGAACTGGTTCAGCCACTTTCAGTGAGAAAATACCGAGGAAACCCTAGAAATTACATTTCAGCCGTACATGCGACCTGATTTCGCAACACCACTCCTGGTTTTCCCGCGAAATGACGACTGAAGAGCGAGCAGAGAAATTCCATACTGATGGTATGTCACTGCCCACTTCAGGGTAGTGCCCAAGTGGGGGAAGACCCCCCCCCCCGGGTTAATGGTAAGGCACCCGGGTAGGGTCTCTGTTGAACCACCTTAGCTACTTCTGGGTATCTAAAGATGATGGAAGATCAATGAAGGAGGCATTTGGGTTGTATTTTTAATTGAGAAGGGGGAAAATTGAAATCATAAAAAATAGGGTAGAAAAAGTCATAGCGGAGCCCCATAGCTAAGGAAATTTGGAACACACGTAATAGTACGTCCGCCCGACTGTCCGTCCGTCCGTACCATAGAGAAACAATGTGAAATGACGCACTTTGATTTCTAGCTAGTGTGGTAGCCTGCAACCTGAATTTTCGTCAATTGACAGCTGTTAAAACAGGGTATCCGCTGACCAGTATCACATAACTGTATCGCGGGCTCAGGTGCCGACACATCGAGTTTACTAGGGGTAACGAATGGTCCATTAAAATTTTTAACTGCTCGCAAAATTTTACCTTTGGTCGATTTGCTCGCAAAATTTAAACGAGTGCTCGCTTGCTCGTGCTCCCCAAATTTTTGCGTTGCTCGCAAGCTCACAAAGCAAATTTTTTATTTCTGTTCGTGCTCGCAAAAAATCGCAGTGCTCGGCATGCTCGCGAATGCTCGCAAAGACCATTCGTCACCCCCTTTACTGCTCACAAGTCGCTGGTTTTCAACTGATTGCAGGCTCAACTCCAAGTTGATTTCTTTGCAATGTTTTTCATTGACGGGAGCTTCGTCTTTAGCCTTGGCTAAATCTACATATTACACATATAGAATAATCTTTGTCGTAAAGGTGATACTTGCAAGGTAAACTTTGTCCTTGATGTGGCTAAAATGATGTTGACGCGGATTGATGAGGCCTGCGAGAAACTTTGGGAAACTCACTTTTGTGAAACCAATGTTTGTAGCTTGCCCTGGTGCAAGGAGGTACCCATTCTCCTCCGGAAAGTGCATCTCCATTGTGCTCGTAACGTCCACTACAGCTCCGTATGACTCTGAAAAATCTTCATAGTAATCATCCGCTTCAATGTTTAGGACTAGAGATAATCCTGATGCAAGATAACAAAAAAAAACATTTTTAAAGGCCAGCTGGTCGCCTAGGAACATCTAAAAGACATTTGACTCAACAGAAATTAAAAGGTGTGGCGGTGAGATCCAGCCTTCGAATGTGAGCTAGAGAAATCAGTCTTTTGAAGACTACTGAAAAAGCATCTTCATTTAGTTTTCAAGGAGTTTTGTAATTATTATAGCTGGATGGGCACAGATACGGAGCCTCAAGTGTGTCTAAAAATAATTGACTTAGTCTTGGGGTTGTTCATCTCCGGGAAATGTTCTCCTGACAGCACCAGGGCTAGCTCCTAAGTGTCTTGTGATATTGCAGCTTTGATGAAGAGCTTACCATTTTCACTTCCCGGTGCCGTGACGTTAGTTTCGACTTTCCTTTCATTAAACACATAACAGTTACCAAACACGTAGTTGTAGAAGTATGTGAAGTTCCTAAAGAAGACAAAATAAAAGCTAGGTAGTTCGATCTAGAAAAGACAGACTGTTCAAAATACAGATTCCCTTCACTTTTAATTTTTTTAGTTTGTTAGTAGAAGACAAGAGATCACAAGATATTTAAAATTAATTGTCCAAATTGTCATGGGCAACTTTAACACCTAACTTCTGCAGAGCTGCAAAAGGTTTCAATCTATACCAGAATGAGCGTGATTCAGGCGACTCAGTCAAACAGGCCAGAGAAAAAACAACAACGGCAAAAAACAAACATGTTAAGTTGACCACAAGGTTCCAGTGAAAATACTCTTCCACAAGGAGATCAATGACGACGTAAGGACGGCTTTGTAAACGTTGAGATTAATTTAATGATGCTTATGTCCTGTTACACTCTTTAGTACTTTATTTGTTTAAATTAAGGTGTACTTTTGACGTAAATTATAACATGAACCCTTAATACAGACACCTCGTTATTACGGACATTTTCTTTACCGTCAGTTTCGGACACTTTCCATACCCCCACTGTCTGTATTAACGGGGTTTGATCGTACAAGGGACAAGGATCCACATGGGTGTCCACGGGTTGGACAGTCAGTCAGTCTGTCATTCAGTTAATCCACGGAAGTACTGGGCACAAGAAAAAACGGGCGTGCGAGAAGGAGACACGCGAGGGGAGAGAGAGCTCCCTCACCCCTCGCGTGTCTCCCTCGCTCGCGCCCGTTCTCTCTTTCGCCCACTACTTCCAAGCGCCTGCTACGCAGGCTACCATGGGCGTGTCGACAATTTCAGCGGAGTTAAGAATCACATGGCAAGCATAGTTACTGTACTAACTGTGGTCCACAAGCTTCTCCATTCCATTCACAGTCCAGTATAAGATCCTCAACTTGGTGTCCGATGGACTTTTGAAGTGTTCTATTCATCGTTGCCAGTAGTGCGTGTTTGTAAGAATTGATGAGCTTCCTACGTGTTCCTGCATCAAACAAAACCATAGAAGTATTTTTAAACAACTGAACTAATTTTACCCATATGGCATTTTACAGTATAAAAGATAAGCGATGAAATATGACTTTTTTGCATATAGCAAACTCAATTTTTAAAATTTGAAGCCTTTTCATCTAAAAATTGAAAGCCTTGGCTATACTGGCACTATGGAAACAAAGACAAAAACAAAAACAAAGTTAGTTCTAGTGTAAATCAGAACAACACAACAGAACAGAAACTTTGTTTCCATACTGCGTTGTTTGTTCACAATGAAGGTGAAAAGTTGAAGGGGAAAATCAAGGTGCGAACTTTGCTGTTGTCAAAGTCAAAAAGTAAGCCTTATAATCATCCTTTCAAAAAACTAAATGAACTACGCTCAGGCCCAATCGTTGTGCTATCGTTGTTCCTAACTCAGTACAACTGAGTTCGTCTTTGGCTCGACATTTGTTCAAAAGTCGGACTTTATTGCAACAGGATGTGGGAAGATGAACATGTAAAAAAACTGTATATACTGAGTAGTATAGTAGGAATCTTTTACTCCGATTTTTGCTCCGGGGATTATATTACACTGTAACACCTTTTGTGTTTTGTCGCAGGTGGATCAAATTGAAGGAGGATGATAACCTAATCTAAGTTTCGTTGTCTTTAATATAACAGTTTTAACAAGGTTTAACAAGATTGGATTGATTATGTCACCATTTTGATTGGTAGACTTTGGAGGAACGTTCATTTGTTGATTAAGTTTAACAACGGAAAAAGCGCCAACTCACATCTCACCTAACACCACTTAAACGTAACGCAAATATGCAAGTTTTATCTCCTGTCACCACCACCGTCACCACATTTAGATTGTTTTCGCTCGTCTATTGTTAAAAACTGCCACATGAGCACCTGGAAATGAGGAGGAGGTGGATGGAATGGAATTGTGGTGATGGTGGTGCAGGGAATTGATCAGGGGCACCCAACGAGAATATAGTTCAAAACCACTTAAACATAGCATTGTTAAACGTATTTTAGTATTTAAACGGTAAATATAGGCATATTTTTATCCCCTAAAAGTTTTTTATCTGTTCAGATTTCCTAGCTAAAAGCCTAGTGATCCGAAAATTATAGGGATCAAAACTTACCTTTTCGAAAATTTCAGCCAGAAAAAAGGCTACGGAAAATTCTAGGTGATCTTTTAAGGGTAAAAATCCGTTAAAAATGGGCAATTATAGTAGTTTTTAGATGTTCGAAAATCCTAGGAGAGGCAGGCAAGCAAGAAATTTTACAACAAATGTTCCGAAAATTCTAGATCTCAAATCGTCTTCCAAACAGATATTTTCCGAAAATTGTCGTTGGGTGCCCCTGGAAATTCTGAAAATGTTAGAAACGCGGTTGTGGTGAAGGTAAGACAATAGGGAACTTAAGCCACAACGACGGCGAGGGCTACGAAAACGTCACTTAAAAAGTGCATTAACGCTGCCTCAAACTTTATCGCGCTTACTCCATCTCGTTTAGTTCGTTAAATGTTGGCAAGTTTTTCTATAACTGAATTCTAAAAGACTGTATCAAAGTTCAGGAAAAGAAAAAGAAAGTTGTTGTCTTGTGTTCCCGTCCTCGACAAGACGTGAAATTAGGAATTTTCACGTCGTAGTCGTGCAACGACGGCAAAGAAATGTGCAAAAAAGGGTAATGCACGTGAGCAGTTGTTGTTTTGCCAATCTAAACCCATTGCTTTTTCGCCGTTCTCCTTGCCGTCACCGTCGCCGTTGCTTAAGCTCGCTATTAGCTCTGTGAAGGTGGAAGTGAAAGAGCAGAAAAATGCGGAGGCGGAGGTGGTGAAACCGATCATACTAGACACACTCAAAAATAATGCTTCATTCTACTTTGTAAAGATTCCCTGTGTTTTGTTCATGAGGTAAAGACAAAAGGCTGTGACGTCACCGATGTTTATGTTTTCCACTGCAAAAATGGAGTTAAACAACTGTACTATACAACTCATACTGACGTCTGTGAACAGGACAAATAGTCATGCACCCGCAAAGAATGTCCACCTAATCAGAAACGTTTTTATCATGGTGTCATCTGGTCACAATTATCCGAAGCCTTTATTTGAAGAGGAAACAATCGCTCAAATAATGTATGAGGGGGGAGTGGGGGGGGACAATTTTCGTAATGTGGCTGCGAAATTTAGCCCCACACTTCCTTTACCGGTGAGGAACTTTTGGTCAAATCTGTTGGTGGTAGATTTTACTTCTCTAGAAGATGTTTTCCTCGAAATACTGATTTATTGAGTGGGTGAGGAAGAAAGCTCTGTGCATGCTTTGCAAACTCAGTCAAACGTGCTTACCGTTCAGGTGGAGATTTTCAATCATATCCAGAATTGCTACCTGCAGATAACCAGAAAATTTCAATTAGTGCGATAAAAAAGAAAATTATTATTAATTGTATTTATAACAATTTTATTGTATTAAAGACTTGTAAAGAGAAAGCTAAAGACGAAAAAGCCGGAGCAACCCTTTTTAAATTATAGCCTGTTGTAGGCGTTCAGATAGATAGTAGAGCTCGGCGCTCAGATGGTGAGGAGCGAGAGAACTTATACGCTGGGAAAACGAGGGGAAGAAACGAGGGGAGATTCCCACCGTTTTTTCCCCGTCAATTTTTCGCCCCTACGATTTAACTCCCTCCCCATCACCTGAAGGTCGCGCTCTACTATCTGAACGCCTGGAACAGACTACAATTTATGAAGCTCTAGGCTAAATAGAAATCAGGTTGGGCTATTTACGTCGCCATTGTATAAGTATAGGTAATAGCATGATTTGTAATGATATTTGACATAAATACCACGATTTCACGGGCCGTTAGGCGAGTGAAATTTGAGACAATTTTGAAATATCATTAGTGGTATTTTTGCCAAATATCACAAACAAATCATGCTATTATTTGTTTATACTACTACCCGCAAAAGGTTTGTAATTTTCACATGTAGGTATTTCAAATTAAGCTGAAATACCACTGCTCTAAGCCAATCAAACTGCAGAAATTTCTCGAGTAGTAGTATAATGTGTATAATACACAAGAGTTGGAAAGTTTGGAGCAAAGGCCCTTTCTATCTTGCTCAGGTTTCGATGCACCTGCGCAGTGGGCCTTACCATGTATAATGAACCGAGACTGCTTCCTATATTTAGCCCGGCCAGCTGCTGTGGAAGAGTACAGCGTTCAGCTGAGAAAACATCTTTCTGCTACTCAGTCCGGACAAAACGGGTAAAATGAAGTAGGAAATAAGATATACCAAGACATGCTTTCATATATGCTAACTCTCCCAGTTAAGGCGTAAGTTTGATACAGAAGCGAATATTTCGTTCGAATCGCTCGAATTTCACATTGCAATCCTTTGAAACTTCTGTCGTTGTCGAGTACTGTTGGGCAACGGGTCACAACGTAACAGCAACCTAATGTAAAAGAACTATCCGACGAAAATAACACCATCAAGCGCTGCAGTCAAGAAGGCCATTGGTATTAAACAAAGAAACTCTCTCTCTCTGAATAGAGACGAGGGACTGGACCTACCGGCCATTTACATTCCTCTCCTGGGAATACGTAACAACTTTTCTGTTACGTAACCTGACACTTGGCAACGATGATACGAATGAAATATTCATTTTTGTCTCAAATCTTGCTCTGAATCTTGAAAATTGTACACGTACACTAAATTGATTCTGTAATTTCAAAGGCAAACTCGGTTTTGATACTATACTATGACATCATCTTATTCCAAAACCTTCGTTTTCGTTCGTCAACACGTAAACGAAAGGCCGGCGTCTTTACAAATCTCCACTCTGAAGAACGTTTTTGAAGAGATACGTTTTCGGTGACCGCCGGTGGACGGTGGGCAAAACCGAAGAAAAAACTCTCCGTTTTCGGTCAAAAACGTCTACCTGTTGACGGGGTCTAAAAGAGAAAGTCGAAATAGGCTGAACCGAATGCTAAGTTAAATTATGAAATGGATGCTACCTGCTACTACCATTAACTTACCGTTCCGTTATCATCCATGACTTTCTTTAATGCTGACTTTTTTATACTGTTCATGTTACAAACCACAACAGCGGGGAAAGGTTGAGAGTTGGTATATTTCAGCTCAACTTTAACATCAACTGGGAACGTTAAGTATTCGGACACGAGACTTATTCCCTGGTAGGTCATAGACACCACAGCTGTTAGTAAACATGTCGACCAAAGTATTCTTTCTAATCTTGAAGTTGAAGAGGCGATCCTCCCTAATCCGTGTGCAGTCGTTTCGGTGCAGAATTCTCGAAGCTTTTTCGCCACATTGCTACTCTTGTTCGGTGTTTTAAATTCGTCTGCTTCTTCACCCATATTTGTGTGCTTAAAATGAGAACAAATGAAACGATCAGTGCGAGGAGAAATTTCTAAACAATAAACTCATTAGGGGCTAGTAGAGTTAATTCAAAAATACAGAAATTAAAGCAGAAAGTAACAAAAATCGTATTAAATTTATGGTCTCAAACCTTCGATGTACAAGTTCGTGTAATGGTAACCCAATCTTATTGTGTCTGTTACTATCTTAGGCTATCTTACCACTCAGAGGAAGAAAAATTCAATGACATAACTTTTTGCTCTCTTTTGAATTTGAGATCGCTATCACTCTAACAAATAGAGCTCATTTTGACTTAGATCCAGCATAACACAAAAGTTGATTTGCCACAAGGCAAACATCGTCTTTCTTTTGTTTTATGACAAATCAGGCGCACCTCACTGTGATTGCATCGCCTATTGTTAGAATAAGATGTTTACAAAACGGCCCCACATTTCAGTCAATAACATGGTAAATTAAAACAACATTTGGTCATTAGATTGAAAAACAACATTTCCTCTATCCCCTCTGCTTACCGAAACTTTCTTAAAAGCTTATAACTGTTTTCACATGTTCGAAGGATTAGGTTTTGATTTCTTTTCAACAAGATCCTCGCCTATAAACTTTTAACAAGGAGAATGGTTTGCTTTTTGATAAATCTCAATTAAAAAATTTCTCTAGTTCGGGATCGCTTTGAGGGAAATCTTAGTTTATTTGTTCAAGATCTTTAGATTACTCTGCGCAGCTTGACGATATGCCAGACTAATAGACTGATCCCAGCCGGCGCGGCTCGTAAAAAACGGCGTGTGCGCGATAATAGTTACAGTATCCGGCGGGCTAAGTATAGTATTCCTGTTCTAGGAGAATACTGTATATTATAAAATCATTCTATATTCTTGCTCCGTTAGGACAGCGACGGCGAAGGCACCGAAAATTGCCGTCACTGCCGATTACAAAGTGAAACTTCACGATACGACGTTTTACGGGGGAAGCAAACACAGGAAGGCACAATTTTCTCTCCTTGTTTGAACTCGGACGCGGTGGTTATAACGATCCTTTTCCAGGAAAATTTGCCAGTTTTGAAAAATTAGGTTGGAAGAATCGCTGTTAATGCTTGAAAGAACGCGAATGTATCTGCTTAAAAAACGAGTTCGTCGTAGTGGTTGCCCCTTGTGCATGTATGTGATTTCATGTTAACTTTTTTATTCTCTAAAAATTCGTACGGCCTCGGAGCAAGTGACATTAAATACATGGAAAAGCATGTTATGATGTGAAACTACGAACAGAGTAATATCTTTCAAAAACACTTTGCTCTGTGCTGCCTCGTGCAGTGGTCATTTGTTGTCTTGATTGTCAATGCAGTACAGCATAGGTAAGCCAAATTTTCTCCTTGGGTGTTTTGTGTTGATAAATTAATACTTCGTACGCTTAGTTGCTTAGGTGTTTGCGAATAACAGACCTTTAAGTGATTCTAGGAAAAATATGGTGTTAATTCTACGCAAAAGTATTGACTTACTTGCTGTGGGTTAGAGGGTAGAATGCATCTGGACCTTGCCAATTTTTTTTCCGTAAACGGGACTTCCCCGTCTTAAGCTAAATTTGAAGTTTTTCTTGACATATCACTTTGACAAAATCAACAAAGCGATTTTAAAACAAACTCTTCTTTTTAATTATGATTAGTTTAAAAACTCTTCTGGTAAGCTTCTTTTAGTTTTTTGTTTATGCAGTGTAAAGTTTTCTCCTCTGTTGTGCTTCCCTTTTATCTATACAATTTAAAGTTTCACAAAATTATTTTAATAGCGCTTGGCAATTTGAAATCTCCCTTCGGCGGGTAGAGAAGAAATTAAAACCGGGCAAATTAATAATGTTTCAAATGTCACCGGATGCCTTTTTAGTTCATTTATTACATACACAACAGGCCACAGAAAGGAAACAGGTGTTTTGTGAAAGAAACAGGTTCGTGACAGTGCCGTATCCAGACCTGGAGATAAGTAGTAGGGGGCCCGGTCATCCAGACCCTTAGGTAAAGGGGGGGAAGGGTTCGGTCTCCAAAAAATTTTAGTTTGGTCTAAAAATAAGGGGGGGGGGGAAGGACCCTGGGCCCCTTCCCTGGATCCGTCACTGAGTGATAACTGATATATAGCCCAAAGGGAAAGAACAACCAAAGGAAATTTCCCCTCAAGGATCACAAGACTCTATACATCCCTCATTTGCAGTGCAGTATGTCAGTTTACGCTTTTTTTGTAAACGTTGTAGCGTTCTACAAATAACTAACCGCTGTTCTAAAAAAACGAAGATTTCTAAGCGGCATCTTCCCAGGCCTTCTCAGCCAAAGAATTTCTATGACGTACAGACGTAAACGGGACAAACGGCTTTACTCTTCCTCGAACCACGTGACCCGAGACGGATAGGCCGTGTGGCTTAATGGTGGCTTGGCACTAGGGAGATCCGACGAATTTACGGCCTTCCTAGAGGCTACGGGCTTCTGACCAAAGTGCAGGAGGAATCTAGCATACTGAAATTGTCACTAAAGTAAAAACAAGTGAACAGATGCTAGTAATCGTGGACCCTGTAAAAGCTGTTTGTGACCAAATCAAGCGAAAATGATTTTGTCGGCAATAAAACACAAAGCATCCCAACCTGAATCCGAAAACGATTTATGCCAGTAGAACACCATTAAGCATAAAAGTCGAAGGAGTCAAATAATTGTAGGAGAAAGAGCCTTTTTCTCCCCCCTGGTACCTCTTAGCCTGAAAAGGATGTGATGCGATGTCATGTGATGGGGATGGGATGGAATGTGATGTTATGTGATCGGATGGGATGTGATGGGATGTGATAGAATGTGATGGGATCTGATGTCATGTGATGGGATGGGATGTGAAGTGATGAGATGTGATGAGATGTGGCGTGGTGTGCTGTGATGTGATTGGGATGGGATGAAATGTGATGCAATAAGGTGGAATGCGCTGTGATAAGATGTGATGTGATGTGATATGGAATGTGATGGGATGGGATTGGATGTGATGTGATGTGAATTGACGTTATGTACTCCGGATTTCAAGTGACGGGAATAATCGCGAAGGATTTTCTTGGGTTTGAAATTGTCGATTCCGTGATGTTTTGGGTTGGAAAATTTGGCAAGTAGTTCTTTTGGTGGCTTGATTTAAGTAGACATTTTTTCGGGTATTCAAAACAATCTGAAAAATTCGTAGTAGTTCCCGCGAAGAGTTGTTATATTATGACTACCACTGAGATGCTGAAAAGATAACTTCCGATAGTATGATGTCAATAAACAAACACAAACATTCAATTTCTAATGTTTTTATTTTCCATGTTATATCATAGCCTGCGAAAACATCCGTTTCTCCTCGCTCTTCGTCGCTGAGAACGTTTCCGCGCGAAACGTCCTCAGCGACGAAGAGCGAGGAGAAACGGATGTTTTCGCAGGCTAGTTATATCATTTAATGCTTTATGGAAATTTTTAAGGCTCAAAAATTCGGCATGAGAGTTTTTTTGGGTTTTTGGCCCAGGGATTTATTTTGGGTTTTGATGTTTGCCCTCATTCGACCACTCCTCCCGGGAACCGACCAAACCCTATGGTATAATATGATAAGGTGCGTCTATTCGAGCTATTTTTTAAATGCATAGCTAATAAATGACAGATTTCTCTCCTCTACCCTCTCACCGTCCTTCAACTGATGAGATCCCTCCTCCTATACAAAATGAAGTTAACTAATCATTTATGCACCCCTGCCTATGTTTCCACTTAATGATAAAAGAAATCGTTTCAAGTAAAACAACAATAACGAAAAATGCCTTAGACGATTATTGCAATTGACCGCAGTAAAATTTAGCCTCTTCTGCCTTGTCTCGAAGGCTATAATGCAACTTTGCTTCTGGGCTGCGCGCGTTAAGGGAAGAATGCAGTAGCCTCTTCTGTCTCCGTTTTTCGGCAAGATATCACTAGGGAGACTGGGGACGAGACATCTTGTTCGTAAACGTAACTAAAAGCAGCGTGCACGCGTTTCTATAAAACAAAAATTGATTTGTAAGCATGTAGTTTTATTGGCGATGATTTTTGTTATTTACCATTACATTTAATACCTATTAGCCCCTAATTAATCTTTTTTCCATCTCTATAAAGAAACGGAATTAGTGATAGGAGACTGTAAGCTTTATTTTCTTGTTTTGTTGTTGTTGCCCCAAGATAATAATTATGCGAACTTATATACTCAGGAGATTTGATCTCTTCGTGCTACGATCAGGAGCAGTTGTGCCAAATTTAGAAAATAATGCCAAAATGATGAAAAAAGTCTCACATGAGTATTGTCCCGTTGGGGCAACAAAACATTCAAGCAAATGAAAATGTTTTTTTGAAAAGGGTGGAGAAGCACTCATCAGGTAGCCATGAGTCGTTTAAGCGTTTTAGTTAACACTGAATCAAGGTGAAACCTCGTCATTCCCTGGGTCTTTCTTCCTTTCCAGTCAGGGATTCTGAAACAAGATTGCCGGCTGAATCTGGATGAATGGGCTCCAAGCACGGAAAAGTGCTTTCTGATGATGTTAAATTTACTACACTAATGAGTCACAAATAACCTTAATGATTTAACGGTAGGAGGTCATAAATACCTGCTGAGAAATAGTACATTCGTCACATATCTTTTGAATGTGGCATCCTAGTACTTATTTATCAAATGTTAAAAGAGATATATCAGTATTGGTGTTTGATGAATTTATTCATTAGCCTCCGCGAAACCCCGTAAATAATGTATTTCTCTTGTTGCTGTTGTTTTTGTTGTTGTTGTTGGGGGGGGGAAATCTGGCCACGAAAGGGACGAAAAATGTTAGGTTGAAAGAGGGCGGGAGCGTTTGCATGTGTCCCCCGCTTCATCTAGTTCAAGAACCAATTCAATTCAATTCAATTCTTTATTCACACTATATAAGATTTTTGTCCTATTATTACCACCGAAGCGTTCTACAGTTCCTATTCGCAGAGTACCCGCCACATTCAGGCGCGGATCTAGGGGGAGGGTGCAGGGGGTGCGCACCCCCCCCCCCGAGATGACCTGCGGTTTTCTAATACAACTGGTGCACCCCCTCCTAAAAAAAATCCTGGATCCTCCCCTGACATTAGAAGAAGCCGGGAAGGCTACAGCAGCAGCTTGCAAAAAGTGTTTTCCCAGTGCTAGGCGAACATTACACTCCTGATCACTTCCTATCTATCCCTTTCTTCTAGAGGTTCTCCAATGTCGGTTCTCGGCTTTTCCTTGTGAATACCAGGAGGTAAACAGCCCACCTCGAAAGGTGTGGCAGTTACAGAATGTGATTCTCGTCTCAGATTAGTTTTTTCGATGCGCGAAAAAAGTATCACAGAGTATTAAAAACCTGTAATCTCTAAGCCCTACATTAGCGTTCACTCCTTAGCAAGCTCTATTCAGCTTTTCGTGCCTATAATATAATCAGTGATCCATGTACATAGGTGTGAGCAGACAAAAGATTTCGCTTCTCAAAGGGGTCACGCATGAAAAAAAGCTGAAAAAAAGTTGCATGCACAAACAACCCGTGGATAAACACTGGCCAAATCTTTTGAACGCAGGCATGGCAATGACTACCACGGAAACTAGGAAAAAATTTACAATGCATTTACGAAAAACTGTTTCACTGAGCCTCCTAACGGAAGCCGGAAGCTTTCATGTGTCTAAAACCACTGGCATATTCTTTGGACGGGTTATATAATTATAAGTTTCTAAGTTTACATTTCGCTTCCAGTATTTCCTTTTAACCGTTATCTACAGTATTTTCTCACGAAGCGATGGGTACAGGAGACGTACGTCTGTATTGTTATGTACTTGGGAACGGGTTTTTCACAGAATGGAAGAGCCACCGGATGATCAGTTCGTAACCTATGTTTTGAATCTAGATCGACTACGTATACCTAATCAACCTAAGCTTGACGGCTGAAAACTTTTTCACATAACACTATACTTAATCTAAATATCACATTTAAACAACCGAAATTTGAACAATAATCCTTATATTTTTTAAGGACTCAAAAAGTTCATTTGCACCACATAGGTGCACCCCTAAACCTCTGGGTATTGATTCCCCCATTTCAGCGGCACCTGTTTCTGGAAAGGCGCAAAAGAGCTTTGTCCAAATCTCAGTACTTTATATCAGCAGGAACCCATCTGGGCTCCTGATATCAGCTGGAAACAAAGCAGGGGTACTTGATAGATCCAGAATTATAAAAAAAATAACCAAGAAAAATAAACAAAACACCGAAAAAACCGAGAATTATCCCGTTTTTTTTTGTTAACGGGTAGAGGAAAAATATGAGATCCACGATCCTGCACTAACCGCTCAAAAGACCCACCCGCACAAAACTATGTACTCGTGAATAAAGCGCTAAAAATGGATATTAAAAGCCTGCTGTCCGATCCACACAGGCTTGAATTTACACCTAACACAGCCCCGAAACTGATCAAATCTATTTGCCTCTTTGGTGGCTTCAGAGCATAGCCGTCAAAGATTAAAAAAAAAAAAGGAAGAAAACACTTTTATTATGAAACAAAAGTAGCAAGGTTGATTTTATAGTAGGAAATTTAAATATTTTTTGCCAATTATTATTGCTTCATGTTCACTTACATTATAACTTACTATGTAGCAAAATGTGTCCCGATGAAAGCGTGAGGTTCCATAAATGTTATATTTTTCTTTCATTTTTGTGGCTTATTGTTCCATTGTATGTATTTCTTTCAGCCGATCCTTTGTTCGGTCACAAAACAACACCTGCAGTTTGCTACCATAGCAACTGTAATGAATATTGACATTTTGTCTTTCGTCGTCCGCCATCTTGGAAATTTTCGGGCGTCCCTTTTGTTTGTCATAGCTGCAGGGGAATTCTTTTACGAAGAAACGCGAAGTCGACTTTCTTATTTAAGCAGGAAATCTTTCAGCGTAAGAAGGTGAGTCTGTTTGCGTGGAACACAGCACTTTGTGTGTTTCTAGTTATGAATTTTACATGAAGGTTTTTATGCTAATTGAGTAAGAAAACTTGTGGTGTCAATCATCCGCAGTCTTCTCACGCATGCAAAAGATATTGACACGTTCGAGCTTCAACAGAGAGTTGAGTGGCAGATTGGAAACACGACCGCCAACTGAGCGTAACACTCTGTGAAATATAACAGCTATCATAAAGTGTTGTTTCTTTCAAAGGATCTGAGGTCGAAAAGTGACAAGGAAGAGACTTGTAGTTTGACCGGCAGCGGACGTTCCGAAATTCGTCACTGCCTCGGGCGCGCGGACATCTTGGATTGTTCCAAACGTTTATTTGCCAACAGCCAAATCTTGCCGCGTTATGGAAGGAAACGTGATGAATTCAGTGCAAGTTCCCGGGATGATGTCTGGTCAGCAAGCGGCCATGGAACAAATGAAAGCTTCTGAAGAAGGTCCGGACGGCCGTAAGCAGGACATCGGCGACATTTTACAACAAATTATGAACATTACAGATCAGTCGTTGGACGAGGCGCAAGCGAGGTAAGGTGAAATCGAATACGTCGTAAATTTCGTGTCCGTTTCTTGCCACTGCCGACGTGCTGTAGTGACATTAGTCTTGTTCAGTTTACTCTTGTGTATACTCTTAGCTGTCGATCTTTTGACTGCATGCGTTATGGTTTATGATAATTCATTGTTTTCTAATCACACATCTCCTCTCCTCTAGGAAGCACGCGTTGAACTGCCATCGCATGAAGCCCGCCCTTTTCAACGTCCTGTGCGAGATCAAGGAAAAAACAGGCAAGTAATGACAGCTTGATAACACACGTGTTTTGGTTTTTAGAGACCTTTCTTCCACCGCTGTCGTTTGCTTCTGTAATCCGGAGGTATTCAGTAAATCCCCGAGTTTTGTTTGCACAGTTCCTCGACAGAACGACTCATCACAAGCTCAAGGAATTAAAGCTTACTGCACGTACATTCACACACACTTCCCCTCATTCTATCGATAGCCCTTCAATTTTTTATTTTCCCCTGTTTTGGTTTGTTATCCAACACGTATAGATATCAATTCACAGGGCGATTTTCTCATCGAACTAATTCTCTTTGGGGCGATTATCTTTAATAGAGCCGTAAATTAATCTCACAAGGTCCCCATGAAATACTTTAACTTTGTCACACGATCGGCAATTAGGATTACTGTTTGTCTCGAGAATTGATGACGCGTTAACGCTCGTAAAAACGTGTTTAATTCCGTGAAGAAGACCTCTATCAATTCGTTGTTTTGTCTTCAATGCAATCATAAATTTCTCGGTACGTTGAAAGCTGCTACTTCCCCTTTTTTCACTCGATTGCCCTTACGGCTGTGATTATTGCATGAGTAGGTGGCGATTATACATGGTGGTGCTAAGCTTTTATTTTGGTGTTAGCATAATAGAATGTTTTTAATGTTTATTGTTTGTCTGCCGGGTTTCCTTTCGCAAACAATAGATTTCGATCCTACCCAAACAAAATACCTGTAATATAGGTTTAATTCTCTCCTCCTGATAGATCGATTTTTATACATCTCGGACTCTACCTTACGTTTTAATTTTAGTTTAAGTTTTTATTCTTACCAGTCCACAAAGTTAGGAAAAGCCAGCGTAACGGTTAAGTGATCTCAGTGTAAAAGCTCTTCTTAAGCTACCAGGATTAGGGATCCAATTTAGTTATTAAATCTTTCCATAATATTTCCGTTTGTTTGGTCTAGATTTATTTGCAGGACTTAAGAGTTCAGTACTTTTTAAGTCTTTTAACAGGTGCACTGATTTTTTTTCATTTGTATGAAAGGGATCATTTCATTGACAATTACCTCACAATTCTTTATCCAAAACAGTTCAATTTTGTTACTGGCAACTGGATTCAAAAAGTGCTATAGGCACATGGGCCGAGCACGCTTTTAGTAGGATGTGTTAAGTGTATAGAGCACAATCCTGCTTTGAAGCAGCCAATCACAAAGAGCAGAATTTTAACTCCACATGTAACATCCTGATTTTAATTAAGATCTTTGAGAAGAGTGAGCTTTTGTTTCACAATTTTTTTATTTTGTTCATTAATTAATCCTTGAAACCCCAAGTTTGATCCTAGACAAATGGTCTTCTTCCTGTTTGGGTTTTATCTATATTTTTGAGTAAAATATCGAAAACTGTATTCAAACATGCAGACAAACGAATCATGAAAGTTACCATTCTTACAGTGCAACTTAAGTAACTTACGTATAATGTAAGATCATTTATGATATGAAGAGTTTTTTTTGAAGCATTCTAATTAAGTAATGGTTTGTGGTAGAATGATGATAGTAGACCACAGAGCATTGAGATTAATGCAGTGTTTAAATTCAGGAAAATTAAGATTCATTGAGAATTAATGCCCTTTGACGGCATACAAATAGTGATGCATTCATTATTCCATCTAAGGTGTGGATGTAACATCGAATGAAGTTTAATATGTATATGCCTGTTCGCCTGGTCGTCACACAGTTAACATCTACCCCAAGTACTGACTTAATTAATAGTATATGATATATATATGAAGAAAAGCAACAATAGTTAAAAATAATGTATATCTTTAGTCTGGAGGTTTTTCGAATTTGGCAACTGATTGATTGTTACTCTTCTGATTCTTCTGCAACTGATTGTTACTCTTCTGTGATACCATGTTCTCTCAGCCACAGTACATTGACACTGCTGTTCTCTTTAGAGTCAAGAAAAGGTTTTAAAATCTCTTTGTTCAGAAAGCCATCTAATATGGAAGACTTGTTTGTGTGGTAAAGGCCGCGATGTTGTAATTTAAGTTTTAAGATTTGTCTCACTGTTTGTGGTAATTTTGGTCTCATTAAACCTCATTTAGTAGTTATTGATGTTACTGTAAAGATCTGTTAACTCAAAAACAAGAAAGACATGCATGCAATTTAATTGGAGCTAATAAATTGATTAATTGGAACAAGAATAGTAATAATGGTGGAAACAGCAACAAAAGCATTTTTAGAAACATCTCGTTCACAAACAAGGTTGGCAACTTATAATTTTTTATTTGGAGACTCAAAAATAAAAGAAACCTGGCTTGCAGCCCTGGTAGGTACAAAAACTGATTGGCGTGTGACATATTTGGCTGGTTCTAAACTTAGGAGAGAAGGAAGTTGTACTTTGGGCTAAAAAGACAGTGAACTGCAATTGGCCATCTTTAAGGTGCAACCCAATGATGATTTCATCCTAAATATATTGAAACAGCTTTAGGCTATCTAGAGTACTTTTAGATCTCTTGAAATGCATTCTAAGTCGCGCTATAAAATTCGTATCTGTTCGGTCATCCTAGGAAAACTTGAGTCTTTTCAAAATTACAAGGGTTCCGGTATTATTTTCCCGAAAATTTTAGATGTGCATTTAAAACACCAATGGGTTTTGGAACTGCACTCCTTTCTCAGCCAATCAAAACTGAGTAATTTTTTCGTGTATATTATTGAACATATTTCAAAAGTGAAAATTTTTGAAGACGAAAAGTTTAGGTTTCCTTTTTTTCTATGAAAAAAAGCCCAACGTGGGGAGTGAAATGTGAAAAATTAAACTTCAGAAAATTGTAGGGAATTTAAAGGGTAAGCTTCAAAATTGTACATGAATGGAACGGTCATCTAGAAATTTTTAGCTGTCTTCAAGGAAGAGAAAATTCTCGGCAATATTTGCTTCTTTGAACAAATATTCTATAGAAAACAGTCCTTGGGTGCTGCTTATTTCTGAGTTCCAAAAACTCTCTCTTTCTAAACAAGGCTAAGTGCAAAACCTTTGTTGTCACGAAAATGTCTAGAAGAAGGGGAGAAAGTACTTTGTAGATGTGGGCGTTTGCATTTATTATTAAAGGTAACTATTCATGTATGTTCTGGCTCAAGTTTTTCTTTGATTTAAAATTTTTGTGATTGTCTCACAACAATTCACACAATCTGAGTCAGACAAAAACTCAAGATAAACTGGTTTTTCAAACCAAAGAAAACCACAACGTACATGTATAAATGTACATTTAATAACATAGTAATAAAAAATTATTTTCAACAGCTAACATTTTGTAAAAATAGCCCAGCCCTGGACCCTATTTACTGGTACAGCGAGTTGTGGCATGTATTTTTACTAATCTGAAAATACATTCTTTAGTTAATTACACTGTAGTTATTTTTTAGAAGTCTGTGATTTCTTCTTGGAAAGACATTGAGAAGTGTATACATGTATGTTACCAGTCAAAATAAAATGCAGGTTAAAATTTTTTCACCTAGGTTGATTCTCTAGTTCTTTTGTCTCCTAGCCCTAATTATCCATGAATTAGGGCTAGGAGACAAAGGAAATTAAGAATCAACGTAGGTTAACCCTTTAACTCCCAATAGTGACCAAGATCAATTTTCTCCTAACAATATCCATACATTGTCAACAGATAAGTTATGAGAATTAATAAAATGATCACCCAAGTAAAAATGCCTTGATCTTTTATCAAATTCTCTTAACTCATTCTTAAAGGAAATGTATAGAGATCAGTTTGGAGAATTTGTATGTAGATACTGGGGCTTAAAGGGTTAAAAAACTTTAACCTGAATTTAGTTTTGACCTGTGACATATTGTCATCCTTTCTATTTTTCATTATTTACAATCCTAACAACATTTCAGTTTCTATCAGAGTAATATTATATCACTTTCATTTACAAAAATAAAATGCCAAAAAAAGTCACCACGAAATGTATAAACTAATATGATATAGATGTTAAAAAGGAGCTTAAATTGGAAAGAAGCTGAGCATGTATTTTTGTTGGAAGTGCATTCCAATAAAGAGTATATAGACAGTAATGATAATGTTGCCGAGACCAGCAACAACTGCTATCTTAGAAAGGTATCCACCTTGTGGAGAGGCAACTTAAAAGACTGAATAGTGGCAGGGATTCAAGTCTTGAGTCTGTTTAAGGAAGAGTCCATCTCCTAGAGGGGTCATCTTATAGAGATTTCTGTCATAGAGGTGTCCGGAGCAGTGTTGACTGCTTACCTGTACACCTCAGGAAAAAAAACCTGATTGGTTAAAGAGATTAAGAGAAAGACTTCATAGTGGAAGTAATCATTTAAGGTACATGCATGAGTAAACACACGCTTTTGCGTGTACATGGTAAGAGACAAAATTGAAGGGGTTCTCAAGGCTGTTCTCTAAACAAATTGAAGGGATGTCAAAGCTCTGAACCTGTGAAAACCAGGGTTCTCAGCATATATGTTTTTAAAATGAAAAACTAAGGTTTCCTAGTCGCTTGAGTAAGAGTACAGTGCCAGGGGTCACTGGTCACTGCCAGAGGACCCACATCTGTGGATTCTGGAAAGAAATAAATGTAAGTGACTTGATTGTGATCTTGTGTCACAGTCTCCCTTTGTCTTATGAGCAGAAGGAAGGCAACTGTAGAGGAGAATCTAAGGGTCAGTTATTTAAATAAAGTCCAACTCAAACCGCAGTTTAAGAAATCTTTGAATCTCCAGATCTCTTCATCAATAGGTTATTTTAAGAAGACAAATGCTTTTCTAGTCTACCCTGTATGCTTTCATGAAACTGTTCACGATAAATGGTGTTTATGTTAAAATGTTTGGCAAACTGAAAATGGCTTAGAATGTAGTTTTGTTAAGCTGACTGGCTAAACTCCATTAAAATTATTGGCCCTAAAAGTTTCTTTAGTCATGTAGGGTTATTTCCAGAACCCCTTCAAATTTCCCTTTTCAAAAACTTGATTGTCAATCCTTCTCCCCCAACAAGTTATAAGCACTGATTATTCTAAAAAATAACAGCACTGGAATTCATGTGAATTTTATTTCACTGGAAAAAAAAATCCAACTTAAGTGGAATCATAAAACATTTTTAGTCAATCTTTGAATATTTTTTTTTTCAGTTTCAGTTAGCTAGTGCCACACAAGTTAGAACCACAACGCTATTTTTTTTATATTACTGTTATATACAACAAAAATGTTGATTGCTTTAAAATCACTACAATAATAGAAATTTTCTCCTCAAAGGAAATTTTCACTGATTTTAGCATCTTTGTGAAAATATGTATATAATGCAATTAAGTTCTTTGCTGTGGGCCTGTTTTTAAGTGGGTCGTTGTAAATCTTCAAGTAATCATAAAAACATGGTAAAATGTAATAATTATTGGGGTGCATACACACACATATATTTTGTTATGTTGTTGATATTTATAAGCTGTGGTTCATTTAGCTTTTTGCTTTGAGAGCTTGGTCTCTCATCTAAATATTGTTTGAGTTTCTCAGCTGTTTTTCAGTTGTATTAAATTCTGCTGTTGCCCCCATACTAAATAAGATTTTTGTGATGAGTGACTGATGAAGGTCTTCAACAGTGAAGCATTGCAAACATTAGATAGCCAAATTTGTTGTGGTACTTTAAGAATAATACAAAGAGTGATTTCTTGTGCTGAGATGATACTGTCAAGTGGTGCTTTTAGTTTTTTTTTTATATCATTTTCCATCCTTGTAAGGCGACCATTAAACTTTTGTTACATACATGTTTACATTTGTATGAAGCTTTTCATTTAAGAATTATTTAAGTACATCAAACTTTCTTAAACATGCAACACATTCAAATGAAAGGGAAAGTCTGGCAATATGACAATACTATCACTGACAGTAAGAATTTATTATTTCCTTGACTCCTCATGATTTTTAATGGTGAAATTTCTCAACACAATTTGTTATGAAAATTGGAATTTTGTGGTTTTCTTTTGGCCAGCAATATTGATTATGGGGTATAATGGTGATCTATATGCAGAGAGCAAGTGATGTTTCCGAATACTTACACATGTAAGCCCTGATCCAAGAATTTTTATACTGACTTTTAAACAGACTAAGAATCCTAAGGCTTTGCTCTGCACCCAATATTCTTCTTTACAGTTGTAGCTTTCAAATGGTCTCACAAAGATTTTGTACGCACAAACATGTAATTGGATTACTACAGTGTGTAGTTTTTAATTTTCACTTTTCAATCAATGAGCCACATGGTCCATCAATCAGTCATTCAGTCTGTCAAGCTATCTATCAAACAAGAAATCAAATCAACTAACCAACTTATGGAAAGCATTCTGTAGGAGGCATACATGTAGGATATTAACTTGATTACACAGGTTGTGTAAGGGACTTCAAACAATACAGCAGAAATAGAGACCTAGCATTTTGTTTTATCCAATTTGAGAATTGACAATTTCCTGAATTTTTGCTTTTTTAGCATCCCCACTAAGCAAAAGTGCTTTATGTACTTGACACAGAAATCAAGTTGTTGTTATTGTCATCATTTTTATTATAATAATTGTTATTATCAGTCATTCAATTATCAATCATTATTTAAATATATCAGGACCAACCCCCTGCCCCCTGCCCCTACCTCCCCCACCAAAAATAGACAGTCTATGACTGTATGTGGCTCCTGCTTTTCTTTATGGAATGTTGCATTAGAAAGCAAATCTGGAACAAAGATAAAAAGAAAAAGGCTCTGTAAAATGTTTCTGTCGTGGAAACTCATTGCCAAAAGTATATCTTTATGTTCAAGTGGCTGGAAAAACCACCAACCAAGTTTGTCTTGGTTTTGTGAATAAAAAATCCAAGACTGCTAACAGCCATGATTCTTGGTGCTCTAGCGATCACAAGGCATAAACTGTTTAAATCAATCCGGGGTTGGTGTTGACTAGTTCTGACCGATTTGAAACTAAAACCAAGTGAAAAGCACTTGACTTCTCATATTTGGTTCTGTTATCATTTCTTTGTTACTTACTCACTTACATTCAGACGACCAATACAATGACAAAGACTACAGTGCTTAGCGCAGTACTTAGCCAAAAATTAACACAACACCTGACTTCCCTCTTATGTTTCAGTTCTCAGTATCCGTGGATCACAGGAAGATGAACCTCCAGACCCCCAGCTCATGAGACTGGACAACATGTTACTTGCGGAGGGTGTGGCTGGTCCTGAGAAGGGAGGAGGGTCTGCGGCGGCAGCAGCAGCAGCTGCCGGGGTACATGAGAACCAAGCTGAGCATACAGAGTACAGAGCCAAGTTAAACCAGATCAGGCAGATATATCACACAGAATTGGAAAAATATGAACAGGTACATGTGTGGCCTATTTATGCGTACGTGATTATGCATTTTGTGTAGTGTTTTTTAGTTCATTTATATTGAAACCAAATATGATGTTCTTCCTTGCTATACAGTGTAGGTATTTTTGAAAACATTAACTTGTACAATATAATATAAAACTTTGCTTGAAAAAAGGTCTTTGTACATTCATAAATGGCAGGCCTGCAGCCAGCTTAGACACACTGAGACTGTTACTTAGGTAAAACATTCCACATGTTTTGTTTGTTTTAAGAAGAAACATACAGCTATCATGAAAAAAAAAGTTATTAATGATTTCCTCCTCTTCATATTGCTGGAATGGATTTTAGTCTGGCTATGGCTCTAAACAGGGTGTGCTAGTGCTAGGCCCAGATAATCTTTTTTGATGCATGTAGGTTACCATTTGTTTTAATAGAGAGGAGAAGCATGATGTCATGTTACCATGGTAGCAAAATTTCTGGATCACAGCAACAGGGAGTTTTTCCTTTCAGATTTAACCCAGAAAATGTTGCCAACATTTGACAAATTAAATGAAATTAAATGAAACAGATGAAGTTTGAAACAGTGTGAACCCACTTTTTAATTGATGTTCTGGTTTGTTGTCGTCCAGAAATTTTGCTAGTATGGCAACGTGACGTAATGACTTCTCGTCTCTATTGGCTTTTTAGGTTGTCCTCAGATTTTGGCATGTCCTCAAATTTTTAGTACTGCTAGTTGTAACAATAATATGGAGACTTAAAGTCAAAAATGAAATGAGATGAATTGGATGAATTATTGCTTTTGGATGGAACTCCAAATGGAGGTGCAATACCTAACCAATTTATTCAATTTTTTCAGGCATGCAATGAATTTACTACTCATGTTATGAATCTACTGAGGGAGCAGTCCAGAACACGACCCATCTCCCCAAAGGAAATTGAACGTATGGTGAATATCATCCATCGTAAATTCAGTGCTATACAGATGCAGCTCAAGCAGAGCACATGTGAAGCTGTTATGATTTTAAGATCAAGGTTCCTAGATGCAAGGTACTTTTATGACTGCCCTTACTCTTTTTAACCCTTAACCTTGATTCAAACTTCATTTTTGAGTAGGCTGGCTTGCAAGTAGCAAAGAGCTAATCATGGCAAGCCAGACTGTATGGACAGATAATTTTCTTATAGATAAATATGCATATTTTCATACAGGAAATATGCATTAATTTTATAACAACTGCAACATATGTATGCGCTACACTTCATAATATCATTAAATCTTTAAAGAAGAAAGATAAAGAGGAAAACAATTCGAAAACCAACAAAAGAACCATATGTAAAAATGGCCCACACTGTATTATCAAAACACCATTCCCTTTTGTCCCTCATCTTATATCAAGGGAATTTATTTTGGGTAACATGGCTTTCTTAGCTCATATTCAGCAACATACAGTGTATCAAATTTCAACATCAAAGTGAAGTCTTAAGGTAACTTATTTTGGAAATTTTCCAAGTGCCCTTCATGTCGATTTGAATATTTCCTTTTAAGATAAGAAATTACACACACTATGGTCTATTTACAGGCACTGCAGAAACAAAATGGTACCCAAGTGGTGCATGTAATTACGCTATTTAGTTAGACTGCTCCTTGAAAAACACTGTACACTGTAAGGTGACTTTGTGTTAATCACCCTGGCCTTTGGTATGTGGTATTATTGCGAGGAACATGTATTCAATCTCTTTAAACTGTAAAATTTTTGAGTAACTGACCACAAATTTAATTGATTCCTGCTAGGAGAAAACGAAGAAACTTTAGTAAACAGGCCACAGAAATCCTGAATGAGTACTTTTACTCTCACCTAAGTAATCCTTATCCAAGCGAAGAAGCTAAGGAGGAATTGGCAAGAAAGTGTGGAATAAGTGTTGCACAGGTAACAGCATTAATAAAATGGTTTTCATTTTTGTTGAGAAAGAATTTGAAATATTCTTCATGAAGCAAGTTGTTTTAAATTTGCAATTCCTATCTGTTCAGTCCATTTTTAGTTTTCAATACTGACTGATTCTTACATGCAAAATAATCTGCTTAGATATCAAACTGGTTTGGAAACAAGCGAATCCGATACAAGAAAAATATTGGGAAGGCCCAAGAAGAAGCTAATATGTATGCTGCTAAGGCTGCAGCCGGCGGAGCAGCCCCTGGACAAGTACAAGGGCAACAGGGAGTACCATCCTCTGGTCAAGGTATGTACAGCTATGACGCTAACTTTGACGGTGAAGAATAGCATTGCTATTACCATTAATTTTGACAAAAGTTTTTACTGTTTTTAAGGCTTTACATGTATGTGTAAAAATAAATGATAAAGCCTTCGTAGCCTTTTTAGTATGGCAAGATGATATCACACACTTGTTGCATAGGGATACTACTGTTATCTTCTGACCAATTCCAGTACCTTTGCTAATATTTTTCCATCATTCATGTTATTAGGTCAGTACCCAGCTGTGGCAGTAGCTGGCAGTCCTACAGGTGTGGTTCCAACTTCTCAGCATCAGATGCCCATCACAAGTCAGCCACAGCCTGAGATGTACATGTCGGGGGTGCAGATGAATGGCGGTGGTTTAGGTGCTGAGTACCAGACGGGACAAAATGTTGGTGCTAATGTGCAGTCACAGGTCAGTGTGGAAAATGATTTGTTACTCAGTAAGGAGAAGGTTTAATTCAAAATTTTAAAAGTAATGAACTCATGAAAGAAGCAAGTCCCAAAGGCTGCTAATTCTGAAAGTAATGAGGGTTGTTACTTTTGGTGATGGAATTTTATGGTATGTGATCTGTTTGTGTGGGTATCTGCAGTAAATGTTAATTTGTTTTTTAAGCAGAGCTTCTGCTTCAAACATACACCAAAAATAATGCAAAGATCAGTTTAGAGAAACTTGATAAAAGACTAAATTGAATGTGCCAAAGGCGGTTTTGAAGCACTCCTTCAGTCTGGTGTTTTTTTTTTGTTATCCAATTTTCTGACACTTGTTACCCAGAAGGTCTTTTTTGTGTGCAAGATATCTATGCCTATCATTGTAGTGGTTTTGGTCAGGTAATTTGGGGGACACAGGGTGGATCCAGAAAATTCAGAAAATGAAGATCTGTTTAGAGGACGCTAATGATCCTCATCAAACCACTGCATAACAACTGGCCATGCTGTATCATCTAGCAAGTCACTTGAGTCTTTTATATTTAGAAACTAGCAAATCCAAAAAATGGTTGGCCCCCTTATGCTTGATGTAAGTTTCGTTTGGACACTTGCCAGCTATATAGATACTTTTTATTTTACTGAGAATTCATTAAAAATTATAGAAAAAATCACAGAAAAAGGGGTGGCCACGTGGCCCCCTTGGTCCCACCCCTAAATGCATACAGCTTCAAACTGGAACAAAACAAGTCCAGTGATCACTGTTATTCTATTGTAGGTGCCAGGGTTACGTCATGTAATATCTCAGGCTGCTACTGGTTATATTGATCCTGCAACAGGACACATGCAGGCTCACAATCAGGGACAAGTGTACCATGAGCCACACCATCTTCACCATCAAGTAAGACTTGTTTTTTATGACACAATCTTAAAATAAAGTGCAGAGAAGAAATAACAGATAAATACACAATTTAAGAAGTTGTGAAAAGATAGCCATGGTGCGTCAACACTTGTGTCCGTTTGTCTAGGACACGAAGAAATTTATTACGGAACTTTTTATGTAAACCTTTGAAATGATGTGACCACTGAACAAGCACATTTGTAATTAAGAAAAATACAAAAACAGTTGAAAATTGACTTCAAATTACGGTAGTATTACAATTAATTGTATAGTCATAAAAGCAAACCTCAAACTTGACAAAATAAGGTTAAATATTCCTTCTAACTTTGCCATACCGCGGCCATTTCAATTGTTTTTACAAGCTCCATTTGGCTTAGGAACCTAGCAAAACTTTTTGGACAAGAACTCGTGGGTTTTGGAAAACCAAATTTAACATGCTTGTCTGAGGGACAAGTGGATAAGAATATTTTTTCTTACTCTGATAGCCTGAAAAAACTTCAGGCTTGCCGGGGCTCTAACCCTGACCTGCGATACCAGTGCAGCGCTCTAACCAAATGAGGTAACCAACTGAGAGCTGGTCAGTAAATTGGTTTGTAATATACCTGAGAAAGTTGAAGATAAAAATAATGATGAATATATGAATTTATATTATTCATCCCTCAGTTCAAATAAGTATATAAAATTCACATACTGTATTCATCATTTCATTTTGACACATTCAGTGGCTCACCTTTTTCTTAATGTAAATCTTTTGAATCAGAAAAAAATGCTTTGCTCTGAATGCATTTAGTGGTTATTCTATTACTCCCTCCTGATGTCCTTAAACATGGCTAAAATAAGAGAATTCAAAATAAGTGAATAATATTTATTCGATCAATGACCCGTGCAACTAGCAATTAAAGTCCACGCTTTCCTAACAGGGCTCTCTCAAAAGGAGTTGAAACTAATGACCTTCTGGTTACTCGCATTCTGAAGCGGGGTCTGAACCACCTTGATGATTATATTTAAGTAGCCCATCTTTTATTGTTGCTTTTTCAAGGCAGGAGGGTTTAATGAGTTGTTTGACTCCATTAATGTTTGGGCCAGAAAGTCAGGAGCAGCGTCAAAGGTACGATCAAAACTTCCATGCATTAACTTAAAGTGTTTCCATTTCCGGTAGTAGCAAGTTTTACCCTGCTGAAATTGAAATTCTTTTTTCCGCAATTAAGGGCTAGGCCAAATGTTGAACTTTTCATGAGTGGAACCAAACTTAGGGAGTTAAGTTCATGAAAAGTTCGACGTCGGGCTCAGTTAAAGGTTCGTCTGAATGAGTTTGGATCGTCCAACACCGTCTGAAGATCGTCTCAGGGACAACCGTCGATCTACACAGCTACTAACTAAACTGACAAATTATAAATTTGCCTGATAATGTATATTTAGCCCCGTGCGGGAGAAAATTTATGACTTATTTGATTCACTTGATTGGTTCGACGCGTCCTAAGTTCGACGTGTGACCCAACAGACGCTCTTAACTTAATTTAGGTCGACACAAATTAAGAGTTTGGTTCGTCTCATGAATAGTTCGACGTTTGGCGTAGGCCTTAGCTTATTTAATCTGTGGTGGACCTTTATATTGTTTCAAATGAGGCTGGCCAGCAAGAGTAGGTTAACATTAAATCCCATCGACCGTTGCCCCTTCGGACACCTCAAGAAATTCACACAAATGGGGATATTCTATTTTCCAAAACTAAAAAAGGAAAAAACCTGCACTATGGTAAAAATTTGCACGTGAGTTAAGCTTTTGAAACTGCCTTGGCAGTAATATTTGAAAGCTAAGAGTTGTCAGTAGAAACTGTGGGGTGATGTGAAAAGAAGGCAACCCTTACTTTAGTGTACTGTCGGTGAAGCTAACAGTCCTTCGCTATCATATTTTTTGTTGTTGAAATAAATCGTTTACTTTTCTTTTCAAGTTTTCAACGCAAAGTGAACATCTTTTTACAATGCTTACTAATCTTTTGTTTTTGTAATTCGAAGAGTGGAGAACAGAGAAAGAGAGGGCAAAATGGCAAATCAGGTATCAGTAGAATTTCATAACTGTGATTAATTCCTATTTTATTTTCACTTTTTCTGGTTTGTTTAGCCTGCTTGGCAGTTGCTTGGCAGGGAGAAATTAAACGCGCGAGGATTCGAAAGGCGCGCCAGAAAGACTACCAGCCATACTATGGCATTCTATGAAGGTAACTATGGACCCGTTGACCCTGGTGTTATTGGTTGCGAATTTTCATGGCGATTTGTCCCTGCAAATTTACAAATGCTTACAACCTGCACGAAATTGCGACCTATGCGAATTTCCGCTCGAGAGTTACATTTACCAGTAAAATCTGCTTCGTGCGATTAGTTCGTTCGGGACTTGAACCCGGTCTACATAGGGGAGGGGTGGGAAGCGAGTGCGTTCACCGCTGCGCCATCCGGGCTTCCCTCACAAGTAAAATTCTTGATTTCAAGAATTTGCTCGGTTCAACAAACCGTCGTACTACGAATTATTTTTAAAGGATGTCAGTGCTATGTTTTGTTGTTTTTAAAGTTAGCTTTCTTGATTCACATGCAGGAAGCCGAAGCAATTCACCTGCAGACTCTCAAGAAGATAAAGATGATCAGGGGGGACCGGAATTCTCTAGTCTCCAGGGACTCAGTGATATGGCTAATGCTGATTTTGATTCGCGGGGAAATGACAGATCTCGGGATGAGCCGCCCTCGAAACGAACAAAGATGTGAGAAGCGGAAGGAAGCACGATGCAGACAAAAGGCATAAATGGAGGAGCCTTTCGTGGATTTGGCAGAATGATTTATGTTATAAGAATCGAAGGCAAATACTAGGTCGCAATATCAGTCTAATATCAGTGATTAATGTTGAAAACGTAGGGTTAACACATTACAGAGGTATCAAGCCAAGAGACGGTTTAATTTTAGTGCTGACATGTGCGTGAGAGGCTTCAGTGAATGAATGCCCTGTATGCCATTGTACAAGCCACACCGGCTAAAGCTGATTTAATATGATATTCGAGACAAAAAAAGAAAGTCTTTCAACTGAAAAAAAAGTCCAGGTAATCATATCTTTGCTTAAATATCTGAAGTTTGTTAACCTGGCGACCTTGGTGCTTAAAAGGATTGGAGGGTTAGAGGATAATAGGATATAAAAATATTATTATTTGTGCCATTTTTCGCTTAAGTGGCCCGAAGATGTTAAACCTGTTGATATGACTTGATTTAATTACCTTATTTAATATCAGCAGTAACGGAGCAATTTCCAGTCGATTGTCTAAAATACTAGTTTTGTGTACTTGTAACGTGTGATGGACAATATGATTGGCTAGTAAAAACTCGTGCCATTTCGTTGACCAATCAGAAGAAAGACTTACATCAATCTTGACTTTCTTTTACGTGTTTCCCCGCGCTTTTCGTCGGTCACGTGTCTTACTTCTGAGCTCTCTTCCAACACTTGATTAGGAACCGAACTGTTTTACATCCAGTATGTTTACCATTAAAATGGCCTAAAATTAGGTAGATTATGACAATGGAGGGCCTCAAAACTCGTCAAGAACGGCAGAAATTTCGAAATAGGGAGCAAGATAAGTAGTAGGGAATTTTAAAAATTTGATTTAATTGTCAAGCCGTTATATTTCATTTATCCTTCATTTCGTTTCTTTCTGGCAATTCTTATTTTAAGTAGTACGGCTAACTTTGGACAAGGTCGTGGCCTTAATGATGTACACAGCGCATGCAAGTCTAGAAGTTTTCCTGCCGAATTTCAATTGAATTGCCGCCTTGGAGTTTGGAAAGTAAGGAATAGTTGAGCTTCATATTTAAAGATGATTTTTGAGTTTTTGGCTGGATAAAATTGCAGTGTTGACGAAAAAAGTCGAGATTTTGTTGTTCGCCTCTTTACGTGGTTACCTAGGGGACGGTCTAAACGCGTTTATTTTATTATGATCGGCTTTCATGACTAGATGTTGTGGCCATGTCGATTTGGTTGTTAGAATTTTTTCTTCGGTCACCTTCGCGAAATGCAGCCGTTTAATACCGGTTTTTAATGGGAACGTTTTTTAACTTTTTAAACTGAGAACTAAAATTTAAAGAGTTTGCTTAGATAACGTTTATGAAATTACGGTAACTTACGGTGACTGGTTGCTTTTCTTAATCTTTGGAGCTCGGAAATTAGAACAAAGTGGTTCGTTTCATAAAAGTTGTTTGTTGGTGCAAAGAAATCCAGTGTCGAGCCTTATTTTCGGCGAATGCGTATTTTTCCGACACGTATTTTCCCGTGTGAACTGGAAAAAATGTCAAGTTTTCCCTTTTACTCGATTAAACCCTTTGCTTGTCAACGAAAACTTGTTCTTGTAAATTGGGCTGTTGAAGGCACTTGTGACAATACAAGCTGATGTATGTTTGCTTTTCGACTTTGCTTTTATAGGTGGCTTACTTTGTTGTGTGATTGTTTGACAACCAAATTCCAGTGTGTATAAAATAACGTTTAATTCCAATAGGAGTACATTTTGAAGGAATTTTTGACGTTATATAATTCCTTTCTTGGTTGTCAGTAAACCCTTTTCAGAACTTTTTATTAACGATCGACATCAACGACAACGAAGATTGACACACATATATTTTTTCGAGTTAACAATGTTAAGTCGGGATTATTGGTGTGGGCGAGTGTATGCAATTTAATAACCTGAGGTCTAATTATTAAAAAGTCATACTGAAGCGGGAGACATTAATTTTTAATCTTGGATTTATCAACCGAATTGTTCAAATTCCTTTCATCTATTGTTTTTAGTGTGTAGGTAATCCATAGGTTTCGAGTCTCGAAAAACCCATGTCGTCTTGCCTAACACTGTACTGTACCGCGAGGTAGCTTGCGTTTTCGAAGGCCATGCACAACCAACAGGAATATATAGATAACGAAATAAGATTAGAGAAACCCAATAATATGAATACGGAATAGTTATTATGGTATTAAAATAATATAAAAAAAACTTGTATGCCGTGTTAGAGGGCAAAGTTATTTTGTGTTGCCGAGAGCATTCAAGCGTATTTTGTTGCCCTTCATGAAACTAAGGAATATAAATGTCAATGTACACAGATTATAATTTTATCGTAGTAGTAGACTCCGGTTTTAAAAACATCGCCTTTGTAGTTGATGATTAAACTTCTGATAAGATGAAAAGTTCTCAAAATGATGTGCATTTTTCTTCCCCCAGTCTTGTACCCATGTAATTTTAGGATTAACAAGTCCCGTGGGGAGTTATGATAACGAGTTAGTCTCTTCCAGGCGCCAAGATAGGGAGAGCGAAACGAGAATACTGCGTTGGTGTTAGGGAGAGACAGGGAATTGGAGCCTGTAAACATTGCTTGCCTATGATTGGTCAATTTTGACAGTTAACGTCACACCTACGTCATAAACTTTGCTTCCCGCTCACCGAAACCCTCCTACACCACGCATTGTTACATTCGTAATTTTGACAAGAGAACGGTTTTTCTGAAGCTGGGAGGGGTAGTAGTCTCCCTCGCGCCCGTTTTTTTGGATGTCACGCAACGCTCCGGGGAGCGTTGTGTGACATCCAAAAAACGGCTGCAAGGGAGACTAGAGGGGGTAGAGGACGGACTGAGGTATTTGGCATTCCTTTCGTCGCTTCCCATGAATTCGTGCACGCCTGAAGCACTTAAGGTGATGTTGGACTGGACGATTCGCAACGACGATTTTTAGCGCAACACAGCGTTGCAACATTGTTGCGACATTGTTTCGAATGGTCATAACATTGTTCCAATATTGCAACGCTGTGTTGCGCTACAAGTCGTCGCTGCGAGTCGTCCCTTGTAACATCATCACCTTTAAGATGACCTTAACAAATTGGCCTGCTCCCAATGTATAGGTCCTCATAATAAAAAGACAAATTAATCATTTTGTTTTGGTTTTTAACTATAAAATAATTTGTTTTTAAAAAGTCCCCGCCGGATCCAAACGCAGTTCTACGTTTACTCCACCGTGCAGTATTCATTTCACTCTATAACTATCGTGCCACTCACTACTTTTATATTTGGTGGAGCACGTGTAATACAGTTCTCAAAAAGTAACGCTACGCTTACGTTTATACAGCCAGTTTTAAGAATTAAAAACAAATAAACTGAAAGACAAGGAAAAGGTATTCATTTCTTCCAATTTTCTTATGTAATAATTTTCAAAAGGGACTTATTAAATCAACTAAAACTTTTTCAACTTTTTGCCTAAAATTGTGTTGTAACGTTATCAAGATTTACGAAAAAATGCAGCTTTACTGTAGGCCTAGTTGACCGAAACTCGTAGGGCCCAAATTGGTAAGCTTCGAACTGGTTAATAACAAATTCTTTTCAACTTACCTTACCACCTGTCAATCTGAAACACTGAGCACATTTCTGGTAAGTTTTGCCTCATTACTTTTGCAGAGGGCTTCTGCTCTGTTTTGCTTTGTATACTTTCAAAAATGCCATCAAATGAAGACTAATTATATGGTTGTAATATCACTTTTCAGTATTTTATTTCTCTGATTTTTCATCGATAGATAAATGGCAGCAATTTAATTTGTAGTCAACAACTGCCTCCTAATAAAATGAGACGTGCGGCCAGCCAGGGTAGTTTTTCGTTTTTGTCTTAAACAGGGTATGTTTTGTTTTTGGTCTTAATCCAAAATTTTTGTCTTAAACAGGGTCAAATAGTTTTGACCGCATGATGTTCTCAAGGGAACAAGGGATCTAGCCTTTTGTCTTTTCAGAATTTATGCGTACATATGCACGTGCACGAGGATAGGACGAAATTTGGAAGAAACTGTTCTTTGGGGTAACATCACATGGTCAGAAGTAAGGAAACAAAACGTACAAGTTAAAAAGCTCTTTTTTTTCGTCAGCTTTGTTGGTAACAATGTGATTTTATTAATCGCATGCAAGTAGTTTCTTCCTCTTGTTGTGAAAAAGTTAAATATTTTTAATGTACCTTTTTCACAGTAATAACAAAATACATTTCAAACGTTCAGTTACCAGTTAATATTAAAGTGTTCAATGTTCTTATCAAGGCGAACGCAGGGTTTCTGGCTTTGAGTTTTAACAGTTACGCAGTTAACGTTGGGTTAGGGGATGGGCAGGTCGGTAAATTCCTAAGATCTTATAGTGATCCTTGAATATCGAATAGGAAAATTAAATATAACTTCTTTACTGGGTTCTAGAACAATATTTACCTACATTTAATTAAAGAAAGGCAATGTTTATATACAGAGCACCACGTTCCTTTCTCACTCTCATTTCCTTCTTGTAAAATACTTTCTAATTAAACTCTAAGTTAAAACTCTTTCTTTCTTGTAAAACTACTTTCTAATTAAACTCTTGAATTGTTAAAAAGAAGCTTTTTTTTTTATTTTTCTCTTGATCTGCTTTGATTAATTTGAAGTCCTTTTCAGTTGTTTACACGGCCTCAATCACATTTCTTTCGAAGCAGCTGCTGGGTAGCTGTGTAGAGTGTGCTGAAGAAACAGTTTGGCCTGAAATGAAGCAGGGAAATCACGGCTATTCTGCAGGCTCGGAGGCTATTTCCACGATGACGCCATCTTTTGACTACTACTACTACTACCAGAATCCTTAAGGGACTCGCTTTCTTGTGCAAATTCGGGCTTACTATGGTCCAACATGTTCCTTCTAATACCATGGTCAACCATGGCGGATCCCTGCCTATGCCAGAGCAGTTTGACCATGGTTGACCATGGTCAGTCTGAGTTCAATTTAAAGTTCGTGGTTGACCATGGTCAAACCGTGGTTATATCACTGCCAAACCATAGTACACCATGGCTGGAAACCGTGTTTACCCTTCAACCATGGTGTTACCATGGTTGCACATGCTCTATCCATCCTCTCGCCGGGAAAAATTGTTACTCAAACCTCGCAGGGATTATTCAGTTCTAAATATGAAAGGAAACACGAAATGGATTCTGGTAGTACTAGTAGTAAAATGACGCCATCGTGCAAGTGGCCTATTCTGAGCCTTCCTATTGCCTCAGAGATCGAGGTCGGCTTCAAGGCTTGTCTCTATTTCCTGTAGAACTCTCACTTATTTGGTTGTTGCCATAACGACCAAAATTTACAGCCCTTTTGAAGGCCGCTTGGAAAGGCGGATTCATAATCCCGCATATAATTGGATTTACTAAACTACCAATGAACATAAGGTAAAAAGCTACCGTAAAAATCTCCCTGGGGATAAGGCTCCAGCGGTCTCAACAATCACTACAGCAGTCACTGGTCCCCATGTTACCAAAAATACACAAACGACCGTGAAACTAGTTTTTAAGAGTCTGATATCAGTTGCAGGACGTCTTGATGAGGCCGCTGCATCTTCTATTCTGTGGGCATTTAGATTTTGAATGCTTTCTTTAAGAGACTTATAAATCTTGTAGTAGGAGTAAAATATTGAAACTGTTGTTCCGTTGATCACTCCGCTTACGGTAATCATGGCCCATGTAATATCCCCTGCTGTCCAATTAAAAGTGCAGATAGCAAAAAGAGGATGGTAGGCCAAATTGCCCTAGCCGTATAATGGCGGTGTTGCAAGAAGCAAAGAAGCTATCCATACCAGGGCTCAGTAGACTCGTGCCATTCTCTTGCTCGGGAAAAGTCTGCTGTACAGCGCTGGTTTGACGACTCGGATATATCGGTTAAAGGCGATAAGTCCCATATTCAGGATAGAGGCAACTCCTAACGTACAATTAATCACAACTTGAATCTCACACGAAGTCCCTGTATACAGGCTTATTACCCAAAAGGGCATGTGCAGCGTTGCCATGGAAATGTCCGTCAATGCCAGATTTTGGACGAATACATTCGTTAAGCTCTTGAGTCTGGAGTCTTTATGGACGACATAGACGACTAAAAAGTTGTCGAGGAAGGAGATAAGGCAAATAAGAATGGCCAAGGCCACTTCCAAACCAATCTCACTGCGAGAACGTCCTAGGGGGTCGTGGGTCGTGGGGGTCGATCCAGTTTGAGAGTTGTTCACCATATTATATAAGGCAAAATTAAACTATAGATTGATAGGCTGCAAAAACGATAAAAAGATAGAATGGTGATGATGATGATGATGATGATGATAAAAAATCATCATCATCATAATCAAAGTAATAACTATAATCGATCGTGACAATAACATTAATTAAAGTTGGATTTGGAGTAGTTTGGAGCTCAGCCTACCAAGAGGAAGTGAACGACCCCGCCCACAAGAGTCTGTGGTGGCTAGTACACATACAAACTGACTCCAAGTCAATTCAAGCATGAAGCTTGAATAATGTTAAAAAATAATAGACACACTAGACACTGTGAAGATTGGAAAGAGGTTTGCTTGTGCCAACTAAAAACGCCAAGGGTATTTTGGAAAATTTGAGGAGGGGTAGGCGCAGTGAGTGGAAGATGACTCCTCCCCCCCTCCCCCCTCCCCCTCACGTTTCAAAACAGCTCCGCCGCCTCTGACTCTATGCTACTCTGCTTAAATTTTAATGTGATTATTCTTAAATTTTATAATTAGTTGTGATTTATATACGAAGAGAATCACTGAACATATGGTGACTAGAGACCGTGATCTTAATGTTTTACCATTTGGCCATTCACAAGTTTGAGAAATCCTCGCCGGACTGAAACTTTGGTTGACGTTTAGTGTACCGAGAGGTAATCATTTAACTTCATAACTATCGTTTCTGTGATGTAAAACGTTGTAAGGTAAGGCGGTTCGTAGTTAGGCCATCGACTAAGTTTGTCCTTAAACGGAATTCCCAACTAGTAAATTAATTGCCTTTTAGAAGTTCAAATTTTATGCAGTAACCTTTGCAAAGGGTCTACAAATTCAGGCGTTTCAACATTTTTTTCTTTACTTATATAACTTGTATTGTAACTCACATGAAATCAAAGTTTACGAAATGCAACCGTAAGGGTACTAAAAATCAAGAAACTAAAAGCAAGTAGCTTCAATTTGTCAAGGAATCTCCTTTTTAACTTAACTTACCCTTCACTCTGAAAAATTCACCCTGACGAAATTTCGGGGAATATCGGCCTCATCGCATTTGCACAGAGCTCTTCCAGCTCTTTTTTGTTTTGGATCTTTCAAATGCAACCTGATGAACTAAGACTAAACAAAAAAAACTATGGTTTTTATATTGTAAATTGGTCTTTCCATTGTTTTGAAAAGCTTACTATTTAATTTTCAATAAAGAGTAGCTCACTAAAGTGGAACGGGAGATCATAATTTAAAATAATGATCTGCTTTTCCTCTTCAATGGACACGCAATAATGCTTGGATCTAAAACAATGGAAAGGCGCATTAAATCGGATGTGATTCCTTCCCAGTCCTCGGACCTCTTAAAAATAACGACCGAGCGCGTAGGCCTTGAAGTTCAATCATTATCCTTTATATAAATGACCAAAATTCAAAAGGTACTAAAATCTGTTATCAGTAAGCGTAAGTACTAGACGCCTTCAAATGAATAGCCACCATTGGTTTCTTCTTGGTAATGAAGGGATTTTTATCCATCGCATGCAATTGCAATCCCTTTATTTCTCTTGGTATGAAAATGTTTAGAATGTTATTTTTTCTTTGTAATAATAAATGCATTCAACACTCAGCCACCCGTTCCCAGGACTGAAATCGAGTATATGCACGAAAAATATACCCAAGCGAAGTAGGAATGAATTGAAAATTTTGAATTTTCTCTTTTATGAGAAAAGTGGTGAAACAGTACTTAAACCCTTCACCAGAAAGGACCAATCTTCCACTTCTTTTCCATTATCTTCAATTTGTTTAAATGCACCTTTCTATTGTTTTGAACTGGTCATTAGACGTCGGAACTCAGTTATTATTCTTTATTTCTTTTCTTTTCTTGGGTCTTTCCGTGGATCGGTCGTAAGAGAAGTGGGTACGGTATAAATGTCGGAATGTTATTTTTTCTTTGTAATAATAAATGGATTCAACACTCAGCCACCCGTTCCCAGGACTGAAATCGAGTATATGCACGAAAAATATACCCAAGCGAAGTAGGAATGAATTGAAAATTTTGAATTTTTTCTTGTATGAGAAAAGTGGTGAAACAGTACTTAAACCCTTCACCAGAAAGGACCAATCTTCCACTTCTTTTCCATTATCTTCAATTTGTTTAAATACACCTTTCTATTGTTTTGAACTGGTCATTAGACGTCGGAACTCAGTTATTATTCTTTATTTCTTTTCTTTTCTTGGGCCTTTCCGTGGATCGGTCGTAAGAGAAGTGGGTACGGTATAAATGTCGGAAATCAATAATTGCTTTCTCCTAAAAGCGCATACAAGTTTGAAATTCAATTTAGTCACATAAAGCAAGGCAGTTTAGAAAACATATCGGAAGAATTGTCATTTGCTGAACCCAAAGAAAAATATGCTCAAGTCAGGGACTATTTAGTTTCCGAATTGCTTCGTCCAGTTTCAAATCTACGAAATTCGTTTTCGTCTATCCATGTCAAATACATTTATTATACCCAAGTTGCTCCAAACTAGATAACAAGCTAATCAAATCTGTCTGCTGGTGCTGTGAACGTAAGTTTCTGTCGAGAATGAGCTGAGAGACAAAGGATGGAAATCGCGTCAACAGTTTTACTTAATTTAACGAAAGAAATACTTTAGAATGAGCGCACTCTTTTTGAATGACGATATTGAGAAATAAACTGAATTTCATTAACCTCATGTAATTATTCTTTGTCTCATCTGGTGTATTCAAATCGTTAACTTGAGAGGGAACTAGTTGTGGTAAAGACTTATAATCATGATGACTTCGATCTTGCAAAGAAAATATTTTCCCGACGATGATATGAAAATGTACGTATGACTTCGCTCCTCGGCCACCTTAATTAAACATAATTACCAAGCGCTACGCGCGCGCGGTCTTAGACTGTATTCTTTCACGAGATGGAATAACCACACCTTCCCTGGGCGGCAACCTGTCTGCTTTGCAGTTTGGTAGCAGGAGTCGCTGTCTTCTTCTTGGCTGTTTTTTAGTGGTGTTCTGGCTTCGAAGAAACTGGCACAGAAAAATAAGCAACGGGCTTTTTACTCAAGACCGAGAAGGTAATTTGTCAGATATATTAAGCTTAATGACAGTTTTTTTCTCTTTTATTGCATCAAAAATCTGACTCGTCCCGACCCAACATTTACAGTAAACACCCGCTAATAAAAAACCTGCATTTTTTAAAGTCTGGCAAAATAGGTCCTTGTATTTTGGGGTACGTATGGCAACTTAGCCTAAGTAGGTTCTCAATTAGGTTCTTAATTTTTATGAAAAAGATAATAGATTGTTGATTACCAGAAAAATATATAAACTTTTATTTAGTTCCTGAGGCTAATTTGCATAAAATCTTATAATGATCATAACTTTGTGAAAATTCATCAGAACCTTCCAAAATTTGGCAGCCTCGGAGACATCGGTAACCTTAAATTTGCTGTAACGTAAGAAATTAGATATTTGTGCCACGTGACCACTTATGGTCGAGTCCAGGAGGGAAAAGAAAACTTAAAATGGGGTGGTGAGATGCCACCAAGAATATTATTAAATACAGTATTTTTGTTATTGCATCATCATTTCTCGCGTGAATCTGGCCGGAATGGTTGACTCACATGTTTATTTAATCAGTAATTAAGCAAAATAGGTCACCTGACACTTTTCACCTGTTGATATCTTTTTAAGAAATAAAATTCTCTCCGTTACGGTCACGGAAAAAATTCGTACGGTAAAACAAACATTTACATATGGTTAAAGCTTAGTTGTAATCAACCATTCCTACCCCACTTTGAATTTCTTTTTGAATATCATTATGACGTCACGTTTCACGTGACTTCATCACTTCAACCTTAATTAATTCAACGCCTCGAAAGAAAGTCTTTCGAAATTTTTTGTGACTTTTAGAATTAAAATGCATGGCCGTGGAAGAGTTGAATGAATGAAGGTGAATTCATTTTTAAGTGATGTTTTTACTGTCCCTGCCGTTGTAGTATCTCTTACTCTCCACTTTAAAGTTATGCCATACAAGATATCGAGATAATTGTAAAACAGGGAAGTGAAATTTTAAATTTCCCAATTCAGCATTAAAAAAAAAAAAAATTAACCGCCTTGATTTTCAACACAATATTTATTTTGGAGTTTTTTTACATTTCTGTAACCATCATTGCAAGTTTACATTGTATTTCAACTCACTTATCTACACATTTCAAATTCTCTTCTTTTTACATGCTATTTGACGACTTATTCTATCTCGACTATCAAAGTTATCTGATTCTAAGGTAAAATGCTGCTTAATTCCACAATCTTTTTTACACAGCCCAATTTTCATTTCATCCCATAAAAAAATAGAGCGTATGCCATGCGCAGAGATATAAAAGCAGCCCGTCTAATCAAATTCAAAGCAAATACACTTGCAAGTTCGAGCTGCTGATGCACTTGACAGATAGCCTTCATTCCGAAGAAATGTTTCACTTCGTAGTCGGTTTTTATTGATAAAGATAATCCATCATTTTCACATTGCCCATAATACATCTCGCTTACCCCCCAAAATTTTGCATCTAGTAACCATTGTGTAAAATTTCTCTTGGGTATTTCCAGTTGTCCCAAGAGAAATTGAAGACAACGTCTATGCAAAATTTTGGGGGAAAACGAGGTGTACTATGGGAAATGTAAAAATTGGTTAATGGGAATAGGGTAGCGTTTCCATTTCATTTACTGACGTCACCTGTGATGTGACGTCACGTGTGATGTAAGTCTACAGCAGACCGGCACCAAACCGGAAACCCAATGACAAGCACACAATACAATAGCTCGTTTAGAAAACATAGAAAACGTATCCCCCAAAGTTATGTTTCTTAGTTAAACTCAACTTCTAAGTACTTAAAAGGTCTTTAGTGAGAATCTAACAATGACCCACCATCTTGAAGATTATATTAAACGTCTGACAAATTAACTACATACAAAAACGAATTAATATCTACTTTAAAAGACGCACTTTAAAAGACTTTCGTCCACATGGCTTGATCCATGGCTTTCAAACTTCTAATCCTCAGCAAAAGTTTAAATCACGTCAAATCCTCATTGGTCGAGAAATGTCACGTGCATTGGCTTTATTATCTGATTGGTTATTTGTCAAAGTCAAACTTGAAAGATCCATTTCTTCGCTGTAGAGGACTTGAAACAGGGCTAAGCCCTAGGAAATCCACGAAGGCATGGTCAAATCAACCTTCTTGAGGGCTTTTAATAACCTTTCGCACAAGTGGCGATATTTGTAGAGAATCCTTCTTTTTTTTATCTCAAAGTTTTGATGAAGGCAATGGCGGCACAAAACTGCATCCAATAGTAGGCCTCTTCGCCACTAAGCTGTTCTTCGTAAAAGTTAGTTACATACTGCACCGTGGAGAGAAGACCAGGTGGATTGGCGTGGATCACTACATAAACCAGTGCTGGAACAAATTCGTCAGCCCCAGGTACGCTCGTCTCACTCGCCATACACAGGAGGTTCATAATAGTGGCGCAGCATCGATTGACGCACTTCAGTTTGTCAGTAGGCGTCTAAACGGAAAGACAAAAGAAAACGAAAATTCTTTTCGTCATTTTGAGTAAATCTCCTGGTTTTGTGATTTATTTAGCAATTAATGAAAGGGGGTGAGTAGGATATGGAGAATTAAGCAGATCAAGGAGGGTGTTAGCTGTAGTTCTTACTCTTGAAACGAGTGAGATGTCCGCCATTTTTTTTCACGACCAAAACAACTCAACTTCGTCCCCAAGTATTCTCGGTAACGGTGCCTTAACCTGTAGAAGGCGCATTTTTGACGTCACTTCCTCGGTAAACACAAAATTCTTCCAAATTTGGTCATCAGTAACTGATTATGGTGAATTATGCGTGTGCTTTTAGCCAAACCGAATTGGGGAAATATTTTGAATCAATAATAATCATATTTAATGACACTGCATTTACGGCAGTTAAAAGTAATGCCCACCATTGACAGGCAACGATTATTTATTTCGCCAGAATTCGGTACTAGTAGTTACCTTGTAGGCATTAATCTTGAGTAACTCCTTCTGAGCAGATTCCCAAGGCGCCTCTTTCCGGTACATCTAACAGCAGCACAAAAAAAACCAAACACACAATTGGAAAGAATTAATGGCATTTCAAACAGTTAGCATCGCGGATTCGGCAGATATAGCCATGTTGCCCCCCTCGTACCAAGACATCCTTGATTTTTCCTATGGTAGTTGCGGCACAAGCGGTCATGGGAATTTCAGGTATGCATCGGGAAGATTAAAAAGCGCAAAGGCGCGTGGGAAGGCCCATTCCTTTGAGCTGCGACTACAGACGAAAATCCCAAAAACCCCCTTGGTATGAGGCAGCATTTTGCCTGCACGGACCAGAAGAAGGGGTCCGGGCGAGGGTAAGAATTGATTCAGTCTCGGTCATCACTTCCCTCATACACTTAGCTTTTGATTTATTTACGTTTAGCGATTCTTAGTTTCAGCGAATCTCAGCCAACAAAGTTCAAGACATTCGGCTGATTGCTGCAAGTGGGGCTTTAAGTTCCCTTCTTTTGTACCAAGTAGTTTGGAGTTTTCGTACCTCGCGGTTTCGCGTTTGGGCGCCATAAAGTGAACCGAGGCCGATCCTACCGCTAGAAAGCCGACGAAACTTATGAGAACATTGACAAGTTCACGTCATAAGTTTTTAAATAAAATGGCTGCCAGGCCCTTGTTTCTAGACAGTTGTTTGCGACTTGCTTGTTAGAATGGGCAAAGGAATTCACCCTTCAGGCAGAGTGAGGGACAAGGGTCGCGCAGTAGTGACAAACCACACCTCTACTAATGTGACCTCTGGTCATTTCTCGAAAGCAATTAACGCAATGTCCGGATTGAGTTTGTTAATTTTCGTCCTTGCTCTGAGAGGTTTTTCTTGGGATACAACAGTTTTTATCCTTCCATCAAAAACTTATAATCCCAATTTCCAGCTGGATTAAAATCGCACGAACGTGATAAAAGGGGTATAACTTTTTCCTGTCTTTTAAAATCCCGGGGGGGGGGGATGGTACTTCCTTATAAGAGGCTAATGGGGATGTGCCGCTGGATGGGGTCGCATTTTCGATACAATTACTAGAATGGGGTCGCACATTTTCTGATTTTTGGTGTAGGACAGTTTTTCACATTTACGGTTAGCAAACGTACCAGAATGTTTGCATTGTAGGTGAGAAGTAGAGTGTTCTTCATTCAATATAAGGCATATACATAAAAAGAAAGTGACTAAGTTGGGATCGCGAAAATTACATATTTGTCCAAAAGTGACTAAGAGGGGGTCTATAATCGGCCACAGAATAGACTATAATGGGGTAGGGACTCTGAGAGGCCAGCGGCACATACCCAGCAAAAATTAACCCAAGTACCCCCCCCTCACCCCCGGGTTTAAAACCAACGATGACCGACAATCGATGACCGTCAATCACTTTTAACATCAGCCTCCGGGACGGGAGAATAGGTAACCACTCCCTGTGTATTTACCTACATTCTTCATTATATTTGAGGAGGAGGGCGGCGGCAGATCATAAAAGATCGTTGCTCTTGCAATATCTAAATGTCCTAACGATTCTTTAGTAGGATGTCTAAAATGAGTGCAATTTCGTTTAGGCATCATTAAATCGTATACCAACGGCAGAATTATTTTTAGGAGGAGCTAACCACAATGTGAGCTCAGTTGCTGACAGCACGAAGGAAAGTCTTCTAAAGTGTGAAATGAAATTTCGTCACATATCCGTCACACACACCTTTGCCACCCGCACAGCCTTGTGGTTAAGATGAATCTTCTTTTGCAGGTTGGTCACGTGTTCATAAAATGTTCTGAAATTTGAGGAACAAACAGTTAAAAATGGACAATAACAATAATAGGGATACAGATGCGACCGACCTCTCTTAGTCTTCAACATCTCTGTTTTAGCCTACCATACCGCTTGAGAAAGGATTACTTCTGCTATTTTCTATTCGTGTATTAAACACTTGGATATTTCGACAAAATGTTTATACTGTTTACTCTGTAATAATATTCTCTTGCGCAGCTGTTTATTTAGTACTGAGTGCTGATACAATTAACTCCTGCATGGGGGCCTAGTGACATTTTCAAACAACAGACACTTTGACCGTACAGAAACAAAGACACTTTTCTTTGGTGTTAAACCCTTTGTTAAATCCTTTCAGTGCTCAAATCGCAAAGTCAAAATTCAACAAAATTTCCAAATTTCATTTTGTAAAATTCTGAAAACTTATGCTGCCATGTGAAAGTGCTGCCAAAGAGATTTCATTTGAAAGTTCACACCACAGCCACAACCTCAAATACTAGAGGCACGTACTAGACAATCAAGCAGTACTAAGTGAAAGTACCAATGAAGACGTAAGTTTCATTTGAATGGTTACATCGCAGACAAAAACTAGACTCTATCATTCACTTTGGGATTGGAAGGGTTAATACAGTAACACAAAGTGATACTCTAAACAGGCAAGGCTGTTTCATTGCATCAACAACAGAATTCTTCACCTATCTCTTTCCATGTCTACTTCACCATTTGGGTAAAATGCGTATTTGAAGATACTGCTCATGATAGCTCGTTCCGTTGCCACACAGGTGTCTTGCAGCTGCTCTTCACTCGCACCTGTCGATCAAGTTCATAAAAAAGGCTTCATAAACACTGGCACACATAGTGATAACGTGAAAGGGCACAGCGTTTGCATCACTGAGACTCTCGGCATAGCTGGAGTGCATCTTAGTTTCTACAGCATCAAGTAGCTAAGAGTACTACTTACCTTACTTGCAAACTTGTTCGAGTAGCGTAGCGTGCACCGAATTATGCTTTTTCACAGGAAAAATCTCAAGTTTTCTAGTTATTCTTAGGTCGATGAATGTCCTGGTTTTTGATTGGTTGACTAGAAACTAAGAAACGTACTCATTGATTGATTATTGGTGTCGAAAGAATAAGCATCAAAATGCCTGGGAAAGGGCCCTGGGATGGATGAGGGCTTCCCTTGATGCAATGTGTCTTCATCAAATTTGACTGAGGAGAGACTAGGAACGAGTATGCAACCTTCCTACATGAGCGTAAAAAACACTGTACCTGTCCAAATGGGATGGTTTCTCATTTCATCAGCTAACTTCTCCAGGAAATCTTCAAGCAAATCACACTGAAAAAATGAATAACAAAATGGGTTTTTTGATTGCACTTCACAATAACAAACACGTTAAGTTTTAAAATTATGCCAAAGACTGATGTGAACTTCCGCAGATCAGTATTTTTATTAGCGCCACCATTCAAGTACAAGCTACTGAGCAGTAATTAAAGTTTTGAGAGCTATGAGGTACATAGTGGTTTCTCCTTTTGATTCTATAGGCAAAATCCCCTTAAATAGAAACCATTTGAAAGTACTTGTCCACAAACTAAAAACACAGAAATCATTAAGTTGTTATGTCTTTTTTATCATGTTTGGCTGCGAAAAGGCAAGCAAGACCAGGTCTACATTCAAGTTTGAAATGCTCCATGAAATTATCCTTTGCAAACCTTTTCATCTGGCGTGGGTAAAGACTGAAAATCGGAGGTGAAAGCATTGATCTCTCCCTTCTCTTTGGACTCAAGAAACAGCTTCACACAAGTCATAATGAAGTAATTTCGGCAAATTATTTTGTCCCTGTTGGAGAAAGAACAAAAGAATCAATCTCATCCCTCGAGGTATCTCTTCTCCGCCCCCCCTCCCCCCCCGGAGTGATCTTCCCTTGCTCCTTCAGGGGTGGGGAGACGAAAAAAAAAAACTAGGAACAACATTCACCACTTAACAAAGGAGAAGGAAACTGGGTCAAGTTAAGTTTCGAAAAGACTTCTGGGACTGTTACCATGGGCAGGGGAAAAATTGACCAATAGCTGACTGGCGTATCCCCAGTAACCATCCCACAAACCATTGCGGGATGCCCTTTGGTTCCAGTTCCTTCTCGTTTCAAATTGCAAAGAAAAATAAGCTATTAATAGAGAGTTTTAGATCCGAGTATACCGCGAACCTCTAACCGCGGTTTGCGGTTACCCGTTTGCGGTTCGACGTTCAAACATAATTCGATTTAGATTGGCGGTGGATTAAATTACGGCAGCCATTTTGAATCAGCAGCCATGAATGGTATTTGTTTTCAAGATCCAATGGGATTTTTAAAATTTAGCATTTCGCCCCAATTTGTGCCTCTGGTAATGGATAAAGACTTGCTCCAAAAGATTTTTGTATCATTACGTGGGATGAAACAAGAATTATACGCTAAAATCTTCCAGGTAAATGACATACGTGAAAACCTACCTCCCCACGTTGAAAACGCACGTCGTAAACCTCAAACGTGACGTGAAAGACTTGTCACGTGACCTCCAGCGGTTAGAGGTTTGCGGTAAACTCGGATCTAAAACTCTCTAATGTGTACATTAAGGAAATATCTCTAAAAAACAAAAATTATGGCATAATGTGGTGTGTGAAATCTAACAGCCATTACTGATAACAAGAAATGGATTTGCATGCCTACCAAATCACATTACCCCCACAGAGAGGACTTGTAAGAGTTTTATAGTTTCTATTATATTGTTAGGTGTGCATTCCCAGAAAGCAATTTTGGAGTATACAGCCCACTTCCAACGGGACAAAAACGTTGCTCCCGCCATCTCAAATATCAAAATTTTGTTCTCAAAGACACAGAACAAAGAGGAATACCAATGACTAGAGGTGTTTATTGCTCTTGGTCTTAAAATAAGTAAGACTAATTGAGTAAAACAAACGATCACATTCCTCATTCCTCTGGATAAAATATATTTACAGTGTAATGCCAAGTCAATAAAAGTCAAGAATTCCTGGGCCAACAGTCACATGACCGTAGAAGTTACACATTATCTCTGTTAGCCTGTGGACAAATGCGATAGTGTGAGGATCAATCATTCTTACTTGAGTTTCTGAGTCAGAAATTAATGTTAATATTGAGTATTTTAGCCACTAAAGAACAACAGTCAATGTTGTAGATATTCTTTTTATCAGTTTTATCTATTGTAGGACATTTTTTTAATGTTATTAATCTAATTTAATTCTTATTTTAATTTACATCTTGCATGATGGCATCCCCTTTGCAGGACTAGTGATTTTTGAAACGATAAAGAGGACCGCAGTTTTGAAATATCAAAACAGGACATTCTGAAATCTAGCCACTTTTCTAGACAAAGCAAGGAGAGTCAGACATAGTTACCTTTCCACTCTATCCACTAATCTCTCCAAGTGAGAATGGGTTGCTAATAAACCTTGATGGGCATTGATTAGATATGCCAGGTATGGTGACCTTGACTTGTACTCCTCTTCCAGAGCATCTAACAGTTTAGAACAGCTGTGAAAAGAATACTTAATGCTGAAAAATTGTGAACTGTTTTAAGGAATGACAGATCTGTCATGACGTGATAACATACACATAAAAAACTAAATTTGAGTTATTACATGTAGTTACCACCCTGCTATACAGGTACATGAAATAAGGAAATGGGTTTTCTTTTGTGTGTAAATAGAAGGTTCTTAGTTTTAGACACCTCGTACATGTAGCATTGGCTTTGTACTAGGCTTGTTAACTCCAGTTACGTTCACACAGTCCTGGACGATGAGTTATTACCCATTCAAACAAATGTATCCTTGCTATTTTAAACATTTAGATGACAAAGTTGTTCAGGTCTGTTCTTACCATGCCGGTCGAAATAATTCTCGACTGCACTGGCTACAAACTGGACTTCTATTTTGGCATTCATTTTAGAACGGTTAGCTGTATAAATTTTCATACAGTTAGCATGGGTCTGTGTGAACAGATCACCTAAATGCACAGACTTTTGGTACGGTGTGAAACATGCAAGCCTCAGACTTGACCTACCAGAATTGTAAAACTGAATGGATTACTTGCAGTCAGATTTTATGTCTGGTGCAAATGTGATTTTTTTTTTCAAACTCACTAACAACATTGCCATCTTCTTATCATTCCAGAAACAAATGAAGGTAAAAATATATTTGGCCAATACATACAAATACATAATTTATCATACACAATTTACCTATGGGGTGGCAGCTCCCTAACGCTTCTTATTGTCTCATGCAGTTGTGCTGATAGGGACCTGTCCTGAAGATTAATAGCCTCAGCAAGCTGCACATGAAGGAATGTCATCAGTTCTTGACTTGGTCTTTTGCTGTGTGCCCTTGAAAAAACAACACCCACACTACTTTTGTATGTTTAAAAAACTACTCTCAAACAGCACCTATCAAAAATTAAGAACACCTAGTGTTTATCCCTCCCAAGTGTTTCCCTGCCTGCCTACCTGTGTTTGAATTTCACGAGAATCTTTATTTGTGGGTATTTAAGTTCGCGTAAAATTAAGTACTGACCAATAAGGTAAGATATAGAGGATTTTACACGCCCGAACAGAGATACAAAATTTATCTTCGAGTGTTGAAAAATATTTCATAAGTGTGCGCAGTGAAGGAGTGAAATATTTTTTTCAACACGAGAAGAGAAATTTTGTATCTCCAAGCGACCATGTAATGTTTTATTTATTATATAAACACCAATGAAATACCAAACCATTTTACTTAAATAGTTTTTCGGTCTGAAAGGTGTGGTTTATTATGAAGCCATAGCAATGGTGATATTTTCACATGTGAAGATACCAAGTTTTCGTGTGAAAGCTCACTTGGTATTTCATTGGTGTTTATATAATAAAAAAATAATATCAGTCTGGAGTTGAAAACCTACTTTATATCTGGAACTCTGTTATCAGGATGAAGCAATGGAAGATTTTGAAAGTCTGCTTGGCATAGCACCATCCTGAGTTTCCTTTTTGAGTTTTCAAACCTCTCTTCTTCATCAACGAAATCATCCTGTTCCTCACCAGCATCTTCTTCATCATCATTCGCTGCTGGAGCTGACGGTCCTGGCCCGGTTGTCTTTTTTGCTGTGTACTTTTCTATAATCATTTCTATGTCTATTACAAAAGTAACAGAATTTCTACATTACATATCAAATAATTTTTTGGTTACACTTAAAAGCACCCAGCCAAAATCGCAGTTTGAGTGGTGGTAATTAGTGGTGGTCACTTACAGGAAACGGTTGCTTATGAGCATCAAACCAAATGCACAGGAAAAAATAACAGATTCCCATTTTTGGATATTTCAGGGTAATTAAAGAATACCCACAAAAATCCCAAATTTGGAAGAGTGAGACAAGTCCCAACCAGGGAACTTGGTTGGGAATTCCCTGCTTGGGACTTGTCTCACTTTGCCAAATTTGGGATTTTTGTGGGTATTCTTTAGATACACTAAAATATCCAATATTGGGAATCTGTTACTTAGTCCTAGTCCTAGAAGACAAAGGAAATTAAGAATCAACCTAAGTTGAAAAATTTTAATCCGAAATCAAATTTGACCTGTGACATATGCCCTGAGTAGCCACGTCCACAGCGAATAAAGAGATCAGACAATGTGTTACGTGACAAGCTTAGAAAAGGTTTGAAACAGTAATATTATAAAACCAACACCCCCAAAAGTAAACGTGGCGACACGAAGCACTGAGTAACTTCGGCTCAAGCAGCTGCAAAAGAGGCTACCCCAAAAGTGAAAGTAGTTTCTCATCAGAGATCATCATTTACTCAGCAGGTTCCAGAAATAGGGTTTGGATGGGAAAATTTTGGTGTCTTAAAACAGGTGGTCGCTTATATAAGGGGTGGTCCCACACAGAGGATTAACTGTATTATTAATTACTTTATTTTTGTGGTGTCTTTGACACCCTTAGCCCCCGGGGGGGGGGGGAGGGGGGGACTCCCATATGAAACAGACGAGGATGCTCATCGGAAATTTTGAATTTAACCCCTAAAGGAGACCATCTGGGCGTGGCTCAAGCTTTTTGTGACCCCTAAAGGAGACCAATCTGGGCGTGGCTTAAGCAAATTTTGACCCCTAAAAGAGACCGCTTAAAAACACACAAATACGACATGCAATGAGTTTTAATGATATAAAGACATAACAAACAAAGTTAAAAAGAAAATTGACTTCTGTTTCTCTTCCCATAATTCTGTGTTTCTTCATGGAACCCTAAACGAGACCTTGGCAGCTTAAAATATTGGTGCTTTGCCCGGAACACCCCAAGCGAGACCAAAATCCAAAATTTACACCCCTAAGCGAGACGACGAGCATCCCCGTCTGTTTCAAATGGGAGTCCCCCCACCCCGGGCCTTAGCCACAGGTCACCAACACTGAACCTATATCTTTTTTATTCCATCAAGATTTAATTTACCTTTTGTAGTTTTCACCTCAACATCAATGTCTAATGCATCAAGTGTTTTCTCGGCCAGTTTCTCATACACCCTTTCACCACTTGTCTTGGATGCTTTCTGATCCTTCTCTGAGCGTCCCTTCTTCATTATTTTGAAGAAACCTTTGTCCTTTTTACCACTGAGCTCACTGAAATCATCCTCGCCATTGAAGGAGCCTTTTGAAATTTTGGACTTTCTTTTGAACCGGCGTTTAAAGGAAGCAGCACGAGAAGTTTTCTTTCCTGACTGAGTTGTCTCTCGATCGTCATCAGCAGCACTGGAGGACCCACTTTGTGCTGGAAAATCATCGCTGAAACTCAAAAAGCTTGCCTGACTATCACGATTGGATCCCTCACCTTGAGCACCAGTGATTGTCCCACTACTTGTGCTTCCATGACGGCTTACTGCACTTAGTCTTTTCACTCCATCAGCTACCTCCCTGGAACGAGGGCGAAATCCAGAACTGGGTGAATCTATGCGTTCAGCACTAAGAAGGTCAAAACCAGAATCTTCTTCCGTTATATCGTCATGGCCTACTTCAAAATGGCTGCTACCCCTGCTAAACTCAAACCCACTACTACGATTGCTACTGAAAGAACTCAAACGGGTGCTACTGCTGGTACTGATAGCACTATCTCGGCTTCCTTCAGGCTGATCGCGGAATGCAGGTGTTATTTCTGTACCAAAATCAATCAAATCAACACTCCCAGCATGCGTGCCATTTGTCCTCACTAACACATCCGGTGCTGCATGCACATCTGCTCCTGTAAAACTATCTTTGATGTTGTTGTGCAGCAAATCAAAATGGTCCATCCCTGCTACCATCACTGGATGAAGAGGCTCTGGTACATTTGCACCAACATTAGTAGAAACCAAAGAGGCTGGATCACCCTTGACAGTGACATCACCACTTCCATGATCAGAACGATAATCCAGGCTCTCCTTCCTCATTACAGACTTTATTTCCTTGTAGAATTGGGTTGACTTTGAACTGCTTCTCTTTCTGAATGAGTTATCTGTTTTTACCTCATTCTTTGGATTTTTAATGCCAAGGACCTGAACAACAAAAAGTTGTAGTTATTCGGTAAAGCACCCATAGCACTGCTGCAGCTTAAGTGTATCAAGTGTCAACTCACTATCTTAAGCACAAATTGCCACAACATAGCAGAAAATAAATTACCGTAAACCACAAGCAGTGCGTAACTTTAAAATTTTATTATCACTGGCTAATTACCAGCATATTTACCTTGAATTTATGTATTAAGTACCAAATCGTAGTGCTACATCAGTAGGGGATTGATGCAAAAAATCAATTTATCAACTGTATTGAATAGAGTATTGATAAATATTATTGGCCACTATGAAACAATTCAAAAGCCAACACTCCATAGCATTTGTTGTTCATCAAAGTGGGATTCATTCTGACAAAGGGCTAGTTCTTAAATACTTTATTGTCAACTTTTGATTCCTTTTACCAAGGAAAATTCACTATTAAGCCATTTTTTCAAATCTTCAAATAACTGTACTCCACAGGGTTCTTAAATGAACCTGTAACCCATAACACCTGTCATGGGTATCTCAGTTAGCATTATGGCTGTCAAAACCCATTGACCAGTGGATCAATTTTGTCTATTAAATTCAAATAAAGGAATGACTTTTTGAGTAAATGACTACATGTAAAGTATTGACTGTTAGTTGCTTTTGCAATGTACCTTTCTTTGGTTTTAGTTGTTGGAATGAATAGCCTGTCATCAGACCACAGAATGACCAAACAATTGTTGTGCATTGCAATGTTTCTGCAACATTGAAACATGGCCGACATAAAATTATTGAATTTGTACATTTCAGCCGAGGCCTCTTGCAGATGTCTTCTTTCCACATGCGAAACGTGCTGGCTGAAAAGCTGACCATGGGTTACACCTGTTAGTATGTTGCACAGCAATGGCTGTACAAAATTCAATTGAGGACCCTGCTTCAATTCACTAATATCACCTAACTTATTATCATTACCTTCTCTTCAGAGAGCATTCCGGGGCAATCAATGGATGAATAACCAAGAGAAATTACTAGGACATCTTCCCCTTCTTGAAACAGAAAAGGTAACCTCCTGAGAAACTCTTTCTTGAACTCTTCAGATCTGTTCACAACAGCTGGTGGATTAAACTGTGACGTCTGCCTTGTTTCAAGTTTGCCCTCCGTTTCCCCTGCTTGAACTTCACGTAGACTTTGCTTGTGAGACTGTTTATCTTTCTTTTTAAAATGTCGTCGTTTTGGTGGCTTTGGACTTTGCTCTGGTGCAGAGTCATTACTTGCCACATCTTTGAGCCGATCTTTAGGGGGCGTGGCCTCAAGGATGTCAGGTTGGGGAGGCAAGTTAACCAGTAACTCTTTCAACTCTTTGTGGTTGACGATAATCCTGTGGTCTTCACTGTGCTCAACCATCCTTAAAAAGCTCGTCTTTGAAACAGACAAATTTTTATTGAAATAAGTTAGTTTTACTAAGTTGTACAAAAAGTCTTATGGGATGGTCTGCAGAGAATGGAATGATACCAGCACAGAAATAAATCTCATACTGGCACATGCAACACATCCAGCAATCAGGGTTTTACCACTTGCTCTTAAAACTTATAGAATGTGCCTTTACCCACTTGTGGTTTGATAGCAAGAAAACTTTTGGTCTAGTAATAAGTAAAGTCTGAAGCTAAATAATTTTGGTAACTAAAAAAACACGGAGAGACTCAGAACTGATAAGAGATTATTGATCCCAATTTCATCATGCCAGATGTGTACACAGGGGAAGGGCAGGAATGAGACTGCAAGGTTCCATTCAAGGTGCCTTGTACTCAACCTATATCCATATGATTTCAGACTGGAACATACGATAAGAACACATCAAAGGGGGATTCCCTCCTACTCTAACTTTTGACTACACCAAAAATAAACTGCTTTCTGTAATACATATGTTGCAATTAATTTTTAATTTCAGTTAATTTTTGTTTTTCCTTTGTTTTAAATTCATTAGCATACATTACCATACCCCAAAACAGTGGAAAAATAAAAATTAACTGAAATAAAAAATTAACTTCAACACATACATGTATGTACTTACCAAGGCATGGAGTTCATTCTCTGTGATTAGAACTGAGTTACGGGTTAGACCAGGAAGTGTCTTTTGAATAGGAAGATCTGCAACTTCTGTTTTGTTTTCCAGCACAGCATCTAAATATGACGTAATGCATGCCTATGAAAACAAAAGGTGACAGAAGAGAAAGGTCGCTACAAAACAGCAAGATATACTTGTCAGTCTTGCTTCGAAAAGCTTCCTTTCCTGGCCTAGTGAAAAATAGAAAGATCTTCTGTCGAACAAAAGATTGTAAAGAGTAGCTCAGGTGACCCATGAGATAGCCACTATTTTACACAAGTGACTGACATTAATATGTTCTAAGAGGTTACTATTTCTAAAATTAATTTCCTGGACTGGGTTGTTCAAAGCTGGGTTGAGATAACCCAGGGTTAGTGGGGAATTTGAATTCAGATATGAAAGCTAAAGGCAGAAATTCATTTTAATTCTTTTTCTCTTCAATTTGATGATTGGATGCTCTAAAAAGAATAGAGAAATTATTGGAGAAAATGCTTTTGAATGAAAGAAAAAGAAATCCGGACTAAAATTTTACTCCGGGTTAGCGCTAATCGGTCTTTGAACAATGGGGCCCTGAACTTAAGTCACAAAAAATCTCTGTTTGAGCCTGTTGAGCTGGTACTATGTATGAGCTACAGTAGCCCTATCAATTCAAAATAATCCCTATTATTTTATTAAAACTATTGTCTGAGTGTCCTTCAGCTTTTTTAAACCATCTGGGCTCACTAAATTTGTAAGAGAAATTAATTCTGGTGTGATTGAAGTATTTTTTTTAAAAACAAATTGTGAACGTGCCTGTTTTGGCAACTTTGAAATAACAGTCTAGGTAAGGTCAACCTTCAAAAAAATGTTGGAAAATCAGACATCAAATTCATTTTTAGACAGAGTTCTACCAGTAAGATTTTTTTTTGCAGTTCTTGGGTAAAAAGATCGAGACTTCCTTAACGTTACTGCTTAGTTTATCACCTTAATATAACTTCCTCCACAGAATATTAATTTGTTCAGATGTATTTTTTTTAATGACCTGTTTTTGCAGAATGATCATGAATAAAATTGAATCTTATCTAATTTGTGTACCAGTTTATGGATCAACTAGTATTGCTAAGGTATTAGACTTTAAAATAAGCACAAACAGAAATCTGTGTAAAAAATAAAACCGCAAGCTGAAGTAAATACTTACAGGGTCGATTCTTGAGAATAAGTCTAAAGATCTTGCACTTTCAGCACTTTCCGTCGAACAGCCGCAAAGCAAACAAGAAGCAATCTGTTGCAGGTTCTGCAATGCTACTTCGCTGATTTGGACATCGGAGGTGATGCCGAACTGCTCGGGTCTAATGATTGCAGGGCACACGAGGAAATCAAACAAGAGCTTTAGTACCATGGATCTTGCTTCTTTTTCATTGACCTTACCACTTAATGATACGGTGTTGAAAAACTGACAAACGATCCAGCGAAGGCTTTGAGGAAAACAGTACAGTTTGGACTGGAGGTTTTCCACAAATTTGGTACATTTAACTGGCAATCGTTGCTTGAGGAGGGAATCATCGGACAGAACCTGCATGATAGGTGCATGCAAGGCAGCAGTCAGGTACAACTTCGTGGAGAATAAGCTCTCTACTAAAATCCCGAAGAGTAACGTAAAAGAATTCCTGTGATTCTGAAAGAAATTTTCGGGCCCTTCGTCTCCCGAGACTTTAAGCTCGATCAAGCGTTTCATAAGCGATAAAACATAGTTTTCATCCTGAGGAAGCAAACAGTTACCATACAGAGAATTCAACAACAATCGAATCAGCTGTGAAGTGTCTAAATTGATTTTGTCGGCGTACGCCAAAGTCGACGCTACAAGGGAGGGATTTTCTCTCAGACCTCTTAAAAAATCCCAATACTTTGACTCCAAGTAGCCAAGATGCCTTGAAGCGTCAACAAAACGTGCTGAATCCAGCCGATTTACTGCTTGGCCACATTCTTCGGGTGAAGCCCTTAGCCGCTGCACTATCTTCCATTGTTGCCGGGTTGTCCACGACAAGTGATAAAGCCTTTCACAGCTCGACAGTATTTCTGCATTGAGGTTCGATATTTCGGCTTTTTCCTTGTTGACAAACAGTCGCTCCTGCTTCAAGCGTTCCTGAAGATTCCACAGTCGATTTCCAGTGGATGTTTCATCCGCCATCTTTAGTTGGGTAGCTGGCCATGTTACCAACTGCCAATCACAGATAGTTTTATAAAATAGAGGTATATTTTTAACGTGTGTTTTCATTGGTTGTCGACAAATTGTATTGTAAAAGCCTACTTCCTCATGCGAACAAAGAACAATTTAGCAAGCGGGTTTCTTCGTAAATGCCTCATTCAGACTCTTTCAGTAAAAACAGAAAGGAAAAGCCTAAGAGACTTAAGTACATTTCCGTTAACTGGAAAACTTCCCACGTTTTCCTCACGTTTTCCTCCTGAACGAAGGGCATCCAATGATGGACACCTGGAACCGACCCCTGCCTTTCCTAGTCATTTTCGTGCGCTTTCGTTGAAAAAAAGGAGGACACCTTCGAACGGTGCTATCTGTCTTTAGCGAGAACCGAGCGTACAGCTTACGAAACTGAAACCATATATTTCTGTGGCTTCAAATTTTTTGTACACTTGAGAGTCTAAGAGATCAGCTGTTGGGTTTGTATTGTTGTTTCAAAAAGAAACGCGGAGTAAGGAAACCAAAGCATGACAAAAGAGCTAGCTCTTTCTCTTCATCAGTATTAAACAATCCCTCAGTTTCAGTTTTGTTCAATAAAGTTTGTAAAATTTGACATTACTTTAACCTCTGGCTTTGGTCCTGTCAGTAATAGTGTCTCTTTTTCATACTCTGTGTTGCTTGGCTCAGCCGCAGTGAATCCTATATTACTTCCTGTGGTAATATCACGCGGTCGAACTAAGCGTATATGATCGTCATTTGAACGTGAGTACCAGTATTTCTATGTCCGGAAAGTTTGTTTATTCGGAATTTTTGGTTACCGCATAGAGTAAAAAATAAAAAGACATATTTGTAAAAAGTTTTACATTAGAAATAACTGAGAATTAACATTTGTATCGACGAATAAATAGCAATATCTAAACAAAGATACGATTAAGAAGTGTCAAGGATTTTGACCAATTTCTGCGACGTTACGTTACAGCGCCGTTTAAGCGATGTTGTAAAAACTGTTCAGATATAACGCGCACTCTGATTGGTTCATGATAACGCTTGCTTTCGACAGTACAAAAAAACAGATCCCACGTTTGTTTCGAAAACTAGGAAGTAATACGGGGAGAATTTAACGCATTCTTCATCATAAGACAAGTAAAGAAGCCTTAAATATACTTTTTTTTTGTAGCAAAGCACTTGGGAGGGGCTAGAGCACTCAAAACGTAGGGAGAAATATTAGACGACTACTCCCTCTACACTATAGCCCCTTCCTGTGTGCTGTACAGTCAAGGCTTCTTTATTTTTTAAAAATTTAAAATTGGAATCAAAAGGGATATTGTCTAACTCCGGATAATCCAACGGGTATCGTAAGTATACTGTGAGGGGGTCGATGCAAAATCGCTCATAAGGCACTGAAATGCAGCTGAAAATTAGTAGCAATACCAGTACATTTCTTAAAAAGAACAGAACTCTTAGTTTTAGTTCCCAAACAAATTTCTGTCACTCACGGGTTAGCGGTAACTGCATTAGTCGAATTCGACCGTAGACTGATCCGGTTGGAAGGGTTCAATAGCCCTTTGATGTGTATTTTAGGGCCTTTTTTCTAACTACCACGAAACAAGTTCCGTCTACAGGTCTACTTTTCCCAACATGGTCTCTTGTTTGCATTTTGCTGAAACGTTTTGAAACCTGTCCAGTTGCTTTTTTAATCAATGATCACTACACATTAAGATTAAATTAACTGGACAGACACTTACAGATCCTTTTTAAAGCAACCCGAGGGGCTTATTTATTTCACACACCTTTAAGGCGGGGAGGGGGGGGAGGGGCTTAAAGAGACGGGAGGCTAACTTGAGATGGGGGGCTTATTTAATTTAGCTAAGACGATAGTATAAGTTCTTCATAAAGAACTAAAAAGCAGATTGGAAAAGCTCAAGTACAGGACGTGGGAGGTCATGCAGCCGGGGATCCAGAAGAAATCCAGACTTCCAGCTGGTGAATCTCAAACCATCCTGGATCAAACATTAACCACAAGGGACTGCAAAGGACCGCAAACGAATATGCCAAAGAACGGAGGATCTATAAAGACCTGATCAGCAAAAAAAATAATATAGACATATTAAATTCTGCAAGCAGAATACTGCAATGCTGATCGTACTACGTGAAAATTAACTTTGCAAGACATCAACACGACACCGAAAGAACTCAAAACAGAGCACGGAAGGGCTAAAAAAAAAGAAAATAAAAAGAAAAAAAATAGGAAAGGAAAGAGATAAAAAGACGATTTGCGAACAAGGGAAGGAAAAAGATTATAACTCCCATCAGAGATGACGTCATGATGAATTGAAGGGAAGTATCCGGCACGAAGAGTCCAAAAAACGACAATTTTTTCAGTAATATCCGAATTAATCGAATAAGCTGTGGTAAAATTTCAAAGAGATATCTCTCACTATTACGTGAATGATTAGCAAGCCGGTAGACTGGGTGGGGGTTGTGGACATAAAAAGCATGTCACGGCTTAACCTCATAAGTTTCCCACCAAGCCCTTCCTTTAGTCGCTATGGTATTTTTTTCACAATGTTTGACTATGAGCGTGAAAGGGCAGTGAGTTCCCGGGTAAAGTAAAAAAAAAGTCAGGAGCTTAGCTGCCTTTGAGACATTGAGTCAGAGGGCAACAAAAATTTGGGCCAAAATGAGCTCATGGAATCACATATTAACAAGGCATGACTACGACTACGTTTCAACCAGGCGCCATTGCGCTTAAATTTCCCGCATTACCCACCGAATCAAATTGGTGGTTAGGATTCTTCATTATAATTATACCTTGCTTGAGGACTTTGAGAATATTTCATAATGTGTTAAAAATTAAATTGTCGCATTGATGGACATGCAAATCTGGCACTTCGTTCAAAAAGAAAAACTGTCGTTGAACGCCATTTTGCGTTTTTTTCTTTTTAAGTGGATACCCTTTAGTGTTCCGTAGTTTACTTTGACCAGGAGACAAGAGAGTCGCTTTGACTACTTGCCAAAATCTTCTAGTAGTTCCCCAATAATTGAAAGTTTATTAATCGCAAGGGAGGACCTCGCGCGCGTCGCTTATCCTGCACCCGTATTTTTCATGCCCCCCTGACCCTAAACTCATGACCACCGGCGAAAAACAAGCGTGACGAGTGGCGGGCGAATTCCGGCGGGGCATCCCTGCCTTCTGCCTTACTGATCTGACTGGAGGTCACACTGTCTTCTCATCAAGATGAAACTTTTTTAAGTTTTCAGCTGTGTAGTTTTCTTTGTTTTGAAAACAGTTAGGTTTTTAAAACTCGTGTGACAAATCATGAGAAATACTCTGCCTGATATGCCGGGGTACAGATGTTTTTCTCGCTTGGATGTTTCAGTGTCGGCTGTCTCTGGCACCCAGGGTACATGTAGTTTATTGCATACCTCTTCTCATAGAAATCATAGGATAAAAAACCGATGGAGAAATGCATAGTATTGTCAAATCTTTTTTTAGCGAAAAAAAAAAAAACGCTCAGTAATCAATAACCCTTGATTTGACTGAGCCTACGTGCGTGAGTTCAAATTCCAGCGGAGTTACCCCATCTCCAAAACTAGCGACAACTCCAGGGTGGGAGGAAGAGGAAGAGCGAAAGCTGGAAATTTCGCGGCTTTGACTTCCTTTACATTTTTATTTTTCTTCCGTCATCGTGTAGAAGTCTATAGCTTGTATGGAAGGGCCTTATGATCACCTTACGCCCGAAGTTTGTGGAAAATCGCCGCGCATTTTGCCATTTGGCGCCCAGTCGGGCTGCCGTGATGTAATATGGATGTAAACGGAATGGGATCAGAAGTCATCAAAACTGCTCGATTGGATATCAACGGTGACAATCACGAAACACGTTTACACTACATATGTCGTCTGTGAAAGTAGCTGTACGAGTCAGGCCGTTTGCAAGCCGTGAAAATAACCGACGCTGCCGATGTATAATTGGGATGCATGGAGCGACAACAAGTGAGTGTCGGCTCTCGTAATATTTATTTCATTCCCCTGTTAATTTTTAATTTTAAGTTTTAATTTTTCAGTGTGGAGGGGCTGGTGGTAAAACAGCTGAAAATGAAATCTTGATCAATTGATGTCTCTCCTTTACTCTTCTTCGGGATTTGAAAATAACAATTTCTAAATAGTGCGTTGGAATTGACTAATTTTACACGGTTCATTTACTGAATGCTTGTATATGGATATTAACACTTTGTTTTAAAAAAATAATCACTAGTATATTCACTGATATATTTTAACATCCGGAAGCAACTCTAAAAGTGTTTTTAATTGTTTGGAAGCTTATCAATAATTAAACAATTTCAAAACTGCGAAATAATTTTTTACTTTTACCTACACAATTTGTCGGTTTCAAAAATTAATGTATTTTCAAAGCTTGTGGTTATTTTAAAATTAATTTTGCCGTCGACCATTTCGTTTCATGCTGCTGATATTTTAAGTTGACTAGAGTTCTGTCTGTATATTATTTATGAAGATTATCTCCAGCATGGTTACCTTGATCATGAGATAATTGAAAGGAAAAAAAATTGTAAAAAGTCACTGGATATTTTCATGTCAATGTTGTTTCATATATAAATCGATGGTGTTATTCACAAGAAGTGAACAGTTGTTTTGTCTTTTTGCATATCGAAAGTGTTTGTTTTGATTTTTCACTTTTATATTTATCACTGATCTGGCTGCAGCTGGGTAAACATGGGAAAAAATTTATGTAAGATCAGCATGTTGTTTGCAAACCAACTTGACATCTAGGGGGAAGTGGAATGTATGACATTGGAAAATGAGGGGAGAGATACCTAGGGGGGCTGGGGGGGCAATTTTTGCTTTTAATATGCCACGTCTGGCCTCTTGACACCCCTACCTCACCATTAAGTCAATTCTGTGATCAACAATAGACCCTAACTTAGTCATGTTTGGGAAAATGTCATTGCATTTATAATTACCTTAGAAAGCCTTCTACATGTAACTAGGACACCCTAATATTATTCTTACCCCCAAATTCCCAAAAATGTGGGACCCCTGTATTAGTAACTTTATTATAGTCAATCTAGTCATAAAAATGTGACCCCATCCAGCAACACATCCATATTACTGAGAAGTACCTCCTCGGCAGAGGACAGGAGGGGTTCTACAAGTCAGATGCAAGAGCTTTGGTAGAGAACTTCAAATGATGGGCAACTATTCAGATAAGATCAGTGGGATTCCAAACAGAGGGCATAACCAGGTTGAGTCTTCTTGCCCCTAACTCACTGCCCCTTAGGGCTTACAAGAAATGGTACAAATTAAATGAGACAATATTCTTAGACCCTCTGCCTAAAAAATCTTCTAGCAATGCAAGCTTCTACTTTGTCTTGCAGGGTTATTAAGAATATTAAATTCTCTTACAGCTATCCTCAACCCTAGAAATCCCAGTGAAAAGCCCAAGAGCTTCACCTTTGATTATTCTTATTGGTCGCATAATGAGGTAAGGTGTGAACAGGGTAAAGTGAAGCACTGAGGATCCATATCTTGTAATCTTCTAAGCACTGAATGTTGATAAAGTCACCTTCCTGCAGTAGCACAAATTGTCTCTTCAAGACTTAAGACATTTTATAGCAGTACAACACAAACTGTGGTAGCATTAACGGTATATTTAAAGGGAAAAGGCCTAACTTCTGGTTGGTGTGTGTCGCTCAAAAATTCCTTTTCTTATAACCTCTCTATTGAATGCATTGTCTTATTTTATGACTGAGTTAGAAGGTGACTGGTGACTTGTGCCTGGCCTTTGCCTATAATTTTGGATGAGAGCATGAAAACTTACTTGCCTGACAGAAATATGTATTTATCCCTGAGACAGTTGAGACAGGACTGACTTTTGAGCCCTGATTTTATAGGATTGTGTGACAAGGTGTTTTGTAAATGTATCATGATCTGTTTTTTTAAAAAATTTTTTGTCTATAGGGTGATCCTCATTTTGCTTCACAGAAGCAGGTTTATGCAGACATTGGCAAAGAAATGTTAGAACATGCATTTGAGGGGTATGTATTATTATTTGTACATGTAAATGTTGAAATTCAAAGTGAAATTTAGGTTTAAATGGTTTCAACCTTAAGTTCAAATCTCAGTTTCTTTTGTTTCCTAACCCTAATGTGACTATTCATGACCATGAATCGAGCTCCTTGCTTATACGAACTTAAACTTTCCTATTAAATTTCAAATTTTCAGTAAATTGAAATCCACTAGCTGAAACCCCTGTTGTTTTTCTTTTGTGAGTTTGTCGCTTCAAAAATATATCATATACACGTTTCTTTGTTGCTTATAAACCATGTGATAATTCCCATGAATTGGAATTATGACTTTTAATACACTTGATTATCTTATTCTGTGATGCATGGAAAAACATCAACTAGTATACTTTCTCCATTGACACCCTAGCAAGGGATTAGAAGGGCTTTTCATAGCATTTTATTCAGTAAAATAAAGAGAAAGAAATGTAAAATTAATAATCAACTATTAGATATTTCATCTCCAGACATCTCCCAAGCATTACAAACTGTAGTCAATATTTTGCATTTTTTTGTTTTTCAGTTACAACATCTGTATCTTTGCCTATGGCCAGACAGGTTCAGGAAAGTCATACACCATGATGGGAAAACAAGAGGCTGGCCAGAAAGGAATTATACCACAAGTAAGCTGTTTGATAGTAATAACTAAACAAATGCCAGGCTCTGTATGTGAAATTATTTTACACCCAAGCCTCATCTTCCTTTAATTGTTTGTGCTCACTTGATTAGAATGCGGGAATACAAATGTAGTCTATAGGAAATCAAGATTATATACTTTTTGTCACCTGTTCTAGAGTCAGCAAGTCTACAGGCATGCCCTGTAGGTCCCCCCAAGATAGCAACAGGATTAGTTGCAAGTAAATTAGATGCTCCGTCTGAACCCTACAGGAAAAGGCGGTAGGAGGGTTTGGTGTTACCCTCTGAGGGGAGGGGCTCAACCCCTTACCCTTTTACATCTATATACCATTTTTGACAAAGGTACCCCATGGTACCCCCTTTACATACCTACATGTAGTTTAGAAATTTATATCCCTTTAACTGCTGTAAATGCATTTTCTGTTAAATATGAGTAAATGACAAAACTAAAAAAATTAATTTGCTTTTTCACTGTCATAAAATCCTTCTGTTCCCGTTTTAGGTCATTTTACGGACCGAAATGACTGATTTCCCTACCCTTTCATATACTTCAACTAATGAAATCCCTACCCTTTCATATACCTGGGGCCTGAAAAAGACACCCCTTTCGGGCAGAGTCTCCCCATATAGGCCATTATAGGGAGTATCCCCCCCCTCATTGTGCCACAGTACAAGCTGTCCTTGAAGAATATTTTTTAATATTGTATGCTAAAATATAGCTTTGCGAGGATCTATTTGAAAGAATTGATCGAGAAAACGGTGAAGAGGTGACATTATCAGCTGAGGTAAAAATTAAATATTAAGTACAGTTTAATTGTTGGCCTTGTGAGCTTTGGATTTAAGTTTGGCATCATTTTTATCACTTGTATTGTTCACTTGGTTTTATCTGCAAATTATTTTCATTTACAGGAAATTTAAAGTTTTCCCTTATTTTTATGTAGGTTGTAGCTTGCTGTGTTGAAAGATCTGCGTTAATGTTTTTTTTAAAATTCTGATGTTTTGATCCTACATTGAATAATGTGGAGATGCTTGTTTTACATGTATGCTATTTAGTGTGTGAAATAGGGTATACATGCATGATGGACGCAATGAGTGATGACTGAAATTTTACTTTTAAAAACTTAATTCCTAGGTCAGCTACCTTGAGATCTATTGTGAACGAGTGAGAGATTTATTGAGTCCAAGTGCTGAAAACAACTTGAGAGTCAGGTGAGGTCTATGTTCTAATGAACATTTCATCCTTAAATTATAGGATGTTTCTTACTCTTCCTTATTATTTTGAACCTTGGAAACCTAGTGTAGCTTAGGAAATCCTAGCAAATAGTTTTGTTGAAAGAATGTGCATGTACCATGACTGTCCATTTTTTTATCTGTTTTGAGCTGGGTCCTTTTTTGTTTCTGTTTTTTTTGAATAAAGGGAACATCCAATGTTGGGTCCATATGTTGAAGACCTCACCAAACTTGCAGTTACATCTTTTGCTGACATAAATGATCTCATTGATGAAGGCAACAAAGCAAGGTATGAAATGCTGTGAATCGTGTCTTTTTGTTCCAGTCCTCGTTAATTTGTTTGATGTTATATACTTTACACCAATCACCAGAACTATTTGTTAATACTCTCTTCAGCTTCTGTATTCTGAAGTTTTTTCTGTTATAGCTTAACTTTTGTTTGATTATGTCAAAATAGAAAAACACCGTTTGGAACATTTGCTCTGAAAGTTTTTACTTGTTAATGCTGCTTTTGGTTGATATCTTCGGAACTGTTTGCTTTTATCATGAAGGTATAATGCACTTTGCATTGATGCTCCTTTGTCCATTTGTTGTAGGACAGTGGCTGCCACAAACATGAATGAGACCAGTAGTAGATCACATGCAATATTCAGTATTGTTTTCACACAGCGAAGGTAATAATAATAATATAATTTATTAAGACCTAGTTAAGTTCTCAATTTACATTCTCTCAATATTATGTGAACAACATAGAGCATTGTAAATTAAAGTTTTCTGTGGAGCCTGAATTTGTCAACTGAGTGATCCAGTTGGCACTGGTTGGTGTTGAATTTTTATTTCAGGGTTTAAGCTGTTTTTTATGCCCATCCTTGCATGGATTCCCACAGTGGTTATAGTTTCAATATAAGAGTCCCCCAGCAAGCCACTCAGTTTTTCTTTAAGATTGCAGAACTCATAATTATTATGAATTATATGGACACCATTAAAGTACGCATTTTGTGATGACTTCCTATCAGGCACACTACTTTTTCCTAATTGTCAGTGTGGTTTGTTGATTAGTGCATTTCCCCCCTGACTTACCAGTAAATCAGATAAAAACAAATTGTTTTAGTCTTTGAAAGTCATCAACCAATCACATCTCATTAATCTCACCACAGATATATAGGTTTTCTCTCTACCAGCTTTTAAGTGAAAAATGGTGTTTTCTTTAGAAGTTAAATGTATTTTGGGCAATAATCTTTTGTAGGCATGATTCACTATCAGAGCTTTCCTCGGCAAAGGTAAACAAAATTTTGATTAATTTTTACTGCACAAAATTTGGATGATATAATAATTGATACATTTATCGCAGTTAGATTAAGTTGGTTAAAACTAGTATGTCTCATACATTTGTTACATGATTGAATAAACAGAATTTATGTCTTTCAGTGTAGTGGTGGATCCCAGAGGGGGGTGGTTGTGGGTGTGGATGGGCAGGGGAACCTAATGTATAAGAGAAGAAAAGCTTATAAGAGAACTGTGTTTAATTTTGTCCTTCAGTTCATACTTTCATGTATTATGAAGAGAAGGACTTAGAATAGGGTTGTGGCTCTGATAGCCTGGTAATTTGTAGGTGTATTATTTATGTATTAACTTAGTCCCATTCATTGCACTGATCTGGGGACCTTGAAAACAAAATGGGGTTTGAAAGACCTTGAAAGAGGAACTTTAAAAATTTACTTTATGAACTGCCTCTTTACCATAAAATATGTTACATGATCTCATGAATCAAGATTGCCTGTAATGAAGGTTACTAGAAAGAAATATGAGCAGCAAAAAATGGTTGGAGGTTTGCTTCCCCCATCAGTGTACACTGTATGAATTGACAGCTCATTGTAAGGTATAGATAGGTGAACAGGTGACCTTTTTAATGGAACCATGACAACAGGTAGTTCACATTTTTGTTGTAAGGAATTATTCGTAATAGTTTTGTTTGTTTAAAACTGCAGGTCAGCAAGTTAAGTTTAGTAGATCTTGCTGGCAGTGAGAGAGCAGATGCCACTGGGGCTAAGGGAGACCGACTCAAGGTATGTTTGTTAGAAGTAAGCTGTATGATTATGTATAATTATACATGTAATTATGACACCAATGTGTATTAATTTGTACTTATCAACACAATAGTGAGTCATGTTGCAGTGGACAATTGTTCCATTCAGAATAAAAATTATTGCAATACTTCCTCTAAGTGTGCTGTGCTCAAGCAGGGTTAAATGCTAGCAAGCTTTCTTTTTTTTATTTTTAGGAAGGTGCAAACATTAACAAGTCCTTAACAACTCTGGGGAAGGTGATATCTGCTTTAGCTGAACAGGTAATCACTCAAAAAGAAAAAGTTTGACAAACTCTCTTTGAAGAAAAATTTTATATGAAAAGTTTAACCTTGAAAAATTCCCTCTTTAACAAACGTTGATGTTGATTCAGTCTGTGTTTTTTGAAATTTGATTTCTCCAGTCTTCGCACAAAAAAAGGAGAAGATCTGATTTTATACCATACAGAGATTCTGTCCTGACCTGGCTTCTGAAGGAAAATCTAGGTAAAGAATGGAACAGCAACTTTTCTATTGTTTTTAGAGCGTCAAACGTTTATTAAAAGGCAACCATTATATCTGTCCAACAGGAGGCAACTCAAAGACAGCCATGATTGCTGCTATAAGTCCAGCTGACATCAATTTTGAAGAAACGTTGAGCACACTGAGGTATGAAAGAGTACATTTCTTACATGTACACTAGTTAAAGCTTCCTCTTCAGTCTTGTCTCTGAATTCGTCACTTCGTAGATGTCAACCGATGTTTTCAGAGTCCATGGGTATTGGTGTATAGTTTGGCATTCCAGCGGGTGATATGGCAAGTCTGTAGGTTTGGAAATTTGACTACAGTCGAAAAAAGGATAGGGTAAAGAGAAGGCTTTTCCACATTGTTTCGTGTGACTAAATTGTGTCCTGTATGAAACCAACATTGTTGACACCGCCTCTGATCTTTCCAGTAGATCTATGCCTATGTATGTTTTCAGCTATATGCAGTTTAATAAAATTTAATGACAAGGAGGTGTTAACTTATCTTGTTTGTTCATCAGATATGCTGACCGGGCAAAGCAGATTGTATGTAAAGCAGTTGTCAATGAAGATCCCAATGCCAAGGTACTTACTACCATTATAGTGAAGCAACTGTGGATTGGATATTCTGTACATGAAATCCTCTCTCTTACATGTAACATTTAAACTGATACAGATTATTAGAGAACTGAAAGAAGAAGTCTTAAAGCTGAAGGAACTGCTCATTAAGGAAGGCTACAATCCTGAGGAACTTCAATGTAAGTTGAAAATGACCCCTTTTCTGCAGGCAAGTCCGTTGCACACCCTGTTACAAGCAATGGATTGGAACTTCATGCCCTGACTGCTACCACCTTGCCATTGTTTGCTTTTTATTGATAATTAAGTTAACTTGACTTCTGTCAAGAGCCCATGACCAAAAGTGAGTACCTGCCACACTAGGCCTACGTCACGGCATTTTTACCCGACCGGTTTATTTTTAGATACATTCTAGAGCATTTTTTGCCAAGAAAATAGAAGCTCCGCTGTGTCTATAAGCGCTTTCGAAAAACAAGATATGAAGAAGGAAAACTAAATAAGGTAAAAAATACCATTAGTTTGTGAGACTTTTGACGCCAAAATCGTTCTAAAAGTACGCTGACCGGTGAAGAAGTCATGACACGAGTATAATTTATGTTAATTGATTGCTCGGGGTTATGGACTCCTGCTTGTGTAAGTTGTCATTTTTTAATTTTTTTCCATATATGGTAGCCGCACTGAAACAGGGCTCGATGACTTTACCCAGAAGATACAGCCAGGATTCTCAAGATGGAACCCTGGAGAGGCTGAAGGTAACATCATCATGTACCATGCAAATCCTCTAAATGCTGAATTGTAAATGTGCCTACGTAAAGAAGTCCTAAACGAAAAATGGTACAAGTGCTTTCTTTTTGTGCCAAACATTCGGCAAGTTAGAACCTTTTCTGAATTGTTTTGGACGAGATGGAGAAGAGAGAGTGATTACGTCGCGAAAACTAAATTTGTGAAATCATGGGATTGGTTTGAATATCCAGAAAGAACAAGCTGAAAAATGTTTACTTCCCAAAAATCAGCCTGTGGGTTCAAATTGGTGGGGAGATAAAAGCAACGTTATTCTCCAATGACTCCATATAAATCCTTCTAACGTCAAAATCCAGGCAAATCTTAGAAGGATTCGTATGGAGTCATCAGATCATACCAGTGCTTGTATCTACCCACCAATTTGCACTATCAAGCTACTTTTTGACAAGGGTGCTTTTTTCATCTTGTTCTTTCTGATGTTAACGAAGTCACACTTTTTTTTCTCTATTGCTTGCTCAGTAGCCTTGGAGGATAGAGCTTTTAGAAGTGTTTTTTTAATCCTGATTATAGATATCAGAAAAACTTATAGCAGAGCTCAATGAAACTTGGGAAGAAAAGCTGAAAAAAACAGAAGCCATCAAGCAGGAAAGGTCAGTTGAAGGGGTGTAAACGTTGAATGTGATTCTGGAGTGGATGCTGCATTTTCTCTAGCTTTTTCATGGAAATATTTGTGGGTTTGATCTTATTTGATTATCCGCTGAGGACACTAGCTCGTGGAAGGGTCTGTGATGTGCGTCAGAAAATTAGAATTAAACCCTATGAATTAGACCAATCAGGATGTGGCCCGACTTCATTTGACCCTAGTCTGCGAGCAAGATATCTCCATTTCGGTTAGTCGCGAGAGGTCACGCGAGAGTAGCACGCGAAGACGCGAGTGCGAGGAGGAGACGCGAGTGCAAGGAGAGGTGAAGAAAGGGCGAGCTTTTATTTTCCCCCGGCCGCTTGCTCGCAGGCTAACTTGACTCCTTAACGATGCCATTCTAAAACAGGCAACCTGTTCGTTTGTGACCTCTTCATTCCGTTAATGACGAATGTTGCAATCGATAACACGTGTTGCTGGTCTAGTCCACCAACACAGTATGACAGGGTTTTTTTATGCTTCAAGTGCATTCCTAAGTAAAAATGTTTCACAACGAAAAGAAGCATGGTTGATTCTACAGTGAGGAATGTAATATTTGCTGTTCGTGTTGACAGTCTTTAAACCCCTAAAAGGTACAACGAGAAGATTCTCTGTCCCTTTTAAACAAGAGTTCCTCCCAAGTTAATGTATTTATTTCTTTATTTAAATATTTTTTGGTAAAAAATCTTGCAATGCTCAATTCTGTAGGGAGGCGATGTTAGCTGAAATGGGCGTGGCCATAGGTGTAGACGGTCACACAGTGGGGCTATTTCAGCCAAAAAGGGTAAGAAATTATTACTGTAACTGCTACTTTGATGCATAATTAGACATTCCAACCTGTACTTAAGTGGCTATGTCACGAGGATATCGCTGATTTTGGTATATTTCGTTCTGAAGTTCTTACTTAGTGCTTCAAACCTATGTTCAAAATACTCCCGTACAGTTATGAAGAAGATATCAAACGGAACACTAACTAGGATATTTTTTGGTGGTTCATTAAAGTGCTTTGGTATGGACAAGGCTGTCTTGGAGATCGATGCAAAGGAAGTCAGAATAACAAAGAAATCAAAGAAAAAAAAATTAAACGAATGTATTCGTTTTCTTTTTTAACAGAGACCCCATTTAGTAAACTTAAATGAAGATCCTTTGATGTCTGAATGCCTTCTGTACTATATAAAGGATGGAATTACAAGGTAATGTACATGCAAAGTAGGAAAAAGGAGCTGACTACATAACAAACTCATCCACCACAAAAGCCTGACTTACCGTAATTTAAAATTGAAAATTATACTAACGGGTTTTGTTACTAGTAATATACAGTCAAACTTCCACTAATGCATATGGGCATCTCTCCACAACGGCCAGTTTTTTGGCGAACAGTCCATACATTGACTCTTGTTTAGACCTCTCTACAACGGCCACTTTCTTCTGTTTCCAAGATTGCCGTTGTGGAGAGGTTCGACTGTAGAAACTGATTCCGTTGTGGCTGACTGGATTATATAAACAATTGTTTCACGAGATTTTCCTTCTTTTTTTTACAGGGTTGGCCAAGCAGCAGCAAAAAGTCATCAAGATATTCAGCTGAGTGGAGAGAACATTCTCAATGAACACTGTCTTCTAGAGCACACACCAGGCAAGTAAATGACTTTCTTCACTGCTTTCAATTCATCTAGAGTTAAACGAAGGAGGTGCTACTGAGTGAGAAGACACAGTGGTAGATTCAGGGGTGGGGAGGTGGGGGGATCAATTGCTACCTTTACTCTGAGTTCAAAGTTTTAATAACTCCTCGGCCACTACTGTAAGTTGTAAACCGCTTTGCTGTCCAAATACTAATTATTTTTATTATGAATATACTTTTTTCTGGTATACAGTTGATCGGCCTACTAGCCTATAGCTCGTGATAAACAACAAAACGCGGAAATAATGTTAATTCGACTACTTTTAAAGTTCTATATCAGTACAATATTGTAGTAACCAATCATTATTTCAATGACTGATTATTACAAAAAGTCAGGAGAACGAGACTGGAGCTTTTTGGTCCTGTAAGAAGGCATGAAGTGATGAAAAGAAAACGGTTATCGAAGCTTATCTTCCTGAGAAGCGAAGGAGAGAGAGACCAAGAATCAAATAAAACAGACAGTGAAGAAGGTTTTGGGCTCACTGGAAAAGGCAACGGCGATGGCACAAAACTGACCGTTGTATCGCGCTGCTGTGAGAGACGCTACGCTCTCAAGGGAGCGGTAATGACGACCACGATCAGTACTGGCAACTTAACCATTCTTTTCCTTTTTTTCCGCAGGTGTTGTCAAGATAATACCTTGTGAGAACAGCCGTACGTTTGTCAATGGAAGGCTGATTACAGAATCTACAGTGTTACGATCAGGTGAATGCTGATTCATATTTATAAGCCTAAAAACCCTTGAATTGTCTGTTGTTGTTGTAAGCCGGATCTCCGTTAGTTATGTTAAATATTTTTGAAACATACAACACGCTGTTGTATTTTTATGGCCAAATCAAATTGTAATGCATTCCAAAGTGGGAAGGTGCCTGAAATGACAGTTTTTGATCCAGGCCCTGTCCGCACTAATGCGTTTTCGTTTGAAAACGCATACATTTCGATGCGTTTAGGCCTTCCGTCCACACTAATACGCTAAGGGTTTTGATCGAAAACGCATCGATTTGAAAACGCTCTTGAAAGTTGATCAAAACGAATACACATACATGTCCTATTAGTTTGGACGGTCCAAAACGCATCAAAATAAAAGCGTTGACCGAAAATATCGCAGGCGCGCGTGTTTGTAGCAGGCGCATAGTGTTCAACTTACGGCACAACGTGCAATTCTATCGTTTTCGAACATTTTAGTTTGGACATTTGAGAACGCATCAAAACGGTAGTGTGGACGCGAATCGATCGATGCCTTTTCGATGGCAACGAAAACGTATACTTTTGAAAACGCATTAGTGTTGACAGGGCCCAAAGTTGTTGATATTGACCTAAGCAATCTATTTTCTCTTTAATTAATCAATCTTGCTTCTTTCATCATAGTTTCAGGTTCCATCAGCTTGAGCAACCCACCCCCCCCCCCACTTACCACACCTCCCTGTAGGTCGCATTCGCCTAATTTGCAATTATTCGACTTCAGTCTTTTACCCAGAACCCACTGACGAATGCTCGGAGATCTGCATAACCTTTGTTTTTCATTTCTCCTGGGCATTACAGCCGTCCCAAGAGGAATTAAAAACAATGCTTGCGCGAAATTTTGGAGGGCAAATAAGGTGCATTATGGGAAATGCGGAAGTGGCGTATATTTATTGTTACTATTATTTTTTTTACATTTCAGGGTCGCGGATAATTCTGGGAAACAATCACGTGTTCAGATTTAATTTCCCTGATCAAGGTAGGGTGCAGTGTACCTTGCAGTACATTTTTAGACGATAACTGTGACCGTGCAGACAATATTTATGTCGTGAAATTAGAGCGTTATCACCCTTATCATTACTTACGTTCTAAGCGTGGCATTGTGCGACAAATGGCGAAACGCACCGTCTGCTAGGTCAGCCAACAAGGTTGCCGTTTGCTTGCAGTGGAAGCGGCTACTTGCGGATGCCAGGTTTACGTAGTTAATCGAAGAAGCGAAATTGTAATTACTCATTTTTATTTTTAGCCCGTGAAGAAAGAATTCGCCAATCACGTGGAAATCTTCTGGAAGATATAAATGGTATGTTTTTTTCCAGTCAATTGTAAAGTTACGGTGATAGAAAATGATCGTTCCTAGATCTACGACGGTTTCCGGTTTTTTTCTTTAAGCTTCTTTTATTATGCAAATTAAATGGGAAGCTTGTTTACGCAAGCACATAAATTATGTTAAAGAAGAACTATGTATTTAACCTTGCTGTCATAATTTGATCAAGTTAAACCTACAGAAAAAAAAACGTTTGTGTCTTTGTTGTACAAGTTTAATGTAAAATAACCTTTTTGCAAGAAATGTTGCTAGTAGACTAAATTAATTCAAGCATAGTCACACAGATCTCCTTAGTTTTTGCCTGCGCGTCACTGAGTGCGTGCGTACTTTCATGATTTCACAAACCGCTGTAGTAAGTTTGTCATGTCCGTGTTTGCCAACTGTCTCAGTCAGCAATAGACATTTGAACCCTATGACAACTGACTTGAATTTAACGTTTGTGTCTTCATAACACGTTGGTACTTTGGCACGTGGTAAAATAGTCACGAAGTCTTATCTCCTCGTTAAACGAACGCCATTAGCTGTTTTAGAGAATCTGAACAGAAGCGCGTTAAAGAGTGAATGGTGAGTTCCTAGGTTACAGGGCTCCAGTGCAGAGTCTGGAGGGTGGATGACATGTTTTTTGCTTATAAACTTGGCCTTTACTTTGGCGAGCTCAATTGACTGTATTCTGGAATGATGAGAAGTGAAATTCCACCGCGGTCAAACGCTTTAGGAGTTTTACTGTAAGAAGATTTTGTTGACTGTGAAGTGGAAGAATGTGTAAGGATGCATATAAATTGGCTTGTTAATGTAAATACGATTTCTCTTGTCTTAGATAACGAATTAAGCCAGACTTTTGGTTCTATATACTCCTTATGAAATTAAAATAATTCTGACTGAAGGCGCTGTCAAGTCTGAACGGTTTTGGTGAAGTTCCAAAAACATTAGCAAATCAAAACAGCGTCTTGGTAAAGTGTCAAACGTTGAACGTCAAAAAATGATCGCTAGTGGCCTTGAAGTACTTTGCTTTGCGTTTTTCTAATTTCTCTCGTTTGTGTTCTCGTGAAAAATGGTGGGAAAAAAATCCGCTCCAGTTTTAGGCGGAACTGTAACTGTAACAGCGGAAACCATGTCTGGCATACAACGTCTAGATGTGTGAATCATTCCAGTGTGGCTTCAACATCCCTGTCAGAATAGGATCTGCAAAAGTAGCGATTTTTGTTCTGAAAAAGAGCGATCGAAACCACTCTTGGGGTTTGCTTATGTTTGGTTATTCCGCAGGAAAAAGTGACGGTAAAAGTGAAGAACCCGTTGATTGGTCATTTGCTGTGTTGGAATTGTTGAGAGAACAAGGCTGGGATGTAAAGGAAATGAATGACAGGTATAAACGAGTCGTTTACTGAGATCCAAACTTAGCTGATCCCCGAAAGGAAAATAAGAAATAAGTGAAATCATCATCATCAGCATCACCATCACCAGCACATCATAATTCGGTACATATAGTGGAGGATATGACTGTAATAACGTGACATATCTTATGAAAAGCGAAAACATTTCGACCGACATGTGCGAGATTACTTCATCAGGGACCCTGAAAACTGCAAAAATATTACGCGGCATTCACCTAATGCGAGCTACCGGATTATTTATAATTTTTTTTAAACTTTCTACCCTAGCAAGTGAATGATTAATTAAGCAATATTTAGCCATCGCTTCGACTTGAGGTTTTTTTGCCATTTTTTTCCCATAGAGTTCTTGAGCTAGAAGAGCAAATAAAAAAGGAAAAAGATCAAGCGGATTTGCTCCTCGAACAACAAAGACTGGTAAGTAACTCTTGGGCGTCAAAGCTTGGGCCTAGATGGGGTGCTTCGAAAAACACCCCTAGTAAAGCCAAGTGACTTCTGATAAACTTGAAGATTCTCCTTCCAGTTTGCCCTGTATATGCTTATAAATGAAAGAGAGAATTTCATATAACATCAGCAGTCTCTTCGCGCCTTATTCCATGCTCCCTTTCGTTAGATTATCTACATCAGTCCTTATTGAAAGAGAAGACAGCCATCACCCGAAACCCAATTTAACAGTCTTGGTTACGCACACCGTGGAAAAAGCAATTTCCTGCGGCTTTCTCCCGCGGTACACTTATCATGGCATTGTAAACACCAAGATAACAGTAGTTACACTGCAAATTGCGCGGTAGAGGTTTCAGAACCGCTCTATTGGCAGGTTGTCTTGGCATGAAGTTCAGGAAGCCGTCGCTTACTTTGAACGTTTAGACGTCTGCATGGTTATGTCCAACGATAAATTCATCACGAGAAGAAACTGTTACACGCAATCACACAATTACACAGTTCTATTTTTCCCCTGGCAAAAGACCTTAGCCTGCGGGAAAATGGCCGGCCCGTGTAACAGAAACTTTTACTTGGGTATCAATATGCCATTCGCCGAGTTCCAAAAACCCACACTTTTAAAACCAGGCTAAGTGCAAAACCTCTTTTGCGAAAATGAGTTCCATTTGCGTGAGAATAAAAAATCATTTTTATATCAGTGGCTTCGCTCTTAGCCTCGCTTTGAACAGAATTCTATGGGCCGATTCAATCAAACCTTTCAGATATTCGTAAACGTTTCCACTTTACTGTCGACATAATAGCTATTTACTAATGTTAATTTTAAACGTAAGGTCAGATCGCTATTAAGAAAGGTAGCTGAAGTGAAGTAATCATCTTGATGAGTTGATGACCACGACTGAATTGTTTGTTTTATTTAGACCTACGAGTCCAGACTACAAGAATTGCAACGACAGGTAATTTAGTTAGAGAAACGAGAACCACAGACCCATTTCTACATTTACGTTCCTTTTGATGATCCAACATTGCTCTAATGTATTCTAAGAATTACATCAGCTGTTGGATAGAACAATCTTTCAGTTGAAAGGTTGTAGGATAAGTTAAGTTGAGGTTTAAAGCGGTGCCACACTACACTATATTCGTGATCTTACGGAACAAACTTATAACAGACCAATGTACAGTTAAATGCTAAGCGTCCGAGCCTTTGCGTGGATGCGAGGCTGTGGGTGACGTTGTTTTGATAGCCACCTCACGGCCATCTCGAGCCATATACATATGCATCAGAAGGTGATTAACCCTTGAAGATGTTTAAGAAAAATCCAGTGAGGTTTCTAAGGTCCCCACTACCCTTGCTTCCACTCAACACCAGAATACTCAGTACACGCTGATGCAACTCCCCAATGCAACACACAATGAAACAACTTATTTTTGCAACTATTTCTACACATACACATACATTCGTTTTTAGATCTAGAAGTGTTAGTCCATAAATTTTATTGCGCTGCTTCTAGCAGTGTCGCTTTGTGTAACGCTTAATTACCCATCGTCATCTTTCTTAAAGTAGAGAATATAATTTTTACTATGGAAGCTTATGGAGCTGCCACACATACAGTTAAACCCCGCGACTAAGAACCTGTTTTTTTTTCAAGTCAGCCTAAACAGGTTCTTATATAAAATGGTAGTTAGCACAAGTTTAGGCTATTTAGGTTCTTAAATAGGTTCTTATTTACTGCATCCTCGGAAACCCACTATCTGCTCCTGGGTCTCCGAGGATGTATTTACTGAAGAATATATATATAATAATATATATATTATTGAAGAGTCAATACTAATCATTCGGGCCCATATAATTTGTACACTGTTCGTTGTAAATCAATTTTTTTATTTGAACCATTGGCATTTACATTGCACTGTAATTTTCAGGGAGTTATAATAACTCCTCTAGTGGGGCTAATTTAACTCCTTACAGTGGAGTTATTTTTCGTGGAGTTATTTTAACTCCAAAAAGGAGTTTAAAGAACTCTTTTTCAGGAGTAAAAGTGACCACAGATTTTGAGGAGTTAAAATAACCCCAAAAAAGGAGTTATCCTGTACCTAAAATTTTTACTCCACTTTCAGAGTTAAATTAACTCCAAAAAGAGTGAAAACAACCCCTGCAAGGAGTACAAGTAACCCCATTTCGGAGTAATTTTAACTCCAAGACTGGGAGTAAAAAGAACTCTTTTCAGGAGTAAAAATGACCCCAAATTCGGAGTTAAATTAGGAGTTAAAATAACCCCAAAAAAAGGTTATCCTGTACCTAAAAATTTTTACTCCACTTTCAGAGTTAAATTAACTCCAAAAAGAGTGAAAACAACCCCTGCAAGGAGTACAAGTAACCCCATTTCGGAGTAATTTTAACTCCAAGACTGGGAGTAAAAAGAACTCTTTTTCAGGAGTAAAAATGACCCCAAATTCGGAGTTAAATTAGGAGTTAAAATAACCCCAAAAAAGGGGTTATCCTGTACCTAAAATTTTTACTCCACTTTCAGAGTTAAATTAACTCCAAAAAGAGTGAAAACAACCCCTGCAAGGAGTACAAGTAACCCCATTTCGGAGTAATTTTAACTCCAAGACTGGGAGTAAAAAGAACTCTTTTTCAGGAGTAAAAATGACCCCAAATTCGGAGTTAAATTAGGAGTTAAAATAACCCCAAAAAAGGGGTTATCCTGTACCTAAAATGTTTACTCCATTTTTGGAGTTATAATAACTCCCTAAAAATTACGGTGTGCATTTGGAGGATACGGCACCTATGTGTCCAAAGAGGATTCTGAATGTTGACTCTGAAATTCAGCATTTCTTCATAGATTTTAGAAAAAAAGAACTTCTTTCAAATCTTAGGCTAAACAGGTTCTTACAATGTATACAGAGGGGACTTAACTGGAAAATGTTAGCCTAACGGGTTCTTAAATTCCAGGTTCTTAGTTGCGGGGTTTTACTGTATAGGGAGTAAGAAATATTTTGAAGCAATGAGTGTATTCAGATGTAAACGAAAATATTCTACATCTTGTATTATGATAATTCATAACAAAATTTGATAATGTGTTTAATTGTCGTGGATTTGGCACCCTTTTCGAGAAAACGTTTCCTAACTTTCTAAGTTTCTAAGTTATAATCCATAGTAATCTCTTCCGTTCTAAACCATCCTGTTACGTCTTTGATAATTTTCTATTTTACCAAACTAATATTTTTAGGTTTCCTTCACTTTCAAAATTGAAAAACGATAACATAAATTATCGTGACAGACTGCTTCTTAACAATTTTAAGAGAAAAATTAATAAAAAATTCTTCATGCTAATACGCCAAACAAAACAATAACAACATGAATATTTTAAACGATAACGATACTTAAAGAACAATATCAACTACATCATCAACAAAAAAATAACAACAACAATTGCTATTTCTATTGCTATGAAAGCATGCATTCTTATTATATTTTTTTTTCGTAACTTGTCTTTTTCATCCTTTAGAACATTTCGCAGCATGGTTCTTCGCGAAAAAAGAAAAAATTGTTGATCTTTCCGCAAACGAAAACAGCTCAAATTCATTTCCCGCCCAAGGATTCCCGCCATTTTCGTCATGGGCGGGCTTCAGCTACTGAAGGCGTCTTGAAGGTATTGTTGTAGCCTTCTGTTCTGGCGCATTTCTGGGAAGGTCGCGCAAGCACTGGAACGCGCTTTGGCTACACGGCACCCAGGCAAAAAAGGCTCCATAGCCCTCCCCCGGCCCCCTTCCCCGTATCCCCCATTTTGCTCTTTCATCTTTACGCTTACCCTATTGACCTCACTTTCTGCTATTCCCAAGCTTCTTCTTCTTTCAAAATCGAACATGGCGGCTACACCGAGAAAACACTAGTTGAGTGCTTACTTTTTCGAAAACTTATACGTCTGCATTTCGAATTAGCGTTGTTAAGCCGCAAACACGTCGACACACCTCGACGAAACCATTATTTTTTAGCTTGTCTCAATATCTGGAAGACAACAATCTTCTTTTTCTTTGGTAAAAGCTCAACCCTTAACAAGGGCAACAGTTTGGAACGAAGTAAATTTGATAAAGTTTTAATGACAAACGAGTTGTTAAATAAAGCTGCCTAATGCGCTGTAAATAAACAATCAATTGTATGCTATAAATTGTTCAATAAATACGGGAAACAGCCTTTAAAGCTCCTCAAAGTCTTAGGGAGACTAACTAAAATGATACTAACCTTTAATAAGACATTCTAGAAGCATGCTTCTGGACATTCTTAAACGTGATTTCTCTAAGCCAGAACTGGGAGTAACCACATTTTTTGTTAAATAGCAGACTTCGATGTGACAAGTCTCAACTCTAATTTTTAAACTTCACTAATCATGTGTACTTTGTAATGTTTTTAAAAATTTTGAACATATTGATTTAAGTTAAGGGTTTTAGAGATTGCTGATTTTGTGGTTTCTTACAAGAACTCTTTCGCTTCGCTGAATAGAAACAGCTATGTGGGATATCATGAGTAGCATAAGTCGTTCTAGGCTCTTATAGTCGTCGCAAGTGTAGACTACGAGTAGTCTCCATTTTTCCACTGGATAGTAGAGCGTGCGAAACGCGAGCGCGCGTGAAAATCACCTCACTCGAGAAAGGCGAGACGCGGTGGTAAGAAACGTCTCGCCTTTCTCGCGTGGGGTGATTTTCACGCGCGCTCGAGTTTCGCTCTGTCTACTATCCCTGAGGAAAAATGGGGACTACTTGTAGTCTATCGCAAGTGCGAACAAAAAGGAAAACAAAAAACAGCAACAACAAAAACAACGATCCAACGCGAGAATACAAGGACGACGATTGCCCGAGAGCCTGTTACAGGTTGCATTGTCAACTTTCTGTTTTCAGTCTAATTTTGCATAAACGATTGTTTTGAATCCTTCTGGGAGTACTTCATATTCTCAAGAGCATTTGAAAACAATCAATTTACGTTTCTCGGAAACTGTCCACCTGCCTTCTCCCCTAAGACAACATTTTGCCGTAAGTGAGAAGTAGGTGTTAAAGTTGGCTTTGGGGAGGGGTAGGTGGGCAGTTTTCCAGAAACGCCAATGATCCGTCAATACACATAATCATGCGAAATAAGATATTTGTGTATGCAGAAAAGTTGATGGGAATTAGTTTCAAACAGCTGCTTTAGGTAATGTAAGTAGTTCTGCACACGTGTCATTTTCGTTAGCCTTTAGATGTAGTAATTCGTAGGTCGTTTCGTACGGAACTTTTATCGCAAGATTCATTTCATGTTATTGTTTAGATGGACCTGTCATCCGTTCAGTCCAGTGAATCTGTGGATAGTGATATTGATGTGGAAAGTTTTGACAGTAAGTGACATATATTACTCTTGTTCTAGCGCTCAATTACATGACGCGGAAAATGTAGTGCAGAAAACTCATTTTCATACGCTCCAGAATAGACTCTAAACAAAAAAAAGACATGGCTGACATGTCGAGAAGACAACTCGGCCGAGCGGTTAATCTGGCGGCCGCCCTGGGCCCATAAGGGGAAAGGATAATTTTAAAAGTCTTCAGTACTCTTCATTTTTCTGACAACTAAACGAGGGCTTCTATATGTAACTCTGAATACGTGAAAACTTTTTTGTGCGCAGTTATTCACAATAACAATTTTTTTCTCTCCTCGTAAAGCTGGCGGACGCTGCGTTTGTCACGTCCGATTGAATTATTCTGTTGTATTTTTTCAGGCGAGAGTCCGCTGACTGAGAGTGAGCTTAATCTTGCTGAACTGGTGGTGGACAAATGGAAGTGTTACCAGTACACTTCACTTAGGGTTAGTTCCATAACATTGACATTTTTTACAAAGTGTTGATCACAACAATATATTTGACTACTCACGCATAGAAGTATGATTAAATGGTCGGAGTATAGATAACAAAGATACTGTCTACGTGACAGGGAAGGGCTAATTTAAAACAAGATTTTCCTTTCGGACCTGCTAGCGCAATTGGCCATTGATTGCCAAGTTACAAAGCCGCACCCTCCCGGCTTTATTGAAATGTGGCAAAGTGTGAAAACTTAAATGCAAATGTTACGATGGTTACCATCTTTTTTTCTATAGGAATACATTTAATAAGAATATCAAGCCTGAAATTTGAGAAATTTTAAGAATGTTTTAAGAATAAACCTGAGGCTGAGAGTTTGAAAAGGACTCAATTTTGACTGTTGAAAATCTTTAAATACAGTACAATTATTGCTTTCACCAAACGGCAAGAACCCTGGAAATTGAAACCGCAATACATTCTAAAGCGGAAATGCCATAAGCAATAATCTGTTACTAAGAATAATTCAAGAATATTTTCAGCCTAAAATCGACAGAAATTAATAATATTCAGCCTGGGTTGGAAAAACAAGATTCTTTTATAAAAAAAAGAGTGTATTGGCAATTGGCCGCTGAATCAGAAACGTACTTTTTGGTTGTTTGTTGAGTGTGAACCGCCCTCGCCAGAATTTTTGCGGTGTTTACTGTCAATTCATTTGGGATGAAATTTAGTTTCCAATTGGCTTAACCATGCTGGTTTTTAAGGTTTCTTTGGTTTGATTTTGATTCATTAGGATGACTTGTTGAGCCATGCTGTCCTGCTGAAAGAAGCCAATGCCATAAGTGTGGAATTAAGAAAAAAGGTAGAGTATTAGAGAAATAGCGAGTGTTGCCAATGAACACGTGATATAGTATATTGAAGGTGTCGTAGTTTTGCTGTTTCTTGGAACGCCCTATTAGAAATGATAAGGTCAAAGGGGAACGGGGCCAAAATGTTTCTTGTCATTGGAGAGTTAAAGCTTCAGGTACACAGCAAACGGCAAACGCCAGATTCAAGTTGAGCATTTCTCAAAATAGAAATTGAGCGGATGAAAACAGCTCAAAACAATTCTTATGGATAAAAATTGTGTGAAACTGCTAATTTATGTGTTGAAATAATGATCAGTAAACGACAAGTGAAGGCAGCCTCCTCCTCAGGCGCTTCGTTTTTGGCAAGGTAGAGGCGAGCGACTGCTGATGAACCGCAAGGTACCATGGAAAGGGTACAGACGGCAGTGTCTCCTTCCCGCCTTCCTTTGCGCGCACATCTTGATCGAGAGAGAGACGTCTGGGTACGAGGCGGAAGTAAAGGGTAAACTTGGTCACGTGGTACAAATTCGCGTTTGCCGTTTGACGGAAACGTGATGCTTAACCTCTCTGTTGTTTCTGGGATCGTTACTGGAGACGTGCCGGACAGCTATTGGCCATCGTCCTTAGTAACAGCCCCAGAAGTCTTTGCGTAGAGCCCATTTTGAGTTTATACCACGTGATACTGTGTTGGTGTTGTGGCGAATTGCATTTTGGGAGACAAATTTGGACCCAGTTTCAAGCAAAACCTGGCAATAACCAATGATGCGATAGCGTTCCCAAACAGTGACACAGTGCGATAGTCCGGTTTCGAATTAAAAATTACCGCTGAATGTAAACATTAACGACACATTCATACAGGGTTAGCCTCGACGTAAAGTAAAATATTCAGAAATTCTGGCAAGTAAGTGTTTGAAATTTGAATATACACAATAGACAGAGTAATAAACAGGTCTTTTTCTCGTTGGAATTTGTGAATATATTACTTCAGATTGAGGCTAAGGCTGTAAAAAATGCGTCTTCACTTCTTTAATTCAGCCGTCATAGCGAACTCGAAAATGGACTATTCAACACGGCTCCGACCCAGATCCCACGCACAATCTCAAAATTGCCAATACGTTAAACGTCTTTTGCTTTACTATCATTTCCAGGTGGAATTTCAGTTTACGCTATTGACAGAAACTCTCTACACACCCCTCCCACCATTTCTTCTGAAAGACGTCAGACACCACAGTCACCCCACGGTGCTTGCTGTTGAAGTAAAGGATATGAAGCATGGTGCATCACATTATTGGTCTTTGGCAAAATTACGGTAAGGATTCTAAGAATAGCTGCTTTCTCTATGACTTTCTCTCGCGGCTCAAGAACTCGACATCTTTAGTCGGTACTCGGACGACAACCGCCGAAATTTGGGTCTAATTTTGCAGAAAAGTGTAGAAATGAATGCTGTGACAAGAGGATCACTGTTATAATGCTAAACACAACAATTACAGTTATAACGACAGTAACAATGCGTTTATGTAAGGGGGCAAGAGAGGGGTTTTCATTTTCTTATTTTAGTACGCTACACTTCTTCTTCTTAAGATAAAAATGGGATCGTTTTTCTCACGGTTTTAAGGTCAGTCTGTGATTTAATAACACGACAGAAGTATGTTTTCTGAAATCAGCTACAACACAAAGTTCAAACTGTTATTTCCACTTTTTAGGGACAGGTTGGAGGACATGCGTTTCATGTACGAGACAGTTGCAGAGACCGCTGGTCACATTTCTTTTGATTCTGTTGACCCTTTCTATGACTCGCTACCTTGGTTCAGGTTGATTGGAAGGTATGTGAGCACTCTGAATATTAAAGTTGATCATGACTTGTCTTTGCTTTCTCCTCGCCCTTTGTACTTGTCGTTCTACTTCAATTTCTTGTCAGGCACACGCTCTATTTTCTCGCCTTTTGGTCTTGTTACATTTTACCCCCCCTCCCCCTCCCCCTCCCTGCTCTTGCTCCACTTTCCCATTCTCTGCATTTGTTGCATTTTTTCGTAATTTCTTCTTCCGCCGTGTCTTGCCGCACTCCGTTTCATCCAGCCGTTTGCACTGGTCGCTCCTTTCCCTGCCCATTGCATTCTTCCCTTATGATTTGCACCGTTTGTGCGTTTTTGCTTCAAAACTTCAAGTTCTGTTATTTTGGTTTAGTTTTCGTTCTTTTTTTTTAATTGCTGTGGTTATTACTTTTTTCTTTTTTTTGCGTTGAAGCTTAATTGACTACCAAAATGAAATTCATAAGCTGCTGTCGGTTTTGTTTAATCAACAACTAGCGCTTGAAGCGACAGCCCGGTGATCTCTTTAAGGTGCCCAACATAACCCTATGAATTTTGCAGCTCACCGATGCAGTAAACTGTGCATTGAAGCGCTCTTACAGTCGGTTTCAGGAAGAGAGGGTTTCTCTGGGTAAAGCTGTTAACCTTCTCTTCCCTCCATTTCCTTTGGTAGATCTTTCGTTTATCTGAGTAACTTGGTGTTTGGTGTTCCGCTGGACCAATCAGTACCAATTATCAGTGAGTCAGGGGACATACAAGGTCATCTAACCCTCAGCATTCAGCAGTGCACAGGTAAGACATAACGAGCTGGAATACCCTGGCGATTAATCCATGTATTCTACTTCCAAAATCGCGCATCCTTTCAGCGTCAAAAATCATGGAAATATTCGAAGATAAAAAGCCTATGGCTTTATATCAGTTCGAGTTACAGGCGCTAAAAATGAATCGATTTGCGGCGTATATCGTTATAGGAGATATGGTCGTGGTCTCGTTTTACTCGTGTCTCCACTCTTTTGTGCACTTTCTTGTCCTTACTTTTCTTGCTGTTTGCCCGTTTGCTGAAAGATATGAGCTTAGTTGGTTGCCAGCAACTGGTGTGAAGATGATGGCTAACTTGAACTCGTTCGTGTTCTGTTACCCGTTAGTATCTACCGTTAAATTTCCTACTGCATTTTACTCTAGTGTAAACAAAACTACTAAACAAATGATTATTAACGCAGTCTCTTTGGCCACCATTCTGTGTGCACATATTGTCTCTCTTCTTTTTCCTTTAAACAACTTGAGTCATGTTGTCTCCATTTTGGTGCACAAATAGTAAGAAGGTCCGTGATACTAGGCTATAGCAGGCAGATAGGCAAATCATCTGTAGAATTTTTCCGTAGCCCATAGCTGGGATTGATGGTTTATTTGATTTCTGTGGCAGATGACCGAACATGGGAGGTTGATGAAATGGGGCGGTCGTGCGTGATGTGGCTGGATTTTAGAGGTGATGATCGAGAAAGAAAGACTGGTGTCGAGGTTAGTATACTTAAAGTAAATGATATGATAAGAACACACAATTGAGAGAAATGGCTCAATTTCGTGTTGTCCAAAGCCTTCTCATCAAAGCGAGGCCAGATGCACAACCATTCATATGAAAAAGAGTTTAATTGGCCTGTGAATGAAAACATGTTTTCTCATTGAAGGCTAAGGGTAATTCGGAAAATCGCATATTAATGACTTGTATAAGATAATTCCGTTCCCGCCGGTCTAATTCAGGGAGTTTCAAACTTGGAACCGCAGTAATATTAACCTGAGCCTTATCCCGATTGAAATACGTGATTTTCGCAAATATCCCTTGTTTGATCATGGCAGCAGTCAAGTCGCTAAAACAAGGTAGTGGTAAAGAGTCCTTATTTTACGTCAGTAGCTCGAAATGGTCATCTTACTAACAATCCTGAGACCGACGGTGCGTTCAATTTACCACACCCACCCCCCACCCACCCCCCCTCTTTGTCTCTGTATCAGTGCTCCGTTTTACCGGTATTTAAAACTACTTAAAGCTACACGGAAGGGAAAGAAGTTGAAATAAGGATTTGAGGTCACACTTCGTCCTGGGAATGGAACTCGGGACATCCTGCACAGTAGGCCTCGCACTTACCAACTACGCTTATCCTTGCTCCTTATTCTCTAGATTAGGTAATTCGCTGGATCGGACAAAAAAACTCGTGTTCTAATCTGACTTAACTTTACAGGAGGCTGAGGAAGCCGCTGAAGCCGACGTGGTAACCGAGCCTCCGTTCTCCAAGGGAACACTTCATGTTGGCAAACTTTACGTGATCATCATCACTGTACTCCGAGCTCAGGGGATTTCAGCTCAATATACTGATATCTTCTGTCAGATAAGGTAAAGATCTACCCTATTTATTTACTTTAAGAGGGCATTTTTTTTTTGGGGGGGGGGATGATGTTGATTTGGGAAGGAAATAAATTAGGGTAGAAAAGGTATACACATAAACCAGTTACTGCGCTAATGGGATCAGAGGCACCTTGTTGTGGTGGTGGACTATCTGTTAATTGTCTACCAATTATTCACTTCATATTTTAATTTATAACAATCCCCAAATCCAATTGTGTCCAATTTTCCGGCATTTTTTATACCCCCTAAGTTTTATACATTAAAAACATTCAAAAAATCATCCAAAAATTTTCCAGTCATTATTGAACCAAGGACTCCAATCTAATTGAGTTATTTTTCGACTGAATTAAATCTTGGCTACATAGTTAAGAATAAGGGCGGAAATAAACGAAGAGCAGTGCTTTTAACGAGACTCCCTCCTCAATGGAAATGGCGGGTTGTTAAAGTTTTTTATCTGTTTAGTTTATTGTTTGGCCTTGTGTACCGGTGGGGCCTGGCTGCTGAAAAGCCATGATTTTTGGCCTTTTACAGATTTCTTTGTAGCGAGGAAGATGAAGGATTTTCTACTGAGCCAGTATCCAATAAACGCAGTGGTGATCCTTTGGGTTTCTACTTTAGCCAAAAGGTATGTTTCAAATAACGCAACTGGTTGCGATTCAGATTCAATTTTTTTCAACTTTTTTGCACTGTTAACCCTTAAAGATGTAACTACATACACATTACAATGTACCGTAAAATTCCGAAAATAAGCCCCTCCATGTATAAGCCCCCCAAACCGGTAACGCAAAAAACCCTCCTTTAAATCGCCCCTCCAAATATAAGCCCTCCGGGGGCTTGTACTTGGAAAATTGCCCTCAAATACAAAGTAAAACAAAGCAAAAACGGTAAATTTACCTCCAACTATAGGGCTAGCCCAATCCAGTTTGAAACGCAAATTTCCCTCCGTATATAAGCCCCTCCGAATATAAGCCCCTCCAAAAATAAGCCCAGCAAAAAGGACCTTTGAAAACTATAAGCCCCGGGGCTTATTTTCGGAATTTTACGGTATTACAAGAACAAAAAAAAAAATAGAACAAAATGACATAAATGATTAAAGGTAAAATGTGTGCAGTGACCAAAGAAGCTTTTAAAAGCTTTCAAGTAGATCACTACCACGTGCAGTTAACTGGGGTAGAAATTTACATAAAAATTACCATAAATATGGGGGGGGGTAGTGAAAACTCTTACTTATGTAAAAAACAAAAGAAAGTGATAGATAGTATAGTAATGATGCAGTAATGTTGTGTTGTCACGCAGTTGATCTGTTGTCCAAACTCTTACTTATACAAAAAAAAATTGAAGGTGATAGATAATAGTAATGATGTAGTAGTGACGTTGTGATTTTATGTAGTTAACTGGTTGTGACGTTTCTTTTTGCGTAGGTCGGAGTCATGGTAACAAGGGAATTCATAGATTATATCAGTACCAAACCACTCCAGGTTGAAGTGTTTGGTCATTATCAACATCATCCACACAATCTGCCCAGTAAGCACCTTCCAAGGTACGACAATTAATCAAACTCGTCCAGGTTGCTGTCAAGAGGGAGCTTACGATCCTGCAACACGGCGACGCCAATGAAGACGACGTCCCTGAAAAATAGACTTCGAGCCTTTCAAACTTTTTCGCGATTATTCCAAGTCACCCAGTTACTTAAAAAAGGGAAATTAGTTTGAAGAGAGGGGACCACGTGCGAGTTCAGACGGAGATAGTACAAACTTTCGTCTTGCCGTCTCCGTTCTCAAGTACACCTAAAATTCGGTCATTTCACGTCGTAGTTAAGTAGCAATGGCAAAGAAATGTACTAAAAAGTGGACTGCTAGTTCCAAGTTGTTGTTTTGCAGTATAAAAATTGAAGTTTCCGTCGCTGTTACCGTCGTAGTTTCGTAAGGTCCCTATTGAATCATTAGGCCGGTACATTTGATTAGTTTTAGTGCCCTGTTCAACCACAGAAAACAAAGGATTCTTCTTACTACCTTGGTTGTCAGAGCCGATTTTGTTGACTCTACAATATGAACGTGACTAATTGTAGGAGATCGTTTCGTGCTACGAATTTAACTTGAATCAATCAAAATCCGACAAACAAAGGCTTCTCTGCGCTCTGCCCGTAGTTCAACATCTCCACTATCTACAGTAAATCTCCATTCTTTCACAAGAGAAGACAGTATCATTAATGCTAACGCGATAATATGTACAGAAGCAATAACTCAAGTTAGCTCTCCTATTGTTCTTTTGTCAGGGCTATTGTGAAAGAAGGCAAATTGGAATCCAAGTCTGTAAAAGGTAACTTGAAAAGAATACAGGCAGTCTTGTATGTTAAGCAATGGACAAGGTTTAGATGGTGGTATTCCTAGGTTTAGTCATTAGTGGTATTTCTCAGTTACAACGTCCGGCAACACTTGGCTTTGTTTAGTCTGTTTGGTCAGCTACTTCCAAGCCGATAGTCACGGACCATGTCGTAGAAACTTGTTTCCCACAGCAAAATAAGTCCAAATTAATTTTGTTAATACTGTAAACTAACCGTCAAGTTTTTTTGCCTTTACTGTAGTGAAAACCTAGCTTGACAAAAATATCAACGCGCTTTTAAGGTTCAACATGACGGTCTCCGGTCTCCGGTACAAGAGTTCCCTCGTTGTCACATTTTCGGATTTGGTCGTCAAGGTTGATTACCCAATGATTCCTATGCTGGAGACAAGGTTTTCATGTCTTTAACGTTTTTGACGCAATTACATTGTCTTTTTGTGCTTCAGACGCTCCAGCCTCGACTTCTCTTCCGCGCCAAATCTGGTAAGGGAAAAAGTGGTCGCCTGTTATTGAGCGATTTTGTATTTATCATTTTAATTATCTTTTCCAGTGTGAGTATTAAGAGACCAACTAAAACTGAGTAATCTCTAACCTGTGACGGCAGTTTAATAATTCCCATTCAAATTAAGGATGTCGACCAGTTATCTTTTGGACTTTCTCTTTATTTATTTATATATCTATTATTTTTTGTTGCACACTTTCTATTGATTTGAAATATATGAAATGAATCATATTTTGAACTGCGGATTAACATGATCTTCACGGTTAAATGAACAACCCTAGCGGTTGTTCATTTAAGGTGGCTCCGTAATTAATACAAGAGCATTTAGCTGTGACAAATTTTCCGTCACAACTTTTTCGATTTTAACGCGATGGCTGCGAAACTTTGCAAAGAACAACAGATATCATTCAGCAATAATACGGAATATTCCGATTTCATTGATGGTAAATATTTCTTGAGAAATTAGCGCTTAAAAGGACCCTACTGTTCAAAGAAAATCGCGTCTAGTAAAAAAATTTTGCTGATATTTTTTACTGAAATTTCTGGTATCGGCTTTAATTGATATAATAAATATGCCAGAGGAATTTCAGAAAAATCGTTGGAGCAGAAGTCCGTAACTAAAAGTCGCTCAAAATTCTGCTGTGAAATTGTTTTGGAATTTCAAAAATAAATTACTATCAGGAAGAAGGAGATACCAGTTTCAATTTTCGGGACAAGTAAATTCAGTGTTTGCTAATTCTGAAAACAGAAACCGATTGCCTATCGTGCTATTCTTTAAAAGGTACTTTTCAGTTTTAGAAGCACTATAAATTGCTCCAAAACTTTGCTCTGACGTCGAATGGCTTGTTGTCCTTGTTCCTCGACATTTTTAAAATAGCCCTTGGCAGTTTTGGTTCAAACTCCTGCTGCACACATTTTGATGTATTGCAATGCATCCTCAACGGCTTTTCCTGCTGTACGTTGTTTCCAATTCAGGAAAAAGGTATTGGGATTGTAAGCTACCTTGTATCGAAGAACTGTCCAGCACCTTTGTTTATGACCAGAAAATGAGCACGAGCGGCACTTCTGCGAGGAATTCGCACCTCAGCCAGGGGGGACGAATGACAATGATGCCGATGTCTGTGAACCGATCTGTATAAACATGTTTTGCAGAGCAAAACATAATAATCAAGAAAAAAATACCCATTCATTGAAGGAAGCAGTGACAAAAATTTCAGAGTTGTAAATTTATTCACGGGCAGTATTTTTGCGATAATTTTATTTTGGACTGTGATGTTATTCGGTTCACAGGCATGGTCATCATTGTCGTTCGTCCCCCCTGGGTGAGGTGCGAATTCCTCGCAGAACTGCCGCTCGTGCTCATCTTGTAGTCATAAACAAAGTTGCTGGACAGTTCTATCTGAGCTCTGGTACGAGGTAGCGTCCAATCTTAATACTTTTTTCCTGAGTTGGAAGCAACGAACAGCAGTAAAAGTCGTTGAAAATGCATTGCAATACATCAAAATGTATGCAGCAGGAGTTTGAACCAAAACTGCCATGGGATATTTTAAAAATGTCGAAGAACAAGTAATTCTACCTCAGAGCATGGTTTGGAGCAATTTATAGTGCTTCTACAACTAAACAGTACCTTTTAAAGAATAGCACGATAGGCAATCGGCTTTTGTTTTAAGAATTAGCAAACGTTGAATTTACTTGTCTCGAAAATTCAAACTGGTGGCTCCTTCTACCCGATAGTAATTTATTTTTGAAATTCCAAAACAATTTCACAGCTGAATTTTGAGAGACTTTTAGTTACGGACTTCTGCTCCAACGATTTTTCTGAAATTCCTCTGGCATATTTATTATATCCCTTAAAGCCGATACCAGAAATTTCAGTAAAAAATATCAGCAAAATTTTTTTACTAGACGCGATTTTCTTTGAACAGTAGGGTCCTTTTAAGCGCTAATTTCTCAAGAAATATTTACCATCAATGAAATCGGAATACTTCGTATTATTGCCGAATGATATCTGTTGTTCTTTGCAAAGTTTCGCAGCCATCGCGTTAAAATAGAAAAAGTTATGAAGGAAAATTTGTCACAGCTAAATGCTCTTGTATTAATTACGGAGCCACCTTAACTGCGAAGATCATGTTCACTTTCATACACTCTTTATTGTTGCGCGTCGTATACTTTTAGTGAAAGAAAATTTGCTTGATTTTTTCAGTGAAAACGAGGAAGGAACGCTGAAGTTTGATTTACTCGTGTGGGTTGAAGTCTGTGAAATGTCACCTTCTGGCGAGTAAGTTCTACCTGTCGATGATGTATTCAAATCTGACCGATTAGCCCTCGAGCAAGCTCTCCTATTTGGGCGAGCCCCGCGAGAACGCGCGAGCGGGGGGCCGAGGAAAGGCGCGTTCTCGCGAGAGTCGCTTCGCTCGCCCAAATAGGAGAGCTTGCTCGCAGGCTACCGACCGATGAGTGGCCTTCGCAGTATATCTACACTGTACTAGATACCTCTTTTGTCGCCACAAAAACAATTTCAGATCTTCGCCGATCAATATCCCCGGAATGAAGAGCTTGTTCGCAGGCTAATATTCACCGATTAAACTGCACAGCTGCATTTCAGATTTTGAAAGGAGAAAGTCACGCAGACTCGTCGAGGAAGCACGAACGGGGAGAGCTATGTGACATTGCTGTAGCACAAAACAGCGTTTTCTGTTTAACAAAGACTTTTTCTTGTTGGGAATTTTCACTGTTTTCCGTAATGTGGTTAGTTTTGGACCAGTGTAACTGCTTTGAAGAAGCAACACGCGTGCGCGTCTTGGCAGACGAGACTGCAACGATTTACGGTGATTTAGATCGAGGCTAATGGCCTAAGCCGGGTTTTACGGAAGACGATCAGGCAGTTTTCGTTACCATAACAACTCGTATGCTCAGGCAACTTTTACCGGGGATCTAAGGTGTTTTGGATCTTTGTTTTTTAGTATTGGTCATTTTTATGCTAGAGACGTTTTAGTCGTCTAGACGCAGTAAACGTCTTAGACGTTAAAGTTTTCTGAGGTAAAAACGGGACTGAACGCATAGAATTATACGAGTTGGACATAAATACGTCCCAGTTTACGGTGTCCCGTTTTTATATTAGACGCATATAACATCGGAGGCGTTTTCAAACGCTCTAGGATAACAACGGCTATTATGTGGCTTTGCCATTTACATACTTTGCTGCTGTCCAAAATTGAGGAAATCTTTGTTTCGGAGCGGCCTTTGCTTGTGTTGTAACGTAGATGAAGGCTTTTTAAAGGTACTCAACTGACAACTGAAACGAGTTTGCAACGCTCCCTGGCCAACGGTGGTAAAGACAAAGGAACTGACTGATTTCTTTTTTTTATACTTTTAGCTACTTTCCATGCGTTCTCAGGCGAAAGGGTGAAACCACTCCATGTGGTGGCGTTTTTCTTCTCCATCAGGTAGTATATCTTGGTTTTCATAGAGCTCACGTATGATACCTCCCGTGTACATTTGGAAACCAGATCGGTTTTGAGTAGAAAAATTCCAAGATTTGCTTGCCTGTTTTTTAATTAATTAATATTTGTATTTATTTTAACATTTGTTCAGGGAATCCAAAGACGGCTCGTGATCACAGTGATACACGAGAATAACCCAGACATTAGAATACGAAGAGTAATGGATGTGGTGGTTGGTAAGCGGATTAAGAATTATGTGTTTTTTTTCTTGTGAGAATCTTCCCGAGTTAAAGAGAGTTATATCTTTGAAAATAAAGCCAAAAACTGTGGCTGTGTTCTTAATAGTTTTTATTTCTTTACAGGTCGTGTACGCACGTCCCTTACCCCTCCCCCAGTTGGGGAAGGTTCGCTTCATACAGTCTCTTTAAACGTGTTGTCACCTCAAGTCCAGTCTCACCCAGACGAAAACAAATCCGTATTCAGGTTCGAGGCGGCCTGGGACTCGTCTCTTCACAACTCTATCTTATTGAATAGGTACAGATGTGAAGTGTATATGAAATAATTCATTTTTGAACTGCGGTTGTAGATGAAAGTGAAGAATGATCATCGCAGGAAATTTTCCAATTTAAGCAATTGGAAAGAAGAAGCCTGAAAAAAAAAATCAGGGCTTCAACGAGATTCGAACCCGTGACCTCCGCGTTACCGGTGCGTTGCTCTACCAACTGAGCTATGAAGCCACACATTGGGAGCGAGGTCAATTTATTGAATAGGTACAGTTAAATGGTTGTCCTTCTTTCATATTGTGATTTGTGTCAACTGCAAGATTTAAAGCCACTGTCTCTGACTACAGTTTTTCAGTGTGATGTTTACCCCTTTCGATTTATTGTATTTTTTTATTCTTATGTTTCCTAGTAGTAGTGATTTAGTTTTAAGTTAGGAGCTTGCGAATATGTCTGTTATAGATGTTGCAAGATGATATATGTAAATGTAACTGATTTCTTCTACAGTCGGCGACAAAATTGTCATGTGAGACAGCCCTCAAATTGGGTACTTCGGAGAACTTAACAATCTGCACCCCGTCCTCCCCTCCGTTCAAAGGTTGGGGTGTTTGTTGTTTTTCTATAGATAGCTCGTACAGCATCTCAGCATTGCTTGAGGTTTAGGGAACGGAAAACTTCATTTTTCTCTTTAAAAATCGGCAAAATGTCAGTAAGGCCGTCTAGGGCAAAGTGTCTCAACTAGTCCTGTCGCCGATTGTAGACAGAAGAGTGCATATTAAAAACCTAGTTGAGATGGTTAAGTTTGTTCTTAGAATCTTGGTTCCCATAATTATGGCTTCATTAATCATCATTGTCTGATCTCATTGACGTGACAGTAACGACACTCGTTACGACCTTAAACAGCAAACTTCTTGCTTTCATAATAACTCGTGCTTAAAGTCAGTGGTGAGCAATGCGTATACAATTCACTCAACTCAGCGCTGCCATTTGTGACTTTTCAGAGTGACACCACCAGGGGAACTTGTGTTTGTTACCATGTCAGCTTATCTTGAGGTTGGTTCAATTTGAAACATCCTATTTATTTCTTGCACGGTTTAATAATAGTCTGTTTAGCATTTAATCGGAAAACTTCGGCTATTTCCGTAAGGACTTGCAAGTTTCACTCCCACAGCACTTTCCACAGACATCCCACTGGCCGTATGTTACTGGTTGAAATGGTTATGCTTAAGTGAAACAAGCATTGTGGGATTTTGAATCATCTTTCAAGAAATCTTTTCGATGTTGACATTTTTCGTTTAGGAAAACGAAATGAGCGTATCAACCATAGTATTCGGATTTTGGGTGTAAATAGAAAACAACCTCAGTTTCTGAGTTTTTCCAGAAGTTCTTGAGATGTTATACAAAGGTTTTTGATAATCGTTTCTTGTTGTCGTTCCGAAACATTTATATATAACAATATTGAAATGCAGATAAGGCCTATAATCGCTATTAAAATGTAAAGTTAAAAATCCAAGCTTTTCCCGATCAACACCATCATCCCCAGGAGGAAGGGGTCATCTCATGTGTTTCGTTTGTCTGTGCCCAATTCATCACTGCCAGTGTGACGTCACGTCCCAACGGGTGAGCTTCGGGTCGCTTTATCATAAGTGTGTGAGCTTTGTTGTTGCCTTGATCTGCTTGTGTAAAGCAGATAAAAGGCAACGACAATTGTCAAAGCTCGTACACTTATGATCAATTTAGCCATGTATAGCAATATTTGCCTAGCTTTTAATCTTTTCCCCCAAAATTGCACAAGCGACCCCAAGCTTTCGCCCGTTACTATGTGACGTTACATTGGCAGTAATAAATCGGTCACAGACAAACACATGAAAACAATAGAGATGGCCCTCCCTCCTGATCATCCCTGTTGTTGAGTTCTGAACCACAAATTGTCATCCTCGATCAAACAAATGCTAGTTTATCGTTTAGCCTGACCAGAAATCTTTTTACTTTGCAGCTAGATAACTGTTGCCAAACGTGTTGCATTACCAAGGACATTGCGCTTTCCGTTTTCGGTAGGGACTCCAAGACAACCCCTAGGTAAGTTTGCAGATGAGTTGGAAAACGTGTCCCTTGAAAAATGTCATTCCTTAATGACGTTGTAACTTATTCAGCTGATACGATTCTATATTATTACTCCTTTGCAGGTCCGCCTGGGGTATCTTTAGCTCGTCAAGGCGTCCCGAAAAGTGAGTTACCATACTTTTGTAGCAATTTTAGGCTTCCAGTTTCTAGTAGGCAATGTACGAAGTGAAATCAGGTTCAGAGCAAAATTGAAGCGATGACCCTGAGGGAGTTGCGCATGAGTAGTGTAGGGTGCACTGAATTATCCTTTTTGCGGAGGAATCCCATTTGCGAGCTCCACCTTTCTCGCGCGCTCCCCTCTCGAGGCCTTATTCTACTGAGTCAGTTATGCGTTTCTAATGTAATAGTGATAACTGGCCATTTTGATATTGGAGACCAGGTTGGTGTTGTGTCGAATTGTACCATGGGAATGATTTGGGCGATGAATTTTGAACAGTTTTACTTAGCTTTTTTGTTTTCTTTTATTCTTTAGTGATAAACTCAGTGATATATTTGAGCTTGTTCTTCATCCTGCTGATGAACATGGCCAGCGTAAGTATGATTCCCAGCATGCTCATTCTTCAGACTATCAGTTGTAATGAAGTTAATTTTTTGCTTGATAACAACTTGTCATCGACCATAAAAAAGGTTTTAACTTCAGCCCCCGGTTGTCTAAACGTTGGACAGCGCTATCCACCGGATAAATTTCTATCCACTAGATAGCGCAATTGATTTCCCTAATACTTATCCACTGGATAGTGATTTATCCGGTTGATAGCGCTATCCAACGTTTGAACAACAGGGGCCAGCATCATACTTAAACTTACCCACTATCCATATATCTACTTGTTTGTAAAACTAAACAAAACAAAACGCTGTTTTGAGGATGTTGACTGAGATTCACACATTAAGTGTTAAGACCGACGAATATTTAGGTTGCGTCATGATGTCCATAGTAGGAAAATTCAGGTTGTATGATTATAACTTTTTTTTTTTAGCATTAAAGTTATTTGTTGTTCGGTCTTCGATAGCTTGTGACACTTTTTTCCTGATTTGATAACGTGGAACTGTAAGCTACTTTAAACAATTTGATCATTTCCTTTTTCAGTTATGAGGACAAAGAGGAGAATAGTGAAGGACACGTCTAGTATTTACGTCAGAGGAGAAGAGAACCTTGGAGAATGGCGACCGAGGGGTACTTCACTGATTGAAGAGCATCAGATGCAGTTGGACAAGCTTGACCGAGTACAGGAGGTATCGACTATAATATAAATATAAATATAATTTAATTAACTAGCAATATGTAATTATAACTTAATTATCTTCTCGCCTTATGAGGCTTTTCATGGATAATAAAACAAACAATTCAAATGGAACATAACATGGTTAAGAATCCCAATATTGGTAGGAGGCGAACCAGTTGGCTATTTTACAAGCGTCGCCGACAATTTGAAGATGCGCGAGACTATCGAGAACAAATCCAGCTAGCGGTCAGGGCAGGACTGGGACCCGGTGGTCTTTATATCTTGATCGTGCACGCCTTCATCGTGTGTTCGGGTGTTTGAAATCCGATACCTTCTACCTTGTCACGGGCGACGGGGATTAAAACTTAAAAACGGATGTTGGAACCATTATCAACCCTTCATTGATAATAGACCACTAGTTGGATTTTACGAATACTGATTATTTGTTTATTTTAATGATACTTAATAACCTGGAAGTTCTGTTTGTTGAAGGTGGCTAAAGCTCGTCATATTCTGTCTCTTGGTGACAAGCTCATGTCCTCTGACCGCCCCGACACGGTTGTGGTAGATCCGGGTATTTTCTCTGATGACAGTACCTACTCCAGCCGTAGTAGCCTGGGTTCCATTTCCCTTTCCTCCTCGTTTCTCTCTGTTGCGTCACTTCCAGCCGGGAAGCCTCTGCGTTTTACAAGAGATGTTAACCCGGAGAAAGTCAAGGAGAAGTTACTAAATAAGGTAAGTTGACATTTACGTACGTTTATTATTTTATTTCATTTTGTTGTCTTCGTGCAGTCTCTACCGACGAGTCCATTGTACTTACTTTGAATTCACTGAATTAGACTGTTTTGTTTTGTTTTAGTGTCTTCATCTTTTGACTTGGGAAAGGGATTTCAGTGAGCCTAAACCTTTAGTGAGTACGACGTTACCCGGTATTTCGCCGGCAAGTATATAATGAATGAAAATATTTGACTCCAGCTATTATACATTCTCGACAACTAATTATGCTCCCGCACTGGTCCTCAATCCGTAGTGGGATTTGACTACACTCAACTGATTTGACTGCCGCCCGGTTAGCTCAAATGGTTGAGCGTGGGTTTGTTGAGTGGGAGGCCCGGTTCTAAGCCCCGGCCGGACCAAACCGAAGGCAAGACCCTGCTGGCAGTGATTAAGATCTTGTCTCTGTTCAGATGATCTCGTCATTGTGTCGGCAGTGTCGTTAAACCAGTGGCCTTATCTCCTTCATCCTTCTCCCGTTTGTTAATTTGAAAGGGAGTTGAAAGTAACCCACATTGCTGTTGAAAAAGAGCAGGAATTGTTCGCCTGGTGGTCCGGTCTCCCGGCTCTGCCTATGTCAGGACTTCACGTGTCGTTGGTTGGCTAGGCCACAGTAAGCTCCAGGGTGGATAAAGAAAGTTCAGAAAGGGGTGAAAGGGGTGGCGGCGATCCCTCGGCACCACCCCTAAAACCCTCCATGAAGCTCTGTCATAAACGGATTGATAACGGCGCCCAGTGCGCGCTCTATTTGGACGTCCGAGTTTTTGCAGATTTATTACATGAACATATGAAGACACGACGTCCTATTGTTGTCATCTTAATTTTACTCACTAACCTATTGTATTGTGTGCGCTAGTATCTTAGTTGTGATTGGCTTGTTTGATCAGATTTGTTTTGATTTTACGACGCTTTTAACTTCTGTTCTATGCCATGTGAATCACATGTTCCATATATTCTTCTCTTTAGAATCCGACCCTGACGTCTGAGGGTGGTTTGAACCAAGAGAATGACAAAGAGGCGGAAGGCCATGTGGAATTCTACGTGCCGGAAGTAATTCATGTGAGAAAGAAGTAAGGGAACATTTGCACCAGTATTAATGGAGCTATGTCACAATTTTTTGTCATTAATTTAAAACCCTAAAACCAAGAGAGGATAAAGGGGATAGAGAAGGCATCCTCCATACACGCCCTATTCCATAGGTAATTCGTCTCGAGTTATTTTTAAGACCGCAGATCCCAAGGGGGATTAGACAACAGCCAATTACATAGCGCGAATGTGTTCCGCGTGGATGACCCACGCTCAGAGCCATGCGTCCTTCACGAATGGAGGCAGAAAAAAATGGCGGAAGACGCGGAGAGCAATATTGCTATTCGTTTTGTCGACGAAAACGACTAAAGAGAGATTTCTGCTAAAGCTTTGTCAGCGAAATGGAAATTAAAAAAGAATCGCCCTTCATGTCTCGTATAGAGCTAACAGTACAGCAGGGAAATCCTTAACACAGTGAATATTCTCTCAGGATCATTTATAAATTACAGTTTGAAGAGAGCAATTTCTGGTTTGATATTTATTCTTTTATTAGTGTTTTATTATTCAACAAAAATAACACTTGGTGTCCTATAATAATAATAATAATAATAATAAATAAATAACTTCTAGAGCGCTATTTACATTAACTGATCAACAGTGCTTAACAACTTAAAAAAACTACAATAAAATTCAAATTTGTAAAACTAATTACTTGTACATGAACATTACTTGCTACTTGCTTTATTGTACAAACGACCGGTTTCAATAGACCGGCGAAATTTCTCATTTTATTCAAGCACTGAGGTTACGATAACTTCGAGTTAAACTGATTTCACAGGTTCTCAAAGAAACGAGCGATTTCCTTTTCCCAGGTGAGCGCCGACTCATTTCGCTTCAATATTCAGAAATGCTCTCGATCTATTTACGCTTTCATTGCCTTTCACCCGACATATTTTGCATGGCGTTTAGTCATGCGAAACCTCCACGAAACATCCACGCAGCGCGCGAGCTAACTTTATCCCGATTCTAAAAATAACTCGAGACGAATTACTTATGGAATAGGGTGTATATGGGGGATGCCTTCTCTGTCCCCTTTATCCTCTCTTGCTAAAACACATAAAGAGAAGTCATTACGTCATGTTGCCATGGTAGCAAAATTCCTGGATCTTCACAAACCGTGGTCCTGCAAATATGGCAGGTAAAAACAACGAAAAATGGTAGCTCATACTTTTCTTCCATCTTTCGAAAATGCAAATGGTCGTCTCTGTCAAGAAAGGTTGTTTGAGATCCAGAAATTTTGCTACCATGACAATTGTCCTGCCTATTGGAATCAAAGATAGCCATAAAATAATGATTCCGTCTTATTTAAATTTATTCTTCGAATATGCCTCAACTATAAGTGTATATCTCTGGCTTCCGATGGCCAGGATGGAAACGGAGTACAGGTGAAAAAAAAAAATTGGGCCAACTTTTTCAAGGTTAAGCTTCTGTGTTGTTTTAAAATGACCAAATACCGGTCATGTATAATTAGCCTCGTTCGGGAGAAAAATTGTTACTAATCTGATTCAGTTGATTGGTTCGACGCGTTTTAAGTTCGACGTCTGACCCAACAGAGGATCTTAACTTAATTTAAGTTCGACGTTTGGCCCAGGCCTGAGTCTAATTGCTTCCATAATCTCCTCAGCCCAGTAATAAGCAAACGAGGTTATCTTCATATTATGGACGACTGCAGCAGCAAGTGGAGCAAATGCTATGTTGTGAGTACAGTATTTTGTTTTGATTCTTTGCCGGAGATTACCCCCGACAGCGGGCTCTCACTGGCCATTCTGAGGTCGCATGAAATCTAACAATAAAACAGTTTCCCGCCAAAATTTTCTAAGGGGCAGCCTGCAAATCTATAACGTAAGCGGGTAACAGCGCATCATTCCCGCGAGTGTTGGCTGCTTGTATGGCTCCGGTTTCTGTCAAATATCTCATTGACTGGTCGCTTAGGAGACTAATGACTAATTTTATCTTCCTCGTTGTTTGGGCTCTTTTTCGTGCAACATTGATATCTGGGGGGATAAAATTTCACCTCAGTTTTTATTGTTGTAGGTCGTTAGAAAGCCTTACGTCCTACTTTACCGTCAGGAAGGTGATCCGGTAGGTAAACATTTTTTAGTGTTATTTTGATCTGATAAACGGCGAAATTGCAAGGCAACTGCATGTTTTAAAATGGGTGGACTGAGGTGAAAATGTTGTATTTAGGTCTGAAATGGGTGAGCGTCCAAACGTTCTTGTTGCAAACACCAACCAACAAAGTAGGAAGAGTACGTGTTTTGGGATCTTTTGTTGCTGAGGGCTAATTTTTGCTTTCTTGTCTTTCTCATGTTAGAGAACTTAAGCAGCATGACGACGGGTCAACGAAAACAACACAAAAGTGATAGGTTTAGTTGTAAAACAACAACTCTACACGTTTACCACACCTTTTTGTACATTTCTTTGGCGTCACTGCACGATTACAATGTGAAACGTCCTTACTGAATGCGACGTTTACGACGAATTTTTCTTTTTCATCGTGAACTTGTACACAGCTCTTTAGAATGTAACTGCAGGAAAATTTGCCGATATTTGACCAATTGAGCGAGTGGAAATAATCGCGGTAAGTGACGTTTTCGCTGTTGATTTCCACTGTAGCGTAATTTTTCCGTGCGAACGCACGTAAACTTTACGCGCGTAAATATAATAGAGGTGATGTATAAAAGGCCGCGCGTAAACGGAAAAGTTGAGCGAGGTTCAACTTTTACGTTTACGCGTGATCTTCCATACATCGCCTGTATTTTATTTACGCGCGTAAAGTTTAGTGCGTACGCACGGAAAAATTACGCAACAGTGGAAATCCACCCTTAGGGAGCTTAAGCATTGACGACGGAGACGTCTTTTTTCAAACATTGTCGCGTTTATTCCAGTTCTCTGAAAATGTCAAATGTAGGCGAATGTCCCTGGAGTTGATTTCTCGGGAACCGCACTCAAGTTTAGAAAGAATAAAATTAGTCATCGTCGTCGCTTGTGTACGTTTTCCTTAAAACGTGAAATTAGGCGTTTTCACGTCGTAGTCGTGCAGTGTCGGTAAAGAAATGTACAAAAAAGTGTAATGTCAAGTGTGTAAAGTTGTTGTTTTGCTAATAAAACCTATTGCATTTTTGCCGTTGTCGTTGCCGCCGCCGTCCTATTTGCTAAAGCTCCCTATTTCAAAATTCATCTCTCTTATTCCATGTGGTTCTACAGGGTTCTCAATAAAAAGTAGGAGGCTCCCAAAGCCATTTCAAAACAAAGCAAAGAAAAGCGACTTAAACATCTCTCTTATTCCATGTGGTTCAATATGTAAAATGTTGGAGACTTTTGAAGTTTGAAGTTTATTAATTCATAAATACATAGCAGTACGAAAACTGGAGTTGAATTCTAAAGGACTGTTGAACTGTTGCCTGAATTCTAAAGGACTGTGTCTATAAAATAAGGGATTAGGAAATCGTTGTCTTGTGTTGGAGTCCTCAACAAAACTTGAAATTAGGCAGTTTCACGTCGTGGTCGTGCAACGACGGCAAAGAGATGTACCCCAAAAAAACTTGCTGCACGTACAAAGTTGTTGGCTTTAATTTGTTAGTCTTAGGGCCTGTTTACGTGGAGGTAGGGGACCCAGGTAGGTGGGGTAACCTGCCTGTACATATAATTTCTCATTTTAGTTTGATCACGTTTACATGACAGGTGTGGTGACCCGCCACATTTTGCCTCACCTTCCTGGGGTCCCCCACCTCCATGTAAACAGGCCCAACGCTTAGTTCACTCGACTGTACCGGATAGCATTTGCTAGTTCTATTTGCTCCGGCACGAAAACGATATCGGATAGGGCTATTGCCGTATTACCGACCCACCAACCATCTAGCTGTGTACGAAAATGTGCTTCAAGAAATCGTCATCATGGCTCTCGTCAAAAATCCATTCTAATCACGTTCTTTTTTTTTTTTGTTACTTTCAGGTTGAACAGTTCTTGGTTAATCTCAAGTTTTCCAAAGTGGAATGTCCAGAATATTTCGTGGTGAGGAATCCATGTACTTCTATCTTCCCTCAGTCAACTATGGAAGTCTGAGATGTTGATGTAACTTTAAGTTTGAGATTGAATTAATAAGTTAACCAATTTTGAATGTGACCACGGTGAAAGTTGTAAGGATTTCAATTCCTTTCTTTTGTTATTGTTAAGAATAACTTGGTGTGTTTGTTTTGTTACAGACGTTCAGTGTTTTCTCAATCCGTACCAGACAGTGCAGATTCCTCGTCCGAACAACAACGGAGAAAGAAGAGGATACATATGACTGGTTGTACGCACTGAATCCGCTGTTAGTCGGCAGCATGAGGTAGGTAGAACACTGAAAATTTTGCTTGTAGAAGAGGATTTCCACAGCCATGTGTACGTATTTTTACATGCAAATCGCTTTTACTCACATACACCAGCCTCCAAAGAGAGGGCCCACATTTACCTAAATAAGCGTTTCCAGGACCCATGAGCCCCTTGCTTTTCTCACGGGCTCTTGGAGCCACCCCTTGTCTCCTGCGTCACGCAACGTTCCTGGAGAAGCGTTGCGTGAGGACCCAAATAACGTCTGTGTAGGACTCCGGGATATATGTTGTAGTTATTTACAAACAATCGAATTACTCGTCGAGTAACGCTCCACAATGATGATGCGGCGCGTTTCGAATGTTTGAGTGTTGGGACGTCAATTCAGATTGTCAAACTTGATTTTTACGTCTAGAGCCGGAGCAAGGGCCTCCTGCTAGAGCTTCGCTATTAAATGCTCTCTACACTTTATAACAACTGTCCATTTGTTTAACTTTTTATGACAGGTCCAGAAAAGGCAGCATAAAACAGGGCGCACATAAGTGAAAGGTGCGCCGGGGAGACGCTTCAATAGATTCAGTCACCACCTCTTTACGACGGACACTTCCCTAAAACGAGCAACTGGAGTTGGCTTCTGTTTTTCTTCGTTTTTAAAACTTTGTAATGCGGACAACTCTTTTATTGGGACACGTCAGTTTGTCTTAAAGAGGGCTGACTCACTGTACTGTGTATTGTAAAGTGCTGTGATGAATTCGTGTAATAGGCCATTGCCGAGTTCCCCCAAACCTCTGTTTTAAGACGAGGTTAAGTGCAAAGCCTTCGCTGTGAAAATGGTTTCTTATTCTTATGCATATAACACTAATTTTCACGAGAAAGGTTTTGCACTTGGCTTCGCTTTGAAAGTGAGGTTTTTTGGGACTCGGATGCTTACTGACCACAGGGTCTGAATTTGAATTAATACTGAATTTCAAAATTTGATAACCAGCAGGGTTAGATTAATATATTTGGATCCATTTTACATCCATTTGATCATACGTGGTATTTATGAGTTAATTCACCATTTCTGTGCGAGTTTGTTATCCTTCAGAATGGGATAGATTAAAAGCGTTCCTGTTTTACAATAAAATAATAACAAATTATTTATAACAACCGATCTAATAGATTACCAAGGTAATAGAGAAAAATTTCCAATTTTGTTGCTGCATATCTCCATACATTGTTCCTCGCATTTTTGTAACTGTCGAGACTCGATCTGTCGCTTGCCCCTTTTACTTTTTGCTGACTCAGGACTAGTCCATTTTACAGTTATAGGTGGAAACGAGGCTGAAGTTGACCTTGTTTTGATACAACCCTTTCTGCGTAATTACGTTAATCGTGAAACGCATTGGTCGCGCGGAATAATGAGCCAAGGGACTAGGCAAGCCTATTGCGACATTCGCTCAAAAGCGGCCATTTATGGAACAATGTTTGGAGAAATGATAGTCAGTCTGTATGGCTTTTTTGTACAATGTTTCATTGATGAATAACCCGTTAGTGGACTCATTTATATTTTCAAATGAAACCAGATAGTAACTTCAAAGTTTGAAGATCATATTTTGGGGTAGCGTTTGGGGTAACGAGTTATTGAGGAAAATTTGCAATATTTGTTGGGACAATTATTTGTATTTTGATATTCCCGAACAGGTCGGTTGAATTGAATTTCGGATCATAATGTACATAATAGGTATAAATCATCATTTAGAACTGAAACTTTCTCAAGAATTATTAGACAAGAATATTGCATCATTGGTCAATTTTTAGTGTTAATTAGGGATGGATGTACCCTGGGTACCACAGGTTTTTTCTCGCGTGCGACGGGGAGCTTCGTTTCGTCGGCCGCAGGCCGACACGTGTTCGGCCGAAGCCCGAAGACACGAGCGGCGAAGCCGCGAGAAAAAACTTTTCGCGCGGGTCACTTTTTAAGACTTGACCGAAACCGGAAACCGCGCATGAAAAGCCTCTGGCACCCAGAGTGGGATGGATGCCTTTTCATAAACAAAACTTCCTCAATTAGGAGGTGGCTATTGGACAACTGACCTGTATTTTAAGTAATAAATGAGTTTTATAAACACATTATTCGGCTTATAGGAGGAAGCGTCGTACCTACAACCAATTATTCAATGAGGTTTTTTTGATAAAAAAGGTAAGAAGATAGAGTGTGTTTACGTCAGTGTCTGTAAATAGTTATCATCCTTAATAATTATGATCGGGGCTGAAGGCTAACGCTGATAACGCTTATCGAGACCTTAATACTTATACTTGAAAGAGCTTATAAACCTGTGTTTTTTTTTCTGCGCGATGCTTTCCAGTATGTTCTTATTTTTTTGGAAGGAAAAAAAAAACGAAAAAGATAAAATCTAAAGAATCATCCTGTGGCTGAAGTTATTGTCAACAGTTAGTTAAAATTGAAGATCATTAAAGTGATGTCTTTCTACATTTCTTTGCGTTCTGTTAAGCTAATAATTATCATTTCAAACTCGTGTGTGGAGGAGTGTCTTTCCAGGAGCTGTGATCGCCCTTGGCGTCATTATCCTTCACAACATTACCCGTATGACCACTTGTGTTAAGCCTGATTACTAGACTGTTCTTTTACGGACTTCATACAGCAACTTCAAGGAGACACGATAATGTGTGTAATGTTTGTGTACAGCTAGGACTTGGCACAGTGTAGCTTGCGTCACAGACGAAACTTAACTCTTTTGTTAAGTCTGTCTGTGAAATAGCTTTCCACGAAGGCGTTTTTAGGGGAAATCGTATTTCGTCCCTTCCCACAAACGCTGCTCAACTGTAGAACAACATTCCTTTCCCATTGTGTTATTCGCCTGTGACCAATCAATAGTTTTGAAAAAAAGCGTTGAAAGGCCAGGCTAAAAACGACTCATGGTAGTGTAAAAACGTTACCCTAGAGTTACCGTCTACCTTTCTTTTCTTTCCTTCGCTAAGGTTATGCAGTGCATGGAGTATTCTAAAATTTGACTTAATCTTATTTTTGCTGCTCTGAGTCTAAAATTTATTAGAGGTCATAAAGCTTTCCCAATGTTTCATGTAGATCGTGTAATTATCGGGGTACCCTGCGGTCAAGGTCAACCTTCCAGAATTTGGAAGGTTCAATGTGATTGGCTAAGCCTTGGGGAAGGAATGTTGTTCTCGGTTGAGCAGGCGTTTATGGGGAGGGACAAAATACGAGCTCCCCTAAAAACGCCTGCGTGGTAGGCTATCTGCGAAACAGCGCCGAAATCCTTGTTCTGAGCACCAACCTGTGTACCAGAATCTGAGTACGCGCCATGATTGGCCTGTTAAAAAAGCCATTATCGATTGACCAATAAGGATGAAGAGAAATTCGAAGCGCACTTCTGGTAATTGGTTGAGTCCGTTGGGGGCCCAGAACATAAATCACGGCGCTGCTTCTCAGACGTTACTAACCGAGGTTAAATTTCGTCTACGACGCAGGCTAGACACAGAGTGCAATCATGTATTAATAAAACGCCATGCGTTAACAAGATCGCTTTTTTGTGTGACCAAGATGGAGGGCGACAGATTTAGAGATGGAGACATGATTTGTCATAGTGCATAGAGAAATCTCATCGTCTGTTCACCTCTAGAATACTGGGGTGGACACTGTCTTGTTCCTTTTCCGTATCGATTCAAAAGCCTTTATTTCGAGAGCCAGCCCTCCGTCACGTGTAATCCGATTCCGATTGCGATTCGCCCAACGAGTCGGATCAGCATTCTACCTGTCGGCTTTTAAATCTGCTGTTGAAACCTAATCATTTCAGTAAAATAAGAACCAAATTTTGGCTCCTCCTGCCAAAACCGGACAGATCGAGCCTATCAATTATTTGTTAACAAAAGGCACCTTATACAGTGGTAGTTCTGCGGCTCTTGCAGTTACCTCACAACGCAGTTACCTCACAACAGAATACGTTTTACTTATTTATTTAAATCACTTTGTGGTATACAATAAGTTAGAACAATCATGTGATGCTTGAATGATACCATTTACACTGGCGACAACAAAAGCAGTAGACTGAAATACCAGCAGCTCACACTGAAAGTACACGAGAATTACATCATTGAAATCAGGACTTATTATAATGCCATCCGAGTTGACTAGCGATAAACTCGGAACAGTATTCGCGCTGTTATTAATGGAAAGGATTTAGTGAGATCGCGATGAGTCAAGGGAAGGAAGGAAGCCTTTGTGCGCGTCAATTTTCTTTTCCATCTTCCATTGAGAAAATAAATGTGACCACTGGGTACGAGTCTGGACTTGCGACGCAAAGGCAAGCTCAAAAAATCCTTACTTCGCTGTGAACACTGCCCAGAAGCAAGCATAAATTCCAGCAAAAGGACGAAATTTGTCCTTGTCTTTTCTTTGTCGCGTTTGCGTCAGTACGCTATTTCCCTAGACGCCAGACTCTTATGCTTACACTTGCGGTTATGTTGCTGGTGAACACAAGGCATAAGTCTTACAGAGGTGAACTAGATATAATACAGTGATTAGATACAATTTTACAGGATGGACTCTTTAAGGCCTAACAATGACCAGAATAGAATTTCTTCCTACAGTAGAACCGCTAATCAAATATAAAATTCATGAGAATAAAGCAAATGATCACTAAGAAAGGCAGAGGACAGTGTGGAGGAACAAGTACTCACTCGGAAGAGAATTAAAACGAGCTTCCGCACAATTTATTTTGTACAATCTACACACCTTGCACGGATTTTAAATTACACTGTTAATCTCTTAACACTCAGGAAAACAGCCCAAAATGTCCGAAAAAATTCTGAAAAATCTAAGAGCAATAAAAACAACAACAAAAAGACAAACAAGGAAAAGAAACTGCAGCCATTTTAAAATTTCATTTTCCAACTTAGAAGTGAGAAAGAAACACACTTGTAAATACAACCTGTTTCAGGCGTATAGTTCTATATTCGCGACGTTCCGGCTCTCCCCCACCCCCTCCTTATGTGAACGCCTGGAACAGGCTACTGTTACCAAAGACATACGCCTCTACCAGTTCACCTCCTCGATAATTAGCACACAGATTACAGTCAATACGTACTCTGTGCCATGCGTTGTGCTTACGATAAACCTATAACCCGAATAGTACCCTGTAAAACAAACCGACGACAATCGCAAGTTTGATTTAGACGATACGCGTCATGGTTGTACCTTGTTAACCTGCGTTTTGAAAATCGCAATAGTAGAAGGGCACGCGCGAGTAAGACGCGTGTCCCACCCCGCGCGTGACATAAAGTCCCTCGCAATTGTCAAATGGAGTTTTCTTGCAAGTTGGGAGGCTTGAGACGTCCTTTGTACATGTAATGAGCGCTTAACTGTATTTTACTTCAACAGGCACATAACGTGACTCTAACTAATTACAAAAAGTATCCAAAAGATGATAAAGCGAACACTTACTTAAAAACAAGATTCCCTGAAGGAATTCATGCCTTAAATTTTCAGGGTCTGTCCAAGCCTGTCTGCAAAACCTTGGGCTACCACGGGGCTCCCTTTTTGGCTGATGACGCCTCTCCAGTCTACACGTAATACTATGGGACAGCGGTCAAATGTTTGCGAAACAGAAATGTGTGTGGCTACAACAAGACGGAATTTAGGCCAGTTTTTATGTTTGGAAATCACAGAAATACTGTTTCAGTGACTCGGTCTTTCATGAATACTTTTGCATGACCATAGACACTAAGGTCACAGCACTAAGGTCACGCAAGAGAAGTCACGCAAAGTCAAATGACTTGCTAAGCCTGTATAAAAATAGGATTTTTATAAAATAGAGTGGCACGTTACCTTGGAAACAAACCAAAGCAAATCAAAAGAACCAGCACTAGCCAATAAGCGCTAGCAAAAAGGGTGAAGATGATTGGACAGTGAGCGAAAGCGACGAGCTTCCTATAAGATATATTAAATACAGAAATCTAAAAATGCTTTTGTTTTAATTCGCTGGTGTGTCTCCTTCTTCCGGTTCAACCTCATCGCCTTCGTCTCCCTCGTCTTCTTCGTCGTCCTCCTGTTCAACTCCTTCATCTTCTTCGTCATCCTCTTCCTCGCCCTCCAGAAGAACTTCCTCCTTGAAAAACACAAGATGTTGTAGTTGCTAAATTCGAATCTCGCTCAACAACAGCCTGTTCCAGGCGTTCAGATAGTAGAGCGCGGGAGAAAAATTCACGACGCTCGCCCCTCCCTGTCCGCCCCCCGTTTTCCCGGTGTACAATTTAACTCGCTCCCCACTGACCGCCGCGTTCTACTATCTGAACGCCTGGATCAGGCTAGCTCAACAATGAACAATTATTAGACTCGTTTTTTGTGATATCCGGAATAATCAAGGTCGAGCCCGCGTTATCAGCCGAGCCCGACCCGAAGGCCGAGGCTGATAACACTTACCAAAACCTTGATTATTCCGGATATCACAAAAACCGAGTCTAAAAATTGTTTTATCATGTATTGTTTTGAAGAAAATAAAAACAAACACAGCATCGCATGGAACACAGTTTGACATTGCTCTTGGAAATCATGTATCGCGCACGCAACCTACGGATCAGACGCAAATCTGCTAGCAGATAACTACCTAATCTGTAGGTTGCACTGATTTCCAAAATTAAACATAGGCTCTTAGCCAATGAGAAGACAGAGAGTGAGTACAATGTATAATAATAGATAATAAAAGTACTAGATGGGAACCACCGAAGCTAGATAAGCGCCATCGATGGGTCAGCGCTCTCGTGTCTCCCTCAAAAATACCATAATATTCAAGTTTGGGTAGTGCGCCATGTAAGCCTCACTTTCCAATGTCTTTTATTCTAAATTAGAACTGCACGTGCTTTTCATGAACTTCTCTTCATTTGAAAAATACTTTAGTTTACACAATTGCATACGAACGGAGCAGCGCTAACGTTGGCTAGAATAAAGGACTGAGAGGGTTAGTTTCTAAAGAAAATATGCAGTTGCGTCGGAGGAGGAGAGAAGCGAAAAGATTTGGTTATATCAACTGAGATAATAAGGTAGATAACACGTTAGCGAAACGATTACGACATTGGCGAACAGGAAGTAGGCGAAACGACCGTAAACTGATTGGCCACCGTCGGGGGCGCGTGAGGGTTGGTTAGAGACCTTAGTGAGTAAGCCCTCTACTAGTAAGCCACGTAAGAAATTGAGTTCGCCCACAATGAATTTAACTCCCTGCGAGTTAGCCCCGAAAATTAAATGTTTTTCAAAACCTAACCTGGTTAAAAGAGATTGAAAGGGTTGATTTTTATTAGCAGCCGGACAGAATTTAGCCTTTCACAAAGTCCTTCGAAGTCTTTTACGTGTTATGTCAATCTCAGGCAGTTTGAATGCATCAAATTTCACATAGTTACTTTCATAACTTCACCTTCTACGGGTATATTACGAGCCGTCCAAACTGCTAGTTGGCTTGATAGCTCAGTATCACAATATTTTGTTTCTTAAGCCCCGTGCAAACGCTCAGACGCAACGTTGTTGGCCCACAACTCCCTAACAATGTTGGGATTTGCAGTGCATCGTGGGAAGGATACAACTGATAAGATTTTGGAGACAATGTAGAATGGATGTGCGTGGCCCTAACAATGTCGGAAGAGCTGTACGAACAGTCCCAACATTGTTGCGCTACGCTTCGGCGATCAAGGAACAAAAGAAATGTTGGGAATTGTTGGCTAAAAAGTTTGACCGGTTTCAAACTTTGTGCAACAACTCCCAAAAACACGCATTAACATGCCACAAAATGCAACTGGAGTGCCAACGGGCGCAACATGTACCATCCAACAATGTTGCGTCCGTTTGCACGGGGCTTTACAATGTTCATGCCCCACTCTTACCCCTGGTTCCCCTTCTTCATCATCACCATCCTCTGGTTCCTCGTCTTCTTCATCCATTTCATACACGACTGGTGTTTCCCCCTCATCTCCCTCTGCCAAATCTTCTTCCTCTCCTTCTTCTACCACCACTTCTTCTTCTTCCTCCTCCTCTTCCTCGTCCTCTTCGTCATCCTCAACTCCTTCTTCTTCGTCCCCCTCATCATCCTCTTCACCTTCATCTACTACCACCACATCATCCTGATGGTTGATGCAGACAATGTCGGTCAGTTGTTTTCAAAGATGGCAGTAATGCCATCAAAAAAGATTTTCTCTTTTCACTGTTATCCTAAGTACTAATGTAGCCACAAAAGTCAGGCATACTCAGACTAACCCAGTTCTGCAGCAGAGAGCAATTTTGAATATTGCAACTTCTTCTTAGCTACCCAAGAGACCTTTAGATTCTGAGACGAGGACGACCACGAGTACAAGATTTTCTCATTACTAAGTAGCAGTACACGCGCGTGAACGAGCGTTATTTTGGCGGGAAAACGTGATAATCGTCGCCACTCTACCGCGGGTTTTAGAGAGAATGTCGTAGTAGCAGAAACAAGTTATCTAATGTTAGAAGTTTAATCATTTGGCGCTCGGGAGAAGGCTTAACCTCCTTCAATAAAAAATAAAAAAGTACAATGAAGCTTTGAGGGGTGTCGAATTGTTTTTCGAATAGGCGACAGTGGCGGACCCAGACCCTCAGATAAGGGGGCGGGGGACGCGGTCATCCAGACCCTGGGGCGGTCTCAAAGTTTTCGTCAGTTTGGTCTAAAAATGGGGGAGGCCCTCCCCTGGATTCGTCTCTGGGCGAAACACTAAGTTTAAATCTCGTCCTCTTAATCGTTCTTGCCCTCCAATTTAAAGGTCTCAGTAATGCTGATCCATCACAGAGTCATTCCCGGCCCGGCGGGATATGTATGTCACCAGAACCCACTAACAGGAGACAACCAAGGGGATTCAGGGTAGGGTGGCACAGTGGTGACTGATTCGGGTTCAAATCACGGCGTCGACGCTATATCTGGGTTGATTTTGTTGTTTACTCTCTCCCTTGCTCCGGGAGGTTTTTCTCCGGGTACTCCAGTTTTCTTCTAACCAATAATTCCACGCACGAGCACGTTTAAACGAGTTTTAAGTGTTTCGTGGGTAAACAAATTACAATTAACATTTCTTTTTTTACAATTTACGAGAGCTTCCAATATTGGCAGCCAGCTTCTAGATGAGAGAGCTCCTAGGACTAGTAAATTCTGGTGACCCAGCCATTACCCTTCACACCGCGTGGAAGACAGGCACCCACCATGATTAAACAGTACAGAGGTGGGGGGGGGGGGGGGACATGGAGAGACAGCCTTTTTCCCCTCTACTGGTTTGAATTTTGAAACGTCATATGAACATCAAAATGAGCTAATAGTGTAACTTCTTACAATACAATGTTTAAATCTAGCCATAACTTGAAGCACTAACTGACACAAAAACTGACACTGCTCCACATTTTACTTGCTCTGTGATAATGAATTCCCTACAAAAGTGTAAGAGAAGGGATCATGTCTGGAGTGTATACGGGGGGGGGGGGGGGGTGGGGTATGCTTATAAGCAAGGGTGGGGGAGGGAACTTATGAGTGGAATATCTTTTGTTTGTCTGTAGATTCCAAAATGGTGGCAATATGAGCTTTTCTTCTATATTATATAAAAAAATCAGCCCTCTTTACTGCAATTATATTCACAGAATTCAAAGAACAGTTTTTCCTTTCAAAATGAGACAATGGGAGCCAATTTTCGTGAAGAGAAAAGAACAGACACTAAATTTGCCACCACTGAGGCTGAGTATAATTTATTTGAAGAATTATGCACATTGAAAAGGATGCATATTGAATTATGCATAATGAAATGCCTCAAAAAGTAGATAGATAACACCAATCAAGCAATTTATTTTTTTGCATGTTATCATATTTCTTCCATCCAGTTTTAGTTAGAAATAAGGCTATTTTGTCTTTGAATAGCCATGAAGGCCATTTTTCTTTAGTTTAGACTACTATGATCTGAACCCTTGCACAACTGAAGCAGTTATTGCCTGGGGTCAATTTAATAAAACTTTCACAGGTGTTGTTTACATTGTTATAGGGTCTGAAAACAACAGCTACACATTTTAAGTTTTATTAAAGTGACCCCTTGAAACAAGGCTGCTAACAATATTAAACAGGTACCATCAAATGGTCAAGGGTCATTGCCTACATTTTCCAAATATGGTAAGCACCAGCTGGTTATGAAGAATTAATTTAGGGGATTGGAGCCAATCAGAAACAGCAAAATATTTTCAAGGATTTATAAGGTGTATTGCTGGGGGTTGGGGGCAGGCAGTGCCTTGAATCCAGACCACAAGAAAACCTTTAAGTGTACAGACCCACCTGATCCTCAGATTCATCTTCATCAACATCTTCTTCATCTTCTTCATTATCTTCCTGAAGTACACTTGTTGAATGACCCTAAAAAGCAGTTTTGATAGTGAAAGATGTTATTCATTATGATTTGTGTCCGATGAGTTCATTCCTCACTCATCTTAAAGTAGCCACCAGTGATTTTGTTACAAATAGTTAAAAATCATGAGTCCCTGGCCATAACCAATGAGTTCCAGTTCAAAAAACAGGGAGTCCTAAATTGAAAATGCTTGGGCCTCTCTGTAACCAGACAGTTAATCTGGAGACAGACACTAAAACTCTTTATTTACAGATTACTGATCGAAGAAAACACATGAACAGGATATAATGTGCCAAAAAAATCTTTAAATCAGTCGATCATTCTTTGCGTCCTATGGGACACATGTTATAAGTTATTTTGCATCTTTGGGAATCTTTATACGTCAGGGATGCAGGACGCAGAGGTAACAAAATCATTGAGTCCCTAAATGAACACCAATAGTTAGAAGAGAAAACATCACATCAACATCAAAGTGACTGTTGCCTGACAGGCAAATAATAATAAAAAAAAAATTTTAAAAAATTTAACTGGCCAGTATTTCTTTGTCTAGTCTTATTTAAACCACCATAAACTCTGGCTCAAAACTTAAAACCAAATGATGAATGATACGGCCCAAGTCTGTTAATTATGATCTGAGCATTATTTGTCAGGATCTCAACATTTTTTGAAAGATTTTGAGACAGGGCTGGATGAGACAGCCACAACATTCTCTTGACAAATGTGAATAGATTATCATGTTTTCACCACAAAGGAAAGGTGGAATAATTATTGATACATGTACACCTGGTTGGCAATGTTTCACAAAGTTGACAAAATGAATCACTTGGTGTCAACAATGTTGTGACTGATTTTAATACCAGAGCTTACTAATAACAAAACAAACCCTACCAAAAAATACTGGATAGGGTTTGGCCAAATGTCATCTTTTATAACTTCTCCCAACTCATCCCCAGCCTCCTGCTCTGTAAACCAGCAGAAGAAGCTTTGTGGCTCTTGATGACCTCGTTTTCTTCCCTTTAACATGTTTTGCTGACTGTACCGCTGAGTTAGGTCCTGTATAGAAACATAGCAAACAAATTAATAATAAGGTGAAAGCAACTGAACCACTTCAATGCACTAAAATCTGTTTTCGAATTTTGTGTTTTGGTTGGAAAACTGAAATCTGTTCTGAGGAAAATCCAAATCCAGATTTCCCAATGGAAAGTACATTTTATGATATGCCTACTCAGGGGCGGATCCAGGATTTTTTTTTAGGAGGGGGTGCACTCATCTCTTGCTCTACTTCAACACCAATAAACCACATAGTTTTTTTTTTGCAGAATACCAGTTGTATTAGAAAACCACAGGTCATCTCGGGGGGGGGGGCACCCCTGCACCCTCCCCCTAGATCCGCCCCTGCTACTTTACAATTAAACCAGCAAAACCATGAACACTTGAAATATTTCAGGAATGTTTATTGTGTTAAGACCAATCACAGCAAACATCAGGACATGCAAAAAAGCCACAAAACTGCAAACTAATTACCTTTCTTACTTACGCTTTAGTTTCTTACGCCCAATTGGCTTGTTTCTTGCAACAAAATAACATTCCCAAATTATTTCTGGTGTTCATGGTTTTGCAGGTTTGATGGAAAAATTTACAAAACTACACTAACAAAATAAAGCTTAATAAATAAAGTGCTTTAACTCAAGACAACCCAAATTCTCACCATTGAGCACAAGGCACAGATGACCAACTTTCCCAAATTTTAATCTGTTTTCTGTGGTACAAAAAGCTCAGTTGGCTATTTAACATAAGAACATGGCTGAAACTGAACTCCGCATTACTGTGAATTAACTAAATGCAATGGTAATAGCATGCAGGACTGACTTGCAACTGCCAGTCTTCAAGTTTATGACTGCCCTAACCACTTGATCATGCTGTGTCATGATAATGATAGATTTTTTAATTTGAATTTACCTTATTAGAGTGACGAAAGCAATAAAGGCAAATACTTTGCCTTTCATTTTAAGTGACCCAGTCTTTTTTTTTCCCACTACGATAAGTACAGAGTGACATGCAGACAGACATAATCATTTCTAGGTCAGAAAACATTATGAGTAATTAGCCAAATCTCATCTTACCATGCCCCCTTTCCACTTGATAGGCGTAGCCAAGGAAGACTGATCACCATTTTCGTTGAGAATAAATTCCTTGTATAGCACTTCATTTGTAAAATATGGATTTTCCGTGAAGCCCTTCAAAAAAAAATTTATGAAAAATTAGGTCTTTTAATGGTTTTAGGGGGGAGATGGAATACAGACGTGTCATCTTTGCATCATCATCACTGTGTTCATTTTCTCGTTTTTGTCTGTTTCCAACATTTTGTCACTTACAATGTATTTTTTGAAAAAGTGTACATGTACAATGGAATTCATACTTTCCTCATACAATCCATGTGATCCTTTTTTACTGGCGAAATTTCTTGATTTAAGAAACTGTCAATTGATTCAAATCTGACATTATTTTGTCCTTTACTGCAACTCTGTTCTTCTGAATCTCTTTATAACATCAAGTTTTCTGCCACATTCTTTGAGTATATGTATTTAACTTACAGGCTTAGTGAAACAATTAGGTAAAAACCTTTCATAAATGATTATGTAAGTTATTAATTTGTTCAACTCACGTAATTTTTGAATGAAAATGTGCTGATAATAAACAGGGTTACACAGTCTTTGTGACTGAATGTAGTTCAAAATCACAAAGCCATTTAACATTTAGACATAAGCACCACTTGGCTTGTTAACATGACTGAAGATGTTATCTGCTTCCTTCTTTTACAAAGTATTACTTGCACAATTTACACAACATTATCATTTAAAGGAAACCTTACTTTTTCATAACATCTAGTGATTTTGAAATCTCTTATTACTAACAGAGACAACCAAGGAACTTACAAACTTTATTCTGTATCCTGATTTGATATCTTCAAACTCTTCAACTTCTAGAAATGTCATGTACTGTAACGCTTCTTCATCTTCTTCATCAATCAACACCTGCAGCTGCGGATGATTTATAAACTGTGCACCAAAGTCAAGTCAATGAAATTCTTCTATTTTTTGTTTTTAAATTTAGAATTCAGATAACCTAGGCTAAATGTTTAACTACCTGTATTCATGAGATGAACCAAATTGTACTTTGGATCGACCTAAAATAAGTTAAGTTCGTCTGTTGGGTCAAACGTCGAACTAATGAAGCGTCAAACTAATTAGACATCATCACCTGAGCAGACTGAAAGAACAGTTTGGTTGATTGAAACCTCATTCAGAAAAACTTAACTGAACTTGACTTTCATGAACTTTATTAGTCCAGTTTGGCTCCTCTCATGAAAAGTTTAATGTTTCGCCTTGGTGTTAACTTCTCATAACATCAGCTCCATATCTTTTTGTCTACTCTTAAAAGAGCTCTTAAAAACTGTATTCAAAAATTGATGTTTATCGGAAGCTGCATTTATCTTCCACATTTTCCTTTTTATTTAGTGTGAATAACCACATCTACTGTAATAGCATAGTTGCCACTAAAAGACTAATCTGAACAATAAATGTGTCAACCAAAATGAAGTTTAAGTTTTTTAAAAAATTAACACTAATAGACTGCAAACTCTACTTTCATGGCACAATGGCTTGATTCTTATAGGAAAAATGACTACTATAGACACAGCAGATACCCAAAACTTTTCAGTGAGAATAATAATTTATTTATTCTTTAATAGTTTTAAATAAAAACAGTAACTCTTTCAACCCCTTGATACTTTTCCACTGCAAAAATACTCATAGCTCCATAATATAGAAAAAAGAAGGAAAGAAACTATTTTGGTGTATAAATCATGTCATTTTACATGAGGTACAACTTGTAAGCAATGAAATTCAGTCATGTTACTTTCTCTGTTCTGGTGTTATATGTGCAAAGGCGTTTGTGAAAATGTTCCAATGACATGTATAATGAGATTTAGTCAGAAGGTCAACCAATCACATTCCATGCTATATAAAATCTATTTGACTCTGATAAGGTTTCTATATGTCCTGCTTTAACAAATCAATTTTCTCTGCCAAATTCCCTAACCTTTTCTTGGCAACCCCGATAACATTACCAACTGGATAACATTGTCCACAATTTGTTAAAGCAAGGAGGTGCTACAGGCAAAAATATGTGAAATGAAATGTTTCTTGGTCACTGATGCAGTACATGAAGATACCCCCTCCCCCCAAGTTATCTTAGAAATAACATTGTTAACTACAGACAGAAATGAAATTCTCCTACAGATTTAATATCAATTGGTGATAATTTGATTTCTATTACAGGCATTTTTCAGTGCTTTTTATTCCTCTGAATAAATTTTCTTCTGTTACACACACAAGCGAGTGGACTAGGAAGTCTGGGTACTAGTAATATATCACCGTTGATCGATCACCTCCATTTTGTTTTGTTGCTAAAACATCGCTCCCGAAAGCTCACAACACTTTCTTGTTTTACCTAATTTCGCACATCTAAAACTTAATACCTGGAAATATTAACTTGGATTATCATGACTTAATACAGATTTGGAAACGGTCGCAGTTATTTTTCCTCACTGCTCATCAGTTGCAAAATGTGGTTGGCCCGACCGATTATGAAGAGAAAATAATCAAATTTCTCTGGAAATTATAACCTACTGGTTAAAACTTCTCTCCCTTTCCATACCATTTTTTTAAAGTGACTGTTGCGTCCATTGGTACCTTAGTTATAATATGAGTAAGTGATCGACTCAAAAATATCTTCTCTCAAACATCAGACTACTTGTTGCGTTACTTCTATGAGTACAAATATAACTAGACCCGCGCACTAGCATGGTATTGTTCACCTGGTAAGCAAGTCAACACTACAAAGGATCTTTCCCCAAAATTAATCTGTAATGAAAGGAAAATTAAATAATGTTCCAATTTTCTCTAATAAAACAGTTGTTCATAAAAGAACAGTGCAGTCCAATAATATTAAATAAGATTAAATAAAAATCATCCTAATTCACCCCTAGACGCTAAAAAACAAACTTACCCTGTAACAAGCCAAAGCGCAGATTAAGCACTCACTTACAAGCTTAAGTGCAAATTAAAAGAAAAGGATACAACCGTCATCCAGAAGTGCGGAATCCGTCTTGTGAGGTCTGTTCTCTGCTGAAAGTAAGGTTTTCGAAGTCGGTTGTATTTCTGTTCAACCTTCAAAATCTCCTCGGATGCCTGCTCATTTAGTGCATCTATTTGATTCTGCACCGTGTTGATTTCTTCTAAAATTTCATGTTGATCCGTGTGGGAGTTTTGTGCTCCGTCAAGTGCGTCAACTTTCCTGATCTTGTTGGGAGTTACACTTGGATTAGACATGATAAAATACACGGCTATACCTCCAAGCTCTCTCCAAGTTTTCGAACTTTCTTCAGTTCGGAGATGCCCGCGTTCTTCTTTGCGATTGGAGGTGTCCGCTGACAAATAGTACTGTAAAAGAGTTTTGGCGGTCTTTTCTTTGTTCTCGATCTCTCTTTCAAGAGAACAAAATCTGTATATGTGCGGGGAGGGGGTAACATAATCAAATGTATTTTTCTAGTTGTACATGGAATAGTCCTCAAAATCACTAAAATTAATTATTTTGCATAGGCAATGACAGAATGATCTTGCTCGAGAAACCGGTAGACGTGCACAATCCCTTGACCCTATGCTATCTCTACTTCTGGCTTTACGCCGCACTAGCCTTGTTTCTGACATGTCATCAAACGGGTAGGAAAGATACTCTAAGTTGTTCCATACCAAATAAGTTAATTTATTGCTACTTTCAAATGACTATGAACTGCTGGCGTCCCTGTGATGTGTGCCCTCACCTTTCTCTTTACAGTTTCCCGTTCCCTGTAAACTTCAAGACGTTTCTCATAGATAAACGACGAATGCTTAAAAATACAGCGTAATCTATACAGTGTATTTTGCCGGTTGGTAGAAATCAACCAGTATACTCTCTCGAATCCTGTAGGCTGAGTGACTGACGCACTCACTTTCTATGGTATTGCGTGACAGATAGTGAGTATAGTAGGCCTAGTAGAGATAGTAGCCAAGCCAGCTGGTGTTTTCACCTACTTGTAGTACCAAAAAGTGGTAACTTCTATTTAACAGACTGTTTTTGTGATGTTTTGGGGGAAGAATTAGCAATATTAAATAATTTTTTTTAGTCTAATGGTGCTATCCCAGGGAAAAATGAAAATCTGCCAAAATATACAGAATGAACATTGTAAATGGCAATAAGAACAAACTTACTTGCTTACTTGTTACAAACTCGTAGTTACTTCTGTCATTTCTGTCTTCAAAACATTTCAATGAATGTCTTTTAAATACCGTAAAGTTCCAAAAATAAGCCCTGGGGCTTATATTTTTCAAAGGCCCTTTTTGACGGGCTTATTTTTGAAGGGGCTTATATTCGGAGGGGCTTATCTACGGAGGGAAATTTGCGTTTCAAAATCGATCGGGCTAGCCTTATAGTTGGAAGTAAATTTACCGTTTGTGCTTTGTTTTTCTGTTGTATTTGAGGACAATTTCCAAGTACAAGTCCCCCGGGGGCTTATATTTGGAGGGGCTTATACACGGAGGGGCTTATTTTCGGAATTTTACGGTACTTATTTCACCCTTTCCAAGAATTCAACTCATGAATTGCCTACCCTTTGATGTGCGTGAAGCCTAAAGAAGGTACCCGTTTCTGATGGAGCTTCCCCGCATTTGTTATTATAGGAAGTAGCCCCCCGGGATAGAACACTGGGCGCCCAGTTGTTCAAGGCCGGTTTCTTTTCCTTGCTCAAAAGCATTTTCTCGGATGATTTTCTCCATTCTCTTTTAGCATCCAATCATCAAATTGTAGGCAAAAAGAATTAAGCAGAATTTTAAGATTAAATAGCTGAATTCAAACTTTTGCATTAACCTTGGATTAGTTTCTACCCAGCTTTGAACAACCCGGTCGGCCGGCATTAAGAAAGGAGTGGCGGACTAATATCAGAAAGAGGCCCTGAGCTGCGGCCAACTTGCCGACTCCGTTCTTGCTAACCACGCCAGAAAGAAAACTCTGATAGAGGGGAGCCTGCGTGAGCAGGGCTGCTTGCTATCAGGGTGACCTGGGGCCTGTTTCTTGAAAGACACGGTAACTTTTATCGTGCAAAGGCAAATTTTGAAGTCAAAACTAGTTAAATAGTAAACAGTTCCTAGCTCACAAACTGGCCAATTTTTCTTCGTTAACTGATAGTTCCATTGCATAATTTTCAAAATTATTGAAACTTTGATACGGCAAATATAAAACAGCTTTTTGGGCCCGAAGTTGTCGGGACTTTCGAGAAACCGGGGTGTCCTGTGACTTTTCAAAGGCCCAGGCTGCTAACGCACTAGATTGGGGCGGTTACTCAGCTAGTGACAAATCGCACGTGAAGTGATGCAATTTTTTAACTTCTTGAATTGATCTATCTTATCCAACCGGTGTAAAGGTGTTTTTGTCATTTTCATTCGAAAAAAAGAGATGCTGAGATCTGCCGTAGCTGCTGTTAAAAATGCAGCTATACATCCAGAGAAATGTAGACAACTAAATCCAGTTCAACTGTCACGTTTGATGGGTCTACAGTTCAGATGTTATATAGCGCAGACGACCCCTGACTCAAATTCTTCCGAACAAACTACTAATCAGCAAGATCAGCAAGCATCTGATCCACAGAGGAAGGCTGATGAACCGGCGAAGGAATCGAAAGAGAGCGAACACGATCGTCTTTTAACAGAAAAGGAAGAGTTATTGAAAGATCTTCAGGTATGTTATATGAGATGTGATATTTGATATGGATTTGCTAATATACGTGCATGTTACATCATAAAAACTTTTAAAGCTTGAATCGGTAAAATAAAATTGACTTTTCACTTTAGATCTTATTATGGAATTTTAAGAGCGAAGGATGTTACTCTCTGATAGTCCTTAGACCGATTAATTTCTTCGCAATGAAAAGACTTCCTCAAAAGTGCTTCTTTGGAAAACCCCAATATGGTCCCCCAAATCGAAGTAAACCTAGAACTCCATACATTGACACCATCAAGGCTGACACTGGACTGGACAATACCAATGAGATAAGAGTTGCAATGCTTGATCAGGTCGTGTGGAAAGATTTTTTTAGGAGAGCTTGGGATGATTCTTGGCCTAAGTAAGTAAGTAGACGTGGTATCAGTGGATTGGAAACCGGTCATTTCGGCACAAACTCACGCTTAATACATGTACTCTTCATTGTATAAGCCAACCATGCGAACCGTTTATAAGTCAAATGAATTGATTTGTATCAAAACAACCAGTACTGAGCGGAGGATTTTAAGCATGCAGTTTGATTATCCTCCTTCTGATTGTCATTAATGAGGCCCTCTAGAGGGGTTTGGTGGAGTATGTATGTCCCTAGTATGGTCGTTTCACATGTTGAGGACCAGGCCATATCCCCATTGGTATTTACACCATCTTTATGTTGTTTGTCACCATATCATCTGGTCTTAACTCGCTGTTTCAAGGCCATGATGCTTGTCAGAATTTTACCCTAAAAGGGTCTCGTTAATGGTGATGGGGGTTTTGGTAAAGAAAGCAGTCATTATAAAACACAGACGGTGGACAAGGTATGGACCGAGCAGTTTAAACTGTGGCTTACGTTACAAGCAGGTTTTCGTTGACGAGGAAAAACTGATTCAAGGAAATCTTGTTTGTGCAAACAGGGCACAAGACTTGGATTCCAGATCGTGTTTTAAATGTGGGCTATGCAGGGTTTAAAAAAAAAAATTTACAGATTGCGTGTACATAGAAAATGTGGATGAAGGTGTGTTAACACTGTCAGCATTTTCTGTTAAAGTGTCTGTCAAGGGACCTTTCTCTGAAGATTTCATTTGTCAATTGCTTTTGTCTTCGAGGCCTTTGGTTGGCAAAGTTATATTGAGTGTACCTGTCTATCATAATTTATTAACGAATATAAATCACTAAATTTTAAACCACCCTGCAGCCTCACACAGGTATAGAAAACTAGGTATTTCCATGGAATAACCTTTGTTGAAGAACATAACCTGGCTTTGATTTGGCACTTCTTAGATACATGATTGTCTTTTACTGTTTTTAACAGTGTAACAACAGTTACACAGTTATTCTCCGGCTCATTTAAGAGGCTACGTAATGCATGAGGATACATGTATTGCTGTTTTAGGTCTGTGCTGAGCTCATCACTTTGTTCCTTTATCCATGCACAAAATGTTCCTTTTCGGGTGTAAAGAAGATGTCAAACAAATTTCATCAGGGAGTACTAACCATAATAATTATGGGTGTTAAGTTAATTTGCAGGCGTACAATCAAATATGTAGCATTTAGAGCCTCTTCATATGAGCCCGGTTGACCGGGCTGGCTAGGTTACCGGGATGAATTTTGCCTTGGGTTCATTTGAGAAATTTTAGACCGGTTTCCGAGATGAGAAAAGGTCAAAGATCCTGGGGACGAGTTCTGGTGCCAAATTCAGGAACAAAGCAAACATGGCGAAACACAAAATTTTAACTTTCGGGCCTATCTTAACATTGGTAACTCTGAAAGCTGTATCACTGCAGTTAAATGGGATGCTTATGATGTGGAAAATACAGGAGGCAAGAAAGACGATGCCATCTGGACTGCCAGAATTCATCCCGCGGTTCATCCCGTTAACCGGGATGAAGTGTTCATATGGCAAAATTTCCAGATCTCGGGAACCAAGCCAGCCCGCCCTCTCATATGAACACATCAAAACTTTTACAAAGGCTTTAGAGGTGAGGCAAGATCTCGGAAACAGGGCCAGCCCGGTCAACCGGGCTCATGTGAAAAGGCCCTAGGGCCTGAAAAAGTTTCAATCCATGTTCATCCTTGACAATGATCTATTGTAAGAGACTACAGGAGCAGTTCTCAATGCCTAATTATAGTCTTAAATAGCAAAACTGAGCCATTATTTTTGGAATTCAAGTGATGCAAAGACAAGTTTAAGTTACTTAATAAAAGATTGCAAGTAGGGTAGCATACACCTGTGGCCCCTTTTTTAAAAAAGAAAAATAACCACATAATTACACAACAAAACAAACAACAACAAACAAGAATGTATTTATTTAAAGAAATATAAAGTTACAATGCTTTAATACTGCAAATAGCTATAATGCTAATCTAGGCAGGACAAGACTTTAAATAATTTAAAGACATTATTAAATTACATATTAAGAAAAAAGAAAAGAAAAGAAAAACAACAACATACAGAAATAAACACCTTACATACATGTAGATCAATATAAAACCAAACATGGAATTATACCAACTTTTTTTGCCTGATTGCTCATCTAAGTAAAGCTTGGCTTAATTTTTTGAATGGATGGGCAAGGAATCTAATAGGGTTTATGGGTTTTCTGGATTAAAATATTATTCCTTGTTAAAATCTTCCAAACTGAAGTGTGAAGTGCATCAAGCTTCTTTTGTGGATCAATCATTTCTCAACCTGATTATATTACAGGGGCACCCACAGACACTGGACTCCCGTTAGGCATCTAGAGCCTCAACCCGTCTCCCTAAAAAAAAAATCATTTGAACACCGATTTACCATTTGACAAGAACTTGGTCAGCGATGAGAGTAAAAGCATTTTTCATGTCATGTAATACAGCATATTATGTCATAATACCTTCTTCCTATAGAGAATTACTATATACATTGACAATGTGTTCTTTCCCACCAAATATGGTGTTGTCGCATAGAGAAGCATAAATTAGTATGTGTACTCAAATGGTGAATGAGTGAAATTAAGGAATAATTTCATGTGTGTTTTGTCCAAATCCTAAGAATTTGGACAATACACTTGTAAGTGAAATTATTTGCTAATTTCACTAGTATACCATTTGATTGCCTATTAATATCATAGTTGACAAATAAAAGCTCACAATCTTGGGTTTTTACATTTTTACCGGGAGTTATCTTATTGATGAAGACCTCCATGCGTTGAAAAGATTAGCGCTTAAATTTTGGCTTAAGTTCAGAATTTTCAGAATTTTTCGACTAAATACCTGATAGAATTCTTCTTGATCTGTGCTTTCATGTGTTTATGTTTTTTAAAACGTCCTTCTTCATTCATAACATCTTAAAACCTTGACGCCATCTTGGTTATGAAACATACAGAACGTTGCCATGTGAAATAATAACTTAACACTGAAATTTTGCACCAAAATTAAGGAGTAATTTGTCACCTATAATATTAGAGGCTTGACGTTTCATAAAATTTTAGCATTACATTTAGCAAATCCGTTTTCTACTTTGTAGGACAAGTACAAACGCTCCCTAGCTGACAATGAGAACATACTGACCCGCAGCAGGAAGCAAATTGATGAGGCTAAGTTGTTTGGAATTCAGAGCTTCTCAAAGGATTTGCTTGAAGTTGCAGATATTTTGGGAAAGGCAACAGAAACTGTACCAAAGGATGAGGTGGAAAAGAACACTACTTTGAAGAATTTATATGAAGGACTTTTGATGACGGAAGTACAATTACAGAAGGTGTTCAAGAAGAATGGTCTTGAGAAAATCAACCCGATAGATGAGAAATTTGATCCTTACAGTCACGAAGCACTATTTCAGGTTCCGTTTCCTGATAAAAAGGCGGGTACTGTTGCTGTTGTGGAAAAAGTTGGGTACAAACTTCATGGAAGGACACTGCGACCAGCACTTGTAGGTGTGGTCAAAGAATAGAACTATGTGTACTTAGTAGAATTTGTAACGATCATTATTATAGTTTATACATAAACTTTGTACATGTATAAGATTGTTGTGCACTGATATACATTTAAATGTACACAAGAAGTAGTTCCCATTTTATTTGATCCTTTGCTCTATGCGTGGTTTGTTTGTTCTGGTTGTTCTTGGGGATTACTCTTGTGGTTTTGTTAGGTACAACTGTAATTCATTTGCTACCCCCAAAGGGTGTGTTTTTGAGCCGTATTAGTCGGAAAAGGGTATAAACTTTGCTCATTATGGAATGAAACTTGGTATGGTTTTCAAGGGAAACACGAAGGTAATTTTTCTTTTCAGCTGTAAATGAATAAGACCGTTCAGTGTCAAATACTGCTTAAAATGCTTAAACAGTACCTGTATATTAGTTTCTCTCTAAGGTTTGCAAACCGAGTACAATTTTCAGAAGCCAGGTCTGAAAACGAGTGTGAAAAGCGACTAGTTTTGGTTTGAAATAGGGTTAGTATTTGAAAAACGAGGAGGCACACTCCCGCCAAGAATTCCTAGGAGTACACCCCCCAACCCAGGCCGTGGCTTTTTTTGTGAGTGAGACACGTGACGGGGACTTGCTACTCATGGACTGAAAGTGAGTACAGTGCGTTAGCAACAAGCTTGACCATAAAAAAGGGTTGGATAAGAAAAACATAACTCTGCACGTTTATCGCGCTTTTTGGTACATTTCTTTGCGATCCTCTGTCACAATAGCTAGCGGCGCGGAAGCTTAGCTGTTTTTGGCAGTGTTGGGTTCTCAGATATGTAAAGATAGGGTCTTGTCGTTCCGCAACACAAAGCAGTTGAGATTTATCAACTGCCTTTTTTGTATTCTCGCTATCTAGTTGGTCAGTTATTGGGCTATTTTGTCTCAACCTCGTCGCCAGGGTCTACTCTTTTTCCAATATGGCAGCTCTTGAAACATCCTTTCATTATATGAAACTGTAAAGGGATTAAGGTTTACTCCAACTGTGTGAACGCTGTGAATCAGGCTGTTATTTAGGGAGCAAACGCCAAAAAGAAAGGATTTCCGCGTGGAAATTAGGTTCATCACAACGGCAAAAGGGAGAAATCATACGGATAGGCTTTTTTTCAGTTTATGCGTTTTTCGATGCCCCAAAAAGGTGGACCTTAAACATGATCCTGTTTCATTTAATTAATTGAAAACTTATTTTAGCAGTTTAAAAAAGTAGGCTTTAACAATAGAATAGGTTACGTGAATTTTGATTGCTTTTTACTATGTACAGTAAAGTGGTATGTGGTCCGAGGAAAGGGGCCTTTGCCAACTGGGAAACAAATCAGATGTATCGCTTACAAGAACCTACAAGAAATATAAGTCAAATAAAGACAGGGTGTGCGTTCTTAATTATAAAAAAGGCATTAAATGGAACAATTTACCTCGGTAAAGCATATTACTGACCCATTTATGCGAATATATGTTTCCATGCAAAATAGAATAGATTGCCTCTTTTTGCCGCCAACAAAGCTGGCTGCCAATTTAGATATTTAGTGATTGTCAGCGAAAATTGCATTCGTTGTGCCTTCCACGGCACCTACTACCAGTGGAGGCACCTGCAGGGTTAACACAAGAGCGAAGAAAGTAGGGTGCTTTTTGCATAATATATCTCTAGCCGATTTTTGAAAACGATCCTACGGAAATTTGAAGCCATGAGTGAAGAAGGCCGAAAGGTGGTTTTTTTACCCCCGATAACTGAACTCCAAAATCATACCAGCAAAGGGAAGAAAGGACTAAAAAAGAAAAAAGCAATGGTGCACTCTTAGCTTTTATAATGGCTACTTTGGAGATAGTTTGGGCCGAAAAAAACTGTTTGGGGGAAGAGGTCTATTTGGCGTTAAAAAACGTCTTCAAAAATCCGGCTACAGCTCTGTTATATCAAATCATTGTTTCACAAAGCCGTCCAAAATATCCATGGCGAAAAAAGTGAAGCTGTTGCGTTGCCAACCTTACCTTTGCACAAATTTAACGAACTTTATCAGATTTTGAATTGAATGTAAATTGTACAAAAAATGGAATTAACCACGAAGCATTCAAAAGCACTTAAATATGTCCGTGCGTTCTAGATCGAATTGGAATTTGGAAGTGTTGGTTTGTTAGGAGAGGGAGAAACCGGAATACCCGAAGAAAAACCCACAAAACCGAAAAAAAACTCAACCGACATAAACAATGGCGTCGTTTTGGGATTTGAACCCGGTCTATGCATGGGTGCGCAACCCTCGCTCCCCTGATATGACAAATACATAGAATCTCTGTCAAGAACACCCTAGGAAATCTCTAATTATAGGAATAACCCATCCACCTGTTCGGTACTGTGACAAGTATTCGTCAAATCTAAGCAGCACAAAGACAAGATGGAGAACGCAACCATGACCCAAGATAGCTCTGATTTTTTTATCCTGTTTAAAGAAGTTCCATGGATGATTGTCTTCATCTGTGAAGCAGCGCTAATTCTTACAGAAAATGTCATGACCATTTTAATCTTCTGGGGTATGCGCAAGAGACTTAAGCGAACAAGTTACCTACTCATCAATCTTGCCGTAGCGGACTTTTTTGTGGGGATCGGGCTTTCTATGTTTATTGGCACTGATATTGCAAGGACTTTAAAGAGAAATATTCCCGACAGTTTGGAGATAACCCTGATTATAATAGACCTCAGCGCGACACTGTCTTCCGTAACGTCGTTGGCCTTAATTTCTTTGGAAAGAATGTTCGCTATTTTGTGGCCTTTCCGCCATAGGCTTTTGAAGACACGGTACTTCTATGTCTCCATTGGTGTCGTTTGGCTTATTTCAGTTTCAAATGGTGTCTCAACGCTTTCTTCTCGCACAGGCTACAACATTTTCACCGCTGGGTCATTCATCATAGCCGTCACGGTCATTTCTGCAGCCTATTCTGCCATTTGGATGCAATCAAAGCTACGCAGTCGCGTGCCGTCGAGCCGCGAGAAATCCAGCAACATGAGACAAAACAAAAGGCTTGCCAACACTCTTTTTGTTGTAACCGCCTTGTCGCTGATGACTTGTTTACCATATGGCATCACCATTGCTTTAAACGACGACTTTCTCGAGAACTTGTATTCTTTCAGAGTTCAATTCACTTTAGTGGTGATGTACGCCAATTCGTTTCTGAATCCAATTGTGTATTGCTTCAGAATGCCAGCCTTTAAAGCTTCTCTGAAAAAAATATTTTGTCACTGCACTTGTCCAGGCTCGCGGAATAGGTTTGCAATCGAGAAAAGTTACCAATCGTCCGGAAATGCAGCCAGTTTGAAATCTATTAAGACTACAATCGAAATACTTTAGAATAGTACTGGCCTTGTTGCATTGTTTCTTAAGCAGTTTATTTTAAAGGTCTAGATTGAAGGTTCGTGTTCTCAACAACAACAAAACTTTACTAGCAATTACATATCTTACACTGTCCGTAGCAAGTAAAGCTAATATTTGCGGTGCGTAGTTCATGCGAATAAACTAGTTACGATATTCAGGCTCACTCGGGCAAGTTTAGAGTAGTCGGTTTAATAAGGGCATAAAAACTTAACACAATATGTAACTAAAAACGTCACAAAAGCGAATTGTAATCAGAAGTTTAAAGTTCGCAAATATGAAGGTTTTCAATTTTAAGTAAAAGAACAAAAACGAAAATCAAGAGGGAAAAGACGTAATATAGAAAAATAGCTAACTGTTAGTAAAGAGTGGGGAGCCGATTACGTAAAGTAAAATTTATGATTCATATTTTTTGGCTGATTTTACTTTTTCCATCAGCGTGAGCGCATCAAGATAGTCATCTGTTTTTTTTTCAAAATATAGAAAGGTATTTTGCTATTCGTTGGAAGATGTTGGATGGTAAAGTATCTCATTCCACATCTTTGCCCCTAAGTGAGAGGAAGACAGCCTATACAATACCAGTTAGGATCTATTGACAAAAAAATCTCTTGAACTTAGTGGACGCTTCAGTGTTATAAGAGTGACGTACAACTGCTTGTTTTGAAGCTTTTTGCTTCTGCAAGTGCCACAATAAACGAAGCCGTGTCCTTCGTTTGCATTTGACTCCATCGTGCATGCTGCAAAATAAAGTACAAGCGATACTGCTGGGTCTTGGAAGAAGATTATCCAATTATAGCGTTTTTGAAAACAAAAAATTTTTGCAAACGGGCCAATGAGATTCTTAGACTAGGGCTGTTTCCTGATAGGTCAGGTAAGTTTAAACTGTTTTAAAGTTTTCAACGGTTCTTTGTTGATACTTGAATTTTTTTTGGTTGGCATGCAGAAAACTTGAGAATCTTTGGTTTCCAAAAAACGCTGTGATTGGATAATCTTTCAAGTGCCCTGCTTCAAGTAATCGCACAGTGTTAGTTTCATCAGATATATAACCCCCTGAGAGCTTATATGTTGGCTATGCCAACTTTCTGCAATACATGGGAACGGCTTCTGATATAGGTTTGCTCCGTAGAAAAGCTTATTAGAATTTCAAAACGTTTGCGGCACGCGACCCCTCTAAAATGTTGATTTACAGCCACCACTCATTGTTATGAGTAGCCTTATGTTCAATGGTATAACAACAACAAAAGGCCACTTCCGCGGAGTTCCAAAACACCCTCACTTTCAAAACGGCCAAGTGTGCAACCTTTCTTGTGAAAATGAGTTTTATTTGCATGAGCTGGGCACTTAACCTCGTCCGGGGGAACTCAGAAATGGCCTATTACAGTAAAAACCCCGCTTGTAAGAGCCTAGTGGTTTAAGAACCTGCTGGCAGAAATTTACTTTTTTAAAACCCAAAAATAGCAACCTGTTTAGCCAAGCAAGGTGGTAATGATAAACATTTTAACCTAGGATCGGAGTTCGACTTTGAAATTGCTAATTCATATTACAAGAAAATACTGTACCAAACTGTAATATAAAGTAAGTAAAAGTAGTTCTGTAAGTTTCGACAAAAAAGCAGGCTTATATAAATTACAAAATGTAATAATTGCATGCCTTCATGACGAACTTTGCATAAAGAAGGTTTGAAATGTATAGTTGTGAATAAATACTAACAGTGGATATTCAAGGACCAAATTTTAAGTTTATCTATTTATTTATGTTTTGTAGTCAACAACTATATCTCCTTCATAGCTGAAATTGCGATCTAATACGACTACCTGAAAATAAAAGAACCTTCAACTATCTAGAAAAATATATTTCCTCTGAGCGTATTTCAGAATAAGAATATACCCTTGAAGGACTTGATTTGATATTTATTGCATCGCAATATCAAGAAATCTAATCGAAATAAAATATTCCGATGTATGTAGCGATTGAGTGGTACAAAAATCACGGTACAAGAGATTTGTAACAAAACTTTTGGGTATAACTTCGGCCTAGGCCAAAACTCGAACTTTTCATGCCGGACGAACCAGACTCTACTAAGTTAAGATCGTCTTTTGGGTCAGATGTCGAACTTAGGACGCGTCGAACCAATCAACTGCATCAGATAAAAAGGCAATTTTAACAAATTTTCTCCCGAACGAGGCTAAATATACATTATCATACAGATATTTAATTTATTCAGGTTAGTTCGTCGCATGTGAAGATCGACTGACGCTTGCCGCGGAGACGATCTGCAGACGGATAGAACTAGTTGGACGATCCAAACTCATTCAGACGAACTTAACTGACCCAGACGTCGAACTTTTCATGAACTTAACTCAACAAGTTTGGTGCGTCTCATGAAAAGTTTGACGTTTGGCCAGTAGGCCTAGACCTTATTCCTAAATACGATCAATCGGACGCTATGTACCCTTAAAATCTCTCGTAAATGACCACCTCCTGTTAGTGACCGCGAGCACTTTTCGTTTTATGTACTTTGCTGCTCACAGTATACGAAGTACTTTTAGTGACAATATGGAACTACACACCGTAACTTAGAGATTCTAGTTCATGTGATAATTGAAATTATCTTTCATGTGGTAAACGAGTCTCGCAAGAGACCTGTTTGTGGTTCTATCGTTAGCGACCGGCTCCCGTAAGCGACCGCTAAGTCTTCGATATTTTTTTGTAAGAATCAATAATGGTAATAGGACTGAGTGTAGTCCAATTCGGTCTGTAATCATAACTATAACAAAAGTGTTAAATCTGATTGGCTATCAATTGCCCTGATTTCAGCCTTAATTGGACAGTTAAATAGGACAGCACACGTCGTGCCTATGCGCTTAAATGGCTTTTTTTTCAGTGCTAGCAAAACAAAATTTCGAATTTCTTGTGCTTTGATTTAAAAAATAGCCTATTATATCACAAATTTTGTTAAAGTTATGATTAATTGGAACCAGAACTTCGTGTCGTCCAATTGGTCTGTAATCATACTCGTGATTAAACAAATCGGCCTCCCGCTACGCAGACGTCCAATTTTGTTAATCACTCGTATGATTAGTAATGGTACGAGTGATTAACAAAATTGGACGACATAGTAGCGGGAGTCCGATTTGTTTAATCACGAGTATGATTACAGACCGAATTAGACGACACGAAGTTCTGTTACCAATTAATCATTACTATAACAAAATTTGTGGTAGTTTAGGCCTTTTAAAATTAAAACACAAGAAATTCAAAATTCCGAGAGTTTTGTTAGCGTGCGATGGCGTGTACTGTCCTATTACACTGTCCTATTAGTGCTGAAATCGGGACAGTTGATAGCCAATCAGATTGTTATAGTTATGATTAAGGATGTTAAGGGACCCGGGGTGTTTTCTTGATTACAAAAGAATATCACTAACTAAATTGAGAGTTTTAATTAATTGTTTTGGTTCTTCAAAAAGAGACCCTTCATTAATACTATTTCAGCAGGAGCACGCCATAAACCTCAGCCAAGTCCATATGAGAATATTTGTTGGGAACTTAAGTTTTGCCAAATATTAATTAATATCAACGTTGAAAAATTCTAATTTGAGGTTTTTGTTCTGATTCCGTAAACGTGGACTTTTTCCTTTCCGAAAAATGCCAAGCAAAAATTACCGAATTTTGCAGAGAAAACAGTTTCACTTTTATTAATTGTTTCCTGTCTAACCAAGGAAATTGAAAAAGAAAACCATTTTCTGGTAAAAATTAGTTTCATATGGAACAAAAACCTCTCTTGTTTAAAGGGATATTAATATTTTATTGAGATTACTGAGACCTTATTGGGAAATATTGTTAACAAGTTGCTGATTTCAATGATCTTGTTTTCCGTGAGCAGATATTCCAGAATGAAAAGCATAGAATTCAATGTTATTGCTATCAATTTCGTGGTAAAATTAAAGAGCAATTTACGTGAGAAGCAATCAAATTTGTAAGTGAGTGCGTGTCTTTAAGTATTCTGCCATGCGTTGTGCTCGACACAAGACTTTTATTGTTTTCTGCGTAGTTCCATTATAGTAAGACAATATAAGATGATCGAAATATGAGTCATTTTATATATTTCCATTTAATATCGAAACAGAAGTAGATTGCATTTTGAAGGGAGTATCAATATTTAATTAGCATCTTTAGAAAGATATACATTTCTTTCAAGTTAGCTGTAAAGCTCAGATGTTCTCCTAGTTAAATACAGACCAGCCGATGCCAAATGTACCTGTCACTCTGAGTGCTTATTTTTCTTTGAAATACCGAATGTCAAGATACAGGATTAAAACGTTAAGAGGAGATAGTAAGCGCCTTTACGCCACTCCACATAATGTGCCGAACTTAACCGATAAATAAGGTACGTCAGAGGACCGGTGTCAGCAGTTTCTATAGAATGATTTTATTCGGCGAGCAAAACATAATGCCACCATAAGATGATCATTTCCTGAGGCGACACTTAATGTATGAAAATGATAGAATTTACTGAAGAATCTTTTCACTCGCAGTATTTCCTCTCAAGTCACTCCAAAGTACTCCGTAGTCGAACTTTGTATCGCTGAGTAGGGTCCACAAGACGATTGTACCGGGCCTAGTAAAAGACCATTTACTAGGCGTCGGGCCGGATTGTGAAATGGTTGAGACGTACACATGACAAAGCCAACATAACCCTTTAAATTGGTAATTTCATTACGTTAATCTGTATGTCACAAAATGTCAACTACTAGCTTTAAAGGAGTCTGCATAGCGAAGCAGGCCTGCGATCATTATCTGATTCTAATATTAGTCATTAGTCTTATTCTAAATCTCAGTCATGTATCGACATTTCTTTAAATTTTCTTAAAAAGGCCTAGAAAGATGAACAACACAAGCCTCGATTACGGTTTACCTTTTTGGTTGTTTAAAGATGTTCATTGGATGGTTGTCTATATTTGTGAAGCTTTTCTTATCCTCACTGGAAACTCCTTAACGATTTACATCTTTTTTCGCAACCGGAAGCGGTTGAAGCGTACAAGTTATTTGCTCATCAATCTTGCAGTTGCCGATGCTTTTGTGGGGATGGTACTCACTCTTTTCATAAGTGCAGATGTAGCAATTATGCTTGAAAAAGATGTCAGCTTAACTTTTGGTGAAACAGTCGTAGCACTCGATATCAGCGCAACAGTTGCTTCGTTGTCATCGTTGGTCTTAATTTCTTTGGAAAGAATGGTCGCTATTTTATGGCCACTTCGTCATAGGCTTATAAAAACACGATACTTCTATGTTTCTGTTGGCTTTGTTTGGTTTCTTTCCGCCGCAAATGTACTTTCAAATCTGCGCCTCTACAACGATATCACGTATGACGATTCTTACAGCGTCTTTACATCAGTAACATTCGTAACGTCTCTTGTAGTCATTACAGTTTCCTATCTTGCCATTTGGATTTCAGTGCGGCGTAATGCAATACCAAGCAACGATCGTAGATCAATGGGACAAAGCAGGAAGCTGGCCAAAACACTTTTCATAGTAACCGCCTTGTCAATTATGACTTCCTTGCCATACGGTATTATCATCACTTTAAAAGAATTTTCTGAGGATTTCTTTTCTTTTAAAGTGCAAATTATTATGGCGGTACAATATGCGAATTCACTTCTGAATCCAGTCATCTACTGCTTTAGGATGCCCGAGTTTAAAGCTTCCCTGAAAAAGCTATTTTGTTGTCATTGCTCGGGTGGGAACAGTTTCCATACGAATTCTACACCGTTTAATAAGAATCATGATTCTATATCGCTTAAAAATCATTCTTTATCTCCTACCAGTGGAATAACACTGAGGTCCGTGGAGTTCACGGAGGCTAATAATCGTAACTAGATTTACATTTTCAGTTCCAAGCTTGTGAGGGGAACCTGTCGGTTCCAAGACCAGTTGCTTTTGGTTGAACTTCAAATAACTGCCTACGAAACTAGTATTACAAAGGGATCAATAGTCTATTCCCTTCTTTTTCTAAAAAAAATCAATAAGGGTGTTTGATCCTTATCTTTCAGACATCAATTTTCTTCATGTTATTCTTTCTTCATGTTATTTCCTTCATCAGCCGCATGATGAATACCGTGAGGCCTCAGTGTGGTTCTACCTATTCATCGTGACCTCATTGTTTATCTTTTGTCTAACAGCCCCCTAGTTAGCTCACTTGAATAAGCTCTCGTCTGTAGAGCAGGAGGTCGCGCGTTCAAACGTCGACCGGAACAAAACACAGGGTATCAAGATAACTGAGGAGAATGTGCTGCCTTTGTTCTAACATCTATAAGTAGTTTAGTCCTCTCGCACAAGGAGGAAAAACCGTTGATCCCCTTCACACACTCCTTCACTGTTCTGATTGATTCCTGTGGGACGTAAAAAAACTTGCACTGCTGTTCCTAGAAAGTAGGGGATGTAGACCTCGGTGGTGTGGTCAACCTGGATGTGAGCGTGTGTATGTATTCCTGTAACAGCTCCAAATCAGCTTTAAAGCTGCTATGATGATGATGATGATGATGATGACGATGATGATAATAGTTTTCCCATAGAAGAGGACGCGGTATATGAAAATTAAAATTGCAAAGCCGGTTAAGCTAAAGGAGTGATCTATGCAACTTTTAACTCTTTTGAAGCGGTATTTAAGGAAAATACCAACCATTCAACTCTGCACTGAATGTTGCTGGGTAGCAAATGCGCTGGAAGCGATAAAACAACAACAACAATAACCTTTATTACATGACTATAGATACTTACAGTATTGCAAAAAGTAATGATATTAATAACAGATAATCAAGTGACATTATTACATGACAGTACACGGAGACGCAAATTATTCAATAATGAAATACAATTCGCAAATCGGACTTAAAATTTCAGAGAGAACTTTTTCTACTATGATATTTAAATGAAAATCCCTTTTTACCGACCCCAGCTGCAAAAATGGGTCTCCGAGGATGGGGAAGATTCAGAGCTACTACTTTCACAAACGGTGGTTTCGTTTGGCCTGTCCAGCGCAGCATTCATTTGTTCGCTACATCCTTTGTATTATTCTTAAAGCAAATTAGAAGAATTAGTCAGCCTAATTTAACAATCATTTACCATACTTACTTTGATCTTTTTTATTGTTTTCCATTAATCAACTTAATTGAAATTTATGAAAAATTGTCGATGTAATATTGTACATATCCTAAGTCAAGTTAATTATGAAATGTTATGAGCATGTGATATAGGCCATTTTCGAGTTCCAAAATCTCTCACTTTTGAAACGCGACTAAGTGCAAAACCTTTCTTGTAAAAATGAGTTTTATTGGCATTAAAAAAAAAATCATTTTCATACCAACTTAGCCTCGCTTTGAAAGATAGGCTTGGGGTCAATCGGCAATGGCCTTTTGCCAATATGAATTCGCTAACAAATCGCTTAAACATATCGCTGTGTACATATCCCAGGATGAAACAAGCAGGTTTTAGTAGTAATTTGAGCTAATAAAAGCTTTTTTCTGAAGAAGAAAACGAATACAGTCGACTCCCGATAACTCGAACCTCGCGGTAACTCGAACCAAAATCGATTTCCCCTGGATTTCCGTCATACATTTACTGTAATTTTACCCTCGGTAACTCGAACCCTCGATAACTCGAACTCCCGCTAACCCGAACCAATTTTCGTTTCCCCTCAGGTCAGTTTCTATATAATTTTACCCTCGATAACTCGAACCATGTTTTGAGCCCTTAAAAAGTCGGGAAAAAAGCCGTCTACTGGCGTCCGAAACATTGAATTTTGGACTTCCTATTGACGTGTTGTAGGAGTATAGTTTACTAGTGGAGGCTGATAGTGATTGTCACAGGCTAACGTGAACCAGCTTTACTTCTCAAAACAGTAAAACGCATGCTTGATTTAGGCTAAGGTTTGTTACGTTACGTTCTGATTTATAATATAGAAGTATCTTTTAATTTTCACTTGACATTTCTACAATTAAATGTGATTAAAATGTTCACTGTGCAGTAAAACCTATTTTTTACCTTACCCTCGGCTATTTTCTACGAGCTCCCGATAACTCGAACTTTTTTTCTATTTCCCCTGAAGGTTCGAGTTATCGGGAGTCTACTGTATTCAGTTAGCAAAAAGAAACGTGGTTATATTTGATAATTATAAGATAAAGAATTTAACAGACCAAGGACATCATCCATGGTCTGAATTTCTTTCTTTTTTTGGTTCACATCATACTTAGCCTGTTCCAGGCTCTCAGATAGTGGGGGAAGACGCGAAAGAAAAAGGCACGCGAAAAGTTGGCGGGGCGGGAAAAGGAAAATGAAAGGAGAGAGAGCCTGTAATCATTTCTTTTACAACCCTCTTCCGCCCACTATTGGCACGTTTGAGATAATTAGATTTCGGCTGTCAAACTGTTGAAATGTCAATAAGTTGGAATCTTTCTCAAATTTCTCGCGACGTTATTTCGCGCGGCGCTAATCCCTTATGCGAGTGTGAGCAATATGGAGTGTAAAAAGCGGGTCGGTAGGCAACACACGACTTTTATCTCGTGCCAAAATGCTGCTTGTTAGCCTGCGAACGGCAGACGTTTCTCCTGGCTCATCGCCGCTGAGGGACGTTTCGCGAAACGTCCCTTAGGGGCAATGAGCGAGGAGAAACGCCTGCCGGCGTTCGCAGGCTTGCTGCTTGTTCCAGTGAATACATGTATTTTCTCTTACGGGTGGATTATGCTCTGAAGGGGTCTACATTTTGACTGAGCAAACTATGTCATTTTTGCCGCCTATTTCATGCTAGCCTGTTCACAGACCCTCTATTTTCTCTTCGAAGTCCGTCGAGCGCCGTTGATAAAATATAAACCACAGGGGATTTATGATGGTTTTGAAAAGAACGAAAAGAAAAATAAAACAACGTCTGTTTACAGCCTAGTTTCATGCTGAGAGGTCGTTACAAGCATATTGATTTTCTGAGGTTGTTGTTTCTGGTCGGCATGATTTGATGATTTGCCCTTCATTGCGGCTAAATAAGGGTTTTAGGTTGTTTAATTTTCTCCAAGTCCATCCTTGATCTGAATGTGATGGTCTCCTACAATGAGTTTTGTCACGCTGGGCCCAGCTCGTTTAGTGTTTTTGCAAGATGTTAAATTCTCACAGATGGTGATTCACAGATCCAAATTTCGAAGAATGGATTGTAGCTTAAACTGAAGCTACTTTAAACATGGAGAACTACGCTGTGAGTCAGTCAAGATTTTTAAACTCCAGCTTGTTCTTCTAAAGAGATCTAAAATAATGTAAGTCTGGACTGGAGCGCGTAGATAACTCCTTTTTGCGACTGTTCTGTTATTCCCACTTTGTTATCAGGCAAGACCATTGTTTTCACCCTGAATGCGCTGGTTTTTCTTTCATTCCGACATTAAATAGATAATGAGTCCAAGAATGTCGCCAACGTATCAATACTTAGAAGGAGCTCTTACAGAGTTTCAAAACTGGCAGAGTTCACCACGTTAAAGTTCCAATGTTTTATATTAGAAAATTTAAAGAAATTTCAGGATTTAAATCATATAACGCGGTGAAGGCAAGGGGATTGAAACATTTGTAGCACAGGAATACGAACGCTTTCAAAACTCTTTCTTGTGTTATACACGTAATTAATTTTCACTGCACACTTTTAATTCACAAAATGCCCGTGGCGAGACAAATGAAACTGCTATTTTGCCAAGTTTATGTCATACCCTGAAATTAAAATTCATCTAATTGTGCAAATTGCTGTCAAGCCTTTTCTAGTTTGTTTACTATCGCTGCTTAGTGTTTGTGATTCCCCCAGGGAAAGTTATGATGGTACGCCTGGTAGTAAGATCTGACAAATTGGCTTCCTTTTTCAAAGAATAACTCCTTTCATTGAGGGGGCAGCGTGACCGAGCGGAAAGCTTGCCTCAACCCGGCATCGCAGTCCAGTCCTGCCCTTACCACTCGCCGAAGCTGCTCCTTGCCATCCTAAGTTCCCTCCAGGTTAGACTAAAGAAATTGTGGTGCTACAGGCATCTGTAGGTGAGTAAAACAGAAAAATGTAGTTTTATGAACTGAGTGCACATTTTACTGTACAGGTATAACTTTACGAATATCAAACCAATTTTTATGCCTGTCAATAGCTAACTACTTGCGCTCTACCCTCTTCCAGGCGGGATTTCTTCTTAAAAACGAGTTTAAATTTTGAGTGAACTCGCCGAAAACTACTGAAACAAAAAACTGCACTAGTTTTACATGTTTTGCATTCTCCATTTCCCGTAATATATCCGCGTCCAAGTCTTGCTTGAAGGATACAGAGGCACCCAACGAGAATATAGTTCAAAACCAGTTAAACATAGTATTGTTGAACGTATTTTAGTATTTAACCGGTAGATATAGGCATATTTTTCATCTGTTCGTCTAGTGATCCGAAAATTAAGGGATCAAAACTTACCTTTTTGAAAATTTCAGCCAGAAAAAAGGCTCCCGAAAAATTCTAGGTGACCTTTTCACGGTAAAAATCCGTTAAAAATGGGCAATTATACCATTTTTGGGGGGTTCGAAAATCCTAGGAGAGGCAGGCAAGCAAGAAATTTAACAACAACTGTTCCGAAAATTCTAGATCTCAAATCGTCTTCCGAACAGATATTTTCCAAAAATTGTCGTTGGGTGCCCCTTAGGATAGGAACAACGATAAAATTGTGTTATGTCCAAACGCCATTGCTTTCGGACAGATATTTTAGAAACTTTTATTAATGACCTAGTATTCTCAAATTGCCCAAGCCTCTGTCTTAAGTCGAGGCTAAGTGCGAGGTTATTTATATAATTATTCATAAAAAAAATGATTTTTATTCTCATGCAAATAAAACACATTTCCACAAGAAAGGTTTTGCACTTAGCCGCGTTTTGACACTGATTTCGAGACCTAATAAATCTTATATTTGTCATGATGTGAAGTTATATTGATCTAACTAATATATGTATTCTTTAGCCTTAGAAAGATGACGAATACAAGCCAAGATGATTCCGAACATTTGCTGTTTAAAGATATTCCATGGATGCTTGTATACATCTGTGAGGCATTTCTAATTCTCGTTGGAAACCTCTTTACAATTTATATTTTCTGGAGCCTTCGAAAACAACTGAAGCGAGCAAGCTATCTGCTCATCAATCTTGCAGTTGCTGATTTTTTTGTTGGAATTGGAGTTGTTCTTTATATTGGAGCAGATATTGCAGTTCTCTCAGGAAAACAAATTAGTTTGATGTTAGTTGACGCAATAATAACAGTTGACGTCACCGCAACAGTTGCCTCGCTGTCATCGTTGGTCTTAATTTCTTTGGAAAGAATGGTGGCGATATTGTGGCCATTCCGTCATAGGCTTTTGAAAACACGATACTTTTACTTCTCCATTGGTTTTGTTTGGCTTCTTTCGCTCACAAATGTTATTTCACTAAACTTGCGTGTAGATTCTGTTTCCTCAAATGGCTATGCCGACAGCATTTATACATCCGTTACGTTCATAGTCTCGGTTTTGGTCATCACCGTTGCCTATCTTGCTATTTGGATTTCAATGCAACGAAGTAAAATACCAAGCAATGATTGTAAGTCCAAAGAGAAAAATAGAACGCTTGCAAAGACCCTTTTCATAGTAACCGCTTTGTCAATTATTACCTGCCTGCCATATGGTATCATCATTGTTTTGGCCAACTTTTCTGAGGATTGCAGGTTTTCTTTTTGGGTTCATATAATCTTCGTCGCACAATTTGCGAATTCATTTTTGAATCCGATTGTCTACTGCTTTAGAATGCCTGAATTTAAAGCGTCCTTGAAAAAGCTAGTTTGTCAGTGCTCACGGAAAAGATTTTTGTTTGATAATAATGCTGTAAGGTCTGCCGGTGGAATAACACTGAGGTCCATGTCACCCGTAAAGACTTCTTAATGCGGGAGAAAGAGAGTCGAGCCTTGTGCATTATGACAATTTTTGTCGGAGACTGAAACGCTTCAAAAAGACTTGAAGGTCTTCTCTAGTCCAAAGGAGGTTTATTCCGGTATCCCATGATGCAGCGCGGATCAACTATCCTTTCTGTAGTCCTAACCCAAGAAAACAACTGGCATACCGGTATTCGCGACGCCACCACTAGCCACTAGTTTATTTTCGCAATGGGGGCGGGGGAGGGGGGGGGGAAGGTTACAAAATGAAAGGCAAAATTTTCCCATTGATTGCTTAGTATCTAGTAGGAATAGCTTAAGACTGATCGGAGGAAAGGCCAGGAAAATATTCCGATTACATATTACCGACCGAACTGACACATAGTAAAAGCGTAATTGTCTTGTACATAAAATGTGGATTATTTCTACCAAGAAAAACGAGAGTGACCGTACATTATGAGAGTTTTAAGTGAACATTAAACCACCTTCTTTTTCTCAGATTTTTATTGTGTATCCGCGCTTCTTTTCTCTGGAACATGCAGCTGAGCAGCTTGCCAATAAGCCTGTAATTGTTCTTCACTTTTTCCATTTTTAGTTTGCGATTTCCAAGTCATTAGGCAGATTTAGCCACGGCAATGCAGCGCAGATCTAAAAGCCGACTTGACCAATGGCAGAACGGCAAATTTAGCACCGAAAGATTTCCGCGTACTTTAGTGTTCTTATTAGATATACTGCGTTGTCTTTGCTAAATCCGCCCATTGCAATTAGTTGAACATTATCGCTCTCCCCGACATGCAGCCGAGCGAAAAGGCAAAAAATCAACATTCTAAACTTTTCTCTCCCAAAAATGCGAAAACTAGTCTTTTGTAATTTTGACTGGCTTGGCTCATCTTATCATCGACTTAATCTGTCATTATTACGGAAGTTACGCAATCAACATAAGAAATTTTACACACCTGCCGGATTATAGTGAAATATATAAATAGCCATTTTTCACAATTAAATGAAATATTTTTCATATGTTAAAATATCTGATTGCCCGTGATGTTATTTCCAGTTTCTTTGAAGCCGGTAGTTTATATATCACATGTACAAAGATTTGAGACGAAAGTCAAAGCCAAAACCAGTGAATGAGAACAGAGTTATAATCTACAGTGTAATTCTACGGTAAGTTAGTTTGCGGAATTTATCGAGATCTGAGTCCGAAAAGGGTCTAAAAAATTGAAAGCCATCTTTTTTAACTTGGACGATTTGGCAGGAAGTAAAAACATGAACCTTATTCTATATCTTGAATTTTCCATGCAAATGTACGTGTTTTCATGAGCTGATAATTATAAACTTTATCGTTTCTGGACTACAACTTTAGAGTGCTATAATGCTGCCTATCTTCGTGTTTTTTTAGACGACGCTTTTTGGTCGAAACCATGGATTAATGTATAGAAATACTTTTCTTCAACAACATGTGTCATAATGTGACAATTTAGGACAATTGTAGTCTGCTACAGACAAACATTTTAGAGGAATACACTAATGGTAATGATTATCTTTGCGAAAAAAGCTGAGGACGGCTTTTCATTAACTAACAATGCTACGGTATAATCTGAGTTCCAATCAACTGCCCATATCACGCCGGTCTCATTTACAAGACAGCAAGAACGCACTAGGAAAAATGGATTAAGTCTTTGGTTCTCTTTTGGTTGAGAGCCTAATCATTTTGAATGCCAAAATTTCTTGATCGCATATGGGTGTATCACAGAAAACCTCTTTCAACTGGCAATAATTTTTTGATATTCTGTTGATATCACCGAACTTTGACTCAGCTCAAGATAAATTATAAGTCCAAGCTGCCGCTGCACTCATGTTACATTCCGGACTGAAGTCTACTTCGCTGTCTATGAACTGTTGTCGTAATAATGAAACATTATTAGTTTCCTTCATTTAAGAGGTAAAATTGTGAAAAAATAAATGCATTTGAGGATTTGGTCGTTGGCGGCAATAACAAGGTGGTGGGATTTATAGCTCTTTCCGGGAGAAAAAGATAATAACTGGAATTTTTGCTAGGACCAGAAACTTCGTCTTAACAACCGGCAGGCTGCATTATGGAGTGGTCATTTGGGCTGGTTCCACTGTATTAAGCAATTTGTCTGCCTTGAACTGGGTTTTAACCTTTTCAATTTCTGTCATTTCTAAAGCAAAACATCCCTACTCTAACAAATTTTCAGGTTTAATTGTGTGATCTTTCCTTGTTTAGGATTGCCTGTTCGAACCCGCTCTTGTAGAGATTTTAGGTTCTGTTTAGAGACCACAGAACACAATGGAAAGCACTTTATATCTGCAGAACTCTTCTTCAACCAATTCAACTCCCACAGTTTTACCACAAGGTCAAACTCCTGAAGTTATTGATCATCCACATGTGGTTATTATATGTACAATACTGGGCGTGGCTAGCCTTGTGGGGACTCTCGGCAACGCCTTAGTTTTATGGTCCATAATGAAGTTTGAAAACTTAAGAACCATAGCGGACTTATTCATTTTCAGCCTATCGCTATCAGATATCCTTGTCACAACAACGTATCAACCATTGAAAGCATATCGGGCTGCACAGTTACAAGAGGCAAATTTATCCTTGGTATCTTTCTCAAGGTTCCTTGGGTATTTATCGCTCACTGCATCAATTACAAACATGTTTGGGGTGACTGTGGAGCGTCTTATTTCCATTCGCTTTCCCCTGAAATATGACCAGATTGTAACAAGGAGACGGGCTATCATCACTGTTATCTACATTTGGGTATTTTCGGTTACTAATGGAATAATTTATTCCAGAGGATATATGTCAGGGTTTTATCTTGCAATGTACTTCATATTAACCATCGCTGGAACAGGAATGATCTACGCTTACATATTTTACATAGCCAAAAGACTGGAGGATGTAGTGATACAAGCGCAAAACCGCTTTGTTGGTGGCAGTGAACGTAAAGCGGCCAAAACTATCATCATTCTTCTTGGAGTGGCAATTGCATGTTGGGTTCCGTTTTTAATCAGTTTGAAACTTTTATCGAAAAATGATGGGAGATCCAAGTGGATTTTCTATTTAGCCCAAGCCTTGGCAACATGCAATTCATCAATTAACCCTTACATATACTGCGTAAGAAGTAGCAGGTATCGCAAAGCGTTTGTTAAATTGCTTGGATTGCGTAAGGTTGTTGATATCGCGCGAGAAACTTGGACTCCTGCTTATCTTCGAAATACTGATATGAATGAGTTTCAGTTAAACGGCTCAATCAAAGGGGGGGTTTTCACTATTTCAAAGTAAGAAATGGTGAAAAATTGTTTATGATGCTGTGAATGAAGTTTGGTTAGCATTTCTTTTATTCACTTAGTCTATCTACAATCGGCCACAAAATTCTTTTAGACACTTTGCCCCAAAGGTTCGATCTCTTTCCCGCGGAAGGTACTCCTTTATGTAAGATATATATAGGTATGTGCCGCCCCAAAGGTTATGGTTTTTGCGCCGTTTCCATCTGGAAAACGAGTAAAGACTTTGCACATTTTGGTCTGGAATCGGGTATGGTTGTCGAAGGAACTACGAGAATTTATAAACGTATTTTTCGTTTCAATTTCAAATGATTAAGAAAGAAAGATAGTATGCAAATTCAAAATGGATTTTAAGAAATCGTTTTGTTGGCGTCTTATCTAAGTAATTTCAGGTTTGAAAATGTGTGTGGGTCGCCAGGTCTGGAAACTGGAGTGGAAATAACATTTTTTGGTGGGAAATAGAGTCAAGCATTCCTTCTAGTGTATGAACTACACTTAAGGTTGGTTTCCACTGACTCGTTCTTAGCTACGCACGAAAGTAAATTTTGCGCACGTACGCACGGAAAAAATTACGCGACACTGGAAATCAGAACCCTTAACGCTGACCCGTGTTGTAACTACTTATAAAGGTGAACAAAGGTAAAAATTTAGGTTTAGAACGATTCTTTAAGGGTACATGTCTGGGCTGAGTTACTCAAAGCATGGTTAGCTTTAACCATTGGTTAAGCAGTATCAAAACCAATACGCTGTCAAGGTATTAAACGCTGGTTAACGCTAACCATGCTTCGAGCAACAGGGCCCTGGTCTCTAAGAAAATAACACCAACAAAAACAAGTTTTATTTGCATGACTAATGCAACAGAGTAAATGTTACAATATTGCAAAAACTATATATAGCTAACTCTGATTCGTTAATTAATCAAGAAAATAATAAAGATAAAAGTAATCATTGTTAATTCAAAACTTAGAGCGTTGTCACTCACGTGACCAGCATCTATGCAAATGTAATGCAACAAAAGAAATCTTTCGCATAAGAAAAGAAGTCGACTCCCAAAGGACTGCTTTGGAACACCAATATGGCCCCCTTGACGCCATGTGAAAACCGGCTCTATTCTCACAGTAGGGGTAATTATTCCGGAGAGAAGGTTACCTCTCAGTTCGAATGAGAAAATTAAAAATTGATTGCTTATAAAAAGACAGTTTAAACCTGATTATACTCAAGTTCAGTCTCAGTTTTCTATCGTATGAGGGATTGCCATTTGCGCGGAACAAAGTTACCGCAGTAGTGCATCGTTCGTCGTGGTAGAGGAAACAACAGCAATATTCAACAGCGAGCTGATCGGCCTCTGGGCGAAGAAAAGGAAAGAGAATGAAAATTGAAAATAGAACTGAAAATAATATTTTGTATTATTTGTGTCCGATGTTTCTGTTTTAAATACAAACGGCCACTGTGTGCTGAAACAAAATAGAGTTTTTCGTCAGATAGCAGGGGCGGATCTAGGGGGAGGGTGCAGGGGGGTGCGCACCCACCCCCCCAGATGATCTGCGGCTTTCTGATTAACACTGTGCAGTCGCTTCACAGTCATACAAAATCTGCTGTATCGTTAAGTATGTATTCTCAACAGTTCACATTATGTTATTTCCTAGTCAAAAGACCTCTTTTTCGTATTCGCTTTTAAAATCTTTACGTCATCAGTCAGTTAGTGGTGCACCCCCTGTTAAGAAAAATCCTGGATCCGCACCTGGATAGGATTCAACCTCGTCCCCAGGGCGCTTTTCCCTCGCTTTGGAGGTGGGGCGGGAAAAGCCAGGGAAAAGCACCCTGGGGACGAGGTTGATAGGATTGTCAATTACAATATAAGAATTTTGAAACTAAAGTGATAAATATGCTTGGTAAATGAACAGACAATAAACGCGAACAGACGCTACTAAAGTAAATGCATGAAACTTTAATGAGACGAAAAGAGGTAATAAAAATGAAAATAGTATGTAATTAATATGACAGGCAATGGGGTTCAGTGAATATTCTGAACTATGCAAACAATAAAATAATACATATTATAGATGACGATAGAAAAACTGCATAAGCACCATAAAAATGAAGTAAATTAAAATGAAATGTTGATTGATTTCATTGCGCTTGTTGATTCCTTAAAGCTCCAGTGCCCCCAGCCTTGTCAAAGGCCGGCTTCCCGAATGAAATGACTTATATAGGTAGGGCGCACTGGTTACTAGGCCATTGTACTCCAAGTCAAGCGTCTTCGCGTGAGGTATCTATGGCCCTATGTCAGAGGTAATCTAAGACTGTCGTGGATTCTGTATTCACGCCGTGGTTTCCGGACTCCGGGCACTGGATTCTACATTTATTGTCAGTGAAACTTGGATTCCGGTTTCCAATCGTGATTCCACAAACAAAAATTCCCCGGATTGCAGAAACCGGAATACCTTACATGGGACAATGTCTAGTAGAAGCGAATGTAACAATAGAGACCTTATAGATTCTAAACCGAGGTCGAATTACGAGTACGAGATTCTCTAAGTATAAACAAGAGCGCTTGAAACCGCGTCATTTTGGCGGGAAAACGTGATAGTCGTCGTCGTTATACGACGAGTTTTAGCGAGGATGGCGGGATAATGGAACAAGTTATCAAATGTTAGAAGTTTTTTCCATTTTGGGATCAGGGACCCGTTTCTCGAAAGTCCCGGTAACTTTACGGGCCCGAAATCAAATATTCAAATCAAAATATAAAGAATAAGAACGCGGGTCCTGGCTAGCAAACAACTCCATTTTGTTTCATTAACTGACAGTTTTATCACGTTAGATGCAAAACTATTGAAACCTCGATCTTTAATGTAGACGGAGACAGCTTACCGGGCCCGTTAATTATCCGGACTTTCGAGAAACAGGCTCCAGGAGAGGGCGTATCCCCCATCAATGAAGATAACAGTGCTAATTTTTTATGGTGAAAAAAAGTACAATAAAGCTTTCGGTGGTATCTATTTTTTGAAAATACAGTACGCGAAAAAACTTTCAGTCAAATCTCATCTTCGTAGTAGCCTTCGTCCCCGAATATCAGGAATTAAAGGTCTCTTATAACGACGTGACGAACAAGGGACAACAGCAGGTGAAAACACAACAATTAAGCCACCTTGGTGTTTGTCTTATCTAATGAAAGGCAAATGGGCTTTTATCTGATTATTGCTGTTCGTTCACTTCGGTTTGTTTACCACAGTGCCAGTATACAAATAAAGCTGCCATAAGTTGTAGGAAAATAATTTATGTTTATTTCTTTTTTTGCAAAAGATAATATGTAATTGTAAATATTGATATCACGGACTTGTCAAGTTACATTTAGGGCTCAGATACGGAACGTGTTCTTTCCCACCAAACACTTGCAAAAATTTTCGTTGGCATAACTTATCCAATTTGATGTTCAATTTTCTAGTGATTTTTGTGTAATATTTGAGAAAACGTACCAGCTACTATATTGGTCTCATCTGGGAACGCAGCATCGTGTGCGATTACTTGAATGTGAATTCAATATCCGACATGGGGAGCTCAAGTATGAAAAATATCCACGAATTCACGTGCTCAAGGAACTTCTACCTATTACAAGATTTTCAGTCGTTTTGGATTTCGTATTTAGGCGTTACTATAAACAGTATATTCTGTTTCACGTCTGTCCTAGGGAACTTCCTTATTATAGTTGCTCTTCAGAATTCAGCTTTACGCCCTCCATCGAAAATGCTCTTTCTCTTTTTGGCCTTGACTGATCTCTGTGTTGGACTTGTTGCGCAGCCTTGTTTTGTCATTTACGTAACTTCAATGATCGAAGAAAGATTTGACATCTGTCGAATCGCAGAAATCGTAATGCAAATTTCTAGTTTTGCACTGTGCGGGATTTCACTTTGTACGATAACTTTGATAAGCATGGACAGAAGTCTTGCTTTACTGTTTGGACTCAGGTATAGACAAATCGTTACACTCAAAAGAGTCAGCAGCACTATGATTATTTTCTGGATCTTGCTTCTTTCAGTGAGCCTGCTCTACCTATTGAAAGAGGATGCTTTCATGATCACATTCTGTGTGTTTGCACTATTTTGTCTTGTAGTATCGACGTTTAGCTTCTTGAAAATTTATTTTACACTACGACACCGACAATCGCAGGTTGTATCTCAGTCTGAACGCGAACACCGTCAAATGTCCACCCGTGCAAATGTGTTCAAATATAAAAGGACAGTAGCTTTGTCAGTCTGGATTTACTTAATATTGAAATTGTGCTATCTTCCATTTGTTGTGGTTCAAATAGTAAGAGCTTTGTATGGTGATAGTATCTCTATTGTTATCGCAGAAGGAGTTACCACTTCTATGATGTACCATAATTCCACAATCATAACCCACCGATTTATTGTTGGAGCATGAGAGAAGTGAGACAGACAGTCAAGTCGACGATCAGAAAGTTTTGTTGTTTATGCTGTTAGTTTTATGGACAAATAGGAGCCTCAGATTTAGAAAATCGTGGAAAGAATGCCTCACATTTATAGCCGGCATGGCAAGAATATCGTCAGATGCGTTAGATGCTGTACGTGAGCATTTATGTATTAATGCAAAAAGTTGAGCAGTGACAAGATTTACAGGCGCTATGTCACTGGAAGAGGATATTGCTGATTAAGGTCAATTCTGTGCTGAAGTCATTACTTGCTGCCCATACCCAAAATGCTGCAGTAAAAAAAATTACGAATATGTCAAACAAATTTACCAGGGATCATTAACCATAATATTTTTTTAGGTATTTTTTTGCAGGCATACGCCACTTCCACATTTCCTCTAATGCAACTTATTTACCCCCCCCAAATTTTGCATAACCTTTGTTTTCATTTCTCCTGAGTATTACAGACGTCCCAAGAGAAATTGAAAACAATGCTTATGTAAAATTTTGGGGGGCAAATAAGGTGCATTATGGGAAATGTGGAAGTAGCGTATAGTATTAAAATTTGAACACACCGACTCACCGTTTTTCAAGTTTTAGTAAATGTCCATCCTTGCCGTCCGGTGCAACAGAAGACAGGAAACAGTTCCAATGCCTATATATAGTCTTAACTAATAAGATAAAAAATCTGGACCAATTTTTTAGAATCAAATTGTTGCGAAGACATGTTTTAGCTTTTAATAGTAAATAGCGTGACACGCTCCCTAATAGCCTGATATAATCATTTTTTAAAATGCTAGTTATGATTCGTGCGTGACCTTAGTTCATGTTATGACTTCAATCATAGAACTAACACATATTATAAAGAGGATGTAATGTTATCTTACCAATAAGAGTCATTTCTTAGATATATTCCCCTCCACATCTGGAACGGAAAAAGCGCAAGTTATTAAGGCCATTCTTCATACTTTTCTGAAGTAATTTAAGGCATTGGACAACAGCTATTTTTCCGTAAAAATGAAGGGGGTGGTCTATAATATGAACTGTGAATCATGGTGCACAAAATACCAAAAAATATTATAAACCACAAAAAATTATATATACTTCCGAGCACACAAATATTATGCAAATTAAGTCAGTGACCTTACAGCTCCATAAAGTCTCAAAAAATCTTTAAGAAAAAACGGGCGCACTTTTTAGCAAGAGCCTGAGTATTTTACTTAACTGGTGCACGAAAATACAAAATATAAGCAACTACAAAACTGCGCTTGGCAACTTTAAAATATCTCGTTTATTTTGCAAATAAACGGGGTTTTCCGACTAGTACCCAGTCTCCCAATATAACATGCTTGTCCTTTAAAAAATGTTGATATTGCCAAGCGCAGAAATGACATACCTAATGGTCTTAAAATCATGAAACAAGTAGAAAAAAGTGTGCCCATTTTAGTTCAAAGCTTTTCTGGGCGTGGCGAGGCACGTGACCTCATTTGCATATTTTGTGGGGGCCAAACAGATAAAAGTTAGCAGTGTATGTATTTCACAAGTTTTCAACCTGCTACTGCTAATGCATCGAAAGATAGACCAGCCCCTCACCTTCCGACTTAATAACTGGGGACCCATGCTTCACTGGATGCACGTGATTTGTTTAATAGCGTAGTAAGACGTGCTTCGAGGAGGTGTGCATGTTGAAAAAACGAGATTTTGTCATCGATATGTGATCAGTGTTCGCGTTTTGTAGGAGTAGAAGACAAACCTGCTATTATGAAACTGTCTTGCAAAGGGGCTTTCAAACAGTTTTGACTACACTGACTTAAATTTTGTTTTACAATATTGCATTGCACTTTCAAGTGAAGGTTTCTGTGTGTCCTTTACTCTTTTTAAAATATTTGTAAAAAGCCTTACATCTTTGCGTTTCTTTCAAACTACCTTGATCCGCATTCCGTGACCTACATTTTCAAAGAACCTAACTTAACGCGGCCTATTATTAAAAGAAGGGATACTGGTCAGTTTTCGGTTTTGTGATTTCAGCAACTTTTGACCTTTTTCTCAGTTTTGTGGTCCAATTTTCTGTTCAGTTTATCAAGGACAATAGTTTGGTTTCCATACTTTTATACTGTTTCCTTTTCCAGTTTTGTTGTGATGACCCATTCGGAAAAAGGTGATTTTCCGCATAATTTTCATTAAAATCTGTCACAAGAACGGCTATAAGTTCCATTGAAAAACAAGAGGGAGCTTTCTTGAGTTTGCCCTCATCGACGTTGAAGCAGGTAATAATTGTAAACAATGCTCCATCTACATAACCTTTAGGCGGGAAGAACAGGTCACATGGCCACTCGCTCCAGGGTTTATTTTGTCAACTTCAAAAGAATCATTGATATTAAGACTACAATGCATTAACTATAAATATTATTTTCCTTTTTCTTTGAGCTGATGTTTGTTCATCTTCGGTCTTTTTGTTTTGTGCTACCTCAACGTGAAGATTACTCGAGTACATGTTCTCGAATGCAGCATTAAAAAGTCATTAACCATCTTATTTTGGAAATGAAAGTCAATTTCATATTTTTTAGATTTCATAATATTGTTCAGCCGTTTTTCACACCCATAAGAAAGTTCGTGAAGTCAGAAATGTAGCAAGGCAGTGGTGCTGAAATTTCAAAAGCCGTGCTTTTATCCTGCACGATTTCTTTATTAAATACGATGAAATTTGCGAAAGAAAATTTTACTATCTCTGTAAAAGTTCCAGTTTTTCCAATCGGCTTCCTGTAAAGATAAGAAAACTTTTATTAGCTGCTATAAAAAATAAAGAAAGAAGGAAGAAAGCGGTGAAAGCGGTGAAAACAAGGCTAGTCTTGATGACCTACCTGGTAACTAGTTCTTCTGCGGTGTTCATAGTACCTCATAGTACCTCTATAAACAAACCCAGTCATTGCTGGAGACTACATAACAATTGTTCACCGAAGTGGAGGTGGCTAGTCGTGGTAATTTATCGAGCTACGAAGCAGCGAGGTAAATATCCACCACCCGCCACCGACACTGAGGTGAATAATTGTTTTAGTATATACCAAAACAGTGAGATAATTGAGCGCAAAAATAATGATTTTTAACTCAAATACTGTTGCCAACAATTACAATTTTGGCGCATAATGACCGAACGGCCGCGGCCGTCGCTAATTTTTGCCGACAAATAAAACTTTAAAAGGCATTTGTTTAGCTCTTGTGGGGAAATTTCTTCAAAAGGAGTTGTGAATTCTTTTTGTATTTAAAACCATTCTGTACATTAAAAGATTATTAAAATAATTTAGTTTTAAACAAAAAACTTTTTCACCGGTTTTATCGATAAATTCGAGCCAAAAAGACAAAGCTTTACCTGTTAAAACTTCCAAACCTAACTTCGTCACCTTCTTCGTATATTTCGGTAACAGCTTGCTTGATTAATTGTGAAATTTCTTTGTTTGCTACGGCAGCAAACCGGGAAGGCATTTTGCTCGCAACTTACGCAAGTTTGGCGTCGCTCGCTCGGAGGAACTGGAGGGGAAGGATATTCACTGATTGAGTAGCCATTTAGAGTGCGCGAAAACACTATCCACTGTTTTAGTATATACAAAAAGAAGTTAGAAAGAAGGTGAAGTAGACGATAACGCGTTTGTGTAATTATGTTTTATACCTAGACTAAGCTTATAGGTGGATTTGAGAAAATGGTAATCGAACAGAATCTCTTCATCTTGTATGGTAAAGAAGAGAGATTTTAAAGAGTCTGACAGTAATTCATCCAGATTAAAGAAAGACCTATTGCGGTTGTGTATAGTTTTTTATCGTTTGTTAGGTAATCCAGTTTTTGACTTATCCTTTATCTAAGACGTCTTATTCAGGAATCTAACTGCTTTGCTTGCATTCAAATATCATCGCCCCGTGCAAGAGAATCCGGATTCAGGAATTGGAGGAATTTTTGCTTGTGGAATCTGGAATCCAGGGCCTTGGTATCCGGAATCCCACTATCTAAAACCAGCATGCTCTGCTCTTTTTCTTTTTCAAGCTTTGTAATAGCCTGAATTTCCGCCGACGCCTCAAGTCGCAAACTTCCGCCAAACAACAAGATAAGTGAAACTACAAAAAAGTGTACATATATTCACAGGAGTACAGGCGGAGACACCACAACAGCTAGCGCCAATTACTGCGGGCCCAAGACATAGATCGCTAAAAAAATGTAAAAACTACAATACCATCTCAAAACAACAAGTGATGTTCCGTCCTAAATTAGGGGCAGCGTTACAGGTCAAGCATACAGATTTGAAAGAGCGAGGGTGATCAGGGATGAAGGAAGCGACAAGAGCTTGTTTGTAATAACCGTAAAGGACAGCGTTAAAAGAACTTAAAGAACAAGCAACAGATAGTCCAAGGTCTGCGGTAAGAGCATTCCAAATTCTGCAAGTTCTGTTAAAAAACGATCTTTTAAAGGTTGTTGTTTTACAGTGATTGAACATAAAGTGGTATCCGGATTGCTAGTGTATCTAGTGGTTCTTGTTGGAGCGCGTATCCGAGGAGTAACAATTGGATTAATTTCAACACGCCCAGTTACGGCCTTAAAGAAGAATACCATGTCAACATATTCTTGTCAGTTTGTCAGGGGAAGCAGGTTTAATTGAATAAGCCTATCCTTATATGATTGTTGATAATGAAATGGAAGATTGAGGATGTATTTTGAAGCTCGTCGCCGAATCCGCTCCATCTTGAAAACCAGTTCGATCGATTGAGGGGCCCACACTTGTGTTGGGTACCCAAGGTGGGACCTCACTAACGATTAATAGATGGATCGTCTTATTCACAGGTTCTTAATACACCTGGTGTTACGCCGGACGAAACCTAACATCCTGTTAGACTTTGAACAGACCGCACAAACCTGTTTGTCCCATGAGAGGTTGTCAAGAATGACAACACCTAGGTACTTTTTCCGCAGTGGATTTTCCAAGGGCATGTTCATTCAGTTCATGGCTGGCAATTACAGGATTGAGCTTCCTAGTTATCAGGTTGCACTTTACAGTTCGATTCATTAAAGGCCAGGCCAACAGAAGGTGACCAGGAGGCGCGGTTGCTTAAAACTTAAAGTCATCGGCAAAGGTGGCGACTCGACTTAATTTCACAACGTCAGGCAGCGAGTTTGCATACAAGAGAAACAGTATAGGGCCTAAGATTGCACCTTAGGGCACTCGAGAAGTTACAGGGAGTGCATTCGAAGACACTCCTAATTCGGTTACCCTCTGAAGACGGTTGTGAAGGTAAGAATCAGACCAAGCCAGTAAGTTCCCGCCAAAACCGTGTTTTTGTAGCAATGTGAGTAGTTTGCGATGACTCACTTTATCAAAAGCCTTTGACATATCTAAATAGATAATTTCCACTTGCGCCCCCCTCCCCCTTATCCAACTGGGAACCAATAAGGTCAAACACCTCGACCAGTTGCATAACGCACGAACGCTTTGCCATGAAGCCATGTTGGCAGCTGCCGACCAGGCTATATACTTGATCATTAATAGCATTAAACAAACAACGCTCCGTAACTTTAGAGACCAAGCAGAGTAGTGAGATTGGTCGATAATCTTAGACGTATTTTTTAATGGCCTTCTTATATACAGGGATTATGCTAGCCAATTTCCATTCTGTCGAGAGGGAGCCTAGTCTAAGCAATTTCAGAATTGACCGAAGATCACAGAGTGAAGGGGTAATCTCGTGAGCTGATTCCTGGAATTTCGTCTGGGCCTGAAGCTTTGTTCACTTCAAGACTAGACAAACAGCTAGGACTTGATTGGTTATAAATGTCAAGTCACATAGTGACTGGTAAACTTTATTGAAAGGAAGCACTTCTCACCAAAACTACATTACTTTTTAACAGCCCTTATCCAACTCTACTATTTGCTCAGAAACTCAAATAACATACTCAATTGCACACCTGTTTTTGTTGTTTGTTGGTTTATTTGTTTGTTAAATGATCATACAACCTTGGAAAACTAGGCAACTTTTTAACAGTTTTTCAACAACTCTACTGTTTGCTCAAAAGTTCGAACATAAACCCCAACCGTGCAACAAGCTTTTTAAACTGATTGTACAAGCGTGGGAAAACTAGCTAGAGAGCACCGCAAGCAAGACGCCATAGCACTCTTGCACAGCGTCCTGTGTACTCTCATGAAAACACGTGGAACTCTCACGAAAAGTTCTAATTTCTGCGTCTCTAAATGTTAACAAACTTTAAAAACTAATGTTGGTTCACTACACATAGTAACCAACCTGAAATCTTCAAACGCCAAGTGAAACTCCAAACTGAACAGTGTTAAATTGCAAAACCTACAAGAAGATCATAGACAGACACACGTCTAAAAGTGAAATCTGCTAACAACATTACCTTTACAACACAAAGCTAATCACGAGCAAAATGAGATTAATCAGAATGAATTCATCATCTAAGTAATGAATATACTTAGCAAAGGCACTGTGCAAATCTAGAACGCTTTACGGTGTAAAGTCAAAAGTTGGACCAGCGTTAGGCCCAATATCTGGGTCACCATTGTCGTCAACAGGCATGCGTAACAGATTTTTCAAGTGAAGCTCAACTGCGTACATAAGGCCGATAGCATTCTCCAGTCCCTCGTCAGGGTTGCCGTTAAAGGTGTTTTCCAGAGATTTGAGCAACTTGGTATACGCTTTGTTGAACAATACAGCTTGCCTGTACGCTTTTGAGCCGGGCGTATAATCCGACAGCTGGGGATTAGGACTCATTGGCCAAACACCTTCGGGATCAAAGCTTATCTTGGAACCATTGAAGTAGTAGCTGCCGTTGCAAGGCTATTGAGGGTAAACCACAATTATCATCAGTAATCTTTTTAGAGCGTAAAACATTAGGGATGTGGGAGATAAAAAACAATGAACTTGATTGAACGGGCCATAAAAATTCGCTTACATCAATATCTTTCACAGGACGCAGACTGAAAATGTTGCTACAGTTCGACTGCGAGTAAAATCCTATCTATAAGAAACATTGCTACCCATACCGCAGTTGAAGGTTCCGCAAAAGGATAGAATAACCTGGCTCTTTCTGAAAAAATTTGGTAAGTTGAAAGACATACCAGCTAGATAGCACTACACTGAAGAGGGACATGATATTCTGAACACTCCAAATGTGATGTCCAGAGCAATTTACACATTAAGGTACCTGCCCAGGCTAATTTTGGTCATTTTAAATGGAAAACACTGTACATAGTATGTCCCTGGATACGTTAAAAGCTTCAGAATATTAATGACAAACTTAAATGGTACACCAAAAAAACGTTTTTTGTGTGTCAGAGACCTCCTTTTGGGTTTTTCGAGTTAATCATTAACCTACGCCTAATATTATAATTTGCATCTTTCTCCTTAATAGTTCAAAGAAATCTAAAAGCAAAAACGTGCATATATTAAGATAAATAAAAGTAAGTTTTCTGTGGTTGGGGAAGACCTTAGTTGAAAAATCCTTGAAATTATTGCAGTAGGACTAAAAATTAACTTCCAGGGACTGGAACATTTCGTCATTTGCATGAGTGTCTTCTCCCAACCACACGTTTCTTTGTTATTACCTTACGAAAGATCCTGCCAAGTTTGGGGGGAAACGGGCTTTTCGTTGATTCATAAAACAGAAGCATTCATGACATTTTTTGCATAAAAGGCATCTGGAAAGGAAAACTTGAAGCAAATATCAATAAAACAGTGGCTAAAATGCTTCGTTCCGATTTTTGCCGCCATATTGAATTGATTTCCGCTGAAGTGAATTAAGTAAGTGAATCTGAACTAAAGGGCTCATCTGCTTTGAGCTTACAATGGTTCCGTTCCTAGCATAAAGCGAACAAGGAGAGTTGCCACCCTTCCTTCTCTTAAGACAGAAAAGCTTGGTCAATCCATCCTCCCTATATCCCATCTTTATTTTCTTGCCTCGTACAACGTACCTTCGGCGGTTCACCCAAAACCGCAGCATCAGCAGTTTTTTTATTCGCCTTGACCACTTGAATCCCTCTCTCCTCAGCAATTGATTGAAACATGAAGTAATGAGAAAGATCCTTTTGACCCAGTTCATCCTTAGTAATGGGGTTACAAGGATTGCTTCCTTCACCCTGGTCAATAATCGTGTAAATGGCGTCAACGGCAGAGTGGTAGTCGTAGACTGAAATGTTATCGTGCTTTTTAAGATGCCAGCGAGTTGTAACCTGTTTACTCATGTTTCCTGTAAAGATGCTGTTATTATTTCCACAATCTGTCAAATTTCCAAGGACTTTCAAGATGTGATGGTAAAAATTACCAATTGTGTTATAGTGATGTCCAAATTTGCTACTTTCTTTACCAGGGAGCTGAATACATTGAGATAAAGATTAAAAGAAACAAGTCAATTTCAGAAGAACACGGGTGATTTTTGCCAAATACAACTAAGAACAAGTGTCAACTTTGCTTCAACCCAGCAGGACTCCTAAGCCATACCCATGTACTTAAAACATTATAGATTAATCTTCAGTATGACAATGTTACATTATCGTATTTGATGAACCCAATTAAAGCGGTCACGTGTTTGAGCCCTTCCATTTTTATAATCACCAGCCTTCGTGGTAAAGAAGGGAGGTTAGCTGGTGGTAACAGATTTCCCACACAAGCTACCACATAACAAGGAGCGAGAAATTGCGCTCTCTTTCTTAGTAATCACTTCTCTAGCGACCACAATACCTGTTTCCCCATTTTCTTATTTGCCATGACTTGACGCGACCGTTCCATTGCAGCAGATAGGTGACCTGAAATTAAAAATAAAAACCTTATTTGTTGGTTTAGTTTAAAGTACATTTAACGGTTGACCGCGTAAAATCAGCGTCCCGTTTCCAGCAGTGCACGTCAATATAGTATCCCCAATTAGTACTTTAGTGCCTATAATGAGTGTTTCGCGTAGCTCAGATGACCACGCAAAATGACGGTCCCGTCTCCAGTGGGGGTCTAAAATAGAGTCCTAAATTAGTACTTGTGCTAAATACATTGACACTAAAATGAAGTGCTTTTTATAAAATATACATTTGATGTGTAGTATCACTGAGTACCGTACAATTCCGAAAATAAGCCCCGGGGCTTATATTTTTCAAAGGCCCTTTTTGAGGGGCATATTTTTGGAGGGACTTATATTCGGAGGGGCTTATCTACGGAGGGAAATTTGGAGGGCTTATATTTGGAGGGGCTTGTTATGTACATGGAGGGGCTTATTTTTGGAATTTTACGATATTTTAACAACTGGTGCTGTATTTTGTCGCTAAACCTTTAGTGGAAAAACTGTAAGGTGGAGAACGTGTGACAGCTTTTGCGTGTAACGATTATGATTGCCTGGCTAAAGAAACATCAACTTATGAAACCAGTTTGTGAAACAACTGGAGCTTGAATTAGGACGAAAAGTTATATTTTCGAAGCGGTCAAGCAATTATTCTGGCGTTGAATTTCGATAGCAGAAGTTCATTAAAGAAAACAAGGAAGCGATTTGGACAATCAGCCTCAGAATAAGAGCGAAACAGAGGTAAGATAACCGGCATTTGTCTTGCAAACGAGTTTATCGTCTCAGTAAGGGGTACGTACGTAAGTTTCAAATGCGATGAAATGAGTTTAAAGTTGGCCTTTATACGATCAAAACGCTGCCTATTTTTCCTGAAAGGCGGCTCGACCACCTTTAAACGGAGCATTCCGACAGAGTCTTTAATGAAAAGTGCTTATAATGTTTTTTTTCCCCAGTATTTTATTTGTTACGTATCGTAGTTAAGTGGTAAGGTAAGGACTCTGCCTAATGATAAAGCGGTCCAGGGTACTACTTTTTGATAGTCCGTTTTTAGTTTTTTTTTCTGCCGGCCCTTAACCTTAGTTTCACGAGGTTCTGCGATACACGTTTTTCTAGAGTTATCATTATTTCATATCAGATCTACAATGTAGCCTATAAGAGTGAAACAATGGTACGTCATTTTGACGTCATATAATTGGCTGACCCAATAGATAAGTGTAAAAACGTCTAAGTAGGAACGTGTCTGATAAAATTATGAAGTTCACTAGCAGACTGATTTAAAAACCAAATTGTTGAAAAATGTTACCCTTCAAAGGGGCACTCACCAACATAGTCTATAAATGAAAGTGCCCATCTCATGATCAAGTACAGTGTAACAATGGGTCCTCAAGGCTCACCTCGTATACCAGACCTTGCGATGTCCTCCAGATCAGATGGATGGTGACAATGGCCAAGATAGTTGTTCTTGTCTTCTTTCAAGCAGCCTGTCCCTTTGCCATTCGTCCGACAATGACTGGATCTAGTACGGTTAACATATTCCCAAATATGTACCAGCTTGTCTTGTAGCTCATACTCTGGCTGCTCAATTGTCATAAAAATATTCCTTATTAACGCAAGGGAGATCTTCTCCACTGGAACTACCAAATCAGGGTGTACACCACCGGGAAGTCTTGATGGGTAGTGGGGGATAAAGTCTTCTGAATAAAAAGATGGTTTTCCTCCAACAGCGTTGATTATGTTGGCAACAAGAGCCATATGCATCATTTCTTGGATCACTATGTCTCTCAAGATATTTTTCACCTCCTGGTTGTAGCTCTTCTTGATGGAGGCCCAAGCAGTTAAGTATGGTGGAATAGTTGAATGTTCCAGCTGAAGTGCAATCTGTAGGTCTTCACGGAGTTGTTCCACCGTGTACAAGCTTTTTGGATTACCAACAAGTGGATTTTTCTGTTTAAGCCATCTCAGGATAACATCGCGCTTGGGCTTCGACAGGTCTCGTGTAATAGGCATGTAGTTTGGATGTGATTCAGGTAACTCGAGACATACTAGGATCCTGTGACGATAATTTATAACTTCATGGTAATTCCCTAAATCTACGAAGTTTTCAGTCATCACTGGATACAGATCGGCGTATTGCTTGAATATAGGATACACATGATCTAACCAGGTTGGCTCGCCATCAATAGTATAATCGTCAAACACTCGAATAACACCAGCGAATTAAGTAACTTGTAAGGATCGTTTATGCACATGTCCAAGCAGTCTCTCAGCTTTTGATCATGATCGAGGAGGGAGTATCTAAAAAGGTAGATCTGCCCGTCGATGAAGCTCCTGTTATTCTTAGGATCTATTGTTGATATGTTGTACTCTGCGATCCCATTGCAATCAGTGACAGCATGGCGCGATACTTCAGGCAAAGGCGGTTGACCGACTGATGGTCCCTCTTCGATATATCTGGGACAATTAACATTGCAAGGTTCCAGGATCACAACTGCGTTACTAAAAGGTTTTCCAAACTTTGTTGCAAAGATCTTCACAGTAGCTTGCTCAGAAGGGTTTTTTCGAAAAGCCCATTTGTCGTATGGATGAATAGCTTGACCATCTTTAGCTTCCGCTAACACTATTTTCTTGCAGTCTAAGTTTGGCAAAGTACCTTTAACCTACAAATTAACATAGGCGTTAAAATTTTTTCAAAGAGGACCGACAACGAGGATGGACAGGTACGGTGAGAAACTCTATCAGTGCTCAGTACAAGCAGTATTTTCAAGAGTCTAAAAATAAAAGTCGTTTTAGTTTCTGTCCAAAAGCGTGTGCTGGGTAAACAGTGGACAGGTGTCTTGTGACCATAGTGCACTCGGCCAACCCCTAAATCCGCCCATAGTTTTTGACTTGAGCTACCAGAAGTTTAAAAGCGAGAATAAGCAATATTTTGGTTATGCTTTATGCAGCTTGTTCTTAAGCAAAAATAAGTACCAAATGGCCCCTTTTCTGTCATATTTCTATTTGTGTAAAAATGAGACAAAAACAACTTAACCCCACTGAGTCATCAGTCTCCCTAATCCATAAAACGCTATTTTTAGAAAGGAAGCTGTCTTAGACCACGCAACGGGAAGCTTTTTTTGGCAAACCACGTATTGCTTACAGCATTTTTTAGCACTGATTCCTGAATAATTTTATGCTGGATTTAAATACAAAGAAAAGTCCAAAGCGATGTTTGCCATTTTTATCTGTTACATGTATAATCATGTACATTGAGTAATACCTTAGCGACAACCAATGGTTTGTTGTTAATTGTGTCCATATCATCTGATGAAAAAGTGCCATATGATGGGAAAACCTGGACTCCGGCAGTGTTGGTATACCAGTTTGGTGACCTGTATTTAATATAACCCAGCCATAGGAAATCATCAAAACAGTTAAGCGCTGGATTTGTGTTCTTAGGCACAGCCAAAAATAAAGTATCCAGGACCTCTGTGTCCCAGTTTCCATCTCCATCAATTGGTAAACTGTTTCCAAAGTCCACAAACACCTTTCTTTTCGCTTGATCCACATAAAACGGTGCATCTTGAAGTTGAGTCGACAATGACTTCAGCATACGACCGTGAGTAACGAATTTTGGAGACTTGACACCCAACAAACCTATTGTGCCTGCGAAATAAATGAGTCATAAACAATAATGCGTGAACAGGCAGCAAGTGTTAAAAGCTAAACTGTTATTCTTTCAAAACTATTAGCAACAAGAAGTTATTACTTCTGCTGTGAAAATTCCATGCATTCAATTTCATTCTTCAAGTCTACGGACATGTTGTAAACTCACAAAGTGGCTATAGGCTCAGTGGTAAGAGCCGATTGCAACGGCATCGCAGAGGTCAAGGGTTCGAATCCCGTACAAGCCTGAATTTTATTCTATTTTTTTTTTAGGCTTTCTTTTCGCAACTGCAAAAGTTGCGTCTATAACTGCGATGATCTACTTTTATATAAGTGTCAGTTGTATTACAATCCTAGAAGACAGTGTTACCGAGTAATGATGGCTGGAAAAGAAAAGGAAGAAACTAACTAAGTTCCTGTCCACATAATGCGTTTTCAAAAGTATACGTTTTCGTTGACATCGAAAACGCATCGATGGATTCGCGTTCACACTACCGTTTTGATACGTTTTTCACCGTCCACACTAAAACGTTCGAAAACGATAGAATTGCAAGTTGTGACGTAAGTATAACTCTAAGCATATGCTACAAACACATGCGCCTGCGATATTTTTTATCATCGTTTTCACTTTGAAGCGTTTTCAGACCGTTTTCGACCGTCCACTCTGAGGATATGTATGCGGTTTAGTTTTGAGCCACTTTCAAAAGAGTTTTCAAATCGATGCGTTTTCGATGAAAACGCTCAGCTTATTAGTGTGGATGGAAGTTCTAAACGCATCGAAATACATACATACATACATACATACTTTATTGGCTCGTCCCCACGGGGCTTTTCAGAGTCAAATGTGTGCATTTTAAGCGAAAACGCATTGGTGTTGACGGGGCCTAAGATATCAGGGCCGTTTATAAGAGAAAAAATAAGCCGCGGCTTACTCTGGCCACGGCTTTCATAAGACGTGAAAAGAACCATTTATACTTGTAGGACTTACATAAGACACGAACTGGTTCACGGCTTACTTCGCCATCAGACCGGCCCGATCAGTGACGTAGTTTGTTTTGGTGCCTCGCGTAATATTCAACAATTGCTCGAGCGAGCAAAAATGAGAAACGATTGGCTTCGGTCAGGAAAGTCGCCGTATTTTTAACACTGTCTTAGTTTTTCGTTTTAAATTATTATTTCGGTCAAGATTAGTCTTGGGCTGTTGTGAAAACCTCGTTGAAAAGTTCGTCAGCGATCAATCGAGTGGTTTGAAAGAGATGTTCCGGCGATGGATTAGGTGCTGAGTTTAGACGAATTTCTGGCTCTCTCGTGCAGCAGGTCATTTCCCCGACACTACAGTGCGCGTCTCTCGGCCATGAAGGTCTAGGATATAACTGAAAATAGAGCATGCGCAAAAATTATTCACGGCCTCGTCAAGCCGCCGACAACGTTTGAGGACATTTATACGAACACTTTCACGTCCAAGGTAAGCCTCGGCTAGGATAAGCCCAGCCCAAAACTCCTCTCTAGCCATGGGTTGAATAAGTCGTGAACGTAGATTTTGTACCATTTAGACGGGATGTTCGCGTCTTAAGTAAGCGGCGGCTTAATTGATCCCGTATAAATGGCCCGAATGTGGAACCAGTGACATACCGTGAGAAAATTAAAATTAAAATAAAAAGACGGAAGAAAGCTTATACCCGTTATGCGTCCCGTTGTAAAGGTGTTTTTTCTTGAATAGGTCTCGTACATATCAAGATTAAAACGTATAGAAAGATCTTTGCAGGAAATGTTATCTTGTTTCATCGCCCTTCGAAGCTTCTGGATAAACGGGGAGCCGTTTCCATTGTCTATCCATGAAATGTTTGATAGCACCGACTGATAAGCTACACCAAAAGCAGTACTATTAGTTTTCTCCCCTTCTTTGGCAATCTTTTTCTTCCACAGGTACTGAGGTGGTATTGGAGTATAATCAGCGGAAAACAAATCCCCGATTCGAATTCTCCAACCCCACATTTCACAATAATACAATTCAACCTCAGTGTCAAGGTCTACCAGCTTTGCAGACGTCTTGTTCCCACCATCTGACGAATAAGAAAAGCAGTTTGGTACTAGAAATTTTCTTAATCTTACACTGACTTTAATAAAAGATTCTTTTTATAAGTATTTCAATACTGGCCACATTGAACATTTCCGAAACTTTTCTTCATTTGAATAGCTTTATAACAATTACTCCTCGAGCCCGAATGGGCTTTGAGTCAATAACCCATGAGGCCGAAGGCCGAATGGGCTATTGACTAAGAGGCCACGAGGGCGAGAGGAATAATAGTTTTTAGTAAAGTCAAACAAGTTGATCAAAAATGTCAAGACAAAACAACTTTAGCTATCAAAACGCGATTCAGCTGCCATTGTTTTGGTTTTCAAGGTCGGAGCTTTTTGCTGCTAGTGGGCTATAACAAGTAGCTTGGTAGTCGCTCAACCAATCAGAACGCAGCATTGATAATAGACAACTAGTTGGATTTTACTAAATATATATATTGTCTTGCCTTGTCTTTGACACTCACGTCATTAGCCTGTCGTTAAAAATATTCCGATTTATAAAGTTATAAAAGGTTGGACAGACTGGAGACTCATAGTTTCCCTCGCAGCCGTTTAGTATCGTCACGCAACGCTCCTCCCCAGAAACGTCAATAAAGTTGTGGGGAGGAGCATTGCGTGGCGACACTAAAAACGGCTGCGAGGAAGACTAGGAGTCTCAGTGCCCTGACAAACTGTTTTTGGGTAAATGGTATTCTGTTTCAAGGTAATTTCAAGTACATTTTAGATACATTGGTATCTTACGAGGAAAAAAACGGGTACCCCCCGGCGGCCAGAATTGAATTTTTTGCAACAACATTTCATCAACTTGTGGCATAAGAACGGTTGTTCTTTCTTTGTAATCAAAATTTCAGTACTCATTATTAAACTGAATATTTTGGGTATCTATGGAATATGGGAGACATTTGTCCTCCATGCATGATGATGAATCTTGTTTAATGTTACGCTGTGAATCAGTGTGAATCTCACAATCCATACAGTAAGTTCCTAGGGCCCTTCTTACCCAGTACAGGAGCTCCCAATATTGGATCATCGTTGGTATTATCTTCTCCTCCATACTCGACCCAGTCTCCGTTGGTATAGCAAATCCCGGTCACATTGGCAGTTACGCTCCACCCTCCGCTTCCTCTGGGGTTCCATGCCATGTCGGATTGGCTGAACTTCTCAGGGTTGAAGTTGGAATTTTTATTATTACCAGTGTGAGCATCTGCTAGAAACGTCCCACTAAAGTGAAAGTGCGGACACAGCAAGTAGTTCGTGTAAGGGTCATTAGGAAGATAGTCATCTGGAAAAAAAATCACGAAATCAATTTATCATATCTTCATCATTAAAGTCCACATTTTTACAGCTGCACTACCCTGCCGAGCTTATCGACTCCACTGTCAGCCGGTGTAATAACGGGATAATAAGACAGAACTAGCAGATGGGACATGTGAAGATCACCAAAGTTATTAGTAGTTATTGAGGGTCAGAATTAATAAGCCTTGTTGGTGTATAGGTATAGGTATAGGTAAATCATTAACATTCACATACCTTCCTGGATACTAATTCGGTATACGTTTACTAATGCGTGGTTCAGTTTGACCTTTTAATGGGATTGCAATCTTTTTCTTTTCTATTGGTCTATTCCCCACCCCCGGGCACGCAAAGGGAGACAATTCCCCAACGCCGAGCTCCTGATCGACCTCATATAAGTTTTTTTGGATACATCTTTAATTTTGAGGGCAGTGGTGATTTCCGTACAATAGCAAAATGAGACGTTTTCAGAACTTTTAGAAACGTTTTCTAGAGTTTATTGAGAGAAAGATAATACATGTTTGTAGTTAAAACATTAACAATACATTTGAAAACGAAAAGGAAGAAAAAACTCTGAATCGCCTTAGAGCACTTTATAAGAACACTAGTCTGAATGTCTATTTCACTGATCTTGGTTATTCAAGCAATCTGATCGGTTAGCTATCTCGGTCGGACTATGACATTCAGACTGGTGGCCTTATAAAGTGCCATGTATCCGTTTTTATATACAGTCTATTTCAGCCCGTGTACAGCCGTCCCCGTCTGTGCACAGGCTAAGTCTGTTTAAGTTGTGTTATTATTAAACTAGGCTGAAGGAATATTTCTTTGTTTGTATTGCAAAAAAATCCTCCATTAGCAGTACGCACTATACGCTCATTTGTTTGAATCTTTAAAACATACCTTGAAATACAGGCTGTAATTTTGATAGCTTATTTCTCTCCAACCACTCTCCCATAAATTCGTGCATTTTCCCTTGAGTTCCGCAGCTTCGTGCAAACCACACGAGAAATAACACGTACTTTGCAAAATCAAAGAGAAGTTATTTTTATTTATCCCATCCCCCTTAACCCTGGGGCAGGACCACTTTAAACAATTCTCACCCCCGGGACCGAAGGGCTGGACTTATTCCCGGGGTTGCCCGGAGGGGATGGTAACAGGTCAAATTGAACCATGCATAAGGAGCGTCCCTCTTATATGATAGGAACAATAGGCTTACCTAGACTCGTCTGTTCTATACCCATCTGATGGGCTCATGTAGAATCCATTATGTGTTCAAAATAAAAGCGGGCAGTTTTTGAACGCGCTATCGTTGTAGCAAGTTCAGGTTGCTAGGAAAAAATTATTACTATTACCAATATTTTTAAAACATTGCTCCAAACATGCAAGTTGAATCGAGAGTTACACCGATGTAGACAGAAGATAAGGCGAGTTCTTTACCTGGTCAGCTTTGACCGTCTCACCCCCTTTCAATGTTGGAATTGGTAGAAAAAGCGAAGGGATTTTGCAATGTGCTCTGCCCTGAGAAAATGTGCTTTATGTTTTCCCCTGCTTCAAAATGGAAAGAGGACATAGAGTGGATCGCACATCATACACACTCTCATGAGACAATACGCAGCTCAGTCCTTCAGTAGGTCGGTGATTGTTCCAACAATCCGGCATTGAGAAAAAGTAAACAGCTTTAATTGAGCAAGGATCGTATGTTTTTGACATGTTACTAAAAGGAGTGTAACTTTTTCATGTGGATAGACCTTCGCATAGGATCAAGGAGCGGCTCTCGTATTTGCCTCAGCCACAGGTCGTACGATTCCTTCCTTATGGAGACATAAAGGCGATATTTTGAAAAACGAGGCCAAGAGGCTAAACAGAAAGCATTTATCCAAAACCAACGCCATACACGCGAAGATAACGAAGGGTTTTAAATGTGTGTCAACGGTTTTAACAGTCTAGGAAGTCCTAACATCTTTCACGGGCATAGATACAGAGAATGGATGGGAATCGTACAAGTTTTATGTTCAAAGAATGAAAAAAGACTCTCCAGAACATCCAGATCCTATACGTCTTAGTCTAGAGAAAAACTATTTGCTCAGTCAGGCGTATTACAAGTACGCAAGTGACTGCGGTCATTTCCCAGAAAGTTAACGAGTGCTGAAGGCTTAGTATGAAAGACACATTGAAGGTAAACACGTTCCTTTCCACCGTTATGTCATCACCACTGAAGAACGTGAAGAGATAGAAAGAGATAAAAAGTTACCTTTTTATTCTACAGCTTTTATACAAGATGCACGCAGATCAAAATGCATCAACATGCTTAGCAATATAAGGAACCCTAGGTCTTCCTGTTTGTTCTAAATCAATGAAACAAGTTTGTTTTGAATGATAATTTTCATGTAACATCCTGTATAGACAAAAGGTTGTAAAAATTGTGAAGTGATTAATAAAAGACACTCAAAGATTGATTGTTTACAGTTATTATTGAGACGCAACAATATAAAGGTCCAGAAGAAAGTTCTATAACATTCATAGTAGGTCTAGTCTTGATCTTGTGGAATGGGCTGCTTTTCATACAATCTATTGAGTAAGAATTTTCGCTTATCGATCGCTAGTTCTCTCGACTAGAGCCAATCAAATCCCTCAGTATCTTTAAGTCCTTTTTGGGTTTCCATCACTTTTCAGAAGGTGCGATCGTTTTTCATTGCAAGCATCCACTGTAGATAATCTAAGAGTACTTTTCTCAGTTCTTTTCGTTAAACAGGATGAAGAGCGTTCTCGGCTTTAATACTAGCCACGTTTTCTGAATCTCCGTTCTCTTCGTTTTGATTGATCAAAGCGTTGAGCTGGGTCTCGTGGCGTTTCTCGGCTTCATCAAAAAAGCGTGACCAAGGCTACAAGTGCCCTGTTTCTTCTTGGGAAGACTCCGTTCCTTCGCTAGAGGCTTTGCTTTCTTGGGAGAAATCGCTTTCTTCGCTGTTTTCATAATTTCCAGCATCTTGGTAAAGATGGTTGTAATGATGGTTACTGTTCCACATTGTTTGGTTTGAACAAAACGTATCCTGATAGGAAACTAAACTTCAGAAAGTAACGCTCCTCTTTTAAAGAAAATTGGTGAAGGCGGGTTAACTAAGCGTTCTCCTTCGTAAATAATAGTGGACTTACGCCATAGGACGTCGTCACCACCATCAGCTCCTCATTTTTATTGTTTTCCTATCAGAAAAGTTATTTAGAGGGTAAGACGGGCCAAATTGGGGTACAGTTGTCCCAGTTGTATAGGTGTGGCGGGGCCGTCTAGAGAATTTTGCCAAAGAGAGTAGACTCTGAGATTAAGCAAGGAAGAGAAAGTATTACGAAACTTGGCCCTTTAGTGCATTTCGTCACTTTTGGCCTGAGTTTGGCCCGTTTGGCCTTGGTTTGGCCTTTTGGCCTTGGTAGTTATCAAGTCAAGGTCCATTGGTTCTCACGGACTCTTTCAGGGCATTCTATTGTTTCTTGTTGATCACTGATGAAATCCTTCCATCTGAGCCCATTTGGTCCGAAGTATATAGAGCGTATAAAATACGGCTTTGAAGATCGTCACCCTGGACAACATCAAGTTCTACAGAAGCGAGGTAAGTACTGGTCCATGGCATTTTTGGCAGCTCTGAAACGTACGCTTCCCATGATTTACGTAACTTGAAGCCAAGAGCACTGCATATACGTTCGGTAGCTTTCAGGATAAAATTCAGGTTTATTTTTTCCCCCACTTCATCGTGGTAATACATTCATGCATCATTGTTATCCATCATGAAGCAAGAATGTTGGTTTTGACTTGGGTGTTGAATTACACAGCCATGGCAGCGATTCAGCTTTTCTTGTTGAATGAGTTTGTCAACCATAGCCGCATACGAAGGTTGGAATTTGCAGGTTGCAGGTTAGGGTTGCAGGTTGGAATTTGAAAAAGAGTTTAATGTCCAAAATGTTTTACAGATCTTTCCGAGCCCCTAAAGCAGGACATTACGATGATGTTTTGGTGATCTCACATTCTTGACAGAGTCACGCAAAACTGGAAATTTCAAATCTCAGTTCTGTAAATCGATCCTTTAGTTCCAGATCTTTCAAGGTAAGAAGGAAGGTTTTAAAATTGTGATATCAGCTGCTCCTTCATCGCTGCTGTCCTTCTCATCGCTCCTGGCATCGCTAGCACATAGTTCTACAGAAAAGACCGGTTCCTCGTCGCTATCTCTTCTGCCGTACCTACGGTAGAAATGGAACCTGCAACCTGCAAAGTACACCCTGCGAGCCGCATAAGTTAGTTGGAATACATGTCCGATAAAACTGGCTATCCTCTGACGTTGGACTTAATCTCATTCATCAATCGTTAACAGAGGTGTAGCGCTGGATTCTACTAGCATGTTTTGACGAATGTTTTAAAGTAATATTGGTTATAGTAAAACTTTTTCTTAGAAAAAAGATCGATTGCAAGAATAAAATGCTGAAAGGAGAGCTCGCTATTGCTTCGAAAACATAGTAGATTCTTCATGGTGAGCCAGTCAGGTGGGTATAATGCAGGCAATTCTAGGCAAGCCTATTTTTCCTATAAAAATTACTAGTGGAGCTCTCGCGCGCGAAGTACCATGGGTAAGAAAATGTGGCAAACTACCCATCCGGGAAAATTTGGTAATCACTTGACCGTACGCTGGCCCGACCGTCCGTCCGCACCAAAGGCATACCAATGTAAAATAACTCAATAAACAGGCATGATAACTCAAATGTAACTTGAGGTTATTTTGACGGGAAATCACATAGTCACCCTCGCCTTATGAAGCAGAGGCAACTAAAGAGGAAAGCGGAAAGCGGAAATTGTCTCTGTATCCGTACACTAATTGTCATGTCCACCAATTTGGAATATAGAGCAAGAGTAAGACAGAGAAAAAGAGAAAGTAGACGGAAGGTCAGCGAAGTGAGAAAAAGGGCGACAGAGATCTAGAGCGAGAGATGAAAACAAAGGAGATATTTTTTTGTTGGAAGAACGACATGAAAATTTTGTTGCGGCGGTGACAAAATCAGAAATGCTAGCGCCCACCAATGCAATGTGAAAATGGGCGGCAGTGAAAAAAAAAAAAAGTGAACGAGAACACGTACGACATTTCCTCCATAAAACGTGTAACTAAGAAGTTTCTGGAAGTTTCACGTTGTAGTCGTGCAAAAAAAACGACAAAAAAATGTACAAAAAAAGTGGGCTGCATGTGCAAAGTTGCTTTTTTGCTAATTAGACCTATTAGTGTTTTTCACAGTACTCCGGCGTTTCCTTCGCCGCTTAGCATTACAAGATTTTATGTTTTGTTTGAACAAACTATAAATATTATCGAGAGCTTCGCTTTTAGTGGTTTACCTAGGAGTAAGAACCTGTGAACTTTTTATTTGTTTCGCACCTTTTGTTTTTCTTCGTTCTATTGTGCTGACTTCTTTGTTTCCTTTGTTTTACGTCACTTGTGAGTTTAACAGGCTGGCTAAATCTATATATTAAACCTATACCGAATTAGTATGCAGGAAGGTATGTGAATGTTAATGATTTACCTATTCCTATACCGTACTTGACACTAACTTGATAAATTGTTAAGCAGTAACGCAGTTGAATATTAATTTAGCACCGATACCTATACCTATACACCAACAAGGCTTAATTCTGACCCTCGACAACTACTGTTATTTTACTCAGAGAATCAAGCTTTGATTCACTGTTGAAAGGCCTGCCGCTATGGTCGGCCATTTGTTTCAAAATTATGACACGATATACGTGCGGTTTTTTCCCACGTATACTTGCAATCATTCCTGCTACACGATATACGTGCGTTTTTTTTACCACTTATACTTGCGTTCTTTCTTACAAACGCGCATATATATGCGCACAAAAAAGCCCAGATATATGCGTTAGAAACAAGCATGTGGTATATGGGGTCACAAAAAGTCGTCGTATAAGAGGCACCGAAATATACCGTCAGCAAAAAACCCCTTCATGTACGATGGAGCTGAAAAGTAACTTCAGTTTGAATCAAGCATGGCGGCAATGGCCGGGTTAATTTCGAGCAAGATTTGGTTCTTATTTATTGCCCTCACAGTAGTGGTGGTTGTTGGCTCCCCGACAACGGATTTGTTGGAATCCGTTGATTGTCTCTTGAGAGACTGTGTACGCTATTTCACAAATGCTGACCGAAACAACGATCGATTCAGTTAGAAATTAGCCCGGGGGAAGCTCTTGGGTATTTTTTGGGTGGGTATGTGCCGCCCGGGACTACAAATTGATACCCCGTTCTAGAATTCGCCCTAAAACGGATACCCCGTTCTAGAAATGGGCCAATTTTTTATACTCCGTTCTAGGGTGCAACAAGAGTACAACAGTTTGCTTGTTATTAAACGCGTTGAACCGTATTTTTAAAAGCAATCTGTCTTTGAATAATTTCAAATAGCTGCTTACAAAACTGGAGCTTTCGTGCGTTCGAAATATTATACCCCGTTCTAGCAAACGCCTCTGAAATGGATCCGTTCTAAATCAGGAGGTTCAAACTCACCACCCCGTTGGGCGGCATATACCCGTATAGGTAATGTATGGGAGTACCCCCCCCCCCCGGGGAAATTAGCGTCCGACAGGCAAAACACGACTCATAAGCTCGTGATAATGTGAAACATGACTTTGAGAATCTGCTTGAACAGATCGGTTTTTCATCTTTTCTCTCTCGCGCGCTAATTATCACCTTTTTGCCTCTACGAACACGTTCTAAGCCTCCTAGTCTCGAAGCTTTTTATTATATCCATCCATTCACTCTACAAATTCCATGTTTCTTGTTTTGTATTCTCACACGTTAATAGCCTTCCACCTGCCTCTCTTTCCTTAGTGCTCCTCCACTTTAATTGTGATTTCATTGTTATCTAAGTCGTTCTCGTTCAACTTGCATAAAATGTCCCTCAGGTATCAATTTGCTATTAGTTCTCAAGCCGCGATTATTTGGCCAAGGATATCCCACTGATATACCCTTGACTGTCCGTAACAGCCTTACCACCACTGACTTTAAATAGAAACTAAAACTTTACTTTTTAAGCCTGAATTGAATTAGCGCAGGATTATCATAGTTTATTGTTAGTTTATTTGTCACTAGTACTTCTAGTTTTACTTCTGCTATAGGACTGCTTGCATTACTTAATTTAAGTTTTGTATCTTGTTTTAGTTTTGAAATTTAGCCTTTAGTGGCTTCATTTCTACATAAAATAATTTCTGTCATTTTGACCACAGGTCGTATAAGCCCCCGGCTTTGGCTTTACTGAGTTTTGTACTATATATAAACGATGGAATAAAAAAGTTAAAGTTAAAGTTACTAGCACTACAGAGTATTACATGCATAATGAGTAATCATTTCCTGTGGTTTATGGTTCTTTAGGTGTTCCTGATAGGCGTTGAACTCAGATGCAGTTGTAAAGTGTTTTAATTTTTTTTGACCTCTGTTTAAGCCTAAAGCTTTAATTTAGTATTACGGCTAAATAAAGATTTTAGTTTCTATGGTTTTCTCCGTAAATCCTGGATCTGCAGAATAACTACATGCATGCATGTAAGTTTCTTTGTCCGGGAATGTGATTATATCCTGCTATGCCAGGGGAGAGGGTACTCCCTATGATGGCCTATACGGAGAGGCTCCGCCCGAAATCCCGGAGAGGTACTCAACAAATATTTGTACGGGGAGGCTCCGCCCCGAGGTCCAACTCCTTACCCGTCGAGAAAGCGTTCTACATTAGTGACTGATTCCTATTTTATGACAGTTCGGGTTTCCAGCAGTTAAAAGGGATACAACGTTCTAAGCAAGGTATGTGAAAGGAGTACCATTTGTCAATAGAATGTATACGAAATCATGAAAAATGGTATATAAAAGGTTAAGGGTGGGCCTCCGCCGTATAAGAATTTGTTGAGTATCCACCGCCCCTCCCGGGCTGCTATGTGAGTATGACGCTGAGCCCAGCTCATAAGTGTTGTTTCAAGGATTTTGAGTTTTCACGGATAGTGACTGAGATCTTCAGATTTGAGTTGTACACGGTAGCATAAACTAAAGCTACCAGCCAAGTATGGAGAATTATGCTCTGCGTGAGTCAAGATCATTCTCTAACCGCTGATAGCCTGATGTAGTCCATTTAATTTTTTTTTGAGATCAGAAGTGAGTCTTTAAACAAAAGCGCGATGTCTTGTTGTTCCTTCGTAGGAATTTACTGTTGTGTCTATGCGAATGTTATGAATTCTGCAAGAATGCAGTTCCTCGTCGGTTGCTACTATGGTAATCACTATAATCAAAAGTACTGATTTGCCATTGGCTGCAAAAAACGTCAAACTGAGTTATAAATAAAATATCTTTCCAAATAATCCTAAATCGGGGCTTGAGAACTAAGAGGAAGTTGATACCTGAGAGACATTTTATGCAAGTTGAACGAGAACGACTTAGATAACAATGAAAATCACAATTAAAGTGGAGGAGCACTAAAGAAAGAGAGGCAGGTGGAAGGCTATTAAAGTGTGAGAATACAAAACAAGAAACATGGAATTTATAGAGTGAATGGACGGATATAATAAAAAGCTTCTAGACTAGGAGACTTAGACCGTGTTCGTAGAGGCAAAAAGATGATAATTCGCGCGAGAGAGAGAAGAGAAGAAAAACCGATCTGTTCAAGCAGACTCTCAAAGTCATGTTTCACATTATCACGAGCTTATGAGTCGTGTTTTGCCTGTCGGACGCTAGTTTCTAACTGAATCGATCGTTGTTTCGGTCAGCATTTGTGAAATAGCGTACACAGTCTCTGTGTCTCTCAAAAGACAACCCATGGATTCCAACAAATCCGTTGTCGGGGAGCCAACAACCACCACTACTGTGAGGAGGAACGTCTGCGACTCAGCGGCAGAAATTCCATACTGATGACGCAAATCAATGTTTACATAATAAATCCGGTAATCATGGGGTTCCAAATACAAATCTGTCCAATTTTACGTGTCTTCTGGTCGATTTTGGTAAAGTGTTGTGTTCATCTGCCAACGAGCTCCAGCAAAACTCAAACGCTTCTTCTAGAGAAGAGTTTATTCCACAAATATTGACTGTTTTGCTCGAGATTCTTCGCATTTACATTTGACCTTTGTGGCCTTTTGTCTTTTGTCTGTCATTCGTAAACAATAGCTAAAACAATGTAACTACTTCGTCGACCAATCGGCGCTACTGACCGGATTCCGGACGGATTTTACGTCATCAGTATAGAATTTCTGTCGCTGAGTCGCAGACGTTCCCCCGCGCGAAACGTCCCCAGAGGCGAAGAGCGAGGAGAAACGGATGTTTTCGTAGGCTACCCTTTAAGATATATCGACAGCACGAGAAATTCTCCCAATGCTTAAGTGCTTCCATTTTCTCTTAAACTACTAGTTTATAGGGTTAACGCAAGTGCTGTACTTTGCGGCTCGGACACCGGAAAAATTTTTGCAGAGGGAATTTGCATTATAGGAATGTTACAGCTGCACAGCTGGCTGCCGGTTTAGAGTTTCTGCATGGTTACCTGAATCAATTCTCTATTTTCCAATTGCCCATAATACACTCTGTTTGCCCCCCAAATTCTGCATAAACCATTGTTTTTAAATGCTCCTGGGAGTATTGTATTTTCCCAAGAGCATTTTAAGACATAAGTTATGCAAAATTTGGGGGGCAAACAGAGTGTATTATGGGCAATTGGAAAATAGTCAATTACTACTCTCAAAGCATTATGAAGCTAGCCGTTGCATACGGTGGCCCACAACGGCAATACACAAATATATATTATATTACTTCATTTTATATCTTAGTACGCAAACATATTCATTGACGAGTATATTTACCAGTACAATAAAATATACACCAGTACAACAATATGTATCCCAGTACAGAAATGTTAATTTCAGTACAAAAGTATAAACTCCAGTACGGAAAGATATCTCCAATTCTTAGTACACAAATAACAGTTCCAGTAAAAAAATTATCAATCTCTGGGTGCAAAAATATAAGTTTCAGAACAAACATATTCATCGGTTGTGCGACTAAATTCTTCGGTACAGTAAAATTCATGTATACAACAGTACAATAATATTTATCCCAGTACAAAAATAAAAATCCCACTTCAAAAATAAAAGTTGCGGTACAAAAAATTTAAAAAAAAAACTGGAAAGAAAAATATGACAACAGTACAACAATGTGTATCCCAGAACAGAAATATAAATTTCAGTACAAAAATAAAAGTTTCGGTACAGAAAAATTAAAAAAAAGAAAAATTGGAGAAATCGTTAGGTACTTCATATATGATTATTACCATGTACCTAAATATATGCTTATTATAGTGTACCTCAACAAACGTTATATATTTCATTATTATAAATTATCTCGACTATACAGCACTAAACACAACCATACACCTCTATACAACCCCATGCATCACCATCCAACACCATGCACCCCTACAACTCACGAAATACCTCTAAACATACACCCATTTATAACAACATGCACCTCTATACTTCACCATATACCTCTATGCATCACCATACACCCCTATACATCACCACACATCCATGTATAACGCTATGCACTTCTAAACCTCACCATACACCCATGTATAATACCATGCACCTCTATACATCACCATACACCTGTATAAATCACCAGACACCCATGTATAAAACCGTGAACCCCTTACATTACCATACACCTCTATACATTACCATATACCTCTATACATCACCATATACCTCTATACATCACCTTACACCCCTATACATAACCATAGACCTCTACACATGACCACTGTATACAAGAGTATGGTTATGAATAGGGGTGTAAGATATTGTATAGAGATATACGGTGATGTATAGGGGTTCATGGTTTTATACATGGGTTTATGGTGCTGTATAGAGGTATATGGTGATGTACAGAGGCTCATGGTTTTATAGATGGGTGTATGGTGATGTATAGAGGTGTAAGGTGATAAAAAGAGGTATATGGTGATGTATAGAGGTGCATGGTATTATACATGGATGCTGAAATGGGTGTATGGTGATGTATGGGGGTGTACGGTGTTATACATGGATGTGTGGTGATGTATGGTGTGGTATAGAGGTGTAAGGTGGTGTTTAGAGCTGTATAGTTGAGATACTTTATAATAATGAAATATATAAGGTTTGTTTAGGTACACTATAATAAGCATATATTTAGGTACACAGTAATAATCATATATAAAGTACCTACCGATTTTTTCCAAATTTCTTTAAAAAATATTTTTCTGTACCGAAACTTTTATTTTTGTACTGAAATTTATATTTCTGTACTAGGATACACATTGTTGTACTGTTATTGTATTTTTGTTTCCATTTTGTTTCCATTTTTTGTACCGCAACTTTTATTTTAGTACTGAGATTTATATTTTTGTACTGGGATAAATATTGTTGTACTGTTGTATACATGAATGAAAAATATAGTCGCACAACCGATGAATATGTTTGTTCTGAAACTTATGTTTCTGTACTCAGAGATTGATATTTATTTTTACTGGAGCTGTTATTTGTGTACTAAGAATTGGAGATATCTTTCCGTACTGGAGTTTATATTTTTGTACTGAAATTAACATTTCTGTACTGGGATACATATTGTTGTACTGGTGTATATTTTATTGTACTGGTAAATATACTCGCACAGCCAATGAATATGTTTGTGTACTAAGACATAGAATGCAGTAATATAATATATATTTGTGTATTGCCGTTGTGGGCCACCGTAGTTGCAGCTTGGTCTTGTAACTAACTAAATTTTTCGACTTGCAACAACGAGCTTTATTTGCATGACCGTACAAACACATACAGTATTGCAAAAGCTATTTAAATTTTAAGAATCAAAATTACATCATAGGGTAATTACGTTACTTTGACAATAATTTGTCACAAACATCAAAGCAAGCTGAACTATATGAATTGTACATTGCTAAACTAATTAGAGGAGTTCATCAGTTCATTGATCAAAGCGTTTATGGGTAGCTGGGTAATATTTCGAATCAGAGTCTTGACTTTATTGTAAAAATTATTCCTAATCATAGGGTGTGTAGGACAGTGAAAAAGAAAGTGAATTTCGTCGTCTGTTAGGTTGGATCCACAAAAAGGGCAATGCCTTTTATCCTTCGTAGTTTGGTCAGTCGTATCTGACCAATTCTATCATTTAGTTTGTGATTGCTTATTTGTAGTTTTACTAAAGCCCTTCTCCCAGCTGTTCTTGTTGTTAAGTCTACGAAACTAGAGGTGGTATGATCGGTTTTAAAAGATCTACAAAATTCAAGTTTTTGAGAATGTTGAAGGGTATTTTGCCAATATGAGATATATTCCTGTTTCATTGAACTTACATAGCTTTTTACCATAGCTATGTCTAGTAAATCAGGGTTAAAGTCAGGAAGCTTAAAATATTGACATATTCAGCAAATGAAAGTGGAAGCTATTTTAGCCATTACAGTGTAAGTCAAATGACATTAAAAAGATTGTTTGAAGATAGATTCCTCATCTTTAGACTGAAATGATACAAAATGTATTTGAGAATTTTTGATTGATAGTGATATTTAAAGGAAAACGACCAAGCTATGGGCCCGGTTCCTCGAAAGATGGTTAATTAACCCCAGATTAAGCCTAGTTATTAAGCACGCTTTTCTTCTCTAAGAACATGTAACTCAAGTTTACAAAATACTGTTGAGCCTAACTCTAAAACAATGTATAGGAAAGTTAATGCGAAAAAGTGGAGCAAAATTTTAATCCTGGATTAGGGCTAATCGGTCTTTCAGGAACCGGGCCCTGCTCTGCAAGCTATATTAGAAGCTTTGTTCTTTACCTCCAAGTATCGTTTACAAAATTGAAGGTGTGCTTTGTCGATTTGTGAGCCGTCCTAGGTCTTAAAATCTGGTTTGGCATGCACACCCCAAATTTCACTGTTATATGTTAGAACTAGGAGAGATCATAGTTAAGCAATAGAAAACGTTTTCCGTGTTTGCATAGCCTGATATAAACACGAGAGGGGTTGCGAGAATTCTCGACAGTTATGTAAACCCGGGAGGAAGTCGTGGGTTTGCAAAACTGTCCAGATCTTGTCCCAACCCCTCGAGTGTTTGAATCAGGCTATGCAAAGAAACGAAAAAAAGTTTTCTATTGCTTTTATAAAATAACTTTCCCGAGAAAAACGCAAAACTCTTTGTTATGGTACTGATTAAAAGAGAAATTCTTACCAGTCACAAAGTCGTGTACACGAAGGCTTGCACGCGTAATCAGTTCTTGTTTTGCAAAACGATGCTTTCCAAAATACGGATTTTTCTCGCTTAAAACGTCACCTTAAGCGACAACAAAATTGGCACAGCTTGTTTGTAAAGATGTTCCAAGTTTCAGCCGACGAAGGAGTGGATAAATAAAGTAAACTTGTCGAGTTTTGAACTCAAAAACTTTTTCAAATTTGTGCTTCCGTGATTAGCGCGCGAAAAGGAAAACATCTTGACGTCACAAACATGTTTACATACTCTCATGCAAACACTCCTCTCGGCCAATCAGAGCTATCTTAGTTATTTTATAATATCAAATATTTTACAGGCGAGAGCTGCTTTTAGTTTAACCTTGCTTTAATCGGAAATTATGGTCACGTTCATTTCAGTTTAAGTAGCATGAATTACTCTTTCGTTGCCGATTTACTGAAGTCGTATATAGGGTGTGCGGCTAACACCTCAAGAGCCAAGAGTTCTCAAACCATGGCATTAAAACTTATAAGCAAATTAGCAGAGGGTACATTGAATATACTAATTTGCATTACAGATTTTGAGCGGCTCAAGATGAGTAGCATTCCACTGCTGCAACACAACAAACGCCTTTAGATTCTTTAGTTTTGTAGTTTGATATTCTTGAAGTTCGGCTCATTATTGTATAGTGAGACATACGACAAAATGTAAAAATTGTCTGGTTATTTGTCCCTATACATTTAAATTTTTCAAAATTTCTTTCCACCTGGCTGGAATCTGTTGCTGATTGCTCTATTTGTATCCTTTAGGGTGATATTGAAGCCGTTCTGGTGTTGCCAACTGGCAATAATCTTTTTGTCGTTATAAATTGATTACTTTTATCTCTTTTTCAATACCAGTTAGGAAAGTTTTTTTCGAACGCTATATTGAGAACAACAGCTCTGTTATTAGATTGAAATTCATAGTACTTGTACATTACCTTGATTTTCTGTGTTGTCTTTCGCTGTCTCACCTTTGGTTTCAGTCGGATCCACTGCCACTGGACTGGTTGCCATACATTCCTGGATACAAACTGCAATTATTGTAAAGCACAGCACGATGTAAGAATGTGCCGTCATCATGAGGTACAAAAATGTTTAAGGCTTTGTCTGAACGGTATAACTGATCAAGTAGGCTGATTGTTCGATGTTCAAGGCCCGTAACTAAAATGACCGAGCCACGTCAATCAGGGAAGTGAGTACATTGAACCCTGTCAACGAACTTTTTTCTTGGGCATATTGACTTATTGTTTTTAGGTATCACCGCTTGCAGGATTTTTTTTGTAGGCCAGTTTCATTTGCAGGAAATTTTGGGGGGGAATTGTCACGCCACCTTCGGTTATTTCCACTGGTGCGTCCCTTAGTTGTTCCCGTAAATTGGCATTCCTGCATGCGTAATGAGCAGTGAATATTTTACGAGAACAGGAGAACTTCTCTGTATTTGGTCAGATTGAAAATCTTTGAATGGATAAAATTGCTTCGAAGACATTTACGTCAAATTCAGGGAAACTGAGGTGGTAAAAATTTTGTAACTGCCTAGCTTGTGAATTCACGGCTCATTACACATGCAAGAACATTGCTGAAATGAATATGAAATTTAGCTTTACATCTACCAACGGATTAAACTTTAATTTGAATAATCATTGATGAAATCTTGGAGGGTACGCTTGACCTGGCCTGGCTTGACTGTAAAAATATTTGAATTCCTAATGAATTACCGTGTCTTCCGAGAGAACCATTACACATGATAAATGAACTTTTACTAAAGATACGTACACCACCAGATCGTACCAACATTTTTTTGCCTACTAAACGTGGTTTCAAAATGGCTTCTCTTAACGTTACATAACTAGCTTGACTAAGCATATCGATGAACTTTAGAATTTCTGCTTGCCAATTATCCTTTACTGATGTTATCTCAATCAACGAAACGATGAAGGTTACCAAGATACAAGATAGTACGACGTGACAGAAATAGAAATGGCGGGGGTGTTTGCTTCTATATCAAAACCACCATTACCTATTCTGTACGCACAGAGTTTAACTAAAAACAATCTGGAAAATTGTCTTGAAATCAGAAAACCGAATTCAAAACCGTCTGTTATTGTCACGTGGTACAGGCCACCTAATTCTCCCAATGAAGTATTCTCATCTCTGGAAAATCTTATTGGACGTCCGCGCGTCTTGATTCCGAAAATGTCGAATTCTATTTAATGGGGGATATGAATTGCAACATGGCTTCAAAGTCTGACACTAATTCTCGCTTGTTGTCGGACATAACTGACCTTTATGGCCTTCACCAGCTGATGAACGAGCCTACGCTTCGTTCACTGACACAACATCTACTCTAATAGATCTGATATATACTATTAACTATCCCGATAAAGTAGTCTGCTCTGGAGTTTGTCATGTCAGCATCAGCGACCTGCATAGTCTCATTTTTGCTTATTGACAGCTGTCGATTGGAGCCGTTTCCAAAAGACACAACGTTACCATTTTCGCAGCGACATTGCTTCTCAAAACTGGGATGTCTTGAACAATTTTCAAGACCCAAATGACACTCAAGCTCCTTTACGAACAAAGTTCGGAGAGATCCCCATGGATCAACTTCAGAGTTGAAAAAACTTATGCATGAACGAGAGCATCATGAAGCCGTTGCAGCTTGGACATGTAACTAACTAAATTTTTCGACTTGAAAAACGCTCTTTTTCACTCACTTGTAGCCTGGGACCAGGCTACGCATTGAGGAAAAAGGGAGAAAAAAATCGGTTTGCGAGAAAAAAAATCGGCTAGCGAAGAGAGCAGAGCAGTACTGGGTGGCCGCCCGTTCCAATATATATTTTTCCTGTTTCATCCCGTTTTTAGCCTTTCCTCCACTGTGGAGCCTGGTCCCAGGCTAACTCACTTGCTAACAAAGTTTCTTCCCTTTTTTAGTAGCTTCTCGTTGAAATAGTCACGCGTAATGTATTCAAATTAACAGAATTTATGAATTAAAACTTAGTCAGACGATAAGTCCCTCAACCGTGATTTAATTTGTACCTTTCATTTTTGCGCAAAACATGCCAGAACCGATAAATTTGAAAAAAGAGTATAGATAAATATTTTCTCTGAAAAGAAGACTCTGGATTACTCTGGACCCTGAGGGGGTTCACATGACCTATCAATTGTAATCGTGACCGGTTCAAATGCACCATCGCTGTCAGTATCATCACACGGAGGTGATTCCCTGAACCCTTTTTAAGCAGCTTCCAGACAGCGTAATTTCTGGTGCGAATCCTCACGCTGTTCTTGGCAGTAATTATGCTTCCCTTTACGCCAATGACTAACAGAGGATCCGGGTCATACAGAGATGTCAGGTTGTTTATTCGTTCCTGCTTGCACAACACAGTGTCCCCGACTTAAATTTTCATCACGACTGTCTGTCTTCTTTTATCAGCTTATTGCTTCATCATCTTCTGTTTTTGTTCTCGGTCACGACAGCGAATAATCGTGTCGTCCCTATGTTTAGGTTGTCCCTTGACCCCAGGGAACTTTCCACGTAATTCCCTTCCGAGCATGAGCCTTTTCAGGATGACTCCAGTGGTTGCATGCTCAGTTGCTCTGTATGCCCTGATTCCCCTGTGCACTTCATTCCTCACAGGTTTGACTTCCAAAGAAGCGATCCGAGCGGTCTTCTTTATTCGCTGCATAAACCTTTTCTATATCGCAGTTGGCCGGTTCTGCCAGTATCCGGGTGTCACTTATCGGTGCTTAAACCCCTCCTCTTGCGCATATTCTTCAAATTTATGGCTGTTGAAGGGTGGTCCGTTATCTGATTTGATCTCTTTTGGCACCCCAGTCGTTCTCAATTCGAACTAGGATCACTCGCAGATTGGCATAGGGTGCCGTGAGGTGAGGTGTAATCTGATATGCGGGTTCTCTTTCCCTTTTCTCGACTATGAAATCGTAGTCCATCCTACGGTTGGCGATCCTTTGGATCCGGATCGAGGACTGTAGGGGTGGGTTTGTTGAACACACTTTCGAGAGGCTTGTGGTCTGTCACGATCTTAAAGGGTGTTCTATACAGGAACAGCTAAAATTTCTTGCACCCAAAATCACCTGCTAAATCTTCTAATTCAATATGGCTGTACCATTTCTCCAGGTCGGTGGGGCTCCGACTGGCATACTGCACCACCTTCCAACATTGTTCTCCAGGTAAATGAGAAAAGTGGTCTCTTACGTCAGATATCAAGTTTCCACTGATGTTGACTTGTTCAGGGTTCTTTACAAAAATATTATCGATAAGAGTGGCTGAGTTATTGCGAACTCGTGTTGGTTAATTTCGTGATGGAAACGAAGGCAAAAAAATTAAACTGTCTTTCGTCATATTAAGGACTTGAGATTGCCTCTAGGCCAAATTTCAGATCTCTTGCGACTAAGAAAGGAAAGTTATTGCAATGTTAAACACAAGTGGCCGGATACTGGGCAAGATACTGTATGTGTCGGGGAATCCTGCGCTTTGCAAACCAATTGGTCTGGCTCTCTCTGTATTGACGTGGCAGGTTCACGTGACCTGTTTTCAAGATACCAATGCGGATTCCGTCGTCAGAGTCGTAAGTACTCTACACAGTCAGCAATTACTTTTCATTACTGACTCCATTAGAGGAGACATGGATGCTAGTTTGCGTTTTTTCGGGAAAATCCAAATCCGGGTTTCCGAATCCAAAAACGGATTTCCGATTCCAAATCCGGATTTCCGATTCCAAAAACGGATTTTGAGTTTTTTTGGGCAAATCCAAAAACGGATTATGAATCCATAAAATCCACACTCAGGGTAGATTCTTCGGATCAAATTCCAAACCCGGATTTTTGAGATTCACTGGGAATCTGAACTTTTTTTGGGAAAGGATTTGCAAAAAGTTTTTTTGACAAGCAGTTTTTCGAAAAACAAAAATGGTCTGAGCCTATGTTGGTGGCGCCTTATTAAGTTTCAGCCACATCATTCCATGTTTGTCATCTATTCAAATTATGGATAGACTGTTTTTAAACTCTTACTTCTCATGTTTTTTGTACGTATGTAGTGTCTGCTGCTTACGCCGGTTTATTTTCCAAGTTAAAAAAAAAACAATTCATCGGTTTCAATTTTAAATTCTTATAATTTTACTATCCTAAGGGGTGTATTCTATTCGAGAAACATTTGTGTTTCAAACCGAAATATATACATTTCGTATATTCATTCCTAGCTTTATATGTTGCTTTTTCTTCTTGTCTTCGCCGTGAGGATCAGTTTGTTGTTGCTGTTTTTTTTTTCTCACGAGGAGCACGAGGACATGCCGTTGTCATAGTAAATGATCCTTTTTCGGATCTTCCGTTTTTTTTGGTAGTGAAGAATCCGTATGATCTGAGATCACAAATCCGTTTTTGGATTCTCCCAAAAAAACGCACCTTTAGACTCCTAACAGGTGGACTTTCTAGAGGCACCCAATCTGTTTTCGCGAAAGGTGTTCTGTCCAGTCCTCTGTCCAGCTGCCGCCATTTTGGAAAACTAGAATACCCGGCGGACAAGGTTGGACATTTTATGTGGACATACATAGAAACATTGCTAAGGGGAAGATGGCGGTGTCGGTCACAGCGTTGGCGAACAGCATTCAATTCGGACTCAAACACTCGGAGCTATTCCTGTATTTAAACCACTGACGGGTCAATGTACAGGAATGGCTCCGATCTGCATAAAGAGAGACTTGTCACATGATGGTGTGTGATGTGGGAGGGGGGGGTGGGGGTGGGGTTTGGGCGATCATGACCAAATGATATAAACAAAAAACCAAATAGCTTCATCAAAAAAAAATTCAAAATCAACTCAAATAAAAAAGTCGATAAAGGAACTACACTTGCTTGATCATTACTGATTACTTATCTGACTGCCGCTGGTGATTAGCAATGCAATACGGGGTTGTTTTTAAATGATCTGTTTTAAAGTTTTTGTACCACGTTGTTTTTCATCCCACAAAACTTGAACGAATCAGTTTATCGAAACTACAAATAAAGTAGTTGAGGGGGGGGGGGGTTGTTCTGACGCGATTATAACCAGAGGGTACAATACAAATAAGCTAAATAGGTTGGTCACGCAAGGTCAGAACCGTGTGGTCAAGCCGGGTTGCTAAGCAGCGCGCGAAAATTTGTTTGTTGATCATATTCAGCTCTGCAACAGCTTGCCGTGCTTCGGAATGCATATATACTCACTCAGGATATTCAGAATTGTTCTAGTCTAGTGAAAGATCGTCCACCGGCGATAAAGAAATTCAGGACATGAGACTAAAAAGATCTAAACAGTAAGATGATATTAACTTAGTCAGACATCCTTGCTTATATTTCCAGCTAGTGAGATGAAACAAACCAAGTGCCGCGTGTCTTCACGTCCAATTCACGTGTGTGCGTCCGAAGTAATACATTTCGTGTAATGAGTTTCTGTTTTCCTTGTAGAAAAAAGACATCTCTTGCTACATCGAGAACTCTCCTGAAAGAATTAGATCCAGTACTTCAGGTAAAGCTATATCAAAGAAAGCATCTTAGTCATTTAATTCCTGGGGGTACCCTAAAAAAATTCTTACGGGAGGCTCTGCGCGAAGGTCCATCCCTTCCTTTTATATGCCATTATCGACTGCAAGGGTACCCCTTTTGTATACCAGAATCCTGTTTTTAATGATGCCTATTTTTGTCATATATTAGGACATAATCATCAAGAACAAATTTTACTCGACCAGCCGTGGTGATTTAGCAGATTTATCCTTCCCGAAAATTTTGCCTACCGAGGTCCAAACACTTCACTACAAACTTCCACAAGATGTTACTGACGTCAGCGCCGTGTCAAGCATTCCTTCTAGATCCGTTTGTGTGGTTATGCTGGATACCCTGATAGATGGAAAGTACCAAGCAGTCTCCTGTTCTCTGGGTACTTATACCAATTCCTCGTTGGATACTCTGCTGAACGTCCATTCGCTGAGGGACATTTCCCAACAAGTGAATCAGGGGAAACCTGGCTAACTAAAACACCACCATTGCCAAACCATCAATGCGCACTACCAGGATTTCTGGACGTTTATCAGAAACTGTCTTTGGTAATGCTGATGACAAAGTTGTCATCAATAAAGGTATATTAACGTCCGACTTGGCCACCCTTACGTCAAACAGGTGGTTGAATATTGCGATGATAAACGGGTTTATAGATCTTCTGAATGCTCACCACCATAACACTATGACGGCGGCATTCATGCTCAATGATTTACCAATACTAAACGATGTCGACCTACAAAGACATGCAAGGTCCGTTATCCGAGGTAAACAAATCAAGGCAATCGTTTTCATCATTAATGTGGCTGGTGGCATTAAAGAAACGGATGTGGCCACACCTAAATATAACAAGCCTGGACGCCACTGGTCTCTGCTTTACATAGATGCAGTCGAGAACAAGTGGTTTTACTGCGACACCCTCGCGTGGTCCCCTCCATCTAACATAAATATCACTGTAAACGCTATACTGAATGTTTTGGCGATGGAGTTTCCTGTCTTCCTAAAACCAGCTCAAGGGCGATTTATTGCCCACAAACCAGAAGGTAACCAACGTGGCTTTCACCAATGTACGAATGGATGCTTCAAGAATGTACCTTTGCAGAGCTGCGGAAGCGTTTGTGGGGTGATTGTTGCTGTAATGGGGGCCATTAGTTCTCTTTATCCGACCCTCTGGAGAGCAGGTTTTTTTGACACCAGAGCACCTATTTCCAACAATCCCACACTCCATTCATGCTTCCTCAGAAGAAGGGTGCTCATTCACTGGATACCTTCCAAAGATATCGACCTGCAACTGCTTGGAATCCAGGGCACAAACCAGGTATCACAACACGCAACTGTTCCGAGATCTAATGGGACAGCCCAGAAACCATTACCAGTGACCGGCCAGAAACCAAGACAAGTGACAGACCAGAAATCACCTCCAATGACGGGTCCGAAATCACTGCCAGTGACGGACCAGAAACCACCACCTGTGACGGAACAGAAACCACTAACAGGGACAAAGCAGAAACCACCACTAGTGACGGACCATGCAGAAACCACCACCTGTGACGGAACAGAAACCACCAACAGGGACAAAGCAGAAATCACCACCAGTGATGGACAAGAAACCACCAACAGATACCAACCAGAAACCAAAACAAGTGACAGACCAGAAACCACCTCCAATGACGGGTCAGAAATCACTACCACTGACGGACCAGAAACCACCAATAAGGACGGACCTGACACTACCTCAGAAAGACACGAAATCATCACGGGAAAAAAAACGAAAACAAGCACTTGAGACAGACCTGAAAAGAGAGACAGCAAAAAGATCAAGGCAGGCAATATAGGCCTTAGTGTAGCCAAGTCACCAGGAAAAAAACCCACACAAAAGAAAATTCCACATAGACGAGATTAAGACTCAAGTGTACAAAGGCTTTTTTATGTACAGGACCCCAGCATAGATTAAAGGCAGTCATGCATGCTTGCAGTTTGTAAAACAAAATTGCTTCAGTCGTATGAGTGAAAAGAATCAACAACTGAGATGTTTGATCGAACAATGCAGAAAACCTTTTAAATCTAATAGTCTGTTTTATACATTAAAATTAGCCTCACTAGCCTCGCATGAGACAGTTCGAGTGTGGCGGTGTATTTTGTGTTTTGACCTAGTTTTTGCCGGGTGATGCAAATCATGGCAAAACAGCGGCTTTTCTTGACTGAGTTAGGGTTGTTTTGAGGAGGGACCATCAGAAAAGTGCCCTGGGAGGTACTTCCTTATATAACCATATAGATATGTGCCACCCTAAAGAGAAGGGTTATTGAGCCGGCGTTTTGGTCTGAAAACGGGTATAGACTTTGCCCACCGGTAAAGGCAGAAGAAATGCATACAAGCCTAAAAAAAGCATGTTCAAGTGCCGAACCCCCTAGAAAATGCTTTCATTTTTCTCACCCCCCATCCCTATCCTATGCACTGAGGCGGGCACCTCATTACTTAGGTTGACTTTATCAATCAATCGATAATGTCCACTAAGCTACGTGTGAGAATTTTTAACTTTAGGCCATATATATCATGGACGCAAGCACGTTATTTTTAGTTTCGATAAATTGATTCGTTCAAGTTTTGTCGGATGAAAAACAACCCGGTACAAAAACTTTAAAACAGATCATTTAAAAACAACCCCGTATTGCTAATCACAAGTAGCCTGAAATTCATCCCATTGCTTCGAGTCGTTTTCTCCTCTCAACAACGTCTGAATCGACCGGCCGTTAATGCCGTCTAGTGACGTCCCTCACTACCCGAAAACCGGGTAGTAATTTTCATTGGTTGATTGTCTAAAAACATTCGCATAATTATGTATAATTATGAAAAATTTTCGCGGGATTGTCGCTTGATATTCAGCGGATCGCATCCCTGGCGTTCTTTCTTTTAGTTCAAACATTTCGATAAGCTTAATCTTAATCTTAAACAGCAAAATTGCCCTTGTCTTCGAAACTGGCATGCTAAATTGAACTGCGAACTGAAGAATCATTGCGGAGAGTCGGTAGGTTTTTCATTTAGAGCCGCTTTGGGGCGTCGATAAAACCAGGAACACGGAACATTCCGGAACATGCCGGAACATGAAAAAACAAAAACAATTTTCATGAAAAAAAAATTAATTAAATAAAATAATAATAATAAAATATTTTTTGTAAAAATTAATAATAACAAAATAACATAAACTAGCATAAAATAAAAAGAAAAAAAAAGAAAAATACAGAAATAATTAAGAAAAAGAAACTGGTAACATCTCCGAGTATGAGAAAACAATATTTTGTCGCAGATAATTTGTTGGGCGAGTGAGGGTCCATGCAAATGATAGTAATGAGTAAAGGCTTGCTTCTAAATTCAAAACATATATATTAAAATGGGTCTTGTTTGCCATGCGGTTAATCATTTGGCGGTTATCCATTTACGGATTTGCGATCGTCTGAAACGTCGGTGCAGTATCTCATGTCAAGCCAACATATAGTCTCCTTATATACAACCGACGGTGCTTTGCTTTCTTGAGGTTGAAATGAATTACTTATAGACTAGGCTCTGTGAACTTAAGAGGAGCTTAGGGGCTCCTGTCTTTGGATTTTAGTGGACAACACTCCCATTCGTAGTAGTTTCTACACTGTTTACAGTCAGCCTGATATTTCAGACGTCTCCTCGAGTCGCAAGAGAAGTTTGCGTCTCGTGGAGACGGCTGAAATTCAAGCTATTTTCACTGAATATTGCAGTATCCGTTTGGTCAAAGCCTGTATAAAAAGGAAAGGAGCCGTCCTTGTTTGTTTGTTTGTTTTTGTGTTCCACCTTGCTAAATATATCAATCTCGGAGCATTTGGCTTCGTCGTGTCATTGTCATGTCTGGGGTCTGAAACGGGCCAAGGAAGTCTGTGTGGATCTCCGTGATCACGGAAATCGGTACAGCCCCTCCCATAAAAGTTAATTGGGTCATAATTTTATTCTGCGCAACTCAACATTGTTTTTTTTCATAATTATGTGGGATGAATAGTCAACTTTGTTATCTGACGCAAATCAACATAAGGATTTAATTCAAGAGAGTCTAGTCGCCGAGACTAGCCACCCATTACTGTTTCCAAAATGAAAACTTCACTTGCGACTAGGGAGACAGCTAAAATTCAGGCTAACTGATAACAGTTAGAAACTACCGCTGCGCTACCACTGCCACTGAAACTATTGACGGCGAATGTGAATCCTTATCCTCTAAAGTACAAAGCTTGACCCCGTTTTTTTTCCTTTTTCCCCCACTTCGGAACCTGGTCCCAAGCTAGATAACCGTTAAACCGCATGGCAAACAATTACAAGACGTAGCTGTGCGAGGAAAGCTTGAAAACCCCCCTCCTCGCGACCCATTATAACATATTTTGAATTTAGAAGCAAGCCTTCACTCTTTACTGTTATTTGCATGGACCCTCACTCGCCCAACAAATTATTTGCGACAAAATATTGTTTTCTCATGCTCGGAGATGATAGCAGTTTCTTTTTCTTTAATTTCCTTTTTTTTTTGTTATTTTAAGTTATTATTTTTGTTATTTTAAGTTATTATTAATTTGTGGAAAATTATTTTATTATTATTATTTTATTCAATTAATTTTATTTTCATGAAAATTATTTTTATTTTGTCATGTTCCGGGATGTTCCAGAATGTTCCGTGTTCCGTGTTCCGTGTTCCGTGTTCCGTGTTCCGTGTTCCTGGTTTTATCGACGCCCGCCGCTTTGTGGTAACGGCGGCCGCCGGGCCGGTGAATTTGTTTACGCGAAGTTTTCTGAGATCAATGTTATAATTCGACCGTCTTGCTATTTTTACCGTCAAGTATAATAATTCTGTTAGCTTTTCTTTCTTGTCTCCTCGTTTTTTTATTCGTTAAGGACCAAATAGCTTCTTTTCAATTAAAGCAAATCATTGTGTTTTTGAACTAAGTGTTCCGTGTGTTTATTTCATTTCGTGATCAGCGACCGAGTTTGATTATAGAATTTACAACCGGTTCAGACTTTTACTGCATGCAGTTGATAGTTTGAACGTTAAACATGAATTACAATCGAAAAAAATAAAGCTGTTCTGTATCATGCAGACATTTCCAAACGATATTTCTCGGTTTGCCCCGGGGGGTTTGCCACTTGAAAATCGTGTTTTACTTTTTGCGTGATTTAAAGCAAAGGTCAAGGAGTAGTGACGTCACTGGACGGCATTAAGGGCCGGTCGATTCAGACGTCGGCTGAGGGAGTAATAACGACTCGAAGTAATCGGATGAAATTCAGGCTAAATCACCAGCGACAGACAGATAAGTAATCAGTAATGATCAAGCAAGTCTAGTTCCTTTATCGACTTTTTTATTTGAGTTGATTTTGGATTTTTTTTTTTCTGTGAAGCTCTTTGGTTTTTTTGTTTATATCATCTGGTCATAATCGCCCAAACCCCACCCCCACCCCACCTCCCACATCACACACCAACATGTTACAGTCTCTTTATGCAGATCGGAGCCATTCCTGTACATTGACCCGTCAGCGGTTTAAATACAGGAATAGCTCCGAGTGTTGAACTTTGTTTGAGTCCGAACTGAACGCTGTTCGCCAACGCTGTGACAATTCCCCCTCTCTCTTGGTACTGTTTAACACTAGAAAAAGGTTCTGCCGATGTAAGTGAAATTTTAAGGTTCATACATCGACTTCTTTCTGGCGTAAGACGAAACAGAAGTCACACATCACAACGACGTTAGTGATATTGTTGTCCAGGAGTGTGACGCGTGGTTGAAAGTTAAATAATAACTATTTTTATCCTCCAATTACAGGCCATTCCTGTATTTAGTCGCTCGTGTCTGATTTCGATTTTAAGTTAGTATCTATACCAAATCTCCTTTCTCTTAGCCCGTTAGGAAGGCCTGATACTCAGGCGACAGTCTGATTTGAGCGGCGTTGATTTTAGGAGTCCGATTAGAGGAGATATTACTGGAAGAACATCAAAAGTTAGAAACTAACAGCTGAACGTCGAGCTGGATAGCTATGGCAGGGTAAGGATTCTTAGCTTTGTCTGTTTTTGTTCATTTAAGTCTCCTCTTTGACTAAAGACTATGCAGCAATATTGAATTTAATAAGCAATGTTCGCAAGTTTAGCTGAGCTTTAAGTGCAGCTTAGACTGGCATCATCATCTGGTTGAACTGGCATCAAGTCTTACACATGCTGTGTTTACACTCAAGCGTTTACCAAGGTAAACATTAACTGACTAAACCCTGGTACATTTGTACAGTGTTTATACGGGCTCAAATAACTTAGGTTAATCTGTCATCAATCGCAATCTAATCGAATTGGCGGCAAATTCTAAATCCACTCATAAAGTGCTCGCGTTTAAAAGAGAAGCTGTCCAACGGCTGTTGTAGTCCTCGCGTTTTATTTTCTTGTTCTTGATCAGCAAACCCAGGGATCGAGATTGCAGCAGCTCTTACTTTTGCAGCACCTAAAGAGGTCGAGGCAAAAGCGATTAATTCTGCTACAAATTGCCCTTCGCAAGACAAGGGGCGTTAGACGACTGCGTGGTCGGGGCTGAGAAACCAATTCTGGTTCGAAACCCTATTGAACGGAAATTTTGTTGAAGAATGGTGGAAGGAGAACTATAGAATATCAAGACGTACGTTCGAAAACGTGATCGAATGAGACTGACACAATCCCGACACCACAGGATGTGAAATTCTATGCGACCGCAAGCAGATGTATCAGTCATCCAAACCTTGGTTACCGACCTTAACCATGCCTGCTCGCAGGGTAAACTGAACTTTTACCTTAGTTGACTTTCTATTGTCTTGAGCGTTGTTTACCAGGGTATCAGTTGGCGTTTACACACGCAAAATATTTACCTAGGTAAGTTAACTCCAATACCTAGGTAGCACGCTCAAGTCTAAACACGGCAACAGTAAGCTTATGTATTATGAAATAATAAACTAACTTTTTTATTCTTCATTGGTAATTAATGCCTGCCAAGGCATTCCGATGAAATTGTAAGTAGGAATAATGCAACATTAACTCAATTACTCACTAATTACTCACTAACTCAATTCCCAGCCACGTCCCCAACAACCCCTCCCCCTCCCCCTTCCCACTTCCCCTGCATTGAAATGATTCACCCACTACATTTTGATGGCTCAGTAAAACACTATAGGACCTCTGTGTGTTTCAAAATATAAATTGTTGCTTTCAAAACAAGGCTTAGTGTTAGTGAATACTGAAAAAAATATTAATTTTTTATATTCAAAGTAGACAGACTGCAGATTATTATATTAGTTGCTAAAAAATATATATCTACGTGTCGCAACTCTTCATCAGTAGGATGCCTAAAATGCGTGCAATTCCACAATTCGTTTGGGTTCCATTAAATCCTATACCAATAATTTGCAGAACATTTTAGGAGGAGCCACCCACCATGTGAGCACAGTCACGGACAACACATATAAGTGAGGAAAATAACGCGAAGTAAAAGACGTTAATCAATGGCTTCGCACTTAGCCTGGCTGTAAAACAGAGACTAATGGAGCAACTTTGAAATTATATCTATCTCATGTTTGCCCAATTTTTTGCAAGTTTCACAAAAATCTCAGGTTTTGTCAAGGCCTTCTCAACCTCCTCTTTCACTGCTTTACACTCTTCGGCAAATTTCTGAATTATGCTGAAATTTTCCAATGTTTTTTCTAATTTGCAGTTTTCACTAAAATCACAGATTTAGCTGAGGTCTTCCTTACCTCCACGTTTACTGCTTTTCACTAATGCAGTGAATTTTCAAATTTTTTGAAATTTTTGCAACTGCATACAAACCTGGACATATCTCCACGTGAGTCCAACAGGACCCTTTTGTTTAAATGGTGGATACATAACCCCTATTCCCTGTATTAACTACAGCACTGACAGCTGAGAGTCACATTATTATTATCTGACAAGAGGGCAGTTATGATTAATATGTTACTATAGCATTCCCCTTCCCCTTCTATTCATCAGTCATGGCTGCCTCATCTGATTAGCCTGAGGTCATGAAAGCAACAAGGAGTCTGGACAATTCAGAGGTTAATTCTTTTTTTTTATTTCTTGTTACAAAAAGTTATACTTTATTCATGAAATTTATGTTATACTATGCTGTTGACATGTCAGCTGGCATTTGGTGACTGACATGGTTGTCATGTTTACTAATATTAACCATAATTAAATGGGGCTTGGTCAACATGTTGACTTGACAGTCGTCGGCCTATATGTTGACATATATATATATAAGGGTGCTTTTAGTTCACAAGATGCAAGAAATTTATGGTTATGCCTTGTTTGTTTGGTGAATAACTTTGATTTACCTCTATGATCACGTATGTATATGTTGTGGTTTAAATTTTTCCTTGGTTTAAAATTTTTCAAACCAGTTTATTTTTTGTTTTTCTTTGTCTCTGATTATGGTAATTGATTTTAGACAAAGGAGAGTAAAAATTAAACTGGTTTTGAAAAATTTTAAACCAAGGAAAAATTTGAATCACAACATATACACCTAATTGAAGTTTGCATCATTGTATTAAAAAAAACGAAAGTGACAAATATATGCCAAAATATATCCACTTCATACCTTGTTTCATGCCTAATAGACCTTTAGATTATGAAGGAATTTCTCATATTTTGAAACTCTAAAACAAAACTCGTCCTCTAAAATATACTGATTGTAAGCTGTTAATTTATGAAAGCGCGTACTGTTTTAAGAATAATACTGAAATCTGGAAGAAATAACATGGATATGCCTAATTTATTCCTGTTTAAATGAAATTTTCTAGACAATGTTCGGGGGTCTTTGGGTGGGGGAGTGAAAAAAAAAATTGGCTATTCTACCCCTACATTGTATCAATTTACGTATATAGTCGATGAAAACAAATTTTTGTATAAATGATTGCTGTTACTTTGTTTTCTTTTATTTTTATTAGTTATTATTAATTACGTGACCAGGGATCAATGTGAAGAATTAGATTAAACAATTATCATAATTTTTTATTGTAAAAGACTGAAGCAAATTAAGTGGGCGTGGTTCTTGAACAAAAGTGCCAACAGTTTACATTTATGTTCTTACTGTTATTTATTGTCATATTTGTTCTTTGTAGGCTTGCTATGGTGACTCCAGTGTTCCAGTGCTACATGTTACTCTTCTTGGTGGTGAGTGGGGTTCATCTGCTGGTGGGTTGTCAACCATAAACAGAGAGCTTGCTATTCACCTTTCAAATCATTTAGCAGTGAAGATTTCTTTACTAGTCCCGGAGGGAGCTTGCAACACTGAAGAAATAAGAGAAGCAGATGGCTATGGAATCACTATTGTTGAGGCGAAAGAACGTGCAGCATATGATCGTCTTGATTGGTTGAGCATCCCACCCCAGGACCACTACATGGACATTGTTGTTGGCCATGGTGTTAAACTTGGTCGGCAAGTGCAATTCATGAGAGACTCTGCTCAATTTCCAAATTGTAAGTGGGTACAAGTGGTTCACACTGCTCCAGAGGACCTGAGCAGTTTCAAATCCTACAGTAACCCCATTTCAAAAGGTGAAACAAAACACAAATCAGAAGTTGAGCTTTGCAAACTTGCTGATCTTATTGTGCCTGTTGGACCCAGACTAAAAGAAGCATACGCTTCATATTTACAGCGATCTAAGACAGATCAAGATGTTTTGTCCATTACTCCAGGCCTTTTTGAAAGGGAGTTTGGGGATTTAGTGGCAAAACATTATCCTAATGAAGATGGTGAATTTAAAGTGTTGTTATTTGGTCGTGGGGATGATGAGGACTTCGAACTCAAAGGATACAACATTGCTGCTCAAGCATTTACTGATCAACGGTTGAAAAACAAACCATATCGTCTAATCTTTGTTGGAGCACCTGAAGGAAAGCAAGAAGAAGTTAGAAAAAAACTTCTTCAGAGTGGTATTCTGAAAGCGCAGTTGACTGTTAGAAAATTTATACAAAGTAGAGAGAGACTGAAAGATTTGCTTTGCGAAGCTGACCTTGCCATAATGCCATCAAAATCAGAGGGATTTGGTCTTGTTGCACTTGAGGCCTTGTCTGCGGGACTACCCATTCTTGTAGGCAGTAGGTCAGGATTTGCCAAAGCATTAGAGAATGTTCTTCATGGTAATGCATGCATCATGAATTCAGATGATCCTGCAGAATGGGCAAAAGCAATAGAAGCTATTCATATCAGGCATGGAATGAGGCTTCAAGAGATAAAATTACTGAGAGTATCTTATGGGGAGAAGTACAGTTGGAAGGAGCAATGTGATGCCCTTGTGAACAGAATGCAGAGAATGGGTTATGGTAAGAGTTATTTTTGTTGAGTGCTGATGTACTTAATTACACTGTATTCATGTTGTACCATACATCACACTAATATTGTTTTTTTGGCACAATATATGCAAAATGTAAGAGTGCAGTGCACTCACAAGCACTGAATGCATTTTGTTCTTTGACCAAATTGTCGAGTGTACACACAGGTTCTATCAGTTTTCTTTGCAAATTTAGTACATATGTACATGTACGTACTGTCCCAGAATATTTTACCGTTTTATTGAAAGCTAGATAAATATGTCCAAGACATACACTCTGTATAAAATAATGTACCTCTTTGAAATCCTTACCCAGTAGATTCAGTTATTTTCCTAAGAAATCATGCACCTTCAATTCTTTTATGGTGAAGGAGGGAGGGGGGGTGGCATGTAGCCATACTTGAACTTCAGTGTTGTTATTTTTAAACTTCCACTGAAGGAAAACATACAAAGACAGTCAGTTTTGTGTTGGGAGGTGACAAACCTGCAAATTAAATTGGCTACTTGAAATTTTGAGATGCCTACTTTCCTTATTAATAATGTAGCTCAAAGCTTGATAAAGCTGACTGTATAAACGTGTAGGATTACCGTTTTGAAATGCAATCTTAAAATGGATCTATAGTACTTTAAAAAGGTATGATGTTTTTACCATCAAATTTATTCTGAATTCCTATTGCTTCTTGAGCTTAAATGTTTTGTGCACACCTTTTAAAGTTGTATTGGAAGTTGTAAATGCATAAAAAGATCTGTGATGTGTAGAATAAGGGTCTCCTGCCACTTTAAGGGTCACAGTTGTCTGTGACCATTAATTTTTTTTTTTAGTGTTACATAGGACGTGGTTCCACATGAGTAGTTATCGGTGGTGGAGATGTGAATGGGTTACAAAACATACAGTTGTATATACGTATATTTTGTAAGAAGCTTATAATAAAGGCTTGTTCTCACAGCAGATGCTTCTGATATACCAAAGGATGTTTATGTCAATGAAAAGCAGCCCATTGCAAAAGCTCATGCTTCAGCTTCTGGATTCCCAGGAGAGCAATGTCCAGTTGATGAACAGCCTAAAACTGAGGATGCAGCCAGATTAAATGAAGAATCTCCCTTAATTTGCCATACTCCTAGCATTTCTGGGCACACTTCTGACCAAGGTATGGAATTGAATTACATTGTCAAGGTGCTTTAGGTGTTTTAGTGGCTTGTTTTAATAAACTCTTTAGAATTTTTTGGCCCATTTAAAAAGTAACTGTTTTTATTTTTGTCTCTCTGCTATTCACCATTTTCAGATAGACCACGCACCTTGTTTACTTCCCAAAATTTTGCATAGCCATTGTGTTCAATTTTTCTTAGGACGAGTGTAAAACCCAGGAGAAATCAGGGGGGTAAACAAGATGCGTACAAGATGTACGTGAAAATGGTGAATAGCTAAGAATGCTCTGTTTGTGTAAAAGCTTTTTCAAACAAAGAGCTGAGGAGCCTCACTGAGTTCCCTTATACATTAGTAAATAGTTTATTTTTTTTGTTTAATAGTAATAAGAAGCAGTAATTGACTTGTAGTTAATATCAGGGGCATCCAACGACGGTTTCCTCCTAAATACACTGAAAACACTTTTTGAGCTATCCAGAGTGCATGTACTTTCAGATATCTAGAAACACATTCTAAGAGGCGCTATAAACTTTGTATCTGTTCGGTCATCCTAGGGGAACTTGAGTCTTTTCGAAAGTACGAGGGATTTCGTATTATTTTCCCGAAAATATTAGATGCAATTTAACGTATTACGAAGGAGAAAGCTTTTCTGATTCCTCTTTCCATCACATTTTTGAATCTGAAAATTGTAGGTTTCCTTTTTTCTATGAAAAATAGCCTAACCTGGAGAGTGAAATGTTAAAAATTAAACTTCAGAAAGTCATGAATGAATGGAGCGGTCGGCTAGAAATTTTTAGCCGTCCTTAAGTAGTAGAAAATTCTAGGCAATATTTGCTTCTCCGAACAGATATTTTACAGAAAACAGTCGTTGGGTGCCCCTGTAATATGCTGTTAATCAATAATTTTCAGAAGCAGCAAACACTATTAAGATGTCGATCACCCTACGTGATTTAAGTAGTGAACTGGAGGATGTCGTGGATAGAATGTTAAGACAACAACTTGAAGTGTACTTGAAATACAATAAAAGGAACAAGCTTTCTACAGCCAGCGGACTGAGTGACTTCATCAAGCATGTAGAAGATACTTACAACTTTACTTTAACATCTGTGGGTATGGGATCTTTGGTAATAAAAGGTCAGTGTCCTGACCTGCAAAGTCTGGAAAGTCTGTGGAATGATTATTGTTGTGGTGTCCTGAATGAAGCTGCAGAGAGGTTTTTAGTAACTGGTGATATGACGAAAGAAATAGACTTGGTGACAATCAGATTAAAGACTATTATTGAGGAAGAAAACTATTTTACTTGCAAGAAATCTCTTATGGAAAAGTCAGGTGAGTCTTGGGCAATTATCTTTGGACAAAAAATTGAGATAATTCTCTGCTAGTGCTTTGTAGCAGTGTACTCATAAGTATACATATACATCGTATTAATAAAGCGGTCATCTCAGAGACTTCAGTCGAGATAATGGAACAGTTCAATGTATGGAACCGTTGCCAATCATTATCATTCTTGTGACGTTTTGTGTTATGGTTTGTTGCCATATCCAAGCAAGTACTTAATACAATGGTAAATTTGTATAACAACATTGTAAACTAGATTATACATTTTAGGAAACTGCCCGGCCAATGACATTTTGTGTAAAGGTTGGTTGCTTATGGCAGTGGTACTTGACAGCTAGAATGATCATCGTCGTAAGGTGTTTCACTGCGGGGTGGATCTTTAACATGAGAACAATAGAGAATCTTCTGAGCTTGAAATTTCTTCCCTGAAACAGTTTGCACAAAAAGAAGAGATAAATTAATGATAATGCATATAATATTTTAATCGAAATAACATTTAGCGTGTTATAAAAAAATATGTTGTAACGTTTAGTGCAAGAGAGGTGGCTGTTAGTTGACGTTCACGTTCATGTGTAGTAATGCAGTAATTGTACCTGGCTGAGGGTATTTTCTGTAACAGTGCATTCACAAAATATGAATTCAATACGTATTTTTGTTATTGTATTCTGTGTTAGCAATCAGCCGTAGCGTGTCACCTTCAACTGAATCAGGTCAAGAAGCAGCTTCACCTCTAATTGACACAAGCCCAGATGATTCTGAGGTAGGTGCTGTGTACTTGGGACTAAAAATTAAAACAAGTAAAGACTAGAAAGGAAAAGAAATCGAGCTGTTTCATGGGGTGCACTCTGCAGAAATAATAGCTCGGAAAAAAGTATGACAGTTTTCAAACCCAGTTCTTTTAGACAACATCGAAGAGAAAGACTGGTTGGGTTTCATTTAATATAAATTGGAATTGTATGAAAATATTATAATGGAATGATTGAGCTATTTTGAAAAAATAGCTCTTATTGCAGTGGCTTAAGCGTATGTATCTTTGTGGCTTTGTGTCTTTGTGTGCTCGGATGTCTGTTGCAGGGGCCAATAAGGTTGAAAGTACTATGAGTTGATGCTTCTAGGAACCAATGACGGAGATTTTGGCATCTAAACATGACATTGTTTAAGGTCAAACAAGGGTACTTTGAGACCGCCATCTTGGTTGCATGAAGCGTAAGTTGATTGCACATGTTGTAAAGCCGAGGTGATTTCTTAAAACCGTTTGAGCAAATTTCCTAGTAAACAATTTTCGTTTTTTATTTACGAATTGTAAAAGAGGCAAAGTCCAACGTCTTGACTTGCAAACTGTGTGCATGAGTTATTTTTATAATCCTGCTTACTGGATTACTGTGTGATCGAATTCTCTTACGTACGAACTACGAAATGGGCAAAGTCCAACTTTTTCACGTGCAAACTGTGTGACTGTATTACTATAACTCATGCAGAATGGCTTTTCTCAATAATAATTATAGTAACTTGAATGTTTGAAGACCTCTTTAGTTTTGTACAAATAGTACCTTAAGTAAAGGCTGTTTTCTTAAGAAGCAATAACTTATAGCACTTTTAGAATCAAGTCGTCAGAGTGAAAGACTGTTTCATTAAGTAGATTCGCACGTGACAACCTCGTGAATAATGATGATGCAACCATCTACAACAATGATGAAAATCGTGACATTTCTTAGCTATTCGATATTCGATGAGCTTTATTATCTTAAGAAACCATGGAGAAATCTTGAAACCTTCGAGTTTTCCCTCTAACTGAAGCAACGTGAGTTGATATTCAAAGTGCTGAAACAATTTGTTTATTTTGCAACAGATGTCTGAAAGAAAGAAAAAAAAAACTGAATCTATAGTATGAGGAGCGACTCAGCTGTGTGCAGCGGTTCGCGTTTTCATTGATGAACAGCAACACCCAATTTCGCACAAAAAATATTCTTAATGTAGGACTAAACCAGTAGATTGTTGATACGGTTAGACTGAAGCAATCAAAATGGCTCATGCACGTTAAACGTGCCCATGTTTTAAAGGAAAGTAGTCGGTAATTTTTCGTTGCATCTTCGTAGAAATTTCCAACATTAGCTAAGTGATGTTTCTTAGACCAAGGTTTTTGAATACACTAAGAAACAATGCTATGGGCAGTCAAAAGTGTGTCGTTTGCCTTGTAATTTCAGAGGAGAAGTGATTTCATAGAACTTCATTGTAGATCTGGTTGTAAATGTATATTTTCCTTTTTTAATCATCCTAGGACGAGACGCAGGTCCTGACCCAT